CAACCCCAACCCCAACCCCAACCCCAACCCCAACCCCAACCCCAACCCCAACCCCAACCCCAACCCCAACCCCAACCCCAACCCCAACCCCAACCCCAACCCCAACCCCAACCCCAACCCCAACCCCAACCCCAACCCCAACCCCAACCCCAACCCCAACCCCAACCCCAACCCCAACCCCAACCCCAACCCCAACCCCAACCCCAACCCCAACCCCAACCCCAACCCCAACCCCAACCCCAACCCCAACCCCAACCCCAACCCCAACCCCAACCCCAACCCCAACCCCAACCCCAACCCCAACCCCACTTTAAATAATATATAATGTACATTTATTTTGCTTAATTTTTTCTTTTCACTTTTTTATAAAAATGATTTTAATTTAAAATGTATTTATTATTATTTTTAAAGCTAAACTGTATTTTATATATTGATTTATGTTATTTAAAACAAATGGGCTTTTTAATATGCTATTTTGTTACAAATTGCTTTTAAAATGGTTAGTATATAATTAATATTTTGAAGCAAATAATTTAGATTGGAAATCTAATTAATTAATTAATTCTTAAATTTTTAAAGTTATCAGAAAGTATTAAGGCAAGAAATACTATAAAAAATATATCTTGGCTAGATTGAGCTATGATAAGAATTGCATCACTCACTATATAAAAAATAAATATTATATTTTTAAAGATAAACTTTTAATATTTTAAAGAAGCAATTCAAAAAATTAATAAAAAGGAGAAGTAAATTAATTAATATGGATATTTAAACAGAAAAAACTTAAACAATAGCTTGCTACAGGATAGCTTAATCTAATTGCACATTCAGTTTCAAGTTTTAAGATAGTTTAGAGCACGTAATAGCTCTCCCTAACTATGAAGGTTTATTAATCTTTGAAAAGGGAAAACTTTTCAAAGTTAATTTTCTTCTGAAAACTATTCTTTAAGAAAGCTAAATTGATAAAGAAATAAAGAAAGTAGTAATGTATGATAAGGAAACAATTGTTTATATAACTTAGGAGGCTAAGAAAATTAAGTTCTTTAATTTTGTCAGATGCGAAAATGTTGATATTATGAATATTGATTTGCCAACTTAATCGGGCATGCCAAATAGTGAGAGAACTGATAGCGCCAAAGATGATTTATTTAGAGATGGTATGGAATTGGTTGTATTACCTGAAAGTAAATATGTTGTCTTATTAGAAGTAAAAAATACAATATTTATTTAGCAATATTCTGGCTTTCTTTAAATGCTTATTGATGAAGATAAAATTGGTTATATCATTTATTGAATTCAACTAAATTTCCATTTAAAATTATCAAAATAAAATTAATAACTTCAATAAGTACTTCTTTTTTTAAATCGATCAATCAATATAGCTAGCTATATATATATTTATTATAAAGAATTTTAAAATCAAATTTTCTATTTTTAAAAACTAATTTTGATATTTTCAAAAATATTTTAAAAAAAATAATTTATAGTCAAATGAAAAAAATTTTTTAAATTAAAATAGATTAAAAACACTTACAGCACTCATTAAAATGAAAATGTTATTACTGCTTTTCACGAAAGTTAGCAAGGAGACTTCTTCTCTTAAGTGAAATATAGTGAGCCTAACTAAAAAATGTTTTTTATGGAAAGATTGAACAAGAGAGATACTATTTGTGTCTATACTCAACTCTTCGAAAATGCTCCTGTTGAATTCTTAATTTGGAATGTGAGCAAAAAAGGAGAAGGTCTTATCCCTTAATTCCGTTTAACTGAAAATTTGGATGGTGTTGTTTAGCATATCTTTTCATTTGGAGAAAACAAAGCTGGTTTACTAGCTAATCTTACTAAAGGACATTTTCCATGCCTTAAGGTGTTTGATTATACTTAAGGAAGCCCAGCTAAGGAATAAACTACCCTACTAGATGTTATTCCTTAAGACCCTAATTCTATTTTAGAATAAAGCGTAAATACCGTGAGTGAAAACAGGGCTTTTGGAATATAAGATATATATCTAACTGATGTTGAAAATTAAAAGATTATATGGCAAAGATTTGGACGTCAAGGATAATTTTTTGATGTTTATAATCCCTCCTCCAACAAAATCACTTTTATGTATTTTGAAGGAGAAGATGAAAATGAAGAGGATGAAAATAATGAAAATTAATGTGATGAAAAAGTAGCATCTGTTGATAATAAATACATTCTTTCTTACTGTAGAAATAATTCTGATAATGATGATAATGAATAAAAATTCCCTTTCATGATAAATTCTATAGTCGAAGTTAAATCATCTATCATGCATCTCCTCATTAAAAAGCAAATAACTGATAAATATGGGGAAGAAGTTTGTAAAAATATTATTGATATGCTCATTCGTCATGAATGAAAATGAATTTATTGAATTCTTTAAAGATTTCTAATTTAATGACTTTTAGTTTTTTTTTATATAAATACATATTAATTATATGAAATATTAATTGTGTCTACCTCTCATTTATTTTTACAATAGCTTAAATATGCAATAAATAGCTATCCTAGAATTTAAATTAGCTTCATTTTTTTAATTTATAAAATATTTTTGTACATTCTTAAAATAAATAGTAATCAAATTTTATTTATCAAGAATTGTATGAAATTTTAATTGTTTCTCATTTAAAAATTTTGAGTCAATAATTTCCATAATGATATAGTTTTTTGAAATAAATTGAATACAAATAAACTGTTTTTACCTAATTTAAAGTGTTAAATTAGAGAGGTTAGCTAAAATAGAACCTAATAAGAGTTTTTTTATCAAAATTTAATAAATAATCAACTTTTTATTTTTTACTATTTGTATTAAGAAGTGTATATAAAGATGGAAGATGGATGACATATATTTTTTTGAAAATGTAATATTTAATTATTTTAATAAATATTTTTATTTATTTATTTATTACTTGCTATTTATTAGGTCTGAATATATATTTTCAAGATAAATTAAATTAATTTTTGTTATTTTTTGTAGATATTTTTTTAAAAAGATAGATTTTTAGCTTTTAAAATAGCTTATATATTTTTTAAATATATTTTACTCAATAAAAACAGAATTTAATTTATATTTCACAATGTTTAATAGTTTCTTCATGAAATTTATCATAAAAATAAATAGCCTTTTGTTATTTTATTTCATATTTATCTTACTTATTTAAAGTAAAATTAATTTATTTATTTTAACTACTATTTTAGTCAATCTAATTATGTCTTTTTAAGGTATTAAAATTCTTTAAATAAATACTTCAAATTTATAATTAAAATAATTCTTACATTTAAACAAGATTTAATATTAATTTTGTTTTCATTTTATAAAATATGATTAACGAGTATTAAAATTTAATCAAATTTATAATTAAAATAATTCTTACATTTAAACAAGATTTAATATTAATTTTGTTTTCATTTTTTTAAATATGATTAACGGGTATTAAAATTTAATACTTTCATCAAAAAAAGAAAAATAAACAAAATTAAAAAACTTGATAGACCTACTAAAAAAAGATTTGTAAATAAAAGAATAAAATTTGTAATTAGTAAATCAAAAACAAATATTTCTACAAGATTACTTGAAGTTATTAAAAAGATTTGCTTAAGTCTATCAGAAAACAAAATAGGAAATTAAAAATAATTAAAATTTTTTTGTTTGCCTAAATACTTGAAATGAGTTTTTAAAAGCTAGATTATTTAATACTTGGAGGTGGGTTAAGTGGCCTTTATTGTGCCAAAAGATTGCTTAAAGAAAGAGGAATTAAGAATTTAATGATCTTAGAAGCAAAAAATAAGATTGGAGGTAGAATTCAAACTTATAAAGGATTGCTAAATAATAATTATGCAGATTTAGGTGCCTAATGGATATTACCTCAGCATACTAGGGTTTAGGATTTATCTAAGAATTACAAATTAAAGCTGTTCCCTACATACTCTTAAGGATAGTCTATTTACCAATTTAATGGCAAAAATTTGAAAGATGAAATATCAGACAAATCGGCTTAAGACCTTTTTGATAAGACGGACGAATTTGTTGAATAATTTTTGAGCTTTCTAAATCAAAAATAAATAACTAGTATTCCAAATATGACTTTATAAGATTATCTTGACGATTTCATAGTTTCAAATGTAAATACTCAAGACAAAGACATTTTAAATTTATTCAAATAGCATCTTGCTTCAAATTTAGAGAGTGTTACAGCCTACCCTTTATCCAAAATATCACTAAAATACGCCTAGTTTATGGAAAAATAAGGTAAAGATTTTACCTCATTACAAGGAGAATTTGATTAATTGAGAATGGAAGGTGGTGTTGAGAATTTAATTGAAAAATTGGCTTAAGATTTTGAAGCTAATAAATATTTATAACTTAACTAGAAAGCTGTAGAGATTATTTAGCACTCCAATGATGTAGTAGAAGTTAAGGTGTTAGAATCTACTGAAAAAGACTCAAAATACTCTTAAAATGAAATTTTAATACAAAAATCTTACTTTACAAAGAATTTAATCATTTCTGTGCCTCCATTTATTTTTAAACACATTGATTTATAGCTATTGGATTCTTAGCATTAACAGAAAATTCAAAATCTTACTCAAAGCTATGATGTTGGCAACGTTATCAAGACATTTTTGCTATACGACACTCCATTCTGGAGAAATCAAAACCTAAATGGAAATGCCTTCTGCTATGAAAATCCATTTATTACTGATATTTACGATATGTCATGTAGTCACTCTTAAAATGGAATTCTACAAGTATTTTCTGTTGGTTAAAAAGCAACAGAAGCATAAAAGTTATCTAAATCAGAATTTAGAACTAAAATCATTTAAGCTTTAGTTTCTATTTTTGGCAGAGAATCTTATAATTACTTTGATTACTTTTCCCACTCATTTATTGAAGACCCTTTTGTTTTAGGAGGGTATTCTGGTCTACAGATTGGCAAACTTGAATAAACTGGAGAATCTCCTGTTTAAGAATTTGCAGATTTTAATACTCAAAAAAATCAAAATATATTCTTTGTTGGAACAGAAACAAGTTAAAGTTTTAACGGATACATGGAGGGAGCTCTTCGTTCAGTTGACTGGTTACTTGAAAATTCTATAAAAAATTGAGAACGAGCATAAATAAAAAAATAAAATAAATAAATAAATACATAAATAAATAAAAATATTTATAATATATTAGTCTAATTATAACTTAAGAAGAAAATTTATTTTATTGATCCAAACCTTCATAGAAATATTTAATTTAATAATGCAAGTATTTTTTATTAAATAACTTTAATTTTTTTAAATTTTGATTTGATATCTGTTATTTATTTATTTATTTACACATTTTAGACATTAATTATGTATTTTTTTTTCAGTTATTATTTAGTTGTTGTTTTTTTTTTTTAAATTTGGCGGAATTTAGAATTGTGTCTTTTAACTTTTAAGTATCTTGTTTTAAATTATTCTAAAAAAAACCAATAATTTTTTTAAAAAGAAATAAAAATAGGTTTTTAAAAAAAATGATAAAAAGAAACCCAAAAGAAAGGTAAAGCCCATTTGAAAAGCACTTTTACAGGCACTTATATAATGTTTAAATTACTTTAAATTAGCTAAATGAGAGTATTCGTTCAAGTAGAAAATAGAGATCTGAATAATAAAACTCTACTCAGCTTGTAAAAGTCAAAGAATGGTAGAATTAAAGCGACGACGATGCAAATAAAAAAAAGGTTCACGAGAACAAAAATTAAAAAAAATCATTTGTTCTGTTAAGGATTCTATTTCTAGTTTTAATATGGATTTTTGGAGTTGCTTTTTTAATGAGAACAAAAACTTATAACAGCATAAGACTGTCTAAATCTGATTGGGAGCAACTTGTTGTAAAACAATTTTCAAGAACATATTCCTTTAATAATTCTTTCTAATAAGAAGTGGAGAAGCTTAACTAATTTAGCTTTGTTGATTATTGCATCGCAATGAAGGCTCAATGGTTATATGAACTTAACCCATATTATAGCTCTACTATAGAATCTTAATTAAATAATTTATGGAAATTAGGATAAAACAAAGTACATGATTTTTCTATTTTCGAAGTTAATTCTACTTTCATTTACTTTCGTGTTTTTGAAATTAGAAGAAAGAAGGGTGCTTATAGCTTTAAGTTAGATATAACTTTTATTTAATATGATTTCAAAGAATTACAGAGAGTATATCTTAAATAAACTAACCAGCAATTAATAGATAAATAGACTTTTAATCACATATACCTCTAGTAAAATACAATTGTAAAAAATCTTTTCTAAAATGGTATTTAAGATCATTTATAATAGAAATTATGAATCTTTCTTAATTAAAATTGGAATTTTACTTCTGTTTCCAATATTTATCTATGTGTCTAACTTCTATAAATTTATTTTAGTTAATAACAATGAAACTTTTTTCATTATTTTCAGTTTAAAATTTAGAATTTAAATTTATTTTATCTCTCTCAAAAAGGTTCTTGAAAAAGTAAGTAAGCAATTTTAATAAAATATTAAATTTAAATGAAAATCGTTTTTTAAATTATTATTTGATTGGTTTAATTTATTAAAGCTTTAAAATTTATATTTTATATATTGACCAAATCAAATTTTAAAATTATTTTTTAATGAAATTATGATAAAAAAAATTGATTTTACTGGTTTCCAGTTAAGAAAAAGCGAATTAGTAATTAATTCTAGATTTAAAACCAGATAATCTAAAATAAATAAATAAATTCTGCCCGCCTAATAATCCAAAGCCAATAAAAGTAAAATTAATTTCTCAAAATTTAGAATCAAGAATAAATACTTTAAATGTGTTATGATAATTTTGAAATTGCTTGTTTTTTTAATTTTATTTAATATTTTACAAAGAATGCTTTAGAAAATAAGTCTATTAAATAAAAATATAAAGATAATTTAACAAAATTTTTCAAGAAAGTCAAATTCTTTTTTAGAACCAAAATATTTTGCTTTTAGATGAATGATAAAATAGTGAATGATGAAAAAAGATATTTTGTTTAATATTAAATAATGTTTATATTAAGAACTATAAGCTTTTTTATCTAATAAAATAGGGTTTTGGAGTATTTAAAAAAAGTCTATTAACTGCATTAAGAAATAAATTAAAATAGTAAATTTTGTAGATAAAGTCTAAATTTTTTATATGTAAGACTTAATTAAATTTTTTAAAAAGAGTGTACGTAATTAAGTGAATCAATACAAATTTTAAAGATATTTTTTCTAATTTGATGGGCAGTAAAAATATTAATAAAAAAGAAGAAATTTTTATTACTAAATTAGTAAGCAATAAATGGTATTAGTTTATTCAAGGAATTAATAAAAACTGAGCAAGTTTGGATTAAATAAATAATAAATTAAAAGAAATGAATTACTTGTTAAATAAATGATACATACATACTGTTGTTAAAGTATCAAAAAAAGCAGAAAAATTTTGAAATTTTACTATTTTATTCATAAAGATAGCGAATAGAAGGAAATTTAATTAAAATTCAATAAAACTTTATACAACATTACAATAAACTTTAAGAAAAAATAAGAAAGGTATCAAAAGTTAAGTAAGGAGAAGAATAGATAGTACGATAGTAGGCTATTAGGTTTTCATGTCCAACAAAGAAGACGTTTACAATTCAAGTCTATTATATAATTCATCATAGGATTAAATATAATCCTAACTGAATGAAAAGCTTCTTAACTAACCATCTTATTATATAATTTAAAATGAAGCAGATTTCTAGCATAGAAATATACCTAAAAATAATAAATTTCTTTGCTTTAGGAAGACTAAGTTTGATTGGCAAGAATAGCCAGATAGATTAATTTAGACCAATGTATAGGATATGGAGGTTATTGATAATTCTATTCACACTGCCAAATATAACTTTTTTTCCTTCATTCCTCTCAATCTCATGGAGTAATTCTCTAAGCTTCCAAATGTCTACTTTCTAGTAAATCATTATAAAATTCAGATTTAAGATATTTCTTACAAATTTTTAGGGAAACTCCACTTCTAAAAAATATTTTGCATCATTGATAAATTAAATATTTCATTATCCTTGATTTTACAGTTTATTTTGAGCTGTAAATTGAAAAAATATTTAACTATTCAATAGTTGGTTGGATTTCTGCAAATGATTGACGAAATTTCTAATTCAGAAGGCAGGCCCGTTATATTTTTCCCCTTGACTATCATTTTATGTGTAACAGCGATTAAAGATGCCTACGAAGATATGAAGAGGTAAATATTATTGACATTTAAATGCCCTTTTTATATATTTTTACAAAATGAAACTTTGTTACTTTTACTTTGGCAGTAAAATATATCTGTTTATTTGTTGAAAAAAAAAAAATTAAATTTATTGTTTCAAAATAATTCGTTTATATAAAATAATATAGGCACATGTATGATAAATAGGAAAACAATAAACCTATTTTAGTAGCAAGAAACAAAAATTTTATGAAAGAGTAATGGAGAAATTTAAGAATAGGAAATTTGATAAGAGTAAACAAGCATTCATTTTACTAATATTTAGGAAAAATAAATCTAAAAAAGAAGTTATCAAAATATATTTTAAAAAAATTAGGTAAATAGAGATGAATATATTCCAGCAGATATTATTCTCATTTATTCTTCTAACAAAGGAGGAAATTGCTACGTTGAAACTAAAAATTTGGATGGAGAGACAAATCTAAAAGTAAAATCTGTACCAAAAAAACTACAGAGTGTATTTGAAACACAAAGCAAAGTAATAAATAACTTTAAATGAAAACAATCAGAGATAAGATTATATATTATAAAAATAGATATTTAATACGTTTAGTGTCTGCAGATATGAGAAACCAAATCCATTTCTTTATAAATTTTAAGGCTACATTGAATATGAACATTAGCTAAAGATGATCTAACAACCTCTCGAAATAGGAAACTTTATTTTAAGAGGCTGCTCGCTTAAGTAAACTGATTATATAATAGGAGTTGTGGCATACACTGGAAGTGATACAAAGATTATGCTCAACTCAGTTAAAGCTAGACCCAAGCTAAGTACAATTTAAATCCTGATGAATTCTGAAATCATATTAGTATTTTTAGTCTAGATGCTATTTTGCATTGTGTGCGCTCTCTTAGAATAGAGCTGGACTGGAGACAATTTCTCAAGCATTTAATTTTATTTAGGATTAACAGATAAAGATTAGAAGCATAATGATTCATTTATTGGATTCCTAATCTACTATGGCATGTGGATGATGCTTTTCACGTAATTATAAATAAATTTTCCAATAATAATTAATATATTTATTTAATAAATTTTTTACTTGATGAAAAATATTACATTCATTCAAGTATGATAAAAATTTATAAATTTGTATTTTGATTTTTAATATGTTAAAATTTTAATATTAATAGGAATTTTGTTCCAATTTCTTTGCTAGTAACTTTAGATATGGTGAAATTTTTTTAGTCTATGAAGATTACTAAGGATAAGCACATGTTAGGGTAGGATGGATCAGAGCCCTTAGTTTAAAGTTCGGGTTTAAATGAAGAGTTAGGATAAGTTGGATTCATATTTACTGATAAAACTGGAACTTTGACTTGCAATTAGTTAGTTTTCAAAGCGTTTGGATTATAAGATAAAGTTTATGGGTTAGAAAAATGTCATTAATAGGATAGGTTTTAAGATGATAAATATGATTAAGAGATGATTGAAATATAAAATATAGAGTTGTAAAAATCAAAAAGATTTTAAGGTGCTGATTTTTATAAAGAATTTAATAGCTTTTCAAACAAAGAGAAGCTTGAAGATTTCATGATTTATTTAGCGATGTGCCATGAGATTATAGTTGAAAATGATAAAGAGAAATTGATTTATAATGCATGCTCTCCTGATGATTTGTGTCTAGTAGAATTTGCAAAAGAATAAGGATTTGAGCTTCTGGGAATGGATCATGAAAATATTTTATCAATTAAAAAAAAGCTATAAAATGAATAAGAAGAAATATTTAAATTTAAAATATTAAACATATTACCTTTCTCAAGTGCTCGAAAAAGAATGTCTATTATTTATTAAAAAATATTAACAAATTCAAACAATATAGACGTTGTATAGGAAGAAATATACATTTCTACTAAGGGAGCTGATTCAATTATTATGAGTAGATTAGACTAAAAATAATAAGACTAGTAAATTTTTGGATATTATGAGACTTATTTTTATTCAGTATTTGTTTTAATTCAAAAGATTTGTTTTGTAGAAAACTCATGATTTTTTAATTGAATTCGCTAAACTTGGATACAGAACTCTTGTACTTGCAAAAGGAAGAGTCGACAATAATTTTTATGTTTAATGGAGTGAAAAAATGCATTAGTCTTAAATAATTCTAACTTCTGAAGTAAGTTTTTTTGAGTTTTTATATATATTTTATTTTGTTTTTGTGATAAAAGCGAGACGAAATAGTAGAAAAAGTAAGTGACGAAATAGAGTAAAACCTAATATTGTATGGCTGCACAGCAATAGAAGATAAATTGTAAGAAAATGTTCCTCAAACAATTTAAAAATTAAGAGAAGCTGGAATTTAGATTTGGATGCTAACTGGTGATAAAAGGGAAACAGCAATAAATGTTGGTCTACTGAGTTCAATCATAGAGCCTTCTTACAAAAGAGTAGTTTTAGACTTTGAATTCAGCAAGTATTAAGATATCTTAGCTCTTTTAAAACAAGCAAAAAAAGAAGTAAATTAATTCATTTTATTTAAGAAATAATTTAAGTTATTCTAAAAGCTTCTTTCGTGTGAAGAGGGTAGAAAAACAGCTTTGATCGTGAGTGGAGTCTCTCTTGATTAAATGTCGCACTAACCTATTGAAACTCATTCAGATGAATTGCTTACACTTTTCATGAAACTTGCTCAATATGTCGATTCCGTAATTGTGTGCAGAGTTTCTCCCAAACAAAAAAGATAAATTGTTGATTTATTTAGATAAAAGGTAAAAAATCATTAAAATTAATATTTAATTTAATTTTTATTTCTAAAATTTTAGAACCCTGGAGCAACCACTTTAGCAATAGGAGATGGTGCCAACGATGTAAATATGATTATAGGTGCACATGTAGGAATAGGTATAAAGGGATTAGAGGGAACCTAAGCAGCTAGAGTAAATTTTAATATATTTTTTGAGAAAACATATGATAATCATTAATATTAATATAAAATTAAAGGCAAGCGATTTTGCAATAAATGAATTTTAGCAATTGGGTAGATTGTTGCTCTACTATGGTAGGGAATTTTACAGAAAGAATAGCAATTTAGTCCTCTATAATTTTTACAAGAACATTTTAGTTGTACTTCCATAGTTTTGGTATGGCTTTTACAATGGATTTTCTGCTTAGTTTTTATACGATCTTTGGATTTTCTAAATGTATAATATAATATTTACCTCAGCTCCTATTGTAGTTTTCGCTTTATTTGATAAAGAATATAAAGGAAAATTTCTCTAACAAAATCCATATCCCTACTACTTAAGTGGTATATTAAATGAGTGCTTTGATAAAAAGACTTTTTGGTAATAATTTTTAATTGCTATCCTTTAATCAGCCTTGATAGGTGCTTGCTGTATTTAAATCTTTGACACATCACTTGACAACTTGGATACATATATGCTTCTAGTAGGAAACTTTATGTATTCAAATGTGATCATCATTTCTAACATAAAAATATTCTTAATTTCAAAATGTATAACACCTCTATTGATAGCATTTACATTAGGAAGTATCATCGTGTATTTCATTATATTCAAGCTTCTAAATTCTCTAGTTTTTTTAGATGGATACCATATATTTGATAGGTAAAACAAATATATTCTAAACTTCAAAAACTATAAAAACACACCATTAATTATATTTAAAAGATTATATGGATAAGTAGAAGTTTGGCTTGGACATATTTTTATAGTAATTGCATGCCTCCTGATTGATTATGTCATAATAAACTTTAAAAGTAAGTTATTTTTTAATATAAGAATAAATCCTAATTCAATTCTAATAAAAAAGGAATTACAGTTCAGCTCAATTAGAGTGAAGAGTCTATTAAAAGGATAATTTAAATACCATTTCAAAAGATAAGACTTTCATACAGCGTGTACTCAAATCAAAATAATAAAATTAATTTATTTTTTTATTAATTTTTTATATTTTAAAAGCAATTAAAACTAGAGCGAATACTCTTCATCATCAAGGATGATAGAAATGAATGAAATTAAATCATTTTCACAAAGAGCAAGTATATAAAATTAGCAGCCTTAATATTTTTCCTAGAGAAATAGTAGTCATGTACTGATAGGCACTCCATAAAACTAACAGCAACAACAATTTTTTAGTCCTAGTTCAAGATCTTTCAATAATTTAAATTAAAGTTTTAATAAAATTTAAAAATGAAAATTAATAAATAAATAAACAATTAATTAGATTAAAATTTCTTTTTACATATCAAGGATTTTAGAAATATAAATCAATTAACTAACGAAAGAACGAACAAACACCCTTGTATATAAATAAAAATTTATTTTAATTTTAAAAATATGATTCATTAGTCAACTCAACACATACAACACTAATGCATCACAATTTTGGCTTATAATTAAAAATGTAGTTATTAAATTTATATTAAATATATTTCCATTAAATATCTATGTTATTTGCACACTTCTAAAGTAAAACAAATTTAATATTAACTAATCCTCAAATTGATAGTTAGTAAATAAATAAATTCATTTTTTCTTAATAATCATTATCTTGTTAAAAATTTATCTTTATTTAATTAATAAAGGCTAATTACTTTATTTCGAATTTCACAATCATTTAAGAAAATATTTAATATTTTATTCTATTTAGTTGTTTTAAAAAATTTTTTGTGAGGATTGTTTTAATATTTTTTCATTATTTTTTAATATATTAAGCAGATTTATAAACAAATTAACCACATTTTGTTATTTTTATTTATAAAAAATTTCATAAACTTATTTAATTTATTGAATTGTTAATTATGAAAAATCAATTTTAAAATAGTTTAATTGTAGCTAATTTTTTATGATTGGTAAAGACATCTTCATTTATTTGCTTAATATTATTCAGTATTTTGATAATATTGTTTCTGTATAAAAACAAAAATATATTAAATTTAGTTAGTAAGTAAGTATCTTTGATAAATCAAGTTTAATTATTAAGATATAATAAATAGAATTAAAAAGTAGAAGGTTAGAAAAAATGTTTAAAGTATTTAAGTCACAAAATAATTTCAATAGCTTAAGCAGCTCACTTATGAGCTTATTTTCTACTTAGAAGTCATCGTAATCACATTTTTATATCTTAAGTACTAATTAATCTAAAGATATATTTTTTATTTTAAAAGAAAGTTTGGTAGAATATTCATTTACATAGTGAGTTAACATAATTAATTATCTTAAATACTTTTTAGATTTTGTTTATGGATTAAATCCTACTATGATCGCTCTCCATTCAAATAAAAGAAATATTGTCGAAGTTATAATTAATCAACATGTCTAAAGTAATAGAATTTTCTAAAATTAATTTCAAAGGAATCTCTAATTTTTGTTCAAATGTATTATTTTTATAAATAAAAAGGTCATCTTCCTCCCAAAATTTCGAATATCATAAATACAGCTAATGCAAAAAAAATACCAGTTAAGTTTGTTGATAGAGTAATTTCTATTTAAAACCAGAATCTCTTATTTAGTTAAAAATAACTTTTTAAAATAGGAAAAATTAGACAGATTGGTTTAAAATTAACCACACTAAAACGTAGTTATTAAAGCTGAACCTTTAAAATATTTAAGAACAAAATCTAGTGATATTTTATAAGGGAATATGATTCTATTCCTTGATAGAATCACAGATCCTTAGAATTTTGGTGCTATAATAAGAACATGTTAATATCTAGGAGTGGATAACGTAGTAGTAGATGAATTCTCAAGATGTCCTTTAAATCCAACAGTTTCTAAGACAAGCTCAGGAGCTTTAGAAGTGATGGACATTTATTGTACCCCAGATCCAGTTGAGTTTTTAAAAGGTTACTTTTATTTCAATATTATATCAGCTAAAACAATTAAATATAGATTGCTAACTAAGAGGATGGAAAGTCTACTCAACCGGTTTAAATCATTCTGAAAACTAGATTTCTCTTGAAAAATTAAAAGTTAGTTCAAAAGTAGATTTTATAAAATTTTGTTATTTTATTTATTCATTCAATTTAATTCATATAAAAGGATAAAATAGTCCTTGTTATGGGTAACGAAGGTAATGGTGTTGATCCTAAAATACTTAAAGTCAGTGATAAAATTGTTTCTATTGATTAAACCCTTTATTTAAACCGTCCTATGGTTTTCCCATACACTTTAATCGATTCTTTAAATGTAAACTCTGCTACATCTATTTTAATTTAAAACATCAAACTTAAAATGATAGCATCTGAAAAAATGATATGATAGAATTATTTATATTTGCATTTATATAACTAAGGATTAATTTAATTATTTATTTATTGATTTTATAAATTTATTTTTAGTAATGGTTTTATTGAAATTAATTTATTTTATTGTAACTTAATTTTTTTGTTGAAATATTTTTATCAAAAAACTTGATAATTTTGATATTATTTTTTAATATTAAAAATGCAAAAATTAAGAAAGGTTATAGTTTTATAATTTGTTTAATTAGATTGATTGTTTGTTTGTTTTCAATTAGAAATGAAGCTATTTTAATGGACAGTTGAGAAAAATGATAATGGTAAAGAACTCAATTTGCACAATATTTTATTAATGTTTGATAAAAAATAGTTCCCTTATATCCTACTTGCAGAGAAGGGCATTCTCTAACATACCTACCTCCTCATAAAAAACTTCTCCTTTTTGCAGGATATTCAAACATTAGAAAAAATGATTTATTTTTTTATGATATTCGTAATATAAGAAGACTTTTTAAGCAAATGTATTAATTTAAATCTATTTATTAGACAGAAAAACATGGAAATTACAATAAGGAGAAGGACGCTCGCCATCAATAAGATGCTTTCATGAATCATTTTATGATTGTATTCATTTTAAAAAGCATTAATTTCATCAAAATATTAATTCAAAATATTCAATTTTGTTAAAATAATTTCACTGTTAATTAGAAAAAAATGATTGCTTTTTTGTTTATGGTGGCTAGGCAGATAAGGGAAGATCTTTGGGAGATTTTTATTTTTTAAATATTAAGACCATGATTTGGAAAAGGCTCTTCTTACTAGATAGTCCTCCAACTCGTCACTCGCATACAATGACTGATATGTGTAATAAGTCTTTATTCTATTTTTTAAGAAACTTACTACATTGTTAACTCAAATTTATTTATATTATAGAAAATGGAAAAAGATAAAAATTGCTATTTGGAGGTATATGTCTCCCTGAAAATACTTATTATAATGATGTATGGGTTTTTGACTATGAAAATTTGCAATTTAATTCTAGTTTACCAGATGTTTCAGGAGTAAGGATTTAAAGTACTTAATTTTTTAGAAATGCAAATTTATTCAATTTAATAAAAGGCTTTTTGGACAAAGAAAATATGTAAAGGAGATATTCCTACTGCAAGAAGAGGACACTGTGCGATAACTGTTGAAGGTTGTCTATATTTATTTGGAGGACGTACTATAAGCGATTCAGATGATACATCAACTATTTATTCTCTTAATTATGGTAAAAAATTTTTTAAAAATATAAAAATAAGTATTTAAAAATATATTTAGATACTTGGGTATGGAGGAAAGTTAAAACGATAGGCAAAGCCCCATCACCAAGGAGCTTTTTTTCAGCAACTTAATTTACAAATAATCGTTTAGTGGTATATTCATGAATTTACATTCAAAAAATTATATATTTATACAAATTTTGTGTTTAGATTTTTGGAGGGATTGAGAACTCTACAAATACTCCTTTGAACGAAACTTATATTTTATAACTTGATGACTTTGTTTGGTCAGCACCATTTACTGCAGGTAAAAAGCCTACTCCTCGCTTTAACCATAGTGCTTGCTTTGTTAAGAATGACTATAATGAGTGTTCTATAATTATATAAGGAGGTATAGGATATACTTATTGTTCTATGGAATTGAATGTGCTTTCTGAAATAGATACAGATTAGTATGCTGAATGGGAAAAAATATAAGAACCGTCATAAGAAGAAAAATTAACTAGCGAATTAGCAGGCTTAACCATTCTAGATTATAAAAGATAGCTTCATAATTTAGATGAGTTAATCAGCTAGGAGAGAATTAAAAGGTAAATAAATAAATAGATATCTTTACTTAAATTTTGAAAGTAATTTATCTTATTTTAAAGAGTTGATTTACTGAAAGAAGAAAGCAGAATTGAAGATCAAATGATTTTGGCTGAAGAAAAAAACGATAAAATTCTAGGAGGAATGAAAAAGTAAATATCAGAATTAGATAGCACATTCAATTAGAATAGTGACTTAACAGAAAAAATCAATGAACTTATAAATCAAGAAAGGCAATTGTAAGCCGAACTAAATTAAAAAATACTTGCTACTGAGAGCAGAGTGTCATAAATGTAAAGCCTAAACACAAACTTAGATTAATTGTTCTCCTCTCTAAAGAAAAGTAATAAAAATAAAAATTATTTATTTATTTATTTTTTATAATATTATTATAAATAAAAATATTAGACAGATTTGATGAGACTGACTACAGAGAGAACACTTTAAAAAAGCTACTTAACGAAACAAAAGATGAAATTAAGAAACAAAAAGAGTAAAATAAAGAGTCTCTTTCCAAAACAAAGAGACACAATGATAAAATTAATAAATTCTTAGAATAAATAAATATGCAACTACAAATTCATGTACTATTTCCCTTAAAACCTTATTCGAATTTTTAATTTAAATTTATTTTTTGGGTTTTTTTATTTATTTAAATGAAATTAAAATAATTAATTTTTTTAAAAAGGAAAAAGAAGTAGGTTAAATTAACGAAGAAGATGAAGTATTGGATGATGATTGATTAAATGATACATTTAATCAAATAAGTATAAACAAAATAGATTAGTTATAGTAGATTTTATAGAGGATAAATTTTATGATCCAAGATCATGATATGTTATTAATCTAAAAAATAAACAAAAATTGAAAAAAAATTATTTACTAAGGAAAATAATTAGTTATTTTAAATTTAATATTTTGGAGTAGCAAATGCATGAGTTTATATTTATTGTATTAATTCTTTTAAAATACAGTAAATATTCTTTGTAAAAAGATTTAATTTTATATTTTAAAGTAGATTTAGGTTATAAAATAAATTAAGGAAGTATTTATTTATTTTATTGGTTTTTATAAAAAAAGATTTTGTAGAATGAACTAGAAACATAACCAAAAAAGATTTTTTAATTAATATTTAAAATATTGATTTTGATTTAATTTAGCATGTTTTTATATTTATTTAGTTAATTACTTTTTGTCAATATTTAAGAATCATAAAACTACAAACAAGTAAATTAAATTAAATCATGAGCAGACTTGGAAATTAAAGTGTGGAGAAAGAAGTTGAGGACTAATTTCCTAATCGTATTAATATTTTAATTTATAGTTTCAATTGTAAATGTTGCAAAATATTCTTTATAAACCTCTTTAGTTGATGAGCCTTTGATATAAAAGATATCACATAATGTTTAAGATATTAATGAGAAGATTATCTCAAATGAAAAATGGATTTTATATATTAAGAAATAAAAGTATATGCAAGCTGAAGTGCAATTTTTAAAGGTAAACCCAATAAAATATTTTCCTAAAAAGTAAAAATCATTAATGCTTATTTAAATAACTGAATAAGAATTTTTGCGAGGCTTTCTAAATTGATTTATAAACCAAATATGTGAATTGTGATAGCTTTTCTAACATTTAAATTCCTTGCTTGAAAATAAAAAATTACTTGATAGAAAAGAATAATTTCAATGACTTAATATACTAGGTAATTATTATATAATTTATATATTCTATTTTCTTTTTTTTTCTATTCTCTCATAAATTTATTATGTATGTGAAGAGAACTACCAATAGAAATTAATAATTTTAATTTAATATTTTAGGGGTTTTGTCAAGCAAAAAACATTCAAGATATCAATACTAGAAAATATTATGAATATATCGTTTGTCTGATCGAAAAAATAAATATGGCTGCTGTATTTTAATAATATTATTTCTAATAGAAAATTTATAGAAAAATACTTTTGTTTTGTAAAGGAATATGAGATGTGGTATGATGAATCAACAGATTACTCCTACAGAAGCAAATATATTTAAATCACTCAGCCTCTTGAGACTCTTTAGAATATATTTAATTACAAGCTTGAAAAGGATGCATACAAATATTTTGATATTAAAAATTAGGCTGATGTAATTAATAAATAAATAAATTTGCTTCATCAAATAAAAAATAAATTTATTGATTTTTAAAATGAAAAAATTTTTTGATTTTATTTGTTTAGATGATTGATAGAGTTAAGCCTCTGCTTGCTGATTTGGAATAAAGTATTCATAATGTGAAATATTTTAAATATTAAGTTGACAATAGTGTTGGATTTTGCGATATAATTGTTTTTTCTTATCTCTAAGCTTTCTTTAACAATATACCCCAGTCTAAGCTAGTAATTTATTGATTGAATATTCCATTATTCTTATATAAAAATATTGTTTGTTTTTCAAAGGTAAAAGAACTAGATTAACTGACAAATGTATAGAAATTCTATTTAGCATTCACAAATATTAAAAAATCTTTTCCTATTGAGGATTTAAAGTAAATTATTACGTTTTTCTACTATAAGAGGTTATGATAATAAATTTTAAAAATGAAGGGCAAGCAGCTAATAAAATTGCAATTAATTAGAGTAAAAAAGGGAAAACAAGTAGCAAAAAGAAGGGGTAGCTGAAAAATCCTAAGCTGTAGGAGGTATTGCACCCAAGTCGTATAAATAAAAGGTGGTTTCATACTGCGTTGTAGGAGCATTCACCTTAATATATTTAATAGGAAAATAATGAAAAGGAATGTATACTTAAAGCGGTGTAAATAATAAAAGAATTGTATTAGAAAAGTTATTATGTCGTATGAAATTTTATGCATTTAAAATAAGATTTTATATATCAATCAAGTTATACACAAATCTACTTTTCATAAAAATTTCTATAAATCAAGAAAACTTTCTGATTATTTGAATATAAAATAAATAAAAATAAATTAATACAAATATTTATCTTTACGAATGAATGAATTATCAATCAATCAATTCGAAAACAATAAGTGAATTTAAGAAATAGAAAGAATTTACTGTTATCAATTTTTTTCTTACTTTTGTATAACTTTTCTTATAAATCCGCAAATAATTTTTAAATTTCAAATAACTGAATTTTTTCCTAATTTAAAGGTTACAATCGTAATGCTTACTTAAAAAGACTATTAGTTGTCTTGGGTAAGTATAGAAATAGATTAAATAATCTGCTTATGTATTTGCTTAACTTTTTTCAGTAAAATTAGAGATTCAAATTGGCTTATAATAATAATTGAATAAGAGATTTTTTAATATTTGAATTTAACAAGTTAAATTTTATTATGCGTTTTAGCCTGTTCCTGTTCTTTATCAATAGGTTAATAAATACAGTTGTCTAAAAATGATAATAAATATTCCTTATAATTTATAAGAAAAATTAAAGGAGAAGCAGTATTGAACAAATTTGTTTGTATTGTTTTATTGTTTTAATAATAACAGAAATTCTAATTTTTTCTTGACTTTTTAAGGTGAAATTTACGCATTAAATTATTTCTAAAAAACTAAAATGACTAAAAAAAAAATTAGACCCAGTCAAAATATGAGAAAAATGTATTTAAAAAGTCTAGGCAGTATTGAATGCAATTTAAAATAAAGGGGATATTATACTTTTATACATAAAATGCATTTATTAATTTTTATTTCGGGAGGGGGGAGAACAAACTAACTAAAAGAAAGAAACAAACAAACAAAACACTACAAAATAGAGTTTTTGTAAACTAAGAAAGGGTTATAAAGATTAAATGCTAGAATTTCCAAGTCCTATAGATAATGAATAATTAATCATTATAAATAAATAAATAACATTGAATAAATGAATGCAAAAGATTAATACTGACTGAGATAGATATATAGATTGACTGATTGGTTTTGTTTTTTATAAAGGAATTAAGCATCTTGCATTAGAAAAACAACAGTGTTTTTATAAAATTTAATCTGATTTGGAGCGTAGAGATGATTTTAAATGTATATCACTAACAATAATATATATAATATGTATGTATATTGGAAGACAGTGGGAAGAAAAAAACACACCTAAAATCAAATAAATAAGCAAAAAAAGTAAAAGAAAACTAAAGTGGAGAATGAGAAAAGAAGAAGAAAAATCAAATTAATTATAATAATAATATATTAATTACATCTTGTAAATAAAATTTAATTATAAAAACAAAAGTATTGAGACGATTGCAAAGTTTGCTTTTATTAAGGGCAAGATAGGGAGAGAGAAGAATTAATCATTCTAAAAACGATACTGTAACAAAGATAAAATTTGTCATAAAAAATGATTTCGTCTAATCAGACAGCGGATTAGGAAAATAAGGTGGAGAATAAAGTTGCTAATGCTGAACATGTGAATTAATAAAGCTATGATTCGATTCCTTAATCCCTATCGCCCGCAGTGATTGCATAAATAATGGATAAGGGGTAGTCTTAGCCTCAGTCGCAATCCTTAAAACAAATATAAAATGAATATCCTCAATACGATTGGGACAATAAATGGCTAAAAGGTATTTTATATAGTTAAATTTTTTTTCTAAAAGTGGTTATAAAAGTCTTGTATTTTTATTATTATTATACATACATATTAATATACTTTTGCGCGAACTAATGGTTCTATTTAAAATTTTTTTCTAGCTAAACACGAAAAAAAAAACAAACAACAAACTTTTTTATATTTTTTACAAAGCTTTTTTTAAGACATACAATAAATATATCAAAAATCATTGATTAAGAAAACAAGGAAAATAACATAGCACTTTAATTTCTTCATCATTTTGTTTCAATGAATTTCTTATGATTAACATTTAATTAATTAAGCAAAAAATTTTGGATAGATAGATCATTACCAAAATTTTTACATTGACTATCTTTTGATCATTCCTTTCAAAAAAAAAAGAAATATTAAACATTATTAAATGCTTTTATTAATTTATACATTTTTATCAAATGGTTTAGCCAATATTCAATGAATTAACTATTTTTATTCAAGTGATAGTTCAATTCATTAACTTATTTAACCATGCATTACTTCGTTCATCAATTAATAAATTTTAGATTCATATTTTTTACTTATTTTTGAATCTATCTATTATTATCTATTGAATTATTGATTCCTCTAATCTCTTAAAGGTTATTGATTGCTATATATCAACTTAGAAATTAATTGTATAGTAAATTAGAAATAGTTAGTAATTCTAAATAATTCCCCCCCTCTACTTTTTCTATTTTAGATGAGATCTAATCTTCTTAGCAGCAACTTTAATCTATACAAAAAAGATACCTACATACATACATTTTTAGTAAGATATATAGATTGATTGATTGATAGATAGATAGATAAATTGATAGATGCATATATATTTTTTATTTTCCATTCAAAATTTAAAAATATGTCTTTTGATAACTACTTTACTTATTTCAATTATTGTAAATGTTTTTTCATAATGTTTTTCGATATTCAAATAGGTGATGAATATGCTAATATGTTAGAAAAAATAGAAGAATATTGTAAGCAATATAATCTATAAAAATTTGGTAAAAAAACTCACCCTGAAGATATTTACCGCGCTCCTCAAAGTAAAAAATAAATATATTTATTGAATTTTATATAAAAAACTACATTGTCTGAAAATAACAATTTCAAATTTGAGTCTGTCTTTCTTAATAGTTCTTGCAATTTTTATAGATATATAAGAAGATTTTAAATTTTATTTGAATCTATTTTATATTTAAATTTTTAAATCTTTAAAAAGAGCCTAAGTAGCTTGATACTAAAACTTAAAAATCAGCAACGTCGCAAATAAAAATTATTTTGCTAATCAAAATAATTGCTGCTATCCTCTTAAATTTTTTGATCACCATTTCCAAATTTAAATATTTTTATAATTTTAATCAGAAAGCAGAGTTGAATTGTGACTAATATTTTATTTTCTTAGCCAACCATTCGTTTTTTAAAAAAAGAAAATTAAAAATAATTAACTTAAGAAAATAAAAAGAAAAACAATAAGAGTTATTTTTTCTCTTTTTTTTTCTTCACTTCTTTAAAGTCTATTAGAAAAAAAATACTTTCAAACTATTTAGATTTTCATAACAATCAATATATCTATCTATTTATTTATTTATTTAACTAACTAACTAACAAACTGACTAAATAACTAACTTTAAATTCGTAAATAAATAGATGGACTCATATATTTCGTTGAAGGAAATTGCGTTGGTTCTGAGTTTGGTTTTCCTAGGGTCCCATTTAGAAAATAATATCGCTGGTAAGAATTTAAAATTAGGCATTTTTTATTACATTAAATCTTAGAATTGAAAATATTACTTATGAATACATGAATACAGCCTCATAAGAAAATTATATCCATTTATTCTTCATTTATTTAATAACGACAAATATTTTTAGCAATAAAATAATACTTGAAATAATTAATTCAGTAAAATCAAAATTCTGTTTGATTTTTTTATCATTTTTTAAAACATTTATTTAAATTCTAAAAATAATATTATATTTTAATTTATTAGGAAGAAAATGAACTTTACTACTGATCTTCCAAAGAAAAGACCATAGGTAACCTACATAGTCGCTTCTTCAGTGAAATGTTAGAAATCTCAAGGAAATGATAAATCTAAGTAAGATAGCAATAAAAAGGAGTAGGATGTTTACCGTATGCATGCAGTTATTTTATATAAGAATTCTTAAGCCAAGCAATAAACAGATGATGCTAATAATAACAATAATAATAGCACTGGAGCAAACAACAGTAGTTCTCCTAAAAATTCAGAAAGCAAATAATATATTCTCTGCCATATCCGTAAGATGGATATCAATGATGAAGATAAAATTGGAATCAAGTAAATAGGAGCTTTAAACTCAAATAGCGCATCAGAGTCTTCATAGGATTTGGCTATAAATTCTAATTCTTAGAAAAGCGGTAAATAAGGTAAACAAGCTAGTAAAAAGTTAATTGCTAATGAAAGTAAGAGCTCTTAAATGGAATAAGATGATGATAACGAAAGTGATGAAATTGATGAAATGGAAGATGATGAAGTTAAAGAAAATTAAAGATAAAATAAGAGAAAGAACAGTTCTATTTACGAGAAAGGAAGCAACTAAGACTCATATGGAAATCAGATTTAAACTTTGCATCCTCATGATACTAACAAGCAATCTAAAGCTAAATCTAAGCTTTCAAGCAAGTATCAAAACAAATTAGGTGAAAAATACTAAAACGATATTGCTAAGTGTATTGCTAAGGTTAGCTTAGAATCAAATCCTGACAAACCTACAGAAATATTAAATGCAAATAAGTCTGATTATATCGATCAAAGTATGCAATACCTAATTTCTTGTCTCGCTTAAAAGTCTGCAGAATTTAAAAAAAATAAAACTAATGAAGCAGAAAAAAATACAAATACTGAGTTGAACAACACAAGCAATAATAATATTTTAAACATTTAAAAAAAAGATACTGAAAATTTTAATATCAGTATGTATTCTGATCTGAAATAGTAGCCATCTGAAACCTTAAAAAGAAAGAGAAGCCCTAGAAATATAGAAGACAATTCTCTTACATCATCATCCAATACAAATCAGGCTAAAGAAGAGGAAATGTAAATTTAATTGCAGCAGAGACAATAAAACTTTGCAATAACAGGAACCAATCCTTTTATAAATCAGTATTAAGCTAATAATAACATCTCTTCTCCTATGTTAAACTTTATGCCTCATAATGCAATGCAATAATTATCATAGAGCTATCCATATTAGTCAGGGGGAATGGTTGTGATTCAGCCTACTGCAAATTACTTACAGTATCCCCCTTATTTAATCTTATAATAGATTCTAACTCATAATAATTAGAATTCTGTAAGTATTCAACAGTAGCAATTATAAAATTTTATGCTGCATTAATAGCCCTAGCAAATAATTCAAGACATGACTAGACCACCTGCTGTAAATCTTGATCTATTGAACTTTTATCTTCAAAACAGCTAAAATCCTACTGAATTGAATTATAGAGATATGTACAGCATGCAGATGAATAATTCATTTTCAAATAATATGAATTATCTCCCTAATTAAAACAATTAGAATGCTCCATGAAGTTATCCATAAAACTCTATTCCCAAAAGTATTCTCAATTTTATATGAGATCACTTTTTTTTTCCATACACTCAATTTTCCAAATTACATTAGCAAGTATCCTAAAGAAAGATAGAAAAATAATATCCATCCATCCATCCTTTCATTCATCTATCGAGGTTTAATAAATTTCGCTCAAATAAATAAATAGTTTTTTTGCAAAAAATAATTTTAACTATCATTTATAATAACAAAAAAATAACAATAATAATAATAATAACATTAGCAACCACTCTCAATAAATTCAATAATAAAACAATTGAAAGAACGATCTACTTTTCCTGGAGAGGCTTATTCACATAATGATGACTTAATTCCTGGTTTCAGTACCTTAAATCCTTCAAGTTGCATATAAATAAGAACTGCAATAACTAACTAATTAATTAATAAAACGAACTAATAAACACTATTGTGAATTTAGATAATAAACCTGAAAAATATTCTCAATAAACAGCCTTCTTCATATCTGTGCTTCATAATATTTCTGGAAATACAAAAGGAAAAACATGATAAAATAAATAAATTGATTAACAAGAAAAATTACTAAGTCATATATCATGCTTATCCAAGTAGCAAGGAGAATCTTTCAATTAATCAATTTTTCCATTCATACAATTTAATAATCATTTTCGATAGAGTTTAAATATTTCTAACATAAAAGACTAATTGAATACTCAGTCAATCAGTCAATCAATCATTCTAGAATAATTAATTACCAAATAAATCCTCAAAGATTAATAAAGCCAAAGAAATCTCAAATAAACAATGAGATTTTTTATTTTTTTCCACATTTTTAGCATAAACACATCTCAATTTTCCCCACCAATAGCAACCAGCATATATCTTAAGCAAAAAATACAATAAAAAAATATTAATTCGCTTAGCAAAATCTTGATTTTACTTTACATTTTTGAATTACCTACCTATTACTTCCTAACTACATCATTCAAATTTAATTCAAGGGCTCCTACACAATGAGTTTACTTGAATTGAATTGAACTGATTTTTTTTTTTCCTATAATTTCTATTTTTAACTCTAAAAAATAATAACAACCCAACCTACCCACCCACATTCTTTCTTTCTAATATAAAATCTCTAAAGCTTTTTTCCTTTGATAATTTTTTACTAATTAAAGGAGTCATTTTGTAAAATTTATCTTTTTTCCATCACTAGAAACCATCAAAGATAAATTACTAGATGGGTTATTAACCATATATTAAGATATTGCCAAGCATTAACTATTCCTTTCAGGATATATAATTATAAAAAACCATTAATACAAATATATAACTAGATTCAGCTTCATTTTGCTTCAGCACCATTTTGTAGTAAATTTTGATTTCTATCTTATCAATTATTTTCAAGTAGTCTAACTCAATTAGCTTAATATCAATCATCTAAACAAGACATGTAGGAAATAATTAATTTCTAGATGAGCATGCTTAAGTAGGAATAACTTAATTAGACACTTGAGAGGTTGATCTGCTGATAGCATCAACCAACATTTTTGTTTCTCAATCTATCAATCTTTAGGAAAATATTTTTGAAATACTTGCTATAGCTTTGTAGCTTTAATTGGTCAGTCAAAAAATAAAATAATAATAACAATAAATCAACCAACCAACCAACAAACCAACGACTGATCAAACTTAAAGATTGTACAAAAAGTTTTCCAATTATCAAGAATATAAATAAAATAAATATCTTTTTCCCACAATATAGAAAGTAATATATAAATATTATATAAATAAAATTATATATATATATATAAATAAATATATACCATTATAAATTAACTATATAATGTAAGTATTTTACAACATAATTTTGAAATTACCAACTTATTTATTTTTATTTTCAATTTTATTTATTTCTTTGTTTATTCTTTCTTTTCTTTATTTATTCTTTTTTTAATAAAAATAAAATCATTGGTTTCACAAAAATCAAATTTAGCTAAAACTTTTATGTTCGTTAATAAAAATTGCATAAATTAGCTTTATCTTAAATAAAATAACCATAAATGAATACCAATTTTTATTTGTCTCTACCTAATTATAATGTAATATGTTTATTGTGGATATTATTTAAAAGTCTAGCATTAATTTGATTATATCATATAAATATTTATAAATTAAATTATTATTTAATTAAAGATCATTTTGTAAAATAAAATATTAATTAATCCTTCTGCATTTTATACAATTTATCATACTATTTTTATAAAAAATAGTATTTTTCCTCTTCAGATTAAAAGAAAATAAAAAACAAAATTTATTAATTGCTAATAGAAAATGGAATAATTTAAAAATTCAAAATCATTTTGTAATATAAAAATATGAATCCTTTTTTTTTTTAAATTTACTTACTAATGCTATAAAAAATAAATTTTTTTTCTTTCAAATTAAATAAAATTTATTATAATCAAAATGGAAAGCTTTATTTTTATTTGTTAAATGAAATACTTTAGACATATTTTGGATTTATCATTTTAATCTGAATAATTATTTACAAGTTTTTGTTTATTTGTTTGTTTGTTGAATCAGTATAAAGAAAAATTTTTAATTCTAAACAAAAGTATCAATCCTAAAACAAATTTTAATTTTAGTCTTAAACTTTTTATTTTTTTGTAAAAGAAATGTAGGAATTAAGAAATATCTTTGAATTTTGCTTTTCAAATTTAATTAAAGTTATTTATTTCATTTGAAAGTTTTCAAAATATTTTAGTCAAGCTCTTGCTAAATATAAAATTAAAAACTCTTTTTTAGATTTATACTCAGCTCATTACTTTTTTCTCCAAATAATATATATCAGTTTAATAAAATACCTTGATTACAGTTATCAATTAATTGAAAAAAAAAAATTTTGGACTTAACTTTGTAATTTATTTCACCAAAAAAAAAAATTGTGAGTATAAATTTAAACTAGTGAACAATTTTAGATTATGTATTTATCTATAACACTCAATATCAATAAATTAAATTTTTAGATCAAAAATAAAGAGATAAAATAATGATATTTCAATGGAATCAAACAAATAGTACTAAATTAAGTATCTTCTTGTTGAATCTTGTTTGAACTATTAAATTTATACAAGTTCAACTAGCTTATTTAGAAATCATAGTAGAATAATTTTACAAAAAAAATATTATTAATGATTGTTTACTTAAAATATTTATGATTATAAGATTCTCATTTTATTCAAAAATACCTACTTTACTTGGTTTACTGAAATAAACCCCTAGAATTTAATTTTTAGAAATAAATTTTTCCTCCAATTTCAAAAGTAATTTAATGTTGTATGTTAGACTAATATATCAAATGTAAGCTACCCAAATTTAATTTATCTATTTTATAGTTTATTATTATTTTTATTCACATTCTTATTTTAATTATAGCCTCTACTATCTACTTGTATTTGTATCTTAGAAATTATAAATTTACTAATTTATAATATAAGCAACCTTATATATTAATTTAAGTCTATTAAAAATTAATAAGACAAATTTCTTAGAATTAATTTCAATTGAATTAAACAAAAAAATTAGCCCATTTTTATAATTTCTATATAAAAAAATAAATTTATAGCTCTTTAATTTGTCAAATTTTACTCTATTTAAAGACATTTATTTCTATTCTATTACTATTATTTATTTATTATTGTTAAATATATTTTTACAAATATTTAAGAGTAAATGAAATTATTTCATTATTAAATCAGACATACAATTTATTAAAAACCATCATCGTTTGGTACTAAATTTTCCATGAAAACTTTGCTCTTAATTCAACAAATTTTATTTTAAGTTTTGATAAACATTTTAAATAAATTTTTAAAAGGCTTTTAGATTAAAAATAGAAACAAATAAAAAATTAAAACTAGCAATGGTTTTAAATAAATATTTGCCAGACCAGATATTAGATTTATTAAATTATAATAAAAAATATTATTTAGAAATAATTATGATCAGGTTGTAAAAATTAATTAAATCGAGATGGCCTTTTATTTAATAAAGATGATGCAAAAATTTCGTATTGTTCTATTTTTAGAAATTAATTAATTTTAAAAATTTAGTTATCAATTTTATAGTGGATAAATAAAAATTTTGAATAAATTTTGCTCTTCAAAAAATAACCTGTGAAATTAAAATAAGAAGATTATTAAATTGTTAAAAAGATTTTTTGTTTTATAGTAAATATTTTAGCTAGAATGAATAAATGAGATGAGAATTGCATGTACTTTAAACATATTTAAAAGCGATATCAAACATATCTTGGAATAGTTTTATTTTTTTAAATTAGTATTTCAAATTTTTTGAAACAGGTATTTACAAAATCAAAATATAAAAATTTTATAACAACATTAATAAATTTAAAGATTCATCGTTAGAAGAAAAGGGAATTAAAATCAAATTTAGTATTTTGCAGGTAATAGAAATATTTTTTCGATGCCCACTTTAAAATCTACTTCATAAAATTTTTAAAAGTTTTATCTTTTCCTTCAGTAATGAATTTTTTGAAAAGAATCTCTTTATTTTAAAAAATTCTAAATAAATTTGAATAAAAAATTGCGTGTTGGATTCTTTTTTGTTAAATTTTGACTTTTCTTATAAAATTTTGAAGGAATGATGGTGATGACAAAACACAAAACATTTTTATAATTTTTTGAGATTAATAAATTTTAATGGATTTTTGAATAAATTTCAATTAAATCAAATATAAACAAATTATTATTTTTATTTTGACAGTAAAGTGATTTTGTTGCCTATCTGTTTGTTATTTTTTGCTTTGTTGTTTGGTCTGCTCGCTCAATAACTCACTCGCTAACTCGTTTGAGTGTTAACTTAGATTGCGTATTAAAAATTAGTGAAGAAATAAATGAAAATAAAAAGCAAAATTAATTAAAAGAAGTCAAATTGAAAGAAAATTTTATTGTTTTCTTTCTTTTTATGAATTTATTTATTAATTTTTTTACTTTGTTTTATTATTAGCTTGGCTTTTTTGATTATTTTTGATTTTCTCATCAATTATTGATAACATTGTTTTTTTTCTTTCTTTTTTTTGACTTTTAAAATTATCTTTATTAGATAATTAAAAGAAAAAGGCACAATTTAATTGATTTTATGCATTCACATTCATTTGCTTTGAATGAATGTGTGATATGATAGAAATAGTAGAAGGGAAGCGTATTTGATTGCCTTTTAATTTAATTTGGTTTTAAACTATAATATTAATTAAAATTGAAAGAAATAAAGAAGAAGAAAAAAAAACTTCAAAAAAGCAAGTCAAATTAAGGCCTTCCTTCTTGGGACTTCAATTAGTATTTGTGAAAAATAATTTAGATTATATTTTTGGAGATTAAACTGAAGAAGATATAGATATAGCACTTACATCTGAATAAGTGTATTCAAATATAGATTAGAAAATTTTAAGTCTTATATAAATTAAATACTTATGAATTCTAGCAATTCTTAAACTTAACAAGAGGTATTTAATACTCATTTATCCAAATCTCTTTTTATTTAAGCATATCCTCTCCCCAAGCCTTCTCATGCTATTAACTTTCTTAATATCTCTTTACTAATTTATGAATAATATTTCCCCTTAATTAATTTCTTAATTTGCGATATCCTCTTTACTTATTAATTTATTTATTTACTTATTATTTCCCTTTACTATCAAAAAAACATACTTAGTTAATACAAGCAAACGAACTTCTCTTTCTGCAAATTAAATTAAATTACCTTTATCATGTATGCAGTGCGCAAAACTGATTTTCAGCAAGCAAGCAAGCAAATTAATTTATCAGAATACTATCTATTGCTCTTTTGTTGTTGAGTCTAAACTACTCTTTTAACAATTTTTGCGATATTTTTTAAAGCAAAATCATTCTTTTCTCTATCACAAATTCTTTTTTATTTATTGAGTTGCGCGTTTTACATGTTTTTTTCCATTTTTGTAGAAAGAAAACAGGAAACATTTGCTGTCGCTTACATCAAAATTATTGTGATTTTGATATTATTAATTTTATTCATTAAAAAAATAGATTAGCTAAGATCAGAATGATGATCCTGAAGAATAGAAGGATCAAATCGTTGAAGAAAGTCCTAAAGGAAGATTTATTCGAGTAGGAGTTAGTTTAATACTATTATTGGAAAATATTTATTTTTAAAGCAATAGTCAGTTGCCATTATTCATTCATAAGCACAAAATTTCATTAAAACACTAACTAAATATTTCTTTAAATTATCAAAATCAAGTTTAATGAAGAGCTTGGATTTGGTGCATACAAAACAGTATATAAAGGATACGACAATGATTCAGGCTGCGAAATCGCTTGGAACGTAATTAAGCTGCAAAGACTGCCATAATGTAAATAAATTAATATATAATTAGCTGTATCTTAATTGTATTACTAAACAAATTATAAAGATGTAATTTCAATTTTATCAAGCAAAAGTTATAGTTAATAGCACATAATTAAATAGTAAAATGTATTAAGTGATACTTGAAATGCATATAACATAAATAATTAAAATATTTAAAAATATTTTGTTCAAAATAATTTATTCGCTTTGTTGTTGGCTTAAGGAAATTAAAAGAAAGTAAAAAAATATTAATATATCAATCTCAAAGACACTCAAATTACTAAAAATAGATTTTTAAAATTTAACAAAGAGGCTCTCTTTTATTACTTGAGGAATTTAATGAATAAATATATTTAATTTCTATAAAAAAGCAAACATTTTATTTTTCAAATTTCCTTATTAGTTATTAAAAGGTTTTAAATTTTAATCAATTTTATTAAAGAGGAAAGAAAACGCATTTCAGAGGAAATTTCGCTCTTAAAGAATCTTCGACATAAAAACATTATAAACTTTATTAATGCTTGGATGAATAAAGCTAAAAATGAAATAATTTTTATCACAGAGTGCCTTAGTGGTGGATCTCTAAAAAAGTAAAAAAATATCTCTTTATTTATCTTTAGAATAATTTCAATGCTCATATTGTATTTATTTACATTAGTAAACAAGCAAGCATTATTTTAGAAATATTTATCTCAAGGCAATAAATACACTTCTTATTATTGCTAATTAATTTTATTTTTAATTTTAAACTTGTAAGATTTCAAATTAAAAACCCAAAAATATTTCGATGGAAAAATATTTCAATGATGAAAACAATTCAAAATAAATTTATTAATAGATTCTTAAACAATTTTTTAATGATCAAAAGAATAATAAAGGTATAATTAATATTTTGATGAGTTTAAATACATTTGAAGTAGTAATATTATAAAAAAAAAACAAAAAGATTTTTCATAGTAAGAATAAACAAATTAAAATTCTAAATTAGATCAAGTTTCTTTTATAGGCAAAATAATATGAATCATTTTTTTGAAATATAAAAGGTATTTGAATAGAATCAAAAAGCCAAGATTAAAAATTATAAAGCAGTGGTGCAAGCAAATTTTGTCAGGTTTACAGTACTTGCATGAATAAGAACCACACCCTATCATTCACAGAGATATCAAATGTGAAAATATATTTGTTAATACTGTCAATAATGAAATAAGAATAGGAGATTTAGGATTAGCTCTTACTTTGAAATCTGATTTTACAACTAGTGTTTTAGGTACACCCGAATTTATGGCTCCTGAAATTTATGAAGAAAAATATGGCACTGCTGTTGATATTTATGCTTTTGGTATGTGTCTTTTGGAAATGGCAACTTTACAAATACCTTATAGAGAGTGCACCTCAGCAGCTCAAGTCTATAAGAAGGTAAAAAAATATTTAAAGTGCAATGTATTTATTTTTATGTATTTAATTAATTCGTATAGGTCTCACAAGGATTGCTTCCAAATAGTCTGCAACTCATTTAGAATGATTCATTAAAATAATTTATATTAAAATGCATATAAAGATCTGAAAATAGACCAAGCGCTGCTTAGTTACTTTAAGATGATTTTTTTAAAGAATCAGAAATAGATAATTAACCTATTTAACTAGCTTCAGATCGAATACCTCAGTCACTTGGGAATTCAAATGATTCTCCACAGACAAATCATTAGCAATAAAGCTTTTAGCAAAACCAAGATTAGCATAGTTAAGTTTAAAGTAGTAATTTTAAAAAAACAAGTGATTTTGAATCACCTATTCATTAAGTATCATAAAAATAAGATAACAATTCATCTTCCTCAGCTTCTAAATCTTCTCACTCAAAATAACATAGAGGCTCAAATCAAGCATCACCTGCACAATCATAGAATTCCTCTTAATCATCAGAAAAACCAGCACAGTAAAATCTTACTTAAAATTAGAGCTCCATCCCAAAACATGAGTCTTAAAACTCATTATCTTCAATTGGCTAAAATCAAACTAACTCAGTTTAGTCTTCATTTCATGATTAAGATGCAAACTCTAAAAAATTATTAACTACTACCGATGGACTTACTTCTAAAAATGGTTAAAATGATTCAAATATGGAACAAAGTATTACTTAAATTCCTAGTGAAGAACGCCAGGTAAAGGTTAATAAATAACAATCCTCTGAATCATATTATGATTAAGCAATTCCAAATGGGCTTTAGAATACAAAATAATACTCTAAAGATAGTTAAACGTCACAAATTACTCAAATAGAAATAAAAAATAAATCACAGGAAGTAGAGGATAAAATTAATACACCAAGCTAGGTATAAGATTTAGATAGTTTAAATATAAAAGCAACACCTTAAATTACAGAAAAAAGCAATTCAGATTAAGTGTAAAATGAACAAACTACAGCGTTGGAAGAAAATAAAGAATAACTATTATAAGCTAATTAAAATGAACACCTAAATTAAGAATCTTAGCAATAAGTTAATTAAGAATAAAATATTTAAAAAGATGATAAATAAAATTCACATGAGGAACATAACGATGATGAAAATGATAATTTGAAACAAAAATATTACATGAATAAAAATATAATCTTTACAAATAATAATGGTATGATTACTTAAATTCTTCCTGCTCCAGAGAAAAGGCTAGATGAAGAATTCAAAATGAGGAAAATAACTGAAGATTCTAAAGAAATCTAAGAAGAAGATCGCCTATATGATAATAATATTTAAAGTAGAGTGTAAAATAATGATTCAATTTCTTTCTATAATTAGGGAGGGAAAAATTCTGAAAATATCTCCTTCAGCTAAATAAATGCTTCAAATGCTAAAGAAGTAGTTGAAGATTTTAGTTTTGATAAATAAACTAAAACTCAAATTATTGATAAGAAATTAGAGCAATAAGAAGAATAAAAATAGACCTAAAATAGTTAAGTTTTAATCATAGATTCTGCATAGAATAGAAGAGATATTTAAAGTGCTGATTTTTCATAATCCCCAAATTATCATACTAAAAAATCAGAAGGAAATAACACGCCTATAACTCCAATTGTGAATAACATCCTCTATGCTTTTAAAAATCCTCAAAGCGATGAAAAGCATAAATTGATTAGATAAAAGAGTAAAAGCGGAGAAGATTTTTATGTCTAAAAATTATAGAATATTTAAAACGAAGATATTTAAGTTAGCTATTCTGAAAATTTATCTATGAACGGTTTATAAAACAATCAGTAAGAATACAGTAAGCCAAGCAAGGGTTAATCACCTAAAAAAATATAAGATTAATTAACTAATGATTAACAATATGAAAGAATTTTAAGAAGAGAAAATGACATGAATAACTCTTAAAAAAATGAAAACCTAAATAGCTAAAACAATCTTCAAAATATTGGAGGGGTTGAGCACTCTGAGTTTATCTCTAATCAAGAAAGTGGAGCATCATTGGATAAATATAGCAATAAGAGTTTAGAGAATACAAACAATGATTCAAACAAAAGAGCTAGTCCTTCAAATGGAGTTGTATACTATGATGATTTAGCTAACTAATTTACTATGCAAAATGATCATTCTGATATTTACTCCAATCATGAATATCAGCAAGATTACTCTAAGTAACCAAGTATGGTAGAAATTCAATAATATTAAGATTAGGAGTCTAATGATGTACCACCATACTCTCTTACAGTACTTGAGGAAAAAGAGCTAAAAAATTAGAAATTCTTAATTAAATTTAAATTTTAACACTTTAATAGAATGTAAACATTCGAAATCGATAATACTCATGAAGACTTCAGCGAATAAAGTATATTTGCATTTGCTCAAATAAAGGCAGCTGAATTAGAGATAGTTGATCTTGAAGAATAATTTGCTTATGATTTGTACAATTTAGGTATTTTATTTCAACTTTATTAGTTTGTTTTTTATTAATTATATAAAAAATAGTTTATGAACGCTATAATTAATTCCACAGCTAAGTTTCTTAAGGGCAAAGAAAGATTGTTTAAGAGGATTCTTCTAGTCCAAATTACACTTAACCTTATTGTATTGAAATATTTATCCGCCACTATTAAAACTACATGGTAAATAAATAAATAACTAATTTTTTTTAGAAATAAATTTTAACATCTAATTAATAGAAAGAAATTGAAGAATATTTAAAAGTTGAGTCTAGCCACAACCTCAAAGTAAGACAATCTAAAGAATAAATATAACTCCATAGATTCCACCTTAATCAGTAAGAGAACTAAATAGATTATGAATCTTAAGCATAAAGTTAAATTGTTTAAAAATCTCCTTAAACAATATAAAAAGTGGTTGCAGTGAACTAATAATAATTGCTTCCTCAATAAAATATAAATTATGCTAATAATAGCAATAACTAAGATTTCTTTGAATCTCCAGAAATAAATAACATTCAAAAAAAGGCAAACAACCTTAACTAATAAGCAATTGAGTAATTTTAACAACCATTATACCAAAATAATTAAAATATTAATAGTGGAATTGGAAATATACCAAATAATGCTTTAATTACAAATAACAATAATAATATGAATTAGAATTACAACTAAAATAGCACTTCTTACTCTAATATTGGTATTACAAACAACAATTCTAACATCCCTAACAATGCTATTCCAGGAAGCTTATTAAACTTTAACAGCAACTAAAATACTTAAGGAAATATTGCTTCTCACCATTTGTCACCAAACTCTAGTGCTAATACTTTCGAAGAAAATCAAGAAGCATAATTACAAATAAATTTTCCCCCTTAGATATAAAGATCAGGGTCAATTTAAATTAATGCTCAATCCACCTAGTAAAATAATATGAAAAACTAAATATATATTCCTTAAAACAACTAATATTAGATATAGCTACCTCAAATTGTTAATAAAAATTAATATGCTCAAACTACAACTCACTAGCAATAATAGCAATAGATTAAATAAAAATACTTAAAAGAAGAAATGCTAAATGCTTAAAGCTTTAATCCTCGTGAAGGTAGGTAAGATAACAAAGGAATAAGTCACTCTCAAAGCTTTTCAAATATATCTACCTAGGCTATTTAAAAAGTTAAGCAAAGCTAGTCAAAGCACAGATTACATCACGCTGAAAATTCCAATGCTTAGGGAATGTATTCTTCGAATCAGCAATCTTAACCTATCAATAAATCACAAACTTAGCAGTTATCATATTTTAATTAATAAAATCTTTCTTAATAAATATAATTTCAAAATCCAATGTAGCATTAATAGTAGTAATAAAATTCTAATTTCTTCCAATAAGGGTAATAATAATAAATATCATAAGTCAATAATTCAAATTATATTTTCCCATAAAATAATGCTAGTCAAAATATGCAATAAACTCCTTAAAGTTTTCCAGGAAGATAACTTAATTAAAGATAATAAAAATACTCTTATGCTTCTGAAGATACTTAGTAAAATTAATAAAGTAATTTAATCAAGTAGGGAAGCCACTTTAAGAATTAATCTAATCACCAAGTAAAATTATCTTCTTCATAAGAATAATATACTAGTAAAACACCAAACATTTAAGATGATTCTAATAATCCATATTAGCTTCCTTAACAATAGTAAAGGTAACAACAGTAAAATTAATAACCTCAATATTAATAACACGCTTCTCATTCTACTTAATTAGAAAACGATAACTCTATTCGAAAAAATTCTTAAAATAATGGTTAAAGTAATTACAATGCAATAAATCCACCATTTTTTATCTAGCCTCTAGATAACAAAAACGGAAACTAATTTACTTAAGGCATCAGTTAATAAAATCTTAAGTAATAGTAGACATAGAATTAATTTATAAAGAGTTTATCACCTCCAGGAATTTAGAGTAGAAAAGAAACAGATTAAGGTAAACAAAAAAATTTAATGATTTCTCGTCCTCCATCTTCAGGATAATAAACAAGGGTTTAATTAACTCTTAATGAATAAGATGTGTAATAATAAATCTAAAATCAATATACTTAGTAAAACACTATGATTTCACCAACTTACAGCCAATATAATTAAAGTAATAGCAAAAGAACTTCAGATAATTTTTATGCTCCATAAGAAACTGTTTAGTCTTCTTAACAGTAATAATCTTTATCAAATGTTATACCTAGTGTTGCTACTAATTAAACTAATCAACAATAATAAAATTAAAAACTTTCTTAAACTCCTTAACAGAATCTGCAATCAAAGCAAGAAGAATTAAGTGCTGAACAGCTGAACCAATAATTTTATCAGAGGTAGAATAAAAAAGAATAATCATATTTTAAAGCACAGAACAATTAGAATAAGTAAGGGTCATCTCATAGTTTATTATCCCCAAACTCATAATAAGTAATTAAATTCTAATTATAAGAATAATCTAATAATGCTCCTACACCTATGGTTAATAAATAATAGCTTTAAAACCAATAGTTATAACAGTAATAAACATAATAGTAATCATAACAACAACAATAATAATAGTAAAATTATTAGAGTGTTATAGCATAAAATAATTAATAAAGTTAGGTTAATTCTATTTAACCTTAAGTCATATATTCAAATCAATAGCAACAAAATTCTAATAATCTTAATGCTCAATAACAACAACAATAGTAACTATAATAGTAACAGTTATAACAGTAGTAGCAGTAACAATTATTACAACAACAACAATAATAATAATTGTAGTAGTCGTAGCAATAATAGCAAATATAACAGTAATAGTAGTAATTAAACTAAAATAATATTTTATCTTAGAATATACCTTAAACTCAAAATGTTTAACAAATAATTGAAGTTTAAACTCAATTTATTTAAAGTTAAAGCCCTCCTCCTTAAATTGGTTAGCAAAAAATTCAGTAATAGTAATTTACGTAAAATGAAAGAGTTGTTTAGTAGTAATAGGCTACTGCATAAGTTTAATAAAAATTAATCTAAAATAATTAATAATTGATTTAGAATAGCTAAGCATAATAATTAACTTAATAAGCTAGCAATTAATAGCAACAATAGCAATAAAATTAATAAACATTATCAATAAATTAATAGAATTTACAATAACAATAGCAAATTTAATAACAATAACTTAATAATAATAATAATAATATAAATATGTAACAATAACCTTAATAGTAATAATAAACAATGCTTGGCTAAAACACCTAAGTTACAAATGTTAATTAGCAGCAGTAATATCAATTGTAAAATCAAGTTTAGTAATAAATGACAAACTAAACTAATGTTTAAACTAATAATGCCAATATTTAAAGAAGCTCACCAATTAAAATTGAGGATGAGATAAAAAAAATAATTCTTGAAATTAAAGTAAATTTATTTATTTATTAATAAATAATCTATTTAATATTTTTTTAAAAGTTAAAATTATAAAGACCTCAAGCAGTAAAGATAGATAGAGTTAATCATGATAAAGTGAAGGATGAAAATGAAGTTAGACTTTTGTAAAGAAGTCTAAAGCTCTGTTCACCCTAAGAATAAATTTTAGAAAATGGACATTTTGGTAATTACACAGAATAAATGATTAAGATTTTCTAAAAATAACATAATCTAGCATGTAATGGCGCAATCGAAAATGATCTTTGGAAATCTATTTCCAGTAAAATTTCATTATTAAAATTATTTATTTATTTATTTTGAATTTTTAATTTAAATAGATGAGCTAGAGAATCAGCTGGCACAAATTGAAAATAAAGCAAATCTGCAACAATAAAAGGATCAAAATAAAAAGAAATTAATTAAAGAGATTCAAAGTTAGCAATCTAAAGAAACTATGAATAACTTTGAAAGTAAAATGTTCAGCGATTTTAGTCTAACAAATAATGATTTGAATTGATAAAATTCGCTAGCTAGCTATCTTGTTGATTTACAGACTAAATGAATGAATTTCTGCTTAGATAGCTAAAAACCTATAAATTATTAAATAATTCAATAATAATATTTATTATATTTTTTCTAACAAAATAACACTTACTTATATTTCAATTAGACATCAACAAAACAAAACAAACAAACATTACTGATTTAAAATGATTTTTTCACGCACGCGCATTTATTCACTCTTCAAGGAATTAGCTATTTCTATAATTAGTATGCTATTTTTAGAGATTTCTATGTAATGAGTGATAGTTAGTTCTTTAAGCGTGAGATTTACCAACTGAAGAATTGTGAAATAAATCATTTTATTGAAAGATTCATTTTAAACTTAAAGAGATTGATTATTTCAAATTTAAATAAACTTTTAATATAACCTTATAAATATTTATGTGAGAAAAACTCTTATTTGTTTTATCTATGTTAGTTATGAATTATTTCATTATTCATTTATTAAATTCAATTTTTTATAGCCAACATAAAATAAATTATTTAATTATCAAATTAACCAAAAAGATTTTTTTAAAAATAGAACTTATTTAATAAAATCAATTAATTGAATATTAAAAATGTTTATAATGACTTCAAATGTGAAGGATAATTAATCACTGATAATGAAAATGTTTTACTAAAATAATTTTTTTAATGATAAATATTTCTTTATAAATATTATTTAAGTGAGTTATTATTATAAATTTGAAATTACCTATTGTAAAATGTGTTGTATTTTAAATAAATTTACAATTACTTAAAATATCAAAATAGAATAAATAATACACTGCTTGATAATTCATTTATAGATATTAAAAAAACGAACTTATTTACTTTAATTACTTAAATATTTTAGGTGATAAATTTGATTCGTATAAATGACTGACTATCAGAAAGTAAAAAAAGATTAAAATGTTAAGCTTAGTAGTTTAATTATAAGTGCATTTACTTAAGATATGTAAATTTTAGTTATATTTTTTGTATATGACATTTTAAATTTGATAGGAATGATCTTTAGTAAAAAGAAATATAAAGAAAAATAAACTCTTTGACTGATGGTTTTAAAAAAATTGCTATAAGGCAAGCTCTTAAAAGGAATAAATATTTATCTAACTAATCTGATGAGGAATAAAGCAAATTAAGATAAGGAGAAAGCTATAAGTTTATTGTAAAATAGAAATAGTTTTATGGATATAATTAATAAATTTGAAATATAAAAGGATGCTCACAGAATCATTTTAGAGGAGCTGCTTGAAAGATATTAAACTGATATATACAAAGGATTAACGGATAAAGACGCAAAACTAAGATCTCTCAAACAGAAAAATAAAATAAAAATAATTACCTAAAATAGCATGTTGAAAAGATTTTTAAAAGAATTACTTACTTTATTTCATTTACTTATACTGCTCGCTTCTATATTATGCTTTATATTATATTCATAACAGAAGCAATTCTAAATGGTAAAATTAATTTTAATTATTTAAAATATCTCAGAAATACAATACTGTAAAAGTTAGTAACTGCAATCCTCTTGTTGTGTTTTGTGATTATTTCTTCCATTATTGGTTCTTATAGATAAAGAAAAGGACAAAATATTTTAGAAAATATTGAGAAAAGTATACCTAAGAATTGCATTGTAACAAGAGATGGTGAAGATAGATAAATCCTTTCTATAAATGTATGTCTACTTTTAATACAAAAATTAACAATAAATTTAAAACTTTTCTTAAAAGTTGGTGCCAGGAGATATAATTAAATTAAGTGAAGGCATGACAAGTCCAGCAGATGTGAGAATTATTGCTTCTACAGATCTGTATGTGAACAAAGAGATATATACAGGATCTTCAATTGAGGAGTATATGCATCCTGAGTGTTCAAATAAAGAAAATCCCTTAAACACAAATAATATTATATTTTTAGGATCTAAAATAGTAAGAGGAAAAGCTAAGTGTTTAGTTATTTCAACAGGAGTAGACACTTTGATTTAAGATTTGGGATATAAATGTAAATAATTACATAATATTAGATTTTAAAAATTCAAACTAATAATAAAAAGGTAGTCAAGAAGATTACTTCCCAGACAGCTAGCTAAAAAAAGACTTTGATCAATTCTTAAATATTGTTAGTATTGTACTTATTTCAATAACAATATTTACATTGCTAATTAATTTGGGAAAATCAGAAATATTTGGAATGTAGTACCACCTTTAATACATGATAGGAATGATTGTTTCTGGTTTGCCACTAGGAATGATTATATTGAAAACTTCTTATCTACTTATTGTTTAAAAGTAATTAAATGAAGAAAATATTGATGTAAATTATATTGAGGCTATAGCTATTCTTGGATAAACAACATGTATCTGCACAGATATGACAGGCACTCTTACTTTAAATAAGCCAATAGTGTCTAACATTTGGTATGATGACAAAGCAGTAAAATAAATTGTAATTAGCATAAAATTTAAATTAATTTTATGTAAAATTTTAAAGCGTCTTGCAAAAAATAAATAACTTGCTTTGCCCACTGAAAAACTCCAGTATAATATATAAACAGATAAAACATTAATTGAATTAATGTATTGTGCAACTTTATGTAACGATTCTAATTTTGATGATAGACTGCCTTAACAAATTGTAATTTATTTCTTAGCTAGAAATATTTTAAACCACAATAAATATTGATATTAGATTAAAGAAGTTGTAAATAACAAAAAAATGTCTTTTGAGTAAAAAAAAGAAAAACTTCAAAAAGAATAAGAATAGTACACTAAAGATCTTAAAAAAAAATAGTGGATTGACTGGCCTTGCTCAGGGATTCATCACAATGAAAATGCTTTAATTAAATTTTTCTAACCACTAAAAGATATCAGAATTATTAGAGATGAGCAGCCAATAGTTAGAGACTTTATAAAAAACAAAGCTAAAATACCTTTTTCGATATCATCAAAGTTCTCAAGTGTAATTTGTAGAAATAACAAAGAAAATTCTCATTACACTCTATATACAAAAGTAATAATTTTTATTTTGTTAAAAATTAGATATAGTAAAATCTCATTTTTTCTTGATTTTTATTAATAATTCATGGAGTTAAAAGTATTTAATAGCTAAAAATAATTCAATTTTAAATTAAATTTTTATTGATTAATGAGAGTTTATGGTAATTTTTGGTAATTAATTATACTATTTAAAGGGTGCACCAAGTGTAGTATGGAACATGTGTGATAAAGTAATGTATAAAGGGGAAGTATAATCAAAAAATAGTAGTTGGGAAATCAAATTTGAGAAAATCCTTCAATTATATGGAGAAAAAGGAGAAAGAGTGTTGGCTTTTGCAAAATTAGATTTACCTTAAGAAGTAATTTATATTAAATTTTAAATTCACATAATTTAAATTTATTTTTAAAAATAGGAATTTGATTACAACTTCTAATTTAATATGACAAATCCAAATTTTCCCTTAAATAATCAAGTTTTTATTGGATTAATTTCTTAACTTGATCCTCCTGAGTAAGTTAAAAATAAATTTAATTATTTTTAAAAATATTTGTTTGTATTAGTTATGGAAGTGCAAACATGGTTAGAATATGCAAACAAGCAGGAATAAAAGTTATTATGTTAACAGGTAATTTAAACTGAGAGATTTTTATAAAAGTTAAAATTTTTTACTATTAGGCGAAGAGAGTCTCACTGCTACTTAAATTGCAAAAAGCTGCAACGTAATTACGATGTAGACTTAAATAGAATTGAACAAAGAGCTAAATGTGGGTGAAAAAGTAGCTTTCTAAGAGGCTTAGGCTTTAGTAATAGATGGAGAAGAAGTAGCTAAAATTCTCACTCGAGAAGAAGGTTTACCTAAAAAGTAAAAGGGATTAATATTGAAAGAATATTTAAGAAAACCAGAAGTTATATTTTCTAAGGTGCAACCAGCCCACAAGGAATAAATAGTCAAGACACTTTAAAAAACAGGATATTTAGTATTATATTTTGTCAGTAAATAGCTAATATTTAATTTTATTGATAAATCAAGGTAACAGCAACTGGTTTGACTATCAGAGACACACCAGCTTTGAGATAGGCAGAAGTAGGAGTTAGTTTTGCAATTTAAGGGGATTAAGTAGCAAAAGATACATCTGATATAAAACTTCAGAATGATTAATTTATAACATTAGTAAAAGGTATTGAAAAAGGTAGGTTGGCATTTGATAATCTAAAAAAATCTGTAACATTTTGTCTATCTTCTACAGTTTCGCAAATAGCAGCCTTTATATTTTTCTATTTATCTGAAATGCCTTTCGGTCTAACACCTATTTAAGTTTTTATTTTAGATATTGGCTTGATTCACTTACCAGCATTATTATATGTTTATTTATAACCTGAAATACCTGTTATGGAAAGAAAACCAGAGTTATCAAACTAAGTCAATAAGTAAATTTATTTTATTTTTACAAAAATAAAAAATAAATTTAATATGATATTTATTATAAGGAAAATGATTTTTTCAAGTTACTTATACTTTGGTTGGTTTTCTTTATTTGCAGGTTTTTTAGCATACTTCTCCGTTTTAAGTGATTTTGGTCTTTCATATAGCGATGTTAAAGGATTATCTGCTTTAAAAGTTTACGTTCCTTTTGTAGGAGATGAATATGATCCTCAAAGTCCATGGTTAGGCAACTCTTTGTTAAGACATATTTACCCTTGTGACTCTTCAAAGAATTATGAAACAAACTAAACTTTTTTGGACTGGCAATATGATTCTCATATTTTCTTTGACCTCCGTTTGGCTTTTGCTGAATGCTAAAAAGATGTATTTTAAAGCATATTTTTATTTAAATTTTAATTTGAATTAAATTTTTTTATTAAGGGTTCGTGGAAGTCAACATTTATAAAAGAAGAATCATAACAGAATAGTTACAACTTATGTCAAAATCTTGGACTTAACATATTTAATAGTAGACCAAATTGCTATACAACAGAGACATTTAAATATGCACAGACTGCTTATCTTTACGCTTCTTCATTAGTAATGATCATACAATACTATATAAGTAAGTCTAAGATTCAAAGTGTTTTGTATGATAGAATAGAGAACTTAGCAATACCTTCTGGAATATTTTTATAGATACTAACTTTACTCATATTTACTTTGATTGAATCTATTAATGATACATTCTCAACAAGAAAATTGGATCTAAAGTAAATTGATTAAATAGGATTATAATTAAAAAAATTAAAAATAATTTAATTAGATATTATGGTTGGTTTGGTGTTCCATTTGCAATATTACTCGTAATATTAGAAGAGCTAAAAAAGAAATTAATAAGAGATTAGCTATCGAATTCTAAATAACAGAAATAAAAAAATGTTGATTAAGAAGCAGATCCTGAGAAGAAATCTTTAAAAGAGGAAGAAAAGAAGGATAAAAAAGAAAATGAAGGATTTGAAGATGAAAAAGATAATTTAATTTATAAAAACATGCACTTTAATTAAGAAATGTAGAACAAATTTAAATTCTTTATTAAAAAGAACGAAAATACATGGATTAAAAGAAACATTTTAATATGATTTATGTGTGTAAGTAAATGAGTATACTAAAAGGCAATAATTAAACTCAATTTTGGTTTTTTTATTGTATTTAGAATATATATTTATACTGTTCATCGTTCTTAATTAAAGGATTTAGCAAATTTTTCTTTCTATCATATGTAGTTAAATCAAAAATAATGCTTAATCCAACAAATCCTGATAGTAGGAGCAATAGCTTGTTTAGCAAAATCTATTTGTAAGGAACAAAATTTCTTAAAACTATAGAATTTTAGTATTTCAATTCATTTAAAATATCCATTCCCTATACATTGATAACCTTTCCTATAAGAGCAACTTTCTTTTTTTAACTTTTTGAATTAAAAATATTATAAAAAATAGGATTTACTATTGTAAATTTTGATTTAAATTAACTAAATATTACTTTTCAAGGTCTTGCACACTTTATTCATCTGTTAAAAATTTAACAGTTCCATCCTCAATCAAAACTAAGCATGCGCCTAAATTTTTTAAATAATTAAACTTAATTTAAATTGGTAGCTAATAAAATTATGATTACTATTGAGGCCATCATTTTAATTTAAAATTTAATCTGGAGTAGTTAATTCGTTTTAAATGTATTTAATACTGCTTGAAAATATTTTATCATATTAGCTTTGCAATTAGGTTTATTAGAGAACATATTAATTATTAACTTAAATCATATTTTTTTTTCTAACATTTAACAGATAATTGCGGATTAAAGTGTGAGAAATTCCCTTCTTAGAGTCATCCAAATCAATAATCATTTTGCCAATATAAAATCCATTCGAAGCATTTTCTGCTGAAAGACAAATCAAATTATTTTTGTAAAAAGAAATGAAAAATTTTTCTAAATTTTTAGAAAAATTTAATTGAGAAAATTTAGATATCATTTATGTAATTTAAAAGATATTTCTTCTACCGATAGATAATGAATGTATAAGTAATATATAGATTTTTCTTTAAATACTAAATTAAATAATTAATTAATTAAAAAATGAAATTTCTAAGAATTTTATTTTCTGATAGTAAATAAATTAATTAGAAATAGTAATAATTAATAATATAAGCAAAGTAGCATTTTAGAAAGAAAAGAAAATAATATTTAATATGAATTTATTTTTTAAAATAATATAAATTAATTCACTATTTTATTAAATAAATGAAATGAAATTTATTTAGTCAATTCAAAGAATTTAAATAATTATTTTTAGTATTTTCTGGATTTTCATTTTAATCATCATTTTTTAGCTGAATTTTTAAAATTAGAATAACTTCTTTTTCTCCTTATTTCCAGGGATAAATACAGTGTATAAAATATTTAATGAAGTTTATTACATTCATATAGATTGTTGGTGTAATCTAGCAATTTTGAAAAATATTTTAGATTTTTTTCAAATTATTTTATTACATTTTATGTAAAAATTTTTTTTATATTATTGATTGAAAAATTAATTATCTTTTAAAATTATTTTTAAAGTTAACTTTTTGTTAACCTTTAATCTATTATAAACTAATATTGATTTTAAGTTTTTAACAATTAATTAAAATTACATATAAATAATAAATATTAGTATAATTAACTAATTATCAGAGTTTTTTTAAAAATGATTTTCAATCTATTTATAGTTGCACTAGTAAATTTATTTTTTATTTATAATTTATCTAATGCAATAATATTATTAAATAATTTTAGAAGAGCATTTTTTTAAATAAAAAATGAAAATATAAAATTAAAAACTTTCTTAAATATATATTCTCTAAAATGCAATTTCTTCTAAAAATTTAACAAAAATTTTAAAGTTGACAACCTCTTGTTAATCTTTATCCTGTAGAAAAATTTAGGTTATAAGCTAAATTAATTAACTAAAAAAGAATAAGAATTAACTATCATAAATTAAAGTATTAAGTCATTAAATTATTTTACTATTTTTATAAAAAATGATATTTTTGAAAATATTCAATTAATTGATTTAATTGAAAATATATTTAAAATTTATTTTAGTGCATTTATAAATATGAATTAAAACAAAGTTAATTAATTAATTATTAGAAATACTATTTAAAGTTACATAAATAAATGTATTTTTTTATTAATTTAATAAATGGAATGGTTGGTTTGTTGATGTTAAAGTTTTAAATAAAATATATTTGTTCACATGAAGGCTATTTGAGGATCTTCGTTTATATCTTTGATTTTTGATTAAGATTTTACTAATTTTTATATATCTTAGTAATCCTATTCTGATAGATCAAAATATTTCTTGAATTTTTCTGCTTCTTAGTTTATTTGTTCATCTAATTGTATTTTTTTTTATTCATAAAATTGCTTTTCTTAAGGTGTTAGCTAATTAAACATAACTTGCAATTGTTTAGTAAACTTTTAGTGCTCTTCTAAGCTTTTGAACTTTATTTTTTTACCTTAATATTATTCTATTACAAATAAATTATATATATTTTTATATTGCTTCATAGGAATTCTAAAGGTGTTATCATATTCTGAGATAGCAGTTTTAAAATATACAATATTATCTTTATATTTTTGTTAATATTCTTATTTTTACTCTTCAGTCAATTAGCTCCACTCATAAGTAACATGCTACGTGATAGTGGCAATATCTGAAGTTTATAATTCTTCTTTAACTTAAATATATCTTTCTTTTAAATAGATCTGAAAAGAAGAAAGCGGCAATTTAGGTTTAGCATAAATCTTTTTATAATAAAGCATTTCATTGTAATACTAATAATTTTAATATTTAATCAAATTTAGCACTTCTAGTTTATGGTCTATCATAAACTCATCATCATTCCATAAACTGCTAAGTTTTTTTAATATAACTGATGTAGGTTCATTTGGATAATTTTCTCTAATAATCCTCATATACATTAATGTGAAAACATTATAAGCACTTAAGGGCTTGAGAGGAGGCTTAGGGACTAAGTATTATCCATCCAATACATCAAACCTTTCTTAGAAAGGGTAAGGAACAGGAATAGTTTTTTTCCTATACTAATAAGTGCATACTACTTAAAAAAGTTTTGAATTACTTTAAAAAATATTTTTACTGTTAAAAAATATCCCTTTTATCATTAATCCTAATTTAAAATAATTAATATTCTTAACCTAAATTAAGAAACTTCTAATGATTTTGTTTAATTTACTTTAGATTTAAAGATTGTATCTTTGATTAATTTCTAATTTCAAACCATTTATTCGCTATTAACAAAAATATTCAAAAATTTATTCTACTTTCAATTGTTTTAAGAGATTTTTGAGCAATTATAAACCAAAAACGTCATTTATTTTTAAATAAAAACTATTTCAGAGTTTCTTTCAAAAATGTGGCTTTAAAAATAGTTTTCAATAATTTCTTTTAAAATTATTTTCATAAAATATTCTAAAAAAATATTTAGAAAAAACATTGTGCTTTTAAATCTTTTTTAAACTGAGTGTTTATTTAACAGTTTATTTATTATTAAAGACATTATTTTAATTTTGTTATTATATTTTTGAAGCAATTAATATTATAAGAAGACTACTTTTAAGATATTAATTTTTAATAAAATAATTAAAATATTAACTCTTGATTTTAAAATCAAATAAAAAAATTATTTTTATTTTTAAGAAGAAACGTCAAGCAAATTATTTTTATTACAGAATGATTTCTCTAAATTATTTAAATTATTGATAAATATCATTAAAGACTTATTTTATAATATAAATAAAATTTCACATAAACGCCATTAAATATTGTTTTGGATTATTTTTTTATACTCTTTAATATGATTTTTTTTCCTTATTATCAAATTAACTAGGTAGATGCTTTAGATATATTAAAAATTAACTTTATATAATCTATAAAAGCATGCTTAATAATAATATCTTTAAATGTTCATATTATAATTTTGTGTATAAAGTAAAAAAAACGATTTCTTTATTTAAAAAACATTTGTTTTAACTTTGCTAATTTTTTTCTAACATCCTATGTATTATTTATTGTATGTATATACATGTTGCTAAATAACAATATTTATTTTATTCACTAGAGAGAATCTAAGAAAGATACTAACTTAGTAATCTAATCAATTTATTCTTCGTTAATTTGCTTAAATTTCTCCTTGTCCATCAAATACTTAGCATCTGGATAAACAAATTATTACTCATCTGTCTTCCAGTTCAATTTTTAGATGGTTTTAAAGGTATCTTGTTCGCTATTTTTATATTTAATTTGTAATTAATAAATCAGATAATAGTTTTTTATATTCTAATTAGTTTAAAAAAAATAATATTTTACTTCAATGCAAGCAAATTTTAGAATTCTTTGATGCTTAAGTTAGCATAATTTAAAGTGATTTCCTTTAAGATTTTTTAGAAAACTGCAGAGTGCAACATATGAAGTAAACTTGAAATACTCTTATTGTTGACATTGCTATTCACTTGAGCTATCAATTAGAAAGCTGCATTTTACTAACCTGACCAGAGAACAAACAATATCTTGTGGATTTCTTATAAGGTTTAATTCTATTTCTTTTCATTCTATTTAAAAAATAAGATAAGTAATTCGAATTAAAATATCTGAATGATATTGAAAATCATCAACTAATTAATTACAGTAATTCTGGCCCAGAAGAATTTAGCATTTTCTAAATCATAACTGATCAAGTAGCATAAAAATTAAATTTAAAGGAGAGTGACAGAATGTTCCTCAATGGTTATCTATTTAATTTCATATTAAATGTTATTTTTAAGCTAATTTTCTATTTATTTCATTTAGGAACAACACATGGTCTCCTAAGTTGATTAAAAGAAATTACATTAATGTTTTCTTCTAAATCCTCTAAAATTTTAATGATATTTTCAATCGACTAAGTATTGTTGGGTAACTTAGAGATTTCCTTAACCACTAAAGTTTCATAATCTTCCTTGCTTCTACCTAAATGCTCGCTCATCTTAACTAAATGTTATGGTTTCTTTATGTTTTTATTTGTTCTTTATTTTTTTCTTAAAATTGATACAATTTTTGATATATTTGTTTTACAAAGAATCTAACTAATCTAATCAAATCAAATCAGAGTCTATTGAGAATTTTTTGATAAGATATATATTAATGCATTCAATAAAATCATAGAAAAGAGACATATCAATAAAATGTTAAGTACAAGGCTTAGATATCCTATACTTCTTTTCTCAAGCAAAAATCTTATCTCATCTCATTCATTTTATTAGTTTTATTTATTATTATAATACCCATCCTTCTAAATTAATGCATCTACAAGTTACGAAGATATAATGCATTCTGATTATTTTTTGATAAATTATTTATAAAATATCTTTTCTAAAATTTCATCAGAATTTGTTATTTAGTTTTTTTATATAATCACAAATAAATTGCTTTTTATTGAATAGTTAATCTATAATTAAAACTATTTCAAAAAAAAAAAAAATCAGATTGCGTTTCATAGAATTTAAATGAAAAAAAAAAAAATTAATTTTTTAATTTGTCTTTTTTAAATTAAATTAAAATCTATTTCTAAATAAATAATATACATAAAATTGATACTTGGATTAACATTAATAATTAATTTTTTTATAAATTTTGTGAATATACTGTGTATTTTTAATAAAAATAATGATTCTGTGTTAAGTTAAATAGATCTTCAAACACTTGCGCTAGAATACTATTTGATTATTAATAAAAAGTAATTGATTTACAGATGACTTTGATAAAGAAATTAATTTAGACTTATGATAACAACTACATTGAATAATAAACCAATAAATAAAAATTATAACAAAATATCTATTTTTTAAGCTGATAAATATTTAAAACTTACTTCATTATCATATCCCAAGTCTTTTGGCTATTTTATTTTATAAATACATTAAACTGATTTAATTTTTATTCAAATTATCTTACTTTGCAGAAGTGAAGTATGATGTAAAATATGCCAAAGCAAAACATGATTGCTCCAAATATGAAGCCTAACACATCGTTAGATTCATAGATATACACAGCGATTGTAGCCAAACTTAATTTTATCAATAATACTTAAGAAATCTAAAGCATTTTAATATAATTTTTTACTAAATATTGAAGACTCCTCTTCCAAGGAAATTTTATAAAAACTTGAAATAATTAGTGACAAACTCAGCCTTCATTTCTCCAGCAATCAACATTGCACCCAAAAGACTAATTAATAAATATATAAATTATTTAAAAGGTTAATTCTTTTTAAAACAAAAGTAAAAATGTACATCAAAAAGAATGGAGTGAAAAAGTTAAAAAACTTTAAAGTTGTAATGTCATTAAATGGCTGCAATAGGATAATATGATATATCGACAAACCTATCAATAGCAATCTAAAATTAAATTATTTAAAAATAACTATTTCAATATCGTTATAAATGACTGTTATATGCTTACGCTAAACCTATATTTATAATTTTAATAACAGTTGCTGTGTTTTTACCCATTTTTACTTACTTTCTTAAATTTGAAATGTTTTCTAATTATTTACAATTTAGTCTCTAAGTTTTTGGAAATTTTTAATATTTATAAATTTAAATGCAATTCTTTCTTTGGCTAAAAAATTTAAAGATTATTATTTAGCAAGGAAAATTTCAACTTAATAAACTAATTTACTCACCAAATCTAAAATAATTCTAATGATAAAAATCAAATCTTAGAACAATTTTTGTGGTATTTGTGAATTATTAATTAATAACTCAATAAAGATAAGTAATACGAATCTAATTAGTGAGTTATAACATATCTACAATTTACTATATAAGTAATAGATTCAGCTATTACTAGATTACAAATAATTATGTTTGTAAATTAAAAAACATGTTATTTAAAACTATTTATATAATTTATATTATTAAATAAATTGTAATTGTTAATTCAGCTATTTATTTAAAAAGATTAAATAATTTTATGTTTCAACAATTTATTAATAAAATACTTAGTTTATTATTTGTAATCAAAGTTATGGAATATTAAATAATATTCAATCAATAATAGATTTATTTAATGTTAGAAATTATTTTGACTTGTAAATTAATATTTTATTTTAAGTTTAAATAGTTTGTTTTACACTATTTCTAGTTAATAATTCCAAAAATATTGCGGGTTTATTTTTAAAATTTGAATAGAAGAGTAAATAAATTTTTAACATCTCAAATTTTTAATCATAAAATTCAAAGAATATTCAATAAGAAAGTATTAATTGAAAATATTTAAAAAATAATATCTCTTTTAATGAGCAAAAAAAGCGTAAATGTAGAATAATTTGACCAGAATTACTATTTCTTTTGTAATAGACCTGAAACTGTTGTTCCTGATTCATATGAATTATTTTTATTTTATGATGCTTACTTTTTTTAGAATAGATTAGAAGCTTGTGAAATTAAGTGGAGCAAAAGAATGACCTCATGTGCTGGTACTTGCAAACACTCTTCATACAATAGTTGCACAATAACTTTGAGTGAATCTTTATTGTAATATAGAAATTCAAATGAGCTTAAAGAAACTTTATTGCATGAAATGATTCATGCATTTTTATTTTTGACAAATCCTAAGGCATGCTTAACTGAAGGAGGACATGGTGAAGAATTTAAGAGTTTAATGAACTTTATCAATTCAGTTACTGGATTAAATATAACAGTATATCATAGTTTTATAGATGAAGTAGAGTCTTTTAGAGTCCATGTTTGGAAATGCAACGGACCTTGCTAAAATTCACCTCCTTATTTTGGAATTTGCAAGAGATAAATGAACAGACCACCTCAAAAAAGCGACTTTTGGTTTGAAAGCCATTAAAAAAATTGTGGAGGGTAATTTATTAAAATAGATGGTCCAGAATTTGGAGATGATGGAAAACCTGATCCTTCTAAACAAGCAGTAAAAAAGACAAAAAAGGATAAAAGCGAGGAATCAAATACAAAGAGTGTTCAAAATAAAAGAAAGTAAAAGAAAAACGAAGCTAAAGTAGATAATTTATAATCCTTAATAAGTAGATACTTGATATCTGACACTGAAAAAGCGAATGAAGGCTCAACAAACAAAGAATTTACATAAAAAAATTCTAATTTAGTTGAGCAGTATAAAAAACCTTAATTTTAGGATAGTATAAGTGGAAATTACGAATTAGGAAATAACCTTCCAAGCTCTAATCAAATTATATTCAATTAAAATTCTTAATAATAAATAAAAAGTAACCCGTAATTTAAAACAATATAAAAATAGAATTCATCTAATGATGAGTTTTCTCTTGAATAGTTTGCTTTTCATAAAAAAGGTAGGACTTAAAATAGTATTTCTAACATATATGAATTTAACTCAAACAATGACAATAGTAAAAACAATTTATTGTAAAATTTGACATCATTATAATAAAATAATTAAAAGTTTTAATAATAAGAAGAAAATATTTTATAAGGATAACAAAATAATCCAAAATAATTTCAATATAAAAACTATTTTGTTAAATAAAATGAAATATAATAAAAAAATAATAGTTAAAACATTCAAATTTAAAAAAATTAAGATTCATCTGATTCCTCTCTCGAGTCTGAAGAAAGTATGGGATTTTTATAGTAACTGATTAATAAATAGAACTCTCAATAATAAATATCATATAAGTTTAATGCAAATAATGTATAAATGAAAAATGATGATTTACAGCAATAGTAATAATCTAGTTAGTTATGCTAAAATAATAGTTTAGAGGACAGCCTAGAAAAACAATTAAGTGATTAAATTATAGAAAATGATTAATTTCTTAGTCAGGTTAAAATACAAGTTGCTTTTTCAAGAGACAAATCTTTTAGCAAAGATATATATTTTATTTATTTAATTAATACTAGCTATTTTCTGATTGATATATCTGATTTGTTGTAAAAAATATACAATTTAGATGAAAAAGTTTATTCTCTTAAAAATGTAATATAAGAAAAAGATGGATAAGATTTTAAGATAGAAAACTACCCAAATTTTTAGCTAAATAAATTCGATGAGAATTACCAAATTTTATTTGATTATGGAAATTTAAAAATATATTTTAAAGAACTAAAAAATATAAACTTGAAAACATAAAATCCCATCTCTAAAGTATTTAAAGATGCTATTTACAAGCCTTAATTATAGCAACAGGTTAATTTATAAAACAAATGAATAAAACTAAATTAATTTAATATTTTATAAAAGTATTATTTATAATTAAAAATAGATAAAAAAGTAATTAATTTTTCTCAAAATAAAAATAGATAAATTCATAAGATAAATTTTATATTTCTTCTATAAAATAATAATAATAAACAATAAATAAATATTAGAGAATTTTCGATCAAAATAAATGGATTAAGATTAAATAAATTTTAAATTCTAATAGCAATATAATTTATCTATAATAATAGATAAAAATAGAAATGTTTCTATCAAAATAAATTGATTAGGAATAAATTTATTTTAATATTCGAAAAAATTTAATTAAAAATAAATAAAAAATAAATTATTTTCTCTCAAAATAAGCTTATTAAAATTAAAGTGATTTTATTTTTAATAGAAGACTATTTAATAATTAAAAATAAATCAAAAAGTAATTAATTTTTCTCAAAAAAAATAAATGAATTGATAGATAAGATTAATTTTATTTTTCTATAAAATTAATATAATAAATAAACATAGAGAGATTAAACGAATAAAATAAGATTAAAATAATTTTAAATTGTAATAGCAAAATAATTTTTTATTAATTTTAGCTGCAAATATAAATTTTTCTATCAAACTAAATTGATTATGAATAAAGTAATTTTAATATTCTAAAAAATTATAATTTAAAATTAAAAATAGATATATAAAATAATAGATTGTTTTCTCTCAAAATAATTCGATTAAGATTAAAGTGATTTAATTTTTAATAGGAGTATTTTGAATAATTAAAAATGAATCAAAAATACTAAATTATCTTTTAATATTAAATTATTTAATTGAAATAAATTAATACAATTAAAATTTAACATCATAAATAAAAATAAAATTTTAAAAATATATTTAAGAGTAAAAATCTATTTAAATTTATTTAATATATTTTAATATATGTTATTGATTTAACCTAAAATCACCTTTTTTGTTAACCTTTATATTGGTTTTTGTAATTTTGATATAAGCCTTGTTGATGGTTGTAATGATTGTTAGTTGGAAGCATTTATGATTAGCTTATATATTCTTACTTATTGCCTTATTTAACTTAATATTAATTGTACTAATCTTATAGTTTATAAGGACTCTGCTTTATGTTACTATAAACATTAGGAGATTCAGATTAAAGAGACTTCAAACGATAGGATTCTTTATCTCTCTCTTACTCATAGATTTACTTTGCCCTTAAAAGTAATTTTTACTTTCTTTGATCTGCTTAATAGTTATTGTCAGAAAAATAATTAATATCAGGTTATTCTTGTTTTTATTGCAAAGAGTTGTATTATGGGCTAGAGTACTAATTTGAGAAAATATCGCTTTTATTGCTCATTACCTTAGAATGGTCGCTTTGTTTTGATAACTTGGAAGATTCTGGTGATTATGGAGAATATTTATAATAGTTTGGTATTTATATTAAATTTTAGGCGCTTTGCTAGTTGTTTTTTCCTAAAATTTATGAATATATTTGATTCTAATTTGAGTTTTACATTCTAGCTGATGAAAGATTAGATTGATATGGTTGCTTTGTAGATAAAGTTGCGTTTGATTAAAGAGCTATTTCTGTAAATAATTCATCTTAAGATATAAATTTGTCATTTAGGATAGTTTTAGGGTTTATCTATACTGATTAAGTATTCCAATCCAATTCATCTTTGTCATTAGATTATTTCTTGTTTAAACCTTTATGTATTGGACTTTAATCATTTTCAATAAAGCGAGGATTGAACATTAAAAACTCAGGATTGTTTGGAATTACATGCCCTTAATTGTATATTTTGTATTTGTCATGAAAAATAAATGAAAACTGAGCTAATCCTTCTTATTTCATCTTATTTTTAAATAGCTTAAAATCATCTAATCCTATATGACGATAGAATTACTCAATTCTATCAAATTAATTAAAGAGCTTATCACTTTTTTCATAAAACACTTGAGCCATTTTTTCTAATAGGACTTAAAACTCTTCAAATAATATTTCACCTAAAGTTGAACCCACTTTGTTAAATAGCTGGTAAAGTGTTTTAATATCTAGCTCTTAATTGATTAATTCAAAGTCATTACAAAACTTTAAAAATCTATTGAGAGTGAGAGACTTTGGTTTTTCTACAATAACCTATTCTCGTTTATTCTTTCTCTATTTTACATTAATGATTTATTCTGGTTCCTTTTTTTGCTCTAGATAATCAACCAAATTAGAATAAAACTAAAAAATCTTATTCAAGTTCTTTATTCTCTTTTCCTTTTATACTAAAGTATTATGAAACTAGTAGTCTTTTTCAATCTAAAGTTTATGTCTCAACTCTTTCTCAACTTCTTATTTTATTTCCTGTCTAATTTTTTTCTAGTCTTCTGCTTTAGCTCTACTTTATATTTCTAGTTCTTTTAATTTTTATTTCAGCTCTTAGATCTATTCATCCTTTTTAGGATCTTCTTAAATCTTTTGAATAACAGTCTCTACCTTTTTCTTTAAAAATATAATTTTTTATTAAATAAATAAATTATAAAATATCTGTAATAAATACTTCTTCATCCTTTTATATTTAAAGAATTTTCTGCTTAAAAGATTTCACTGATTCTTCATTAATTAATGAATTTCCTATCAAAATAATTTTTTTAAATTTTAATACAAATTTTTAACAGAAAAAATCTTTTCCAAAACATTTTCATAAATTAGATTAAAAAAATAAAATACAAAATTAAAAAAACATTTTTACTTTTTTAATTTTCTTCAGCAACTTCAGTTTCTATTTTTGATTGAATAGCTTGCCTTGAAAGTTGTAATTTAGGTTTTTTGGGTATGTATTCATCATAGCTATTAATTGGGAAAATGACAGTTTTTTCTTCTGACCATCCTTCTTAAAGAGAGTAGAAATTATCAGGGTTCTTCATCAATTTAGTAACAGCTTAAATTTATTCTTCATACTTTTCTTTTATTGGTTTAAAATTGTTAACATTTCCTTAAAAGGAAAGACTTGCTACTAGAGAAAAATCATATTCTGGTGGGACATAGAGTTTAAGCTATTAGGTGGTATTTTAATAGTATTTGATAATTTTAAGTGCATTTTATGCGATCAACTTTAAAGCCTATGTAATATATTATATTTCATCTTTGGTTAACAAAAAATGGATGTCAAGCTCAATAGTGCTGCTATTAATCTGCTTAAATTCATTTTGTTAATCCATTCCAAGCGTTTCACATAAATTTTATGGAATGTCAGAAAAATAAAATCCGCTTGGGGTTTTAACTTAATTGTTACATTTTACTTAAATTCCAAAAAAATCATTTAAAAATTATGCTAAAAATCGAGATTAAAGAATAGGCCTACCATTTCCTTCATGTTCCTTGTCATCAACAAAGGACTCTCCTCCTTCTATGTACATCAAAATAGAGTACTTCCCTTTTGTATTGGCAGATTAGATATTTCCTAAATCAATTTTCATTAGTACACTTTATGCTTAGAGTGCTTAATTTACTTTCTACATTTCATCATAAAAGAATTTACTATTTTCAGATGAATCAATCATACTTTGAATATTGTTAAGATTACAATATTCTAAGGCTTAACATATTCTTAGAAGCTGCTCGCTATCTGCTTAAAATAAATTCTTTTGTAAATCAACCTAAGCAAATTTTGTTAAAATATCCTTTCTTGCAATTAGTAAATTGGCTGCCATTTAGCCACCTAAAATTTCAGAAGAGGAGATAGAAATAAAATCAAAGTAACTGAATGCATTTTCTTATTATTTTTAAAATACAATCTAAGAAGCATCCAAAATAGTATAAAATTAGCATTCTGGATATTCTTTTCTTAAGGCTTCTACTTGGTTAATAATATCTTCTATTTTTAAAGGCTCGTTAGTTTTAGAAGAAGTAGATTTCACTTAAATGATATGATACTTTGTTTCTTTTATGTGGTTTACTACTGTATTTACTATACTGTTTTATTGTATATTCCCATAAGTATCTGTTTCTATGGTTACTAATCTCATTCTCTCTGCTATCATCAACCATGGAAATACGTTTTTGTAACTTTGGTAATTTTAAATGTAAACATTGATTTTTACATCTTAACTCTCTGTATTAACTAGGTTTAGGAATAAATTTGAAATATAAACAAAAGAATCCATATTTTTTTGAGCTTAAAAAGCCAAACAAGTGTGTACTTAAGATGAGCAATTTAAATTTTTAAATATTGCTTATTAACAGGAGTTAACTATTTAATTTCTTATTTGCTAATCGTAGTATGAAGAAGATTAAAATGGCCTCACAAATTTATCTATATTTTGCTCGATAACTTTGATATTTCTTCCGTTGGAGTACAAATCTGCAGGTAATGATTGCAATTTACCATAAGGGGTTTGAAGCACTACTTTATAGCCCTAAATTTATTCTATTATTTCTTCTTTTGTTGTAGTTTTTTCAAGTTGATTTAAACTCATTGCTAATCTTTATTCTCCTACTAATAATTAAGTATATTATTTTTAATGATATATTGTCTGTTTTTAAATAAATTAGAGATATAGAAATCTGTGAGGTTGAAGTTACTGTTTTTAGATTTAAATTATCTTTTAAAATATTGATTTCTTAGAAAATTTATCATAGTAAAATAATTAAGATACATATATACATACAATAAAATTATTAAAATTGAATAAGCACAAAATATACACCATAGATTCTTTCCTTGCAAGTAGGTAGTTTAAAAGTGATCTTTTTGCAATATTCTAGTTCGATTTTGTTTATTAATTTGAAAATGAATGAATGAGAGTATATCTTAACATTTTTAATTTGATAAATAAATGTTTAAGCTAGTTTTATATAAATTAATTTATTATAATCTTAAAAATCTTTATCAACATTTAGGAATATTAATTACAGAGAATTAGGTAATTATGTTTATTGATTTATTTATATGAAAATATTTTATTTAATAGCAGTTTCTAAAACTCATTCTTTTCAATTTTTATCTTAAAATTGATCATTATAATATTAGAGTATCTCTTTAAATTAACATTTAATAAACAAATATTTAATAAACTTAGTATTTTAAAGGTTAAAACAAAAATATTAAATCACAATTTTTTTTTATAAAAGCAAAATATATATATTACATTAGAGTTAGGAAATGAAGTTAATTCAATTCAAAAATCTTTGTTTAATCACTTTATAAAAGCAAAATTAGTTAGTAGTTAAATGAGAGTTAGGTAATGAAGTTAATTACTTTATTTATTTATTTATTTATTTATTTATTTATTTATTTATTTATTTATTTATTTAAGTATATTTTTATTTAAGAGCATTTATCTAAAATAATTTCTTTGCAAATAAGTTCTTAAAAGTTAATATTTATTATTTCAATAATTATATCTTTATTTATTTTAGTTTTGTAAAAATCAGTTCATTATCATTATTTAATTATGTTCAAAAATCCTTAATCACAATTTTTTTTATAAATGGAAAATTAGTTACAGGAGAGTTAGGCAATGAAGTTTATTATTGTATTTACTTGAGTATATTTTTATTTAATAGCAGTTCTCTATTATTCATTTTTTTTAACAAAGGAGCATTTTTTTCCTATATTTATGTCTATAATAGCTAATTATAAGTTTTTTAATTTTCTTTAAATTTTATTGCATCTTCTTGCTGCTTTTTAATTTCCTTTTGATTTAAATCATTAAAATAATTATCTTTCCTAATTTCACTTAATTTCTCCTTTTGTTCTCTTTATTTTTTCTCATCCATTTGCTACATTAGTGTATTTTTAATCATCATTTTATTCTCTTTGATTATCATTTTTCTATTTTCTTGGACTTCATTATCCTTTTTATCTTAGTAAAGCATTTCTTAGAACATTTTATTTTCATCTTACTTAGCCAACTCGTCTAAATCCTTTCCAGTCCTTTCATGATAAGCATTCATAACCTGCTAAACTCTTTCCTCTCTAGTTTTAACTTCTTTTTCTCTTTATATAAACCTTTTTTCTTCTAATTCAGCATAGACTCTCATTCTCTCCTGTTCTTCTTATTTTTCAATTTCTCTCTTCACAATAAATAACCATATATTAATACTTATTAATAAAACTCTATAATAAAATTACTTCTTCTTATTATCTTCTGTTAAACTTTTTCATATCTCTTATTTGATTTCTTAACAGCTTTCTAGCTTCTCTTGCTCTTATTTCTTCTTTTTTCTCCTCCTCCTTATTTTATTTTTTTAAAATATCCATCATTTCGTTATGTTTTTTCAAATCATAGTCTTTTTCTTCCTGCAACAATCTCTTTTTTTCTTCCTTCTATATTTATTTATAAAGTAAAAAAGTAACTTTTTCCTATATTCTACATATCAAACTTTATTAAAAAATAGATATTTTTCAAACAAACAAACAAACAAACAAAAAACAATAAATACCTGCTAAGCTATTCTTTCAACTTCTTTGTCCATTAATAATTATTGTTGTTTAGCTTTTTCCCTATCTTACCTTTCTAATTTTCTATTTTCTTTTCTGACTTACTACATGTATTTAATGTCATCCTTTTTTTCTTATTCTTCCTACTATTTTCTTGTATTCTTTTGTCCTTCTAGCTCTTTCCTTCTTTCTTCTTGCTCTTTTAATTTTTTTTCCTTTAATTTTGCATTTTCTCTCTCCCATAATTTTTTTAGATCACAAGGTTTCGAATTTGCCAATGATACTGATCCTAAACTCTAAATTTCAGTCTTTTACACTTCACTTTTTTTTGTTGCTTCATCTAAATTTTACGATACTTATTTAGACTACTCCTAACTCTAAGGCTTATCCTCTTACTTACTTTATGAAACTTTTTTACTTGCTGTTGAAATTATTTTTGATTTCTTTTTGATTGATTTCTCTTTAATGATATTTGCTTGCTTCATCTAAAAGTGTTTCATGTAATTCTAATCAAATTATTTTAGCATTTTTTTTTCTAAGCGCTCCATATTCTCTTTGTTAACTTTATATTTTGCAAAGAAATCAGTTACTTACTCAATAAGATAAACTCTATCATATCCATTAGTTTTTGAATATTTATTTATAAGATCTTTTTAATATAATTCTTTTAATATTTCCCTTTACTAAACAGCTTCGTTTTTTGAAATATCGCTTTTCACTTTACTCATTTGTTTGCTTTAGAATATGAATTAATTAAAATAATTAACTGGTAAAAAACTTAAAATAGATAGATACCTAGCTACTAATACCTAACTCTAATATAAAAAAACTAAAAATGAAATAACTTATTTGATTTTTCAAATTCTAAATAAATATATATTTTAAGATATTATACAACTCAATTAAAATATTAATAAATAATATTAAAATTTTATAATTATTTAAATTAAAGAATAAAACCTCTGTGATTAATAATTAAAACAATTTAAGAAAATTAAAAATACCTAATAGTTTATTGAAATTTGTATAAAATAAATTAAATAATTGTGATAAAAAATTTGATATGTTTTTATACACTTAAATGTTATAACAGCATTAAATATAAAATAGATGAATAGTTTGTTTAAATAGTTATTTTCTTTGACAGTTTATGATAAACCTCCTTTACTCTAAGAAATGAATTAATTTACCTGAAATTCTAAATAGTTTAGGTATATTTAGTTGAATCGTTTTAATAATTTAATCTCTTATCTCATACTATTTTAAAATTCTTGATCAATATCCTAGTACATTGAAGAGAAGAAATAATTTATTAAAAACCTTACTAGAATAATTGAATTATAAATTATTTTTGGCTTTTAATCCATAATAAACTTTTTCTAAAAACAAAAAAAAATTTTTTATGATCAATATGGAAATCTTTTAAAAAAATAAATTTTCTAAATTTTTATATAAACTTTTTTTTTTATAAATAAATAATACTAAGCAAGGTGTTTAAATTAAATCATAAAAATAAATTATTTTTATTAAGTTAAAATTTTTTAATTATTTTCTTAAAAGTAAGTAAGTAAATAATTCAGTAATCAATTAGAAATAATATAAAAACCATAAATTTTCATCAAATGATATTTCAATTTAAATATCTTTTCTTTAATTAATTGGATTTCTAAATTGTGTGAACAATAAATTAAATAAATAAATTTAAGTTTCATAACAAAGATAAATCAAATGAATCAGGAAATCTAAAATTAAGAGAGCTACTATTTGTATCTATCAAGCACATATGGAGCAGAGTTTATTGAAACTAAGCTTTCCTTACATAGTAAAATTAGAAAACTAAAATTAGTATTAAATACAAATGATTAGGAAGGTATAAATTAGTTAGGATTGTAACTTACAAATTTAAATCATTTACTCGAATTAACCATCATTATATAAGAAGAGAGTTGCTTTAATGAAAACATTTTACAATATTTTTTTTAATATCTCTAACAACTGAAAAATTTGGTCAAATTAGAAGTAAATGTAGCTAGATAAAGCCCCTTTTAAGAATAAAGATCTTCATATTTATCTAACGCTATTTAAAATTTAGTAAATTTAGAGAGCCTTATTATAAATTTCGAAGGATAAAATAACCTATCTTAAAATGGAGCTTCTGCTATTGGAGATTGCTTAAGATATTTGAAGAAACTCAATAATTTAAATTTATAAATTGGTTAGGATTCAATAGGAAAAGAAGGTTGTGAAAAATTAGCTGATGGAATTGCTCATCTTATTAATTTACAATAATTGACTATTTCTATTAGAGAGTATAATTTAATAGAAAGTGGATCTATTTAGCTTGGAAAAAGCTTAGAGAATTTATCTAATTTGAGCTATTTAAAACTAAATATAGAAATGGATAACTTTATAGAATCTCAAGGTGCAAAAGCTTTAGCAAAAGGAATTTCAAGTCTAACCAATTTGAATCGTTTGGAACTCTTAATAGGTTATAATAATAATATTGGCTAGTAGGGAGCAATTAGCCTAGGAAATGCGCTTACAAAATTGAAAAGTTTAGATTATCTTGAACTAATTATTTATGGTGGAAATGAAATTTAATTCAAAGGCGCTTAGGGTATTGCAGAAGGTTTAAAGACTTTAAAAAATTTAAAAGATTTTAAATTAAATATTCTAGGAGATAATTAATTAGGATAAAAAGGTTCTACTTTGTTAATTAAATCATTATCTTATCTTAAAAATCTAGAAAGCTTTGAATTTGATATTGGTGAAGATGATTCTATTGAAAAAGAAGGAGCAATACAGCTTGGAAAATCAATTTCACAAATGAAAAATTTAAATAATTTATATGTATGGATCCATGATTGTAATGATATTTAGCAAGGAGGTGCTAAATCAATTGGCTAAGGATTATCTCATCTTTCTAATTTGAAATTTCTTAATTTGAATATCAGTTCTGTAAATCAAATAGGTCCTAAAGGTATTCAAGCAATAGCAAATGGAATAAAATATTCAAAAAACATGGAGAGTCTATCTCTGTTGATAGATCATGATAACTAAATAGGTAGTTAAGGATGTGTCTTTATTGGAGAGTCACTATGTCATTTAAAAGATTTAAAAACTTTGAACATTGAAATTGGTGTTTATTCAAAAGTAGGTAAAGAGGGAATAATAGGATTATCTCAGTGCTTTAAATATCTGAATCAATTATAAGAGCTAAATTTTAACATAAAAGGTTATAATAATTTGAAATAAGAAGGGTTTTAATAATTCTCAATCAATATGAAAAGTTTAGTCAATTTAAAATTATTAGGATTATAGATTGGTAGTAGAAATTAAATAGGTGAATAAGGAATGAGTTATTTAGGTCAATAGCTTTAACATTTAAAAAATTTAAATAAGTTTTCACTTGGTTTAGGAGAAGAAAATAAATTATCTGAAAATTCTCTAAAAAATTTTGGTGAAAGTTTTAATCATATAAATAGTTTAACTCATATTGATTTAGATATTTATAAACATAATTTGAAAAATAATGATTTTGGGAATATAGGAAATGCTTTGAGTATGTGCAAAAAACTATAATTCCTTGAAATAAAGGTAGATTAAGACCATTAAATAACTTAAAACAACATAAAATTATTTGCTAATAAACTCAGTTAGAATAAAACTGTCATTTAAATTAGATATTCTCTTAATTTGGATAGAGAGGACTTAGACGATTATGGAAATTAAGATGAAGAGGATCAGGAAGTAGATGATGATCTTGAAGAGGAAAATGATGAAGATTTAGGTGAAGAGAATAGCTTATAAGATGAACAAGTAAATGAAGAAGATGAAGATATTGACTAAGAAGGCGACGATATATAAGAAGATGTAAATGAAGATAATTATCAAGAAGGTGATGAAGAATTTGATAAAGAAGATTTGGAAAATATGGATGTATAAGAAATTGAATAAGATATCGGTTACTTAGGATATCAAAGTAGTGAAAGTGGGATCTCAAATTAACAATAAAATTAGGATTTAGATGCTTTTGCTAAAAAATTATTTATTAGAAAAATAAAATAATTAGTTAATTTAATTCATTGAAATTTGATTTGTGAAATGCATTATGTATGATCTTTTAAATATTTTTTTTGTATCATTTTCATTTTTTTAATATTTAAATATTTAAATCTTTAGGACAGTAAATAATCACCATATGTTTTAAGTTAATAAAGTAAGTTTAAATTATTTCTTATTTATAAAATATAGAAAAATAGTTTTTGAAAAAGGATTTAATCAATAAATATATACTTAGAGGCAACTGTTATTTTGCAGCTCCAGTAGCTACCTCTAGATTTTTAATCTTCTACTCATAAAACGAGTAAATGGTATAAAAAATTTTTAGAAATAGTTATTAGCCATTAAATAATTTCACAGATAATAAAAATAATTTAAAAAAGATATGTTATTTACAAAGATGGAAATAAATCTTTAGAAAATTTTGAATTTAATCAAATTGAAAAAGATAAATAAAGTAAAAATATTTATCAATAATGAAAATAAAAAATGTATAATTTAATTATTAGAATTTATTGGTTCATATTAAAATATTGAATAAGCTTTCTAACAAATAAAATACAATAAGAAATTTATGGAAATAAACAAATTTGAAAATAAATAACTTATGCTTAATAGTTATTTATTTTTTTTGATTAATATTTTTTAATTATTTTTTATTATTGAATTTTCAATAGTAAACTTTAACATATTTTATATTTTCTTATTCATTTTATTTTATCTTGTCTAAATTTGGGCAAAAATTTATCACATTGCTATTCTTTATCAATTTATAATTATTTTATATTATTGAAAATTTGTTGATAGAGTTTAATATATTTTTAAATATTTTTATATTTTTCTTATTAATATAATTATTTTCTAAAGTTGAAAATTATTTTAGCAATAAATAGACTATATTTGGTTTTATATATATTCTTATCAATTTATAATTATTAATTCGGGCAATAAACTTTAATATATTTTTTATATATTTATATTTTCTTATAAATTTATAATTATTTTCTTAAGCTGAAAATTCGGCAATATTCTTTAATTAATTTTTATATATTTTTTATATTTTCTTATGAATTTATTCTTATAAATTTATGAGTATCAATTTATAATATTTTTCATCACCTAAATTTGGGTGATAGACTTTGATTTGGCATATTCTTATGTTTTCTCTTTGTTCAAGCGAATAAATTCATTTTAGTCCATCTTCAATTATCTATTGACTAATATATTAAATTGACGAAAGTTTGATAAATTAAATTTTTTTATTTTATAATTATTTCAACTTGTTGATAATTCAGCAAATTATTTTATCATTTATTTGTATTATTATGATCATTTTTTATATTAACTTAATTTTCTATTGCAATTTATTATAAATTAAAAACAAATTTAAATTAATTATTTATACAAGCAATTAATTTAAAAATAAAATTATAAATAATATGATAGATTTCATAGCTTGTTTATTTATTTATAAATTAATTAATAATTAATTAAATAAAATAAGAAAAGGAAAGGAAAAAAAACATAAAAATAATTATTATCAAATTTATAAGTTATTTTTTAATTTCAAAAAAATAAAATTAAGAATATTATTTAAAATTAAAAAGTAAACAAATAAAAATATTAAGATAAAATAACATAAAAAAATTAATTAATCAATTTATTATTTTTTACAAGTAGCTTATTAGCTGCAGAAAAAATATGCCACAAATAGCAATAAAAACTATAAATTTTCATCAAAAGATATTTTAATTTAAATATCTTTTATCTACTTAATTGGATTTCTAAATTGTGTGAACAATAAATTAAATAAATAAATTTAAGTTATATTCATAACAAAGATAAATCAAATGAATTATGAAATTTAAAATTAAGAGAGTTACTATTTGTATCTATCAAGCACATATGGAGCAGAGTTTATTGAAACTAAGCTTTCCTTACATAGCAATATTAGAAAATTAAAATTAGTATTAAATACAAATGATAAGGAAGGTATAAATTAGTTAGGATTGCAACTTACAAATTTAAATCATTTACTAGAATTAACCATCATTATTTAAGAAGAGAGTTGCTTTAATGAAAACATTTTACAAGATTTTTTTTAATATTTCTAATAACTGAAAAATTTAGTCAAATTGGAAGTAAATGTTGCTAGATAAAGCCCCTTTTAAGAATAAAGATCTTCATATTTATCTAACGCTATTTAAAATTTAGTAAATTTAGAGAGTCTTATTATAAATTTCGAAGGAGAAAATAACCTATCTTAAAATGGAGCTTCTGCTATTGGATATTGCTTAAGATATTTGAAGAAACTCAATAATTTAAATTTATAAATTGGTTATGATTTTATAGGAAAATAAGGATGCGAAAAATTAGCTGATGGAATTGCTCATCTTATTAATTTACAATAATTGACTATTTCTATTAGAGAGTATAATTTAATAGAAAGTGGATCTATTTAGCTTGGAAAAAGCTTAGAGAATTTAACTAATTTGAGCTATTTAAAACTAAATATAGAAATGGATAACTAAATAGAATCTCAAGGTGCTATAGCTTTAGCAAAAGGAATTTCAAGTCTTACTAATTTGAATCGTTTGGAACTCTTAATAGGTTATAATAATAATATTGGCTAGTAGGGAGCAATTAGCCTAGGAAATGCGCTTATAAAATTGAAAAGTTTAGACTATCTTGAACTAATTATTTCTGGTGGAAATGAAATTTAATTCAAAGGTGCTTAGGGTATTGCAGAAGGTTTAAAGGCTTTAAAAAATCTAAAAGATCTTAAATTAAATATTCTAGGAGATAATTAATTAGGATAAAAAGGTTCTACTTCGATAATCAAATCATTATCTTATCTTAAAAATCTAGAAAACTTAGAATTTGATATTGGTGAAGTTGATTATATTGAAAAAGAAGGGGCAATACAACTTGGAAAGTCAATTTAACAAATGAAAAATTTAAATAATTTAAATTTATGGATCCATGACTGTAATGATATTTAGCAAGGAGGCGCTAAATCAATTGGCTAAGGATTATCTCATCTTTCAAATTTGAAATTTCTTAATTTGAATATCTTTTCTGTAAATCAAATAGGCCCTAAAGGTATTCAAGCAATAGCAAATGGTATAAAATGTTCAAAAAACATGGAGAGTCTATCTCTGTGGATAGATCATGATAACTAAATAGGTAGTTAAGGATGTATCTTTATTGGAGAGTCACTATGTCATTTAAAAGATTTAAAAACTTTAAACATTGATATTGGTGTTTATTCAAAAGTAGGGAAAGAGGGAATAATAGGATTATCTCAGTGCTTTAAATATCTCAATTAATTATAAGACCTAAATTTTAGCATAAAAGGTTATAATAATTTGACATAAGAAGGGTTTTAATAATTCTCAATCAATATGAAAAGTTTAGTCAATTTAAAAATATTAGGATTATACTTTGGTAGCAGAAATTAAATAGGTGGGTAAGGAATGAGTTATTTAGGTCAATAGCTTTTACATTTATAAAATTTAAATAAGTTTTCACTTGGTTTAGGAGAAGAAAATAAATTATCTGAAAATTCTCTAAAAAATTTTGGTGAAAGTTTTAATCATATAAATAGTTTAACTCATATTGATTTAGATATTTATAAACATAATTTGAAAAATAATGATTTCGGGAATATAGGAAATGCTTTGAGTATGTGCAAAAAACTTTAATTCCTAAAAATAAAAGTAGATTAAGAACATTAAATAACTTAAAACAACATAAAATTATTTGCTAATAACCTCAGTTAGAATAAAACTGTCATTTAAATTAAATATTCTCTTAATTTGGATAGAGAGGACCCAGACGATTATGGAAATTAAGATGAAGAGGATGAGGAAATAGAAGATGATCTTGAAGAGGAAAATAATGAAATTTTAGATGAAGAGAATAGCTTATAGAATGACTAAGTAAAAGAAGAAGATGAAGATATAGACAAAGAAGGCGATGATATGAAAGAAGATGAAAACTTATCAGAAAATGAAGGCAATTATCAAAAAGATGATGAAGAATTTGATAAAGAAGATTTGGAAAATATGGATATATAAGAATTTTAATAGGATATGAGTTATTTAGGAAACCAAAACAGTCAAAGTGAGATATCAAATTAACAATAAATTTAGGATTTAGATGCTTTTGCTAAAAAATTATTTATAAGAAAAATAAAATAATTAGTTAATTTAATTCATTGAAATTTAATTTGTGAAATGCATTATGTATGATTCTTTAAATATTTTGCTTTTTATCATTTTCATTTTTTTTAATATTCAAATATTTTAATTTTTAAGAGAGTAAATAAGCACCTTATGTTTTGAGTTAATAAAATTTATATTATTTCCTAATTATAAAATATAGAAAATTAGTTTTTGAAAATAAGATTTAATCAATAAATATAATTCTTTTATATTTAAAAAAAATATAGGATTATTTAAAATAAAATTAATTAATTGTTTTGTAACAAATTAAAAAAAAAATAAATACCTAAAAATATAATTTTGCAAAATATATGAATAAGTATTAAGTCTTGAGCATACTTGAAGAAGCTGATTATTTTAAACTTTATAAGTGTCTTAATAAAGAAACATAAAAAATTATAGCTATTAAGGCATACAAATTAAATATCAACTAAGTCGAGGAAAAAAAACGGATAGAGAGGGAAGTAAAGATTAAGAAAATGCTACATCACAAAAATATAGTTGATATAATTGAAATTTGTTAAAAGAATAATGAAATATACATTGTTGAAGAGTATGTAGAAATTAGCTTATCAAATTATCTTAAATAGGGAAGTTAATAAAAAGGATTAGATTAAAATGTCATTCCAAATATAATGTATTAGGTTTTATCATCTATAAATTAGTGTCACAAATATGATATTATTCATTAAAATATTAAACCTATGCATATATATATCAATCCTTCAAATTATGAGTTAAAATTAAATGGATTTCGTTTAGCTAGATAATTACCTTAAAAAGGTGAAATAGTTACAGATTATGTAGAAGCAAGATGGTATAAATCACCAGAGTATCTTTTAGATTACAGAAAATACGGAAAACCGGAAGATATTTGGGCAGCTGCTTGTGTCATGGCAGAATTAATTGATGGTGAACCTTTATTTCCTGGTTAAGGAGAAATAGATTAATTTTATAGGATTGTATAGGTGATAGGTCCACTTACAAATTAATATGAGAATTTATTCAAAAAAAAATATAAAGATTTAAAATTTCCAATTATTAAAAATTTTAATTCTATTGAATTGAGATATCAAGGCAAAATTAATGCTGAAGGGCTAGATTTAATGAAAATGATGCTTAAAATGAATCCAGACGAAAGAATAACAGCTGAATAATCTTTAAGTCATCCTTTCTTTGATAAATTAAAATCAAAAATTGATAATGAAAAGGGAGCTTTTATATAAAATAAATTATCTAATCAAATAAAAGAAAACTTAAAGAATTAAGCTCACTAGGATTTATAAAAAAATTGAAATTTATAAAATTAAATTTAAAAATATATTTGTGAGTGATTAATTTGTTAATTTCTAAAAAGTTTTTACTATTTTAGTATCAAGGATTTTTATTAGATTTTTAAAATTAACAATAGGCTAACTTTAAAAATAAAAAATTAATAGAGAAAATTATATTTTGACTGTTTTTTAACTTCAAAAATCTTAAAATTCTAAAAAAATGTAGCAAAAAATCGATAATGATATTATTTCGATAAGTCTAACAAAAACTTTTTTATAATTTAGATAAACAAAATTAGTCAAGCCAATTTATTTAAAAATAAAATATGAAATAATTTTGTTAAAAAATGGAATAATTTGATTAAGTTTAATTGAAAAATTATTCATCCTGAGTGACTAATTTTTAAAAATTTTTATCATTTTGTAATATAAACAAAATTTATAAAGTAGATTTTTATGATTGAAAGTAAGTATAAAGTGATTAAAAAAATAAATTATTATTTGATTACTAATTTAAATTATTCAAAAGTTATATATTATTTTTGCTGATTGAAGATAAGATAGATTTACATTTGAAAAAGGAACTCTTTTTTTAAATTTAATAAAGAATTGTAATTAAAATAAATAAAAAACATAAATACATTAAATGTAATTAAAAATTAAGTAAAAGTTCAGATTTATTTAATCGTTTTAATGATAATTTTTTTCTTATAAAATTTAAACATTCAATTTCTACAAACTGACTAAATAACAAACAACAGTTCCTATCTACAAGTGACAAAAACAACAAACAACAAGATTTTTATATGAATATTATAATCTATGTAGATAGATAGAGATAGAATAAAATCATCTCAATTATTGGATTTATAAAAAAACTAGCTAACTAGCTTGCTAAGTAAATCCTTTGAAGATAAATTCAAAAGAAGAAGAAATATTAAATTAAAAATAATTAAAAAGCAGAAAGAAATGAACAATTAGAATGAAGAACACAAAGAAAGTGCCAATAGCAGTTTATTGTCTTCAATGGTCAACGCATTGGTAATTATAACAGTTATAGCTGCTATTATAATTCCATTGCTCAAAAACCTGAAGGAAAAGTTTTTTTAACAAAATAATCGTGCTAATAGCCCTTAATTTTCTTAATAAAATAAAAATCAATCTTCTCCCATTTAAGGCTTACAAAACTTTCATGCGAATAGCGAAAATTAAGGTTAGGCTAATCAATTTTATTCAGATCAATTAGATAATACTCCAAGTACAGCAAGTTATTAGCTGATATAAAGAAGCTAAGGCATCTAGCAGTGGAACGATAGGAATGAAAGGTTTAAATAAATTCTTGATTAATAAGAGAATCCTGTCACTAATATCATTGATTATAATACTCAGGTTAGGAAATTTATAGGATAAAAGATCTCCTTTAATGTAAAACTACTTTTTGAAGAGCTAAAAAGTAAAAGCTTAGAGGCAAACTGCTAAACTTATGAGTACTTATTACAGATTTTATTAGATTGCAAACAAGTCGAAGGCGCGTTAGATCTTTTTGCTTTATTTTAGACTTAATTCCTAAAGTTAGAAGTCATAACTCCCAACATTATTTGCCTCTTTCTAAAAGCGATTTAATATGGACTGAATAATTAAATTTCAAGTTAATAAAGCATTTAAATGGTAGAACAGTTGAACTCAATTGTAAATAAATATAGTAATGCTTTTTCTACTTTCTTGAACAAATTTATTTTAAAATTTTAAAATAATCAAAGCATGTTGAATTAAATTAATATGGAAAATTTATTAAATTTATTAAAGATTAAAACTGAATTACAAACAATTAATTTCATTTTAAATTTATGATTTTAAATTAGATTTGAAAATGAACGAGGGAAGCGTTATTGCTATGATTGATATTGCTTTAAGATCTAATAAGTTAGCATAAGCTTTGTAGACGCTTGATAATTTAGAGAGAGATGAAACATGGAAAGCAAAAGAAGATATCTAAAAGAGAAGGTGTGAACTATATTACTAAATACTTAAAAACCTTAAAGGAATCTAATATAGCGAAAACGATGAAACATTGTAAAAGTTATGTTAAATGGTTGAATATTTGAATGAAAAGAAAGAAGAAGAAAACATATACCCTGATGAGGCAATGATTAATTCCTTAATAGATTTATGTTTCTAGTGTGGCTAAGTAAAGTTAGCTCTAGATGTCTATGGATATTTTGATAAATTTGGTGTTTCACCTTCTGGAGTAACTTACTGCATACTAATCAAAGGTTATGGCTAGCACAAATAATTTAATTATGCTATGACCATTTATTAGTAAATGAAGACAAATAAAATTTCCCTTAATGAAGTGACTCTAGGATGCTTGATAGATACATGTGTTAAATGTAATTAACTCAATAAAGCAGAAGAAATACTCTTAGAAGAAAAGGACATAAAGCCTAATACAATCATTTACACAACTTTGCTCAAAGGATACACAAAATAAGAAAACATGAAAAAAGCCTTAGAAGTAAATTAAAAAAATTTTAATTTTATTTTAAAATAAATATTAAATATTTTAACTCGATAGATATTTGAAATAATGAAGAAGGATAAAGATCTAGAACCTAATATTGTTTCTTACAATAGTTTGATGGAGTGTGCTGTTTAGTGTAAAGACAAAGAATAGATGAAAAAAATTTTCAATGAGATTATGGAATAGAAAGAAGAAAATAAAAGAGCAGACTTGATTACGTATAGCACTTACATTAAAGGGCTTTTTAAGCAGGGAGACATTGAAGAAGCTTTAGAAATTTTTGAAGACTTGAGAAAATAAGAATAATATAAGCTTGATGAAATTTTTTATAATAGTATACTTGATGGGTTGTTTAAGGCTAGGTCATTCGAAAAAACTTAATTGCTTTATCAAAAAATGAGACAAGACAACATTCAACCATCTAACGTTACTTATAGCATTTTAATCAAGCTAAATAGTGCTTAAGACAAGGTTGATGAAGCATTAAATATCCTAAAAGAAATGAAGAAAGTCAGTATTAAACCAGGTTTAATTGTTTACACCTGCTTAATCTAAGCTTGCATTAAACATAAGCGCATCAGAGAGTTACTTCCACTATATGAAGATATGAAAAGAAACAATATAAGAGGTGATCCTGTCTTTTACAACACTCTCGTTAGTGGTTTAATGTTCAATAATTGCGTAAATGATGCGCTTAAAATGACAATTGACACTCTAGAAAAGAAAGTAATTTTGAATCAAGAGGTGTATCAAAATCTTCTGACAAAAGTTTTAAGCAAGAGAAAGGCTATGGAAAATACTCAAAACAGCGGGGAAAATAACGAAGTAGAAGACTAGAGATCGAGAACATATTCAGGAAATATTAGATTTACATCTAATTTCAATTAGATGAATAGCTAAAATTTTGAAACAGAATAGTTGACATTGCAAGAAATAGAAAAATGCTTATAAAAAATGTTAGTTTTACTAAAAAAACATCAGGTTGAAATAGATATTGATCTCTACAAGGAAGTTGTTAATTAAATCTTTGTTAATAACAATGATGAAAAAAAGGAATATCTATAGTATTTAAACCAAAAGGGATCAAACAACATGAACAGATAATATTGGGGAAATAGAAATAATTTAGGTGGTTTTAGTCAAAAGAACTCTGGTTTCTAAAATAATTATAACAATAATTATTCTACAAATACGAATAAAAATAAATCTTAGTCTTTTCACTAAAGAAAGAAGACAGATGATTCTCTTCTTTTTAATAATGGATCGTCAGTCTCATCTTAATATAATAATAATAACTTGAATTCTAGCTACAATTCAAATAAAATAAATTTTAGGACAAATAGTGGGTTTGAGAATGGAAATAACAATAATAATCATAATATCAATAATAACTATAGCAATCCCAAAGTCGGCAATAATCAAGAAGGAAGAAAATTCATTAATAAACCAAAAATAGGAGGCGGACCTTCTATTGACGATTTAAAGAATAAGCTATAATTGAATGGTGATAATTCAGTTTAGCAAAATAAATAGAATAAAAGCGTATCTAAGAATCAAAATTCATTCCTCTCTAATCGCAGTGAAAAGGATGAGATATAAGATTAGTTATTGAATGAAAAGAACTTAGAGTAATTTGAAAAAGACTCTGATGATGATTCCATTGATTCCAAAGGAGAGCATAAAAATGACAAAAATTAGAAGAAGCAGAAAAAAACTTACTTCTCTAAATCTAAAATTTCTAACTCACAAAATAATAACTCTTGATTGAATAAACTCCAGAAATATTATTAAAATTTAAATAGTTAAAAGTACATTTTTAAAATAATTTAATGTTAGTATTCAATTTTAGACAGCTTGCTTTAAGATGTATTTAATATATTTATTAATCAATGCATATTTTAATAAACTCCTCTTAATTAATTTATTAAATTAACTTTTATTTTTATAAATTTAACAATAATTATTGGTTATTATTAATTATTTATATGGGTATATCTATATCAATCACTAAAATTTATAAATCTTTCGCATATAAATCAATAATTTAATTTGCTACTAGATATGAGTATTATCAGAGAAAGAGAGTTTACATTTAGTAAGTGTGACAAAACTACTTAAGACGCTTAAGATTGCTTCCAAAATAAAAACACAAACCTATAAGAAAAAATAATAATTCATAAAAATGTCAATGAAGCGTGTGAATTAGAACTAAATAATGATTTTTTTAATCAAAAAATTAAAATTATTGATGAAATGTTATAAATGAGATAACAAAAAATAGGTTAATTTTAAAACGATCAAGCCCAAATTTTAGATCAAAATAAAGAATATTTAAATGCAACTACTAAGAAAGTATAAATAGAATATAGAAATCCCGATTTTGATAAAACTGTTAACTTAAAATAAGCATTAAGTAGCTAGGAAAAATTTAACTAAAAATACTTTAAAAGTAAATCTCCTCTTAGATTTGATAATGGTAATATTAATTAAATATAATAATATAATTCAACTAATTAAATTAGATAGATCTAAATAAATAAAAAGCGATGTGACAGAAAATAAAAGTAGAATTTCTAAATCTTAAGATATAAATATTAGGTCCATCAAAGTAAATAATTATTATAGCTATTCATATAAATTAATTAAATACTGACAAAATAGGATAGCATGGAAAATATATTAAATTTCGAAGACAAACAAGAATACACATCATTTTTAAAATATTTTGGATAAATAGATAGGTGGATCAAACCAAAATTAGAAAAATTGTGTAAAATTTTTAATCATATTTTAATTTTCCATAAAAGAATTACTATAGATCATCATTAAATCATTAAGATTTTTTATTTTAGGCTCATTTTTTGAAAATTAAAAAATATATTAAGGTCTATGAAAAGGATCAAAAATGGGAACCTTAATATATTAGGATTTATAGTAAATACCTTTTATGGAATTTTTAAAAGATTTTTGAATATAAGATAAAAATATCTTAGGATTTACTTATAAAAATCAATATAAAATTTATATTTATAAAAAAAGAATAGTTAAGATGGGAAATTGAGTAAATTTATAGTTATGTCTTTAAGAAAAAGATAAAAATGAATAGCATAAATAATGTTCTCAAAGATAATTAAGAATTTTCTTGTTATGTAAATGAATTTTTAAAATACTTCAATGAAACAAGAACACTAGTTTCTATTAAAGATTATCATTAAGTATGTAAAATTTTGAAGTTAAATTAGTTTCATATAAAAATTTTACTAATATAAGAAAGCACTTAATCTTCTTTATTCAGTATAATTCTACAGATAATAATACGAAGACATTAAAATATTTTCAGGGTAATTTCTATTTTCAAACTTTCACATATAAATGCTAAAAATACATTTATTTGTTCATTTGTTTTTTTAATAAAAGGTTTCTTGCTGAAAGCTATTCTAAATAAGATTTGGTCTATTTTTTACAATTTAGATGCATTATAGAATATGTGGCAGGAAAATTTATTGTTGATGACTCTTAGTTTGCTAAAAAATATCAAGAATTTGAAATTAATATTGGAATTAGTAAAACAAAAGAATGTATCAAAATGATATTCGGAAATAGACTTAATGAAAGATAATAACATTTATATGAAAACTTGCTCTTGAAAGTAAAGCAGTTTATTTAAAACAAATAAATTTAAAATATGGGAGCTAATTAAAGCATTAACCATATAGAGCTTTTGAGTATTATCTTTTAATCTTATTTAAAAGATAAGTAACTAATGACACAATAGAGCTATGATTCTACCCCAAACTCGAAAAATGGTCTTTTTTAAATAAACTAATCTTTTACTTAAATGACTGTCGAGTTTTAATAAAATTCAAATGCAAGTAAATAAAAAATTGACATTACTTAAAATAAACTTAAATAAGAAGAGTAAAATTATTTAATAAATGATGAAAATTAAAAGAAATAAAATTTTGGTTTTAGATAAAATGAGTTTGAGTAAATCAAATATGATTAGCTGTTTAATTGGGATTTCGATTCAAACAAGCTTAAAAATATGTACAGTGGATTTAATAATATACAAAAATAATTGTTTGATTAAAGCATTTCAATATTTTAAGAAATTGCTCAGCTTATTAAAATAAAAGTGGATCAAAGTTAATTAAAGCTCAATTAAATTGTATTTGCTATTGCAAAAATAATTTTATTTTTAGAGTGCAATGCTTCTTCAGAAAAGGAATTTGTTTCATAAGATTTTGAGTAGATTTGTCAAAAGTATGAGTTTTTAAAGAATAACTAAAGCAAAGATTTTTAAAACTTAACAAATGATGAAGAAAACTAATTAGTAAATCAAATCATTAGGTCTATTTTTAGAGTATTTTAAATTATTTATGAATTTGATGATAAAATGATTTTTATTTTATTAAGTAAAAGGAATTGGCACAAAAGATAGTTGCATTAGAGGAAAAGAACAATTGATTGATATTAAATATAAATGAAATAAATTAAAAAAAGAAAGAAATAATATTTGTTTTATAATTAATTTTTAATAAATAAAATATTAGTTAGTTATAAAAGGAAAGAATTAATACTCAGATAATATCAAAAATTTATTTAAATATTATTAACATTAATTAATTTAAGCATCATTTTCTGATGCAAGAATTTTTATAATCGAATATTTTTTCTTTTTTTTTAATTTTTTTATAGCTGCTTTATCTTTTTAGTAAAAATGTTGTAATTATTTTTTATGTTGGTTGAATGACCATCCATATAAGTATCTTTGCTGTAGATAAATATTGATGTTAGTTTGATGATTGAAATGAATTTAATTTGCATTGTGTGTGAATAAATGGGAATACTTTGTTGCGAAGAAATTTTTAATAGGCATAAAGGGAAAGGAAGGAAAGGTGAGAAGAATGATGAAAATGGTGAGTGTTCAAGAAAAAAAATAAGGAAAGGAAGGAAAGAGGCTAAAAAAGAGATAAAATGAAATTTATTTAATATTTGCAAGCAAATAAGATAACTAAATTAATCGAAAGAAGGAGAGAGAGAAAAATCAAAATAAAGCCAAAAAGCTTAAATACAAAATACGCGAGTATAAAGAAAAAATTAATCAAATATAAATCAAAATATTGTAAAAAAGAAAAAGTATATAAGCAATGTCAACTACCGAAATTGAAAAGGTTGTCAAGGGTGCCTCTTACTCCGCCCTTTTACTCAACGATTGTGGTCTCCCCATTACTGCCGCTAACATCGCTGCTCTCTTCAAGACTGCTAAGCTTAACGGTCACGAAACTACCTTCAAGACCTTCGAAGATTTCCTCAAGACTAACCCCATCACCAACTACATCGGTGCTATTGGTGGATCTGCCCCCGCTGCTGCTTCCTCTGCTCCCGCTAAGAAGGAAGAACCTAAGAAGGAAGAACCCAAGAAGGAAGAACGTAAATTAAAATTATTTAAATTTAAGATAAATTAAAACTCTACAAGCACATTATTCACAATGAATAAGTTAAATATCACATTTATAAACAAACAAACAAATAATGATATACCCATATTTGAAAGAAATTCAGCTATTATGTATAGGAATATAAGTAAATATCTCTGCAAAATTCTTTGAATTAAAGGTTTCCATGTTATATGCCTTGATTGATTGATTATTTTTGAGCCAACCAGCAAGCAAGCAAGAAAGCAATAATATAAATTATTAAGTTTATTAGGAATGATAACTAGTTGCTTAAATCACTAATTAAAATGCTAATAATAATAATAATGCGATTATTTATTTTATGGGTTACAATAATATCAAAACTTAGTGAAAGCAGATAGGTACTCACTTTAGAATGAACTGTAATGAAATATTATAGTTTGTCGAAGCAAAAAGAGTTATATTTGCAAGCATAATCCCCACATTTAAAATGTAAAATGCTGCTAATTAAATCTAATTCTATAGTTTAGCTTTCTGAAGTTAGTTAGTAAGATAATAATTGATTGTAAAGCAACAAACATGTGAAAATAATAATTCAAAAAAGCAGAACCATACAATTAAAAGATATTTAGAATCTTAAAGCAAAAGCAAAACGTAATGAGCTGAATTGTGAAGTATTCTTCATAAAATCTAATAATTTTGGATGTGTTTCAGTTAATTTTATATGATATTTAAAAAACAAACAAACTTATGAATTGTGAAAAATGATTTTTTAACTTGTTTACAAATAAATAAATAAATTAATATTAAGAATATTTTAATTTTATAAAATAGCCAAGGAAGAAGAAACTGATATGGATATGGGTGATCTCTTCGGTTGATAAATAAATTAAAAAAGCGATAAAATATTATATGTATAGATTTATATAAAATACTTAATTAATTCATAAGTCATTTTATATGAGTTATATTTATATGTATGCACTCTACTTTATTTAAATGATATGCATAAATACCATTTTTACTATTAACTTTTAAATGGATCTCCCTCCCTCCTTCTTTTTTACAAACAAATCAAAAATACAATTACATTTCAAATAGCATTCATTATCTTGCTTAATTTAAAAAGATATTTAATCTAAAAACAAACAAACAAACAAACAAACAATCAAAAGATATATTTTTACTATCCCCTTGTTTATTATAAAAAAAACACAATATTTCAAAGTATCTTCTTTGTCAAATTAATTAACAATCGTTTAATTAAGCTTTATTTTGTACCCTTGACTTTATTTATCCCTCAGCGCTTTCTTTTGATTTTGTATTTAATTTCTTTAAATTCTACTTTCAAAATTTTGATTAAAGCCTTAAAAAAGAATTTAATTAAAAACATTTCCTAAAATTAAAAATATCTTTTTTCAGTTTGAAAATTTTTAGATTATTTAATATAATTTTTAAGCCATTATTTTTAAGTAGAGATTAAAATTAAATTTATTTAATTTGTTATTATTTTTCCAATTATTAAATAACAAAATCCAAAGCTAATATATTAAAAATTACTATAAACATAATTCAATTAAAAAATCATTATTTATTATTTTTGATTTAATAAAAAGATTAAATGAAAATTATTAATAAATTAATTGATCAACAAATAAAAAATTAAAGGCATTTTTGTAAAAGCAATTATTAATAATTTTTTTAAAATTTTAACTTTATAGAAAATAAATAGAAAGTAATATGAAAACTTTAATATTTTTAATCAGTTTATTCTCAATAATTGAGCTTACTTAAGGCTAAGTATGTGCATAAAATGCATCATCAAGTAGTGGTTAATGTGTTTGTAACAATGGATATTGGGGTGTTGATGCTTCTTAAAATGGAATGTGTTTCCCTTGCACTTCTCCAGGGGCAATTACTACCCAAGTTTCAAATACAGGAGCTGGGTCTAATGCTTCTGTGTGCAATACATGTGATAAAGGCTACTATATGGTACTTGCTGCTAATATTTAAGGTCAAACCGGTGCTTCCTGTGTTAAGTGTCCAGATTACTCGGCTTAAAATACATAACAAACTACAGTTAATAGTATTTCTTCTTGTGTGTGCTTTGATTCTAATGCTGCTCCACTTTCTCTCAGTTAAAATACATGTGCTTGCAAATCAGGATAGGGAAATGTTGCTCAATCAGCTAGTGCACCTTCTGGATGCAGTTCAGCTAGCAAATCTAACTCAGCTATTAAATAAGTTTTTTTTGTATTACTTTCTATAAGTTTTTTTATCTGAAAAAACTCTTACTATTTTGAATATGAAATAACTCTAACTTTTTTATACTTAAGAGAGAATTATTTGAAAACTCTATTAATTTGTTATTTTTTGTCTAAAAATGCAATTGTTTTTTCTTCTTAGTTTCAGATTAACATTTTGGAAAAATAAAATTTTTAATTTTATTAAAAAACACTATTTATTATTTTTTAAAAATTATTTTAGATAATTTTATAATAATATAAATTTTGTAAGTTCTCATTAATTACCAAAAAAAATAATTTTTATTTTCTAATAATTTTAATCTTGATATTTAAAATATTCAAAATTTTTAATTATTTAAATATGTTTTATTTTTAAGATTTTATGCAATATTAATAAATTAATAATAAAATAAAGAAATAATTAAATTAATTAATAATTTTTAGAAAAGGAAAGTTATTTATTATCTTCTTTCTATATGTAATTTATAAATATTTTTCTGCCAAGATTTATTTACATTGAAAAATTGCTAAAAAAATAATTACAAATAAAAACAATTATTACTAACTTTACTATTTAGTAATTTGTAAAAGTTCTTTAAAACAATAAAATCAGGAAGCTTGTTAATCATGAAATTAAACTATTTATTCTCAAAATTAAAATTTGAAGTATTTAGAAAGATCTTACCTTCAAAACATAAATCAGTTAGAAAATTTGTTTTATGATAGTAAATGCTTTTTATGTGGTTATAATTTAATCATAGATCGATCGAGCTTAAATTAAATTAAAAGAAATTTAACAGAGGATTACATTAAAATAAAAATGGAGTTAGAAAATTAACAACAACTATTATTGACATTTAACAATAGTACATTAGTTTATATTTTAAAATAATATAGATATGCATACTATAATTGAGCTAATAAAGATAATAATTTTGAAAATAAATGAATATTTTAGTAAACATTAATGTATCACTACTATTTATCTAGCTTGCTTGCTTGTTTGCTAAGTAGCTTTGGTATCATTAAAAAAAGAAGTGCAATATTTGAATGTATTTTATCTATTTGTTTGCTGTGATAAGAAAAAATTAATTATTATAAATAGATTTGATTTGATTAAATTGCTAGGATTTTGTATTTACCTTTAAAAATAAGAAGAGAATTTTGAAATAAAGTAAAAGCAAAAAGTGCAAATAACTATTATAAGACAGACTAGCTTAGTAAATTCAGTGTATAATAATAATATAAATAAAATCTCTTTATTTGATTTGAAGATAGTTTGAAATCATGAATAACAGTAATATTTAATAAGGCCTAAACGAAATAGAAGGCTAAAGAGTTGTTTAAGGCTTTGGATAAGGACATTCCAGGATGTAAACTGAACCATCCTCAATTTTAGCTACTTAGCACAATGCAAGCGGAAATGAGGCTACAAATAACCTTTATTAAATGACATTTAACAGTAGCAAGTATAGGAAAGAATAATAGTTAAGCTAATAATCATAGTTTTAGAATCATACTTAATTGATTAACAATTAATTTAATTTTACTGGATAAAACCACCAAATATCCAAGTAGTAGTAGCAAAGTGCTGTCAATACAAGTGCACAGAATACCAGTAATTCAGGAATATAGTCTAATTAATAACAAAATAGTAATGCCTAAATGTAGTAACAGCAGCATACTTCTTAAAATATGTGTTCTACTCATTAAGGATAATAACAATAATAAGCTAACAACAATTCAAATGTTACCATAAACTTAAATTCTTAAAAATCATCTTCTAGAGTTAGAAGCAATCACTCTTACTTGAGTGGCACATAACAGAGCGCTTAGATAGAGTCTTCAGTGAATTAAGGCTAATCGCGCTTCTTTCAACCTGCTTATGATCTTTTCTTTGAGATTCAACGCAAATTAGACAAGGTAAATATTTTAGTGTTGCAAATCAAAGAATTTTGAAAGCATAAAGAAAGAGATAGTATAAATTTCCTTGGAAAGAAAGCTAATCAATTGAATATATAAAGAAGTTTTGCGCTTAATTATAAATAAATCATTCACATCAACAAAGATATTATTTAATTATTAAGAGGATTGATTTATAATTGTGGGATAATAAAATTTGAATTTTAAATTACTTGAATTCATTTTTAAACAAACAAACAAAAACAATATTAAATAATAAGCACGAATCGTCTCCAAAAAATTATTAACAGATTTAATTTCAATTTCAAATCTATTATTAAAATGTTTGTTTTTCATTGATATTTTTAAATGAAAAATAATATAATTAGATTGATGACTTTTTTTTAATTTAAAGCATTGTTAAAATTAATTTAAAATTATTTTTTATTAAATAAAAAAGGATTTAGCTGAGCGACTCAAAAGACAAATACCAATAGAAGAGAAAAAAGAAAAAATATACAAGTACGAAGCAGCAAATATCATAAGTTTTATAAAGATAATGTTTGAAGGCATCCTTGCTTAAAATTCAGATTTAAAAGTTCAAATTATTGAGTTATAAAATGCAAATAAAATAATAAGCGCTTCTTTGTCAACCACACACCATAATACTACAAATTAATCAAATGGAAACATGATTTGTGAGGAAAATAGTGTAGAAATTACTTGTAAATACTGTAAGGAGTATGAACAACAACTTTAGAAGCTTGAAGGAGATATCAGGCAGCACATTAGAGTAAAATAATTTTTAATGATATATATTTTTTAATTGGAATATTAATAAATATAATAGATACAACAATAGCTGAAGATCAGCATAGAAAATAATTAAAGTAAAATTGAAGAATCTGACAGGGATAGTATTAAAATGACTGAAAAGATAGCTCAGATAACAAAAGTAAATTTATTAAAAAATGATTTTTATTAAAAAAATATTTATTTGTTAAATAAAAAAAAGGAATATGAAGAAATTAAAATAAAGTTAGAAGAAAAGACAAATGAGATTTAAGTGAATTAAGTTCAAAAACAAAATTTGGAAAAGCAATTAGAGCAACTTTATGAAAAAAATAAATTACTGGAGAATAGATTAATTAGTGGAAGACCATCAACTTCTAATCTGCACATTAACATGAGTACTCTTCCCTCAAATCAGCAGTCTTCTCATTAATCATTTATAAAGACAAAAAGTGTTGTAAATAACAAGCACATTCTTGATTCTTTTGTTGATGATGGCCTTCTCCATGAAGTTGATAAAAGCTCTTCTTCAAAAGCAAATTTTAGTAGTCTCAGCACTGCTTAATAGCTTTAAAAATCCTAAGAACTACAAAAGATGCATACATAGTCTGATTCTTAAAAGTCAAACTCAAACTTAAATAACTTCTTGTAAGGAAAGTAAGCAGTTTAATTAAAATGATTAAAAATAAGCTTATTAAAATTTTATATAGTAAATTATTTGGAAATGAGGCATTTACATTCGACGAGAGTGGAATTAGACGCGTAAATCCTCAATAAGAAGGGGAAACTTTATAAAATAATATTTAAAACCTAAGTACCAATAGGTTGCCTATTAATCATGAGTTTGTTTCTAATGAGAACGAACACCTAAGTTGTGAGAACAAAAAGGATAAATAGTCAGAAGAACTTATCAATATTTAAAAAAAACTGAAAAAACTTTAAAAAATATCAGAGTCAAAACTATAGAACTAGCAACACTCTCACTCAATATCACAAAATTATTAAAATAACTTATAATAAACTTCTTAGGACATCTCTTTATAGTAAAAATAATTCAAATTTTTAATTTTAAAATAGAATTTCATTTAAAAAAAGGAAACAATTAACAGAAAGAAACGGCTCTGTAGAAAAATACTAAAAACCATACTAGCTTTCATCAAATACTTAGCGCCTTAATACAATAAGCAATCTAGTTGGCATATCTAGAGAAATACCATCTAATAAACAACCAGAAGAAAAAAATACTTTGAATTCATCTCATTAAAATCTTAAAATGTAGAATAATAGCTTCAGCACTTTGAAGAATTAATCAATACAGTAATAGTAATTATAGTAAGCTCTCTAAGGAAATACAAGTTAAATGCAATCAAACGCTTATGGCACTATAAGGAATGTATAATAACAGTTAAACAGACCTTCCTCCACATTAGGATAAAGAGATATTAATAACATTAGCAATAATAGTATAACAACCTCTAAACCTTAAAATATAAGCTAGGCTTAAATTTAATAAAATGTTTAACAGTAATAAAAATTAAATAATAAATCAAGTAGTTAAATCTCCAATCATGCATCAATAAACAACGATAAAAATTCATAAAACACTAACAAAACAAAAATACCTAAAGGCAACAGTAATTCATAGCAATTTGTTTGTAATATAAACATAAACTCATAAAATTAAAATTCATCTCAATACAATATAAATCAAAATCATTAGAATACTCAATAATCTTTATCTTCGCACCAGCATTAGAAGCAATCTTCACTAAGCAAATAAAGTTCCTTGTAGCTAAAATAAAATGATAGTGTCTTAAATAGAACTAACACTTCTGGAACAATCAATATTAATAATTATGTTAATCCATCATCATAAAACTAAGCAACAGGACAATCACCTTAAAAAATTTTTTCGGGAAGGTAGAACTATACTGGAACAAACAACAACTGTGATACAGACAGAGAAAGAAATACATCTAACCAAAGATAAAATGGCGTAGCTTAAAATCATCAAAGCGTTTCTTATAATAATAATGGTCACAAAACATTAAATAATTAAAAATCATATGAAAAACTAAGAGCATTTATGAACTCTCCAAAATTTAAAACAGATGAAGTAAAATAAAAAATTAATTAAAAAAATTATTTGAAAATTAATATTTGTTAATTAAAATAGGATGTTTAAAGCAATACAAGAAGCTAGAGTATGGATGGGTAATCTAGTTACCGCAATATAAATTAAGTGTAAACCTAGAGATCTAAGCACAACATCCCTATCTAAAATCAAAGCAAACCCGTTCAAAAATTATAAAATCAGTCAAGCTCAATTCACTACTAAATAAATTTGAGCATGAATAATAACAACAATAATATAAGCTAATTGAACAACTCAATTCATAATAGAAGTCATTTTTGAATTAGTATTTCAAAGAAACAATAAAGATGTACTCTAAAAGTAATTTAAAATGATTTAAAAATACTACTCAATATGTTGATTATCACCCTACAGATAACTTACTTACTTACTAACTAACTAATAAAAAAACAAATAAAAAGTTTTGAAAATTGTATAATTGCTAACTAATAACTAAAATATTAAATAAAATAATAAATTAATTATAAAATTTATAAAATAAAAAATAAACTGTAAATAATAAATAATTCATCTTATATAAAAATAAATAAATAAATATTCTTGTACTTTGAATGTAATTTTACTTTAACACTAATCAAATATGAATGCTTGAAGAAAATTATCACTTTCTAAAAATATTTTATATAATAATTTCTTTTAGTTTAGTCAAAAAAAATGTTTTAAAATTATTTATTTTTAGTAATTAAATAATTATGAAATTATTAATGAATTTTCCTTTATTTTTTGATTAAAAAAATCAATTTTTTATATAAATTAAGCTCAAAAGAAAAATAAAATAAATATTAATTTAATAATTTAATTTAATAAAAATATTAATTTTATTATTATATATTTAGATTGCGCGAATGGAAATAAAATAAATAAAACATATTTGCATTTTATTGATTTAAATGGGGTAATCAATTATTAAGAAGGAGAATACAGTGAAAATGGCTGATTAATTAGTAGGAAATATTAAAAAATAATAGCAAGGATAAAAGTGAGTGGGTTGAATTAAATAAGAAAAAAAGTGGGAGAAAAAGATATGGAATGAAAGAGAGCTGAAGAATTAATTTTATTAATAAGACGAATCTCCTTGTATTGATAAAAATAATCAAATACGAAAATAATTTAAAGAAAAAAAAAACAATCAAGCAAATATTAAAAATCATATAAAATATTAGAAATGAACTCTGGTAGAGCAAATCAAAGAAGCAAGCCCATGACCGGTTTGATCAATGACAAAAAGGAAAAGATCGACGCTTATCTCCCCAGAAAGTGTGACTGGAGCAACAAGCTCATCTTCTCCAACGATCAATCTTCCGTTCAAATCGCTATTGCTGAAGTATATATCTTATTCATTTAAAATGATAGCATTTAGAATAATCAACCATATTTTCAAAATCATCCTTCTATTTTCAATTTCAAGCAAACTTAAGCTCCGAATTTTTGTTGTGAGAAGCGAATTCTTACAATTTTATTATGAAAGAATTAGTCTTTGCATTTTATGAAAGTTTAATGACTGCTATTGGTTATCCAGAATCAAAATATATATGAATTTGGTAGAGAAATAACATATTCAGAGTAAAAAACGAATAAACTTGATTAAAGTTATTAAATGTCAATTAAATCTCAAGATAAATTAATAGGGAATCTACAGCTTTAAATAGTTTGTGTATTCGGGTGTGATCAATTTATTCTTAACTTTTAAGAATGAGCGTGTTTTTGCTTTTAAAGTAGGAATTAGTTGACAAATTCAGAATATTTATAAAAATAGAGATTAAATAAAATTATGAATAATTAGAAAGAAAAGTTGAACGATAGAAAATAAATATTAAATATATGCAGTTTTCATTAAATGTTTTAACACGGGGTTTAGGTTTAAAATCAATTTTAAGTGAACTTATTCTATTAGATTGTAAAATATATTGAGCAATATAACAATTCATATTAAAAGTAAATAAATAATTCGCTTTTTAGAGATAATAGAAAAATTCGAACTTATCTTATTATTTAAAATCGAACATCTACAAAAGTTAATAATAGAAATCTAGTAACCAACATAATTATATATACTTGGAATTATAATAAACATAAATAAAAATTTGGTTTGAAATATTCATTAGAATATGATTGAAAATTTGATTGGATGATATTTGTCTACATACAACTTTTTAAAATATTCTTTATTAAACTTATATTTTTATAATAGGTTGGTGAAAATGGTCAAGCTACTGGATCTAAGACCAACGTCGTCCTCTGCGGTTCTGTCAGATCTAAGGGTGAAGCTCATATTGCCTTAGAAAATATCCTTAGAGAAAGAGGTCTTTACCCCATCTAAGAATGATTAGACTAATCTACTTTACTTTAAATTTAACAAAAATTAACAATTGATAAATATATAAATTAATTTTAAATGTAGATTTATGTTTTTTGAATTGCAATTTATTTAAATATGCTTTAAATTTATACTCTTCAAAAATCTTTGAATGACTCTTCAATTAAATAATGAATACATAAATAAATAACTTTATAAATAAATAAATGAATTTATGTTTGTATGAATGTATATTTGTTTTATATACTGTTAAATATTTTGCTACTGTTGTTTTAAGCAAAATGACTGTAAAATGAATTAGTATTGACTGCATATTAATTAATTAAATAAATAAATAAACAAAGCTGATTTATTTGATTCTTGCACTTTTCATTGAATTAAATTTAATTTCTCATACTTAAGGAAAATTGATCAAATTTGTATTATTTAATTTTATTTAAAAATTAACTTTTACCAAATCTGAAATATTTAAAAATCTATTATATTATTTTCAATTAATTACATTTATTAAAAAACTAAAAATATATTTATTTATTTTAAAAATCTATTTCACATATAAAAATATGTTTCAATTGATTTTTATATTACATGCTTAATATAAAGTAAATTCTATATTCAAAATACAATTTTATGCTTTTAAATTAATTTGTTCATTCTATAGCTTCATTCATTTAAACATATTATTTTTATCAAATTTCAAGAGAATTTTCTAAATATCTAATGTTTTTTCTCAAATTTTCAGTGTAGGAAGGGTAAAAAAAATTTTATACATATCTATACTCTAATACAAAGAGAGGTGTCCAAAAAAAGGTAGTATTCAAGAATGCTTGCAATATATAAATTTATTAAGTTTATTATTTACAATTAGATTAAATAAATATCTTTGTACAGTGATCAAGGAGTATTTCTAATTTTAATGAGATATCAAACAGAATATATTCAAACATTCTGACTGAAAATTATAAATTTTAAATTCGTTTTTTTGAATAGAATATTTTAGAATAAATTGTAAGAGATCAATTATTAAAACAAACAAAGAATTAAAATATTTTATTTTGATAAAAAATAAATTATCAATTTTCTAGCTATCTTGAAGGGAAAACTACATTTAGTTGCTAAGCTTGAGAAATGTTTTGTTCATGTTCAATTTATATTTCGTAATCATCAAATTCATTTAGTCTTGATGAATTAGTAATAATATTGCTTTGATCAATCTGTTTATTTAGGCAATCAGTAATTTTTTAAATATTTTAATCAGTAGTTTATAGAGGGTTTGTTTAACTGTGTAAATTGTAAGACTTCTATAAAGAGTCTGAAATAGTAAATTATTGAGAAATCTGATTTTTTTTATAGCAATGCTAATTAGTGCTGATGCTATTAGATTATTATAAATGCTTTTATAGTGTAGTAATTCCTTATTAATCAAAGCCTTACTTTTCAATAAATTGACTAGATCTTTTACCTAATAATGCTGATTAATTAACTTTTTAAGGTGAAAGCTTATGAGGTAATTTGATATTAAAAATAGATTTCCTTCTAAATTAAGATATTCCTTTTTAATTTTATTTATAAATATCCTTATAGATTTTATTATACTTATAAATATACCATTTTTTATCAGACTTAGCCAGATTTAATGTTTACAAAATAAAATTTAAATTATTTAAAGGAAAGTAATATTCGAAATTTCTAAATACTTCAAACTGTTCTTATATACTTTAGTTAAATTATAAATTGTTTAGAAGAGTTTCTTTTAATAAGAAAAGTTAATTTTCGAATTGGTTGGCTTAATTATTAGTTAAATTTTCTTGTTTGATTTATGAGCTAAAAATTGATGACACAGCTTTACTGTGGCTTTTTATTTAAAAGCTTCCTCTTATTTGAGGAATAGACATAATTTTTTTTAAATTTTAATCCTAAATTTTTTATTGAGAACCTATACACTATGATGAATCAATCTTATTGAGGGTATTTTTATATTGTTAGAAAGAAAACTCAGATTTTTCTGCTTAATCCTCAGAAGAAAAATCATTTACGTTTAGTTTGCTCTTAAAATATTTTTTAGAACTATCCATCTATTCAATGTTTGAGTAAATTTCTTATAGAGGTGCTTTAAAATCGTCTTTGTCTAGTTTACTATTTTAATTTTAATTTTATAGATCTAATTCTTTTGTCAAATTGTTATTTGTAAGATTCTATTATGAAATATTCCTCATCTCATTTTAATTTGGTTAAATTGCGTCTTCAAGATTTTAGAAAGAAATTTCATTCCTTAAGGAATATGGCAAATATGTTTTAATATAATAATCTTCCAAAAAATCCTTAATAAAGAAATAAATTAAAATGTGTATTTAAAATAATAAAAAATTTACTTTATTATTATTTTAAAAGCATAAAATTGAAAATTTTTCTGGATTTATACCTTTAATTTTATAAGAATAATTTTTTCTTTCAAATTCATATCTTTATTTTAAATTTTAATGATTAAATCTAGCAATTATGTGTTCTTTGTTAGGGATATAATGAGTATCAGGACAGAACTGCAATTAGTGAGAAGTACTTAGGCAAGACAAACAATCTTTTTTTATTAAATCTAAATTATCATATAACATTATATTATCTTTAATATAGCAAAACTTCTCATAGTCGCTTTGATATTCTTTTAGCACTTCTAGAAAATCTTATCTTTTTATAAAAAGAAGTTTACAAAACTCTTTACTTCTCACTGTATAACTTTCAGAAAAACCAGTAAAAAACCCAACCATTCCAAAGCTTTTGCCTTTACCTAAAGTTGATATAATTTTTGGTTTTTAGTATATTTTTTATTTATCTTCATCTTCTCCTTCCATAATAATATCCACTTCACCTATTAAACAAATTTAATTTAATTATGAAAAGTAATGTAAATCAAAATAAAAATATTTATTTTTCATTTAATTAAAATTGAAAAAAATACCAAATATTTTTGAAAGCAGACATTTAGTTTTTTTAAAAGGGTTTTTATGTAATTAAATATATTTATCTAATATTTGTTATTACTTTATTTTACATTTTGTTTTTAATTTAGTTAAAAAATGTTAAAAGAATAGAGTAATTGAGATAAAGTATGATTAAATGATAATCCTCTCTCAGATTATTATATGGAATAGAAGTATTCTTCTCAGAAAAAATTGCTTATGATTCAGACCTTAGATTGGAATTATATTAAATTATTTAGTCTTTATTACTTTGATAATTTTTATTTTAAATTACTTGTTTATTTTTTTTTAAATTTTATGATTGATCATTCTTCCAAAATTAAATTTATTTATTTCTTTATTTCTTTCAATTTTGGGTGTTTTTATATTCAAAAAACCATAATTTTATTTAATTTTAAAAAAATTTTTTCTTTGAATTTCAAATAATTATTCAATTTTTTACTAAATTTTTATTTTTGTTTTAGAAAGGATTAATTAAGCTTTTTAATATTTTTAATAATGAATATCAAGCTAATAAATAAATAATACCTTTTTCTATAAAAAATATTTATTGCTATATATCTCCTCTTTTAAAAATTTTCTCTTCAGGTGTACATGTTAGTTATTGTATTATGTTTAATGTTTTAGTGATAACGTTTGAGCTGAAATTATGCTTAAATATTGGTGAATCTTTGAGTATTATTCTATTAGAATCCATTAAGAGTTACTCTCTTAGCTATTTGCTTAGCTGTTAGTTGATTATATTTTCTTGTTGCTTGGAATCATCTATATCATTTTCTTACCAGTAGTATTCTAGATATTCTCTTATTTGATATTTTAGAGCTTTGTTTACATTCTTTTTTATCATATATTTGTTAATTAAATATATTTTATTTTGTGTTTCCTAATCTTTTTTAGAAAATTCCCTTAATAATTATCCAATCGTATTTATTGAATACGCAAACATTTAACTTGACATTAGAATTGAAAATAAGCTCCAAAGAAGTTCTATTTCAGAAATAGGAGTTATATCACCATACCCTACTGTTGACATAGTAGCTAATATTAAGTATTTTATAAAAATGATATTTATTAAAATTCATAATTTTAGCAAACAAATAGACAAGCAAATGATAATGATTTAACATTTTTAATAATTTACTTATAGAATAATAAAGAGCGTGAAGATAAATATTTTAAATTGGTTAATCTTGTAAATTAGCTTTTGTTAACCAATTTTAGTTATTTAAATTGTAGTTTATCTGAATCTTTCCAAGTAACACCCAAGAGCAGGCAAACAAATGGCAAACAAAAATCATAGTTGCTAGCAGTTTGCATAAAGAAATAAAATTAGTTGTATTTGGGGTAAGTAGAATCCTATTTTATTATAACAATAATAATAATAATTTATTCAAAGCTTTATGTTAATTCAAGAATTTTGGGAAGGGAAAAAATTGAGGAAAATATAAATTAATTAATTAATTAAGCATATAAATAAGACTAACTAATTATGAAGTTTTAATTTTTAATTAGCAATATAAAGATAATACATTAATTAAAACAAGTTGTTTCAGTCTATTCAACGCTTGTTAATTAATTTTTTACCTTTCTTGAATTTTGTTAAAAGTTCTGCTAAATTGAGTCATTTTTAAGAGACATAGCAAAAGCAGAAGCTTGCCAAATGAAAAATCAGTTGTGCCAGTATTTCCATTTACAAAATGGAAGTGCACAAAAATAGGAAGTAAGCTAATTAAGTCAATTAAGAAGCTCGATTTTAAATAATTATTTAAAATTCTGAGTTTGTCGTTGATATAGTGACCTTATTCAAAATACCCAGTATTAATATTAATAATTATATCAACAATAGACATTATTTTATATAAAAATACAAGGTAATCAGGAAAAATAATATTAAACTGAACTCCTGATGCAACATAAAAAGGAATAACTATTGATATTACTAAGTTAATCATAAGCTAAATTAAGTCCCAAAAAATTTTAAAGTGACTAGAAGGATCAAATATAGGTATTCTTTTAAATAACTTTAAAGCTGCCTAGCCTATTTATTATAACTTCTATATGAATAGTAAGAATAAAGATAGAATAAAACTATAAATCAAACGAATATGATTATACTAATAACTTGACTTCTAAAGTTACTTTTTGTTTTTTGAGTCTCCATTCAGTTTATCTTAATGCTTTTAAATAAAACAGTCTTCTAATTTCTATTTCTTGGAATCATAAAATATAGATTGATCATTAATTATATTTATTTATCTCCACTGAATAAATTTAAGCTTTCTATGTCTTAAATTATTTATTATTTACTATAGATTCATTTTTAACTTTAAAAAGCTTAGTAAGTTTGTCATAACAGGAGATTTTTCATTTTATAGTTATTAATTATTAGTTTCAAAGCTATTGAACACATGGTTCTTTTATTTTTCATTCTGAGTTTCTTAAATTTATTCTTTACAAATTACAGAAAAATTAATAGATTAGCTTTTTTTATAATCAGTTGTCATATGAGTCAATTTATTTTTAAAAAAATTAATTCTTCTTGATTTTATTTATTTATTTATTTATTATTAATTTGTTCTTACTTAAGATTAATAGTTGCTAAGTTTAAAACCAAAGCTAATGTTGATCAATAAATCAACTTTTTTAATTAATTTTTTGTAAACGAGTGAATTAATAATTACCACATCTAATCAGTGAAAAGTGCTTCTCGTTTTTTAACATAACCAATATTAATTGAAACAAAAATTTACTGTAGGGCATTATTTTTGTAATTTTTTTTTTACCTTTTTTAAATTTTTTTACCTTTTTAAAAGTTTATCCTTCCATAACAATTAAATAATTTAAAAATATTTTTGATTCATAATTATTTCATATAAATTATTACTTATTATTTTGGCAATTTTTTTATTTTATCTTTTTTAAATATTAATCCTAAACTTAATTTAATTAATTAAAAAAATATTTTTTGAATAATTATTTTTAAATAATTAAATAAAAATTCTGATATCTAAAAAAATGTTTACAATTCTTGTAATTTTTTAAATATAATTAGATCTTTCTTGTATGTACTTTTCTAAATAATAAAAATACAATTTAAAAAAAAAGATTAAAATCATATTTTTATTTGCAAGTGATCATAACAAAAGTTTATTATTAAAGTTAATTAAGGTAGCTAAAAAGCTATAAAAAGAAGGGAATTTTATTATTCTAAAAAATTAGCTATTTTCTTTAATTTTAAATCTTATTTTTAGTTATTTTTTTAATATTTAATATTTATTTTAGTTTCAATAAAAAATAAAAAATAATTTTTTGAATCTAGTTTTTCATAAATTAATTTTATTTTATTTTTATAAAATCTTTTTCTGTTTTAAATAAGATTTTTCAAAATAAAAGATATTAATAAAAAAACAAAATAGACAGACAAATTATTTTAATTTCAAAAATTTTTAAATATTTGCTTTCATAAATAATATCAATAAAAATTTTGTTAATAGTAAATTTGAAAATATCATTTAAATATCTATAATTTTTATTTGTTTTTTTGATATTTTATTTCATTTTGTTTTGTTTGTTATTTTTAATTTTTTCTTTCATTAATTTATTTATTTATTTAATTTTATTTATTATCTTTTTTTTTATTTAATTTATTTATTTATTTATTTTTAATTTGTAAGTTTTTTCTCTTTAAAATTTAATGCCATGATCTCAATCCTTCCTTCCTTCTTTCTTTCTTTTTTCTTCTTTTGTTGAATTTCTTCCTAATAAAAAATATTTTTATATAGATAATACTGGGTAATAGAAGAAGCGGAATAAGAAGGATCCGGGAGTAAGAAAATCCTCAAAGGTATTTTCAAATTAATATTTATGCTTTTGAATTTTAAAAATTAAGTTGGAGGGATAATTTATCATTCTATTAATCTATTAATTATTTGTTTATGGCTCAAGATTTCAAGTAGAATGCTAAACATCAAAATCACGAGGATGAGATTGATTGGATGTTAAAAACTAGATTAAAAAGCATAAATATTCTGCAACCATTTTTAAAAACTTAATGCTCATTTTTAAAGCACTTTTTTAAGAAATAGGTTTTTGTTAGTTTATTTCTTTTTCCTTTATTTATTTGTTTGTTTTATTTATTTATTTATGAATTTTATTATTTCCAAAAATTCAATTTTCTTCTTGCTATAATTTCTTATATCACAAAAGAAATTTAAATTTTTCAAAGAAATTTTTTTATAATAATTAAAAATAAAATAAAATTCAAAATTAAAGAAAAGAAAGAAAAGGAAAAAATTTAAATTCTCTTCTTCTTAAGAGTTTCTTATAACTTAACAAAGAAAAGATTAGCAAGTTTTTAAATTTGGTAAAAAAGGATATTCCTTAAAAAATAGATTCTTTATTTAAAATAGTTTTTAATATCCCCTTCTATTGTTAGTAACTATATAGTAGTTTCAAAATTTACTCTATCCATTTCAAACTTTAACCCATTTTGTTTGAAATATTAGAATTAGTTACATCAATAATAAATAAGATTCCATAAATTTTTTAGTATTCAAATAATGAATCTATTTAAAAATCCTTCCCGGACCCTTCTCTTCCGCATCTTCTATTACCCAGCATTTCTTGAATAAATTATAAAATATATTAAAAAGGCCTTTCCTTATAGTTCTCTCAATTAACCTCAGCCTATAGACCTCCTAAGAATAAATATATTTAAAAAACTAAAAAAAGCAAATAAATAAATTAATGAAATATTAATAATAAAATTTAAATTTAAAAAGTTAAAAATAAATAAATAAATAATTGAATAAATCAACATAAAGAATATAAAAATAAATAAAATATAAATATAAATAAAATAAATAATTAAAGAAAATAAAATATAATAAACGATTAGATAAAATAGAAATAAGTTTTTTTTACTATTCGGTTGCTTATTTTTAATTTTTAAAATATAAAATAAGGGATCTTGTTATAATAGAGGTATTGTTTTAATAAAAAAAAGCAATTATTTATGTTGATGGCTCAAGGAAAAGGATTTAATGAACATAATATTTTAAGAAAATTTCTATCTAAATATAAAAGCTATTAAATACAAAAATATAATTTTTTGGTTGAAATTAAAAAATAAAAATGTAAATATGGGTTTCTTATCTTTTATGAATGATATCAAAACTGCCAAATAAATTCTTATTTGTTAAAAAAAACATTCATTCTTTGCTTTAAATAATATTTTAGAGGTTAGATAAAAAATAAGTTTTGTAAAATGAAATATTTTGATTATTATTAAATCAATTCAGTTATTAAAATTTTCTATTGAATTGAAAATATAAATAGATAAATTTATATATCATTCTTTACTAAACAAACTGCATGAATAACTTAATATGAAAACTAATAAATAAAATGTAACTAAATTAAAATATATTTATAAATTTAATATACCTATGAATTAGTTGATATATTATTAAGTTTATATTTGTTATTTATTAGCGTATGAATATAACCACCATAGAAAAATGGTTTTTTTGAAATTTTTGATTCATCAATTACTATAATTCATAAAATTTATCTATGTCATTTTATTTTTTTAGAGAAATAAAATAATTTTCAAAAAACCAACATTTTATGATTTAGATATAAATATACAATTTTTGCTTAATTAAAATCTTTTGATTTATTGTGGTGTTAAAAGTAGAAAATTTTGTTTTGATAAAGTTTTAATTCAAAATTATTTAATACTAATTAATATATTATGAAATTTTTAGTAGTGTCCAAAAGAGAAGATATCGAAATGAATACTTATTTATAAATTAATTAGTAATTAAATAAATAAATATATAGATAGATTATATAAAGTTAAATAGAATTTTATATTTATTTCATAGATTATTAAGCATTTTTTTAATTGCCTTTTCCATGTATTTGTATAAGTAACTATATTGCACGTTTGTATAGACCATACCCCATCTTTATTCTCTTAATCTCCTTACAGTACCAAATATACTTATCCTGAATTCATCCTTTTGTTTATCAGTAAGCAATTCAAGTTTTTAGCTAATTGGACCAATTGCTTCTATAGCATTATAGTCATGTTAGTTAATATCCAACTATTTTAGAATCAACAGTTTTATTTAATTTGCAAAATATTACAACGTCATAGTTAAATTCACTAAACTTAAAATTGTTCCTGTTCTTCCTACTCCTGCACTAATTTTTAATAAAAACAAAAAAATAAAATATTCCATAAAATAAATTTATTTTATGAGCATTTAACACCAAAAATTACTTCAATTTTTTTATATTTATAACTTTAATATCAATTAATTTATCATTTTTCCACTTCATTTTTGAATGAACTAAATTCTATCCAATCAATTTCAATTTATTTTTTTTAACTCAATTATTTATTTGACTTGTTGATAGTTCATGAACACCAAATTATTTTTAATTTAGGTTAAAGTTTTACCTGCAATGTACTACTGTTCTCTTTCCTAAATTGGCATTTTAGATCATAATGTCAATAATTTCTTCTAGAGTTTCATAGCTGTCGTCGTCAGGAACGCCATGATCGGGCCATCCAAGCCACTAATTTGATTTTATTAAAATTAAACTTAAAAATATTTCCTGCTAAATATGATTTACGTGATATTAAATAACAATCTTAGTTTTAATTTAATCATCTTCTTCTTTAGAAATATTTAATTTTCTAATTATGAGCTTGTCTTTGGTTTATTCATCTTCTATATTAATTGTAAACTGTCCTATATATAATGGTTATCTCTGCTCTTCTTAATTATCTGGCCAATATTAATCACACTCCACCTTTTAATAATTATTTAGATAGGATAATTATATACTTTAGATTTATTGATCAAGCTCATTTTAGATAAAAGCTTTATAAAATTAAATTTATCATTGATTGATTACCCTTTCTTATTCCTATTTTATTTTATTATTAAATTGAATATAATATCTTTTAAAGAATATTTTACTATCAAGCGACAAAGCATCACTACAGACTTTACATCAGAATACCACACCATTTTCCAAAAATTTGCTATTGTATTCTTCATAGGTCCTTACGTTGCTATAAAGATTTTCTTTCTATTGAAGCAATCCTTGCATAAAAATAATTTTATAGATATTGCAAAGGTAAGAAAAATAAAGCATTTTAAAGAAAAATAAGTTTTATCAAAGAATAAGTAAATTTAGTTGTTACATTGATGAAATTTGCATTTATATATGTACTTGCTTTTGAAGGCAACCCATTTAGTCCATCTATATTTTATACTTCTGATAGATCATCATCCTAATCAGAAAAAGAGTCTGGAATATTTGATATAATGCTATGTTTATCTAATAGTTAATAAAAAACAATTGAGTTCCAAATTAATGCTATTTCTATAACTTTTAATTTTTGCTATCAATTTTAGTTGATTCATAATCTAAATTTTTTATTTTACAGGGTATTATATTGTTGTATCTATTATGCTTGTTTGTCTCAGGAGAGTACTCTTGTAGTAGGTTGTTATGAAAAACCGTCTCTGTTATTTTTCTAATCACCTAAATAAAATAAACAATTTTATTGATATATCAATTCTATCTTTAAATTAGATTAGTAGCTAAACAAAATATTCAACACAATCATAAATGAAATCTGCTTCATAAATATTAGTTTAGAAAATTTAATTTTGCAATTTTTCTTATTGAGCTAGATAAACAGAATAATATTTTAGTCCAAGTTTACTTACTTTAAAAATATAGTAAATAATATTATTTTTACGCGAAACTCCATATCTTGTTTTCTATCCTTGATTCCCTCTGCAAAATTAAAAATAGGAATACCCTTTTCAAGCTTGTTGATTTCTTACATCTAATTTACCCATTCATAAGAAAGATCTGAATCTGGTTCTTTTCCTTCTATAATAGGAGGTTAACTATTGCTAAAATTATTGTTTTCCATTTTTGTTAATTGCTTAATTTAATCTTAAAATAAATATATCAAAGTTTGTTTTTGCAAATTTAATTTATAAATCTCTACAATTAGCGCATTTAATTAAATCAATCAAGATAAAATGCTTGCATAGGCAATAATATTTTAGTTAAATTGTGCAAGATATTGTAAATATTATCAACGCTAAATTAAAGCTAATTAATTATTATTAAACCTTAATAACTTTCATTTTTGCAAATATATTTTTTTAAGCTTCAATTTTGTTTATCAATAATTTTCAAAAATAGGTGGATGGATGGATGGTTGGTTGGTTACTCAGCTCATTAACTAATTTTTTTACATTAAAATAAATTAAATTTATTATTTAATTGTGCTTAAACTACCTTTAAAGTTGAAGTATTTTATAAAATATATAGATAAATAAACATTTAGGATATGACTTATAAAAAATTCTAACAAATGAGTGATATTAATTTTTAACAAAAGTACAATTGCATGTAGTCTCCCATACTTATGAATTAAAATAGTATGAAAAAAAAAAAAATAAGCATAAAATAAATAGCTGATCGAACTCAAGTTAAATATCTATAGTTTAAGAAAATACTTTATTATTTGATAAAAGTGATAGAACTTTATTAAGAATACTTATTTATGTATGACATTTTATTTTATTATAAGAAACTTAAAATTGAATTTATTTAAATTTAATTCAATTTATCAATAATTAATTCAATTCCAATAAAACTAAATTTTGGAGAATAATTTAATTGAAATAAATAAAATAATCTAATTTTCAAAAATAAAAAACAAAATTTCAATTATTAGTGTTTCTTTTTGTTAAATATGAGAAGAAATAAATAAATAAATACCTTATTCCTTCTATTAAATTATTTAATAGTATTATTTTAAATTAGCTAAAAATTTTTAAAAAATTAAATATGGTCTTAATTAATGATGATTTAAAGTATTTCAGAAATTCATCAGTGAAAATGAATCAATACTACAGACAGACTATATTTTATTGTTTTATACAACTACTGATAAATTAAATTCATTTAGAAATAAATTTAGATTATTACATCTTTACTTATTAAATTTATGCTTTTTATAAAATACTTTTATTAAACGATAAAAATTAAATAATGAAGAATAATTCTCAATTTATTGAATTTATTAGAAATTTATTAGAAATATTTAACTTTTAAGAATAAAGATGTGTGAGAATAAATATATTTATTAATTAAAATAAATATATTTTTTTGTTTGTTTGAAAAATTTCATAAATAAAAACATATTTAATTTGTTTTTAGCATTTAATAGAATTTAAATTAATTAAATAGTTTATTTGATTATTATAAAATTGTTAATATTAAAATAGATAAGAGTTACTTAAAATAAAATATAGAAACAAGTAATAAGGTATTATTTATTTATTTATAGATTAATAAATTAACCATAATATTTTTTAATTTATCTTAAATTAGAATTTTAATAATATTATAAAATCAAATAAGATCAAGCAAATCAATATTTTTTTATTAATTTTATTAAAATGAAGGCTATTATGGCTACTGCTACGGTGAGAAAAATTATTACTGTTGCTGACAAAATTATTATTGGTTGCTTTAATTGAAATACTATTATTATTAGATATTTTACTGGTTAAAATTAGGTTACTAATTCTATTGGTTTTGTGGAGACTTAATAGTGTTAAAGTTGTTATATTGATTTTAGTAATTAAATTATTATGGAGTAAATTACTAATTTGGTACGCTAAAATTCATATCATTCATCTAGCTTTAATTGTATACATTTGGCTATTAAAAGCCTTAGTTGAATTAATTTTAATAATTGATATTTTATGATGGATAAAATTGCTGCAAATCTTAGGTACTGTACTAGTTGTTTGTTTAGCAATTAAATTAATTATTATTATTCATTTAATTACAGTTGTTATTATTATTGTAATTCATATTTAAATTATTTTACTATTAGTTAAAGTTATTATTTTATTGTTAACTAAAGTTATTATTTTGCATATTACCATTATTGCTAAAATCACTAAAAAAGTCATCAAATGGGTTTTAGGTTTACTATGCAGATTTTGAGTGATGTTAATGATGATGCTAATCTTAAATTTACTTCTAAGATTATGAATGGTGATTCATATTATTCTATTAATTAAAATCTGAAACTTGCTTAGGATCATAGCTCTAATACTGATTTTGATTATATGTAGGCGATTAAAATTCAAGCTGTTTGTTAGCTGATCTATCTTAGTTGTTATTTTGGATGGGAGTATTATTGAAAGAGCTGAAATCAGCAAATTATTTTTACCAATAGTCTTCATTTTAGTTAGAATTACCTCTAACCTATGGTAAAGAAGCTCTTTTAATCTGAATTTAGCTAGATTTATTATTTTCTTTATCAGATTTTTAAGGTACCTAATTTTACTATTATTGTTACTATTATTGATTGAACTAATTATTGTTGTTTTAAGCATTCCAAAAATTAAATGGGTCATTGCTATTGTTTTAGGTTTTTTAAGTTTTCTACTCTTATTGTTTACTGTTTTCTTATTATTCTGGTTTGAATTATTAGAAATTACTTTTATTTTATGTTGGTTTCTTATCTTAAAACGGTTATGTAGGAAAGCTTCCATCCGCAGACTTAAAGCACTGCATAAAATTCTCATCAAAAGGATCTGGTGATTTAGATACATGGTTAAAACTATTGAATTATGATGATTTCGATTCCAAGTTATTATCAGATCCACCCTACAAACTTTAATTTTAAGGAACTTCCAATTCATTTCTACTTTAAGGTTAGCTTTACTTTTTAGTGTCAGAATTCTTGTTCATGAATTAACTCATGTCCCACATCATTTAAGCATTATTCTTTGGTTTTTAATTTGAGTTATTAACTACTGCGCTAGGCTTTTAGATAGGAGGTGGTTGAACTCCAATTTGATATTACTTTGAAGGAATCTTATTAGAAGGATAATTTTTTTATTACTATTAAGGATTTGAAGTTTTAGTAGGAGAATTATTGTTTAATTACTAAAAAAAATCAAATTATCCTGGGCTCGAAGAAGGAATATTGCTATTCGCTCTTCTTTTATCAGGTGAATCTCCTTAAGTAAATCCTTAAAAGTTGTTTCTAGAATTAGGATTTTCTTATCTTTTTATGATAAAATTGAATAAATAAATGCATGGATTTAATTAATTTAATTTGTGAATGCTTTTTAAAAGAATGTTTTAAAAACAGCTTAACATAATAAATAAAGAAATTATGCTTGTTTTAAAATAATTTATTTGATAAAAAATTATTTAAAGGTTGAATAAAAAGATTCTTTTTTTGGATAATTCTTAAGAATAAAATTTCAAGTTAAAAATTAATTCCTATTTGCGTTGAATCATAATTGATTTTCTTGTAGATATTGACTAGGCTGCATTATTTCTGATATAGTAAAATTGAAAAATTATATAAATAGTTTGTTTGTTTATTTGTTTTTTTGTTTACCCTTTTCCACTTTTGAAGAAAATTTCACCTGGACTTGGATCTTTTTGGTTTTAGACATATCGCTTTTCAAGATATTTCTATCTTACAAACTCTATTTTATTGTCTAATGGACTATCTTAACAAGGTTTTATGTGAGTATTTTTCAACTTCGCTTCATAATATTAATTTGCTAATCTATTTCCTACGCTAAAAAATACATTTGTATCTTTTTCTACTAAAGAATCTATTTTGTAGCTTCTAATTCTGCTAACTGTAGGCCCTAATCTTCTATGCCCACCTTTTTAAATTAAAATATAAATTGATAAAAATGATCTAGTAGCTTCTTTATTTTTTAGCTATTTTTCACAATCTGATTGCTATTTAGATTTTTTACTAAATTAGTAAATAATTTAAATTGAAACAAATGTCTTAGCTTATTGAAAAAATAAGATTTACCAGAACAGTCTAAACAAACAAATACACCTAAATCTAAAGAGCACCAAGTAGGATTTTTCATTCCACAGTCAGCGCATATTGTGTTTTCAGAATCCTGCTCAATAATTTATTTAAATAGCTTTTGTTGCTAAACTTCACTAAGCTTGTTCATTTGATAGAGTTTGCCCAAATAAAGAAGTAGAAAAAACAGCAGATAAAATAATACTTTAAATAAATTGAGCTTGACTATTGTTAATTTTATTATGGTTTGTAGAGCTTGACGTTTAAAATGATTTATTGCTATAAATGAATTTATTTTAAAAATGCTATTCTCCTTTTATTTTTTTGTTAGGTGGATGGATTGATGATTTCTAGTTTGAGATTAATTTATATAAATTAATATTATGCAATTATTAAAAATAATTAATAATTATCTAAACAGATATCAAAAAAAGCTTTAACTTAATGCTAATAATAATATCTGTGTATCGTGATATTCAATAAATAACCTTTTGCTTCTAAAATTTTACAATATTATATATTTTGCATTTGATTGACTGAATAATCTGTGGATTTTTTTGCTTATATTTTATTTAGATAAACATAAACTAACTAAATAGAATTAAAAGTATCAATTCTATTTTATATGAATTAGAACCAATAATCTATAAATAGTATGGTCAATTACTTTTATAAAAGTCGCAACTAACTCTTAAACTCACCATTAACACAAAATATATTAATATAGATAAATTCACATATATCCTTACAATATTTAAACTGAAATAAATACTTCGAGATGCAAATTCATTAAATAAAACATCAGTAAAATTTCTTAAAGCTATTAATATATCTTATATCTATCTTATTATATTAATTCTTACTTTCAAAATATTGAAATTCTTTAAGGTAAACTATAACTTAATTTAATTTATCAATCTATCGCTTGGGAAAAGAAAAAGTTTTTTTATAAATTATTTAGAATTAGATTTAGAAAATAAAAAGATATTTATTTATTTACTTTCTAATCATAATAAATAAATAGCATCCATCATCATCATTATTTAATTTAAAAGCATTTCAATTTAATTTATTTAAAATGGCTATTTTAGCTTAAACTGAATTTATTAGAATTGCGTCCTCGTCTTACTGCTCTGATTATGAAAATAGTTGGTTTCTTTTGTTTTATTTAGCTAAATCTCTCATTTGCTGCAGTTTAGTATCCAAGTATTAAACTTTTTTTGAAATTTTTATTATTTTTTATTGGTCGTTAAGTAGCTCACTTTCGTCTATTTTTTTCCAATCATCGATCTACCTTTCTAATTTATATTTTTATTTAACATCTTTCATATAATCTTTGTATTTTTTTTGATTTAATTAGTCTAATTTAGAGCTCTATAATTCGTCATTTTAATTATGGGTTATTTCACTAGCCGATCTACCAGATTTATTCTTAATCTACTTAAATTATTTATATAATTGTTAAATTTATTCGTTTTCTTGTAGTTATTATTAAGATTATTGCACATTCTCAGACTTTAAGTTTACATTATTTTATGATTTTAAATTTTGCTAGGATCTAGCTTTACTCTTAATTATATTTTCAGGTGAGCGTTTTTTTCTTTTTGAAATTTACAAATTTTATTCATCTGATCTGTCTTAAATTTCCTCGAATATTTAAATTTCTGGAATATTTTTGTTTTTTTCTGTTTACTTTTTTTAATTTTCTTCTTATTTCTCAATTCTCTTCATATCTAAATGAGCGTTTTGTCTTGGTTATTATTATTTATAATTTAACTTTTAAGGATCTTAATGCTCTTTATCATCTTTTTAATCAGTTTTAGAATTCAATTATTTTTGATTTTATGTTATTTAATTTTATTTTACATTTTTATTTGCTTCTTTAACTTCTTACTAGAAGTGAGCTGTTGCTGATGGTATATTTTAACTTTTTTAGTTTTAATCAATATTTTAATTTTTTTTATCAGAAATTTGTGGTTTATTCGTCACTGCTCCTTAATTTTAGAAAGATTCTAAATCTTTCTAATGAGATATATTTAATTTAGTCTATTCTATTACAATATTTTTATTGTTTTAGATAAAATTGTTTTCACTTTTTTAAACTTCCAAATTATCAAATGAATTTTTAATTTTTTCATTTTTTTATTATTTTTATTCTGTTATAATATTTTTATTATTTGGAACTTAAATGTTTGGAGTTTTAGTTCTATTATTGCTCAAAGAAGTTTATTCATTGTTGTTATTTAAATTGAAATCATTTCTTTACTCCTAATGATCTTTATGCTTTTATATCTTTATAGGACTGCTTTTTATAGCGTTACTTGATCTAGAGCTAGTTTAGTTTATGTTTGTATCTTTACTATCTATTAACTAAGAGTTATCATTTTTTTATTCTTTTGCGTTTTGCTCTTATTTAGTTTTATTAATATTTTAGTTTTAATGACTTACTTCTTATTTCTATTCAACATTTATATCAAAAGCAGATGTAGTAATTTGAGGTTCTCTTCTGATTTAAATAAGATCCTAAGATTGGTTTTCTTTGGATATTTTTTTCTTCTCTGAAGAGTAAAGATCATCTGTGACGAAAACTTCTGGAAGTGGCGAATGCTCTCCATGAAATTTTTAAGTTAATATTTTCCTCTTTGATCGCTTGTTGATTTACTATTCGATACTTGTTTATTTATCTGAATTCAATGCCAGCATAATTTCTGAAAGAGATTAATCAATTGATCCTTCATTTGTTTTAAAAACTTTTTCTTTATTTGCTAAGTCTTCTTTATGATTATCTATCCTCATAAGTTTTTTTTCTTTTTCTGTCAATTATTCATGATTATTGGAGGAAATATAGTTAATTTATGACTATTTTTTATTGCTGTAATCATTATAATGTAAATTTATACTCTAACTAATTTCAGATGAGGACTGTGATCTTTTCATCCTTGATGAGTCTGAAATGCTAGGAAAATAATTTCTCTGCTTTTAAAGAAGCACCTTTTGCATAATTTCTTTCTTTTTCTAATTCTCTTTTTTTTAGTGCTCTTCGTTGAGCACCTTTACATAAGTTTGACTTTAAGTGTATCTTTCTTATGAATATTATCTTATTTCTTACTAATTTTTAAATATCTTTTCAGCTCTTTGCTACTCTTTTTCCTCTTTTACTCCTTCATACATCTTTTCATGATCTTTGAAAAGTTTGATAGGATCCATTCTTTTTCTGTAGAATTCACTTCTTTATTTTATTACATCATTTCTTTACTAGATTTCAGGTAAAACGACACTTGATTAGTATTTCTCCTCCATTTTAACATAAAGAGGCTTTTGATTAAATGTATACTGATCTTAAGAATAGTATTAGTTAGCATCCTAATTAAAAGGATTTCTTTCTTCGCTGTAAAACAAGGACTCGTCTTCATTATTCTGATCACTGATATTTGAAATCATTTATTCTGATTTTTAAAAACTGTTAAAATTATGAACGTTTTTTTATTCCTTAAAACCAGAATTTTGTTCAACTAAATTCATTTTTTAAAATAAATCATTGTTCTAATAAGAGCTATTATGTTTCTTTAATTAGGACTCACTTATACTTCCTTAATATTAATAAATAAAAAAGTAATATATATGTTTATTTTATAAGACTTTGTTAAATTTTATTTACTTTTTTCTCTTTTCGGCTTCTGTTTGATTTAGCTAATTTAAATCTATTATTGGTTGTGCAGAATATTATGCTTCATTTTAAGCAAATCTGCTATCTATTTATGCATTGAATTATGATATTCTTGCATCTCTTCTCTTTCAATTTTAGCTTTTTCTTTAATTTCTTTTTGGGTTTCAACTATTTCAATTCTTAATAAATCAATGGTTTCATCTATTTTTTAAGCATCTTAATTTAACTTATTTTGTAACTTGTTTAAGTTTACTAAAATCATTTTTTATCTTCTTTGTTTTCCATATTCTATACTGTTAATAGATTCTTATCTCAAGTTATCATGATTAGAGTATTTTTATGGAATCTAGGATACTTTTTATTCGCTTTTCATTGGATTTTCCTTTTGATATTCGTCTACTTCTATTTATTATTAGCTTTACTTGTACATCTCTCTTTCTTCTTACATCCTTTTCCTATGTTTTTCTTTGAGTCTATCTAATTATCTTTAAGTTTCTATAGGAATTTCTGTGATAAAATGCTCTTTTTAAACTTCATTTTACTAGTTTTGCAAATCATTGGCTTTAATTTAATCCTTTTTAAAGTTTTGTTAATGATCTTCAGTTTCAAAATGCTAGCTTTTTATTTAGATTTATTTTGCTTAGCTTCTCATTAAAGTGAATTACTAAAAGTAAGTTGAAAAAAATAAAAAAAATAACTTTAACTTCAACCAAATATTTATTAACAATTGATTATTTTGATTTACTTTTTGCAATTGAGTAAATAATAATCATCCGTTTAATAATTATTGACAAGACTAATTAAATAGTATATTTAAATTATTATATTTGACATAAAATTAAGCAAAAATATTCTAGTTTTAATAAAAAGATTTCATTACTAAATAAAAATAAATTTACTAAACTTTTTTTATTTTATGAAATATAATAAATCTTTTATAGAAAAAAATAAATTTTAAATTAAATAAAATATAATTTGATCTATAATTATTAAAAAACATTCTAATAAATGAAGATCATTTTTAGATAATAATTTAATTTATAAAATCCTCTAATTTGTTAAAATATTTTCTTAAATTCCAATTAAAATTTGCTAAAATGAAAAAATCTAATTTAATTTCTTTAAAAACTTTCATTATTTAAAATGCATTGTTAATATGTTTCATATAAAGCTAATGAAATTATCCTTTTTATCAAAAAAATTGAGTATTTATTTTTTTGAAAATTTTTTTATTTAAAAAAAATATTTACAATCATTTTTTATCAAAATAAAATATACATTTTAATTGAAAATATTATAATTTGACTTAAATCACTACTAAGTACTAAAAAGTAATTAAATTAAAAGTGAAATATAAAATTTACAACTCTCTAACAAATATTTTTAGAGAATTAATTTAATTAAAAAATCTCTAATTTGTTAAAATATTTATTTAAATTCTAATTAAAAATTGAATTAATTAAATAAAAAAAACTAATTTATTTTCTTTAAAACTTTTCATTCATATTCATAGATAATATATTAATAATATTTTTAATATAAAATGAATGGAGCTTTCATATTTTATCATAAAATTAGTTTATTATTTTTTTAAATAGCTGATAAGGTAAATGATAAATAAATAAATATATGTGATTTAAGAATTAAATCTACTTTTTAAAAATTTTTACTTTTTAGAAGTGCTTATTAATAACAAATATCTGATTAATAAATACACTTTTTTTTAAGTTTGATTTAGTGGCTTTAGAATCTAATTATCTTTTTTAGTTGATTTACAAAAAATCAAATAGAAAGCTCATTTATAAATTATAACGAGCTAATCAAATAAGAATTTTGATAAAGAATTTAAACTTCTTGAAAGTTAATTTTTCAATAGTGATTAAAATAATTAAGGTCACTACCTTATTGTTTATTTATTCAAAATGAATATTAGGTCTCAACGGCTGTAACCTATGCAATATGAATTTTATGATAGTAACTAAAGATAAGAGTCTGCTTTGAAATAAAATTCATTTTCGAAATTTAACGAAAACAATGATGAAGATGAATTAGATTCTCTTATTTAATTTTGTAGTTCTTTGAATAAAAATTCAAATAATGTTGCTAAACTTCCACCTAAATTGATCCCTGTGAATTAAAATATTGTTAGATACTTATAATTTAAACCTTGGAATGGTGTTTTATAAGATAATGTTTAAGACAGTGGCTATTATTTTAAGTTAAACAATTGTAATATTAAACTAGTAAGAGGGCTACTAGAAGAAAATGGATTTAGAGTATTTTTTAGCTTTCTTTAAATGGCAATTATTTTAATAAAAACTAAATGATTATTAGGAAACCATTGACAAAGATTGGACAATTATGTGGGTCGTTGGATCTATAAAATCGGAAATATATCAAACCATGATGGCATATTAAAAAGTAAATATATTTTTTGTTAGTTTTATCAATATATATATTCGGGGATATTTAAGAAAATCAAATTAGAATTTGAATATTATACTTTAATAAATCAACAAAAATTTATAGTTTGAAAAGACAGCATTAAAAACAGCAACAACAATGCAAAATATATATTATTCAAATAGGTTAACCACTTTCCTAAGAGTATTGAAATTACTAGGAAAGATTTGATGAACAGAAATATAAGCAAGATGTAAATAAGATGTGGGTTATCTAACTTTAATTTTGTTCCTAAAACCTACATTCTACCATCAGAGTAATCTCTGCTTATAGAAGATTTTGAAAAGATTAAATCCACAAAGTAATTATTTATTGTTAAACCTTAGAATGGTTCATAGGGAAAGAATATATTTGTTACTGATAAGCTAAACGATGTAATAATAATGTATTTTTTTAATTATTTACATTAAATGATTATTAAAAGATTCTGAGAGCAAATGTCGGAAGCGGTTTAGTTGTCAGCCATTATGTAGCGAATCCTCTTTTAATTAACAATTTAAAATTCGATTTGAGAATATATGTTGCAATTACTTCTATTCATCCTTTAAGAGTATATATTTATGAAGATGGGCTGGTTAGGTTTGCAACTTAAGAATATCATGCTGATATTGATCTACTTAAAGATAAGTAATGATAATATTAATTAAAGTAGTTTTAATATTTTGAAAATGTATAAATAAGGTACGTCCACTTGACAAACTATAGCATTAACAAAAACAGCAATAATTTTGTTAGTAATAAGGTAAATAAATATTGCTTTCATAACAAGCAACTGATTCAATATAATAAATTATTTAGGATGCTTAAGAAGATTTTAAAGGAAGTAAATGGTCACTTGCATCTCTTAAAGATTACTTAAGAGTCAATGGGATTAATGTGGAGCAACTATTTGATAAAATAGAAGACATGATAGTAAAAACAATCATCTCAATTGAGGGATAAATTTTCAGTTCTTTTGAAATGCAAGTTCCATATAGAAATAATTGCTTTGAAGTATTAGGTTTTGATGTTTTGATAGATGACACATTAAAACCCTACCTGCTTGAAGTTAATTTGAATTCTTCTTTAAATACTGATAGTCCTTTAGATTTAAGAATAAAAGGTGAAATGTTAAGCGATTTATTTACTTTAGTTGGGATAGTTCCCTTAGACTAAAGGTACTCAATCGATTAGTCTTTCAACTTTACATTAAATAGTGCAATAAATGAAAAATAATATGCTAACATAGTCAATTCGTTGACATCTAATTGGGAGTAACATAAGAAACAATTAACAAAACTTGAAAGGGCAGTTTTAAAAGAAACTGAAGACGAGCTCAAAAGGTAATCTAAACCACTTATCAAATAAATGAAATTAATTAAAGATAAATATTTTTAATTATAGATGTAGAAAATTCAAGAGAATTTATCCAGGTGAAACGTGCTTTAAATATAAAAATTACTTTGAATAAGATAGACCTTTTAATATTTTATTGAGAAATTGGTAATAATCATTTTTTTATGAAAATACATTTAATATAAATATTTTATAAAAGGGAAATGGATAAGGCAAAGAAAAATAATATAAATCAAAGTTTAAACAATCATAAATACAGTGCACCTGTGAGTAGACAAGCAAATCATAGTTCTGCACAAAAAACATCACCATCTAACACAAGCTATTACTAAAAGTAATCAAATTTAAATTTTTTAAAGATATAAATAATCTAATATAAATTCAATAGTACTTCTTTTAATAAAATTGGAGCCTCCACTTTAGGATAAAGAAATAGTTCTTTACTTAAATCAGTAAATATAAAAAGAAACTGAAATTAATTAATTAATTCACTAATCTATTTAAACATTTTATTAAAATTTAACTAAACACTTAATTAAAAATGCTTCTATATAAAATAGTAAAATATAAAAAATAGCATATATATTTACATAGATAATTAATTAAATAAAAATTAAAATTTGAAGATCAAACAATTTAATTTATTATTATATTATTTAACAAAACATTTATTTGTATAAAATTAATTCGTAATAAAGTTTACAAATTAAATCTTGTATAAGCAATTATTTTATAGTTTGTATAGTAAATTCTGAAAATCAACCTAAAAAATTAATAATAATTTAAATAGGTTTTTAGTGTATTTTTTATTGATTATTTATTGAAATTATTTGTGGCTTTTTCAGAAAATTCCTTTAATAAAATTGAATACTCCACCATAATACAAAAGAAATAGTTCTCTTTTTAAATTATCTCATTAAAAAAGGAACTTGAATTCATTAAATTCGTCTATTTGAACATTCTCTAAATATTTAACTAAACTCTTAATATATAATGCTTTAATAAAAAACAATTAAATATTAAAAAAATAATAATAAAATTTAAAAAAAATAAAAAATAAATGATTAAAATTGAAAGATTAAACAATTTAATTTATTTTTTTGTAAATTAACAAAATATTTATTTACATAAATTGAATTTACAAAGATAACAATCACAAATAAAATTTGTATAGAAGTCAGATTTTTTTATGAAATAATAATTAAAAAATAAACATAACAAATTTATATATTTTAAATGTATAATAATCATGTATTTATTGATTACTAATCTAAATTATTTTTCATACATTAGGCTGTTTTTAGAAAAATGTATAATTTACATATTACTTTTATTAATTATTAATATATTTAAAATATTTTGCTTTCTATTATTTTAACTTATATTTGATTTTTTTGATTCTACTTTCAAAAATACAATAAGACATTAAAATATATATATATATATATTCAGTCATATATATAAATTACTTAATAATATTTATTAAATAAACTTCGAAATTAATTGTTGCAAAAATTAAATAAGTAATATCTTTTTGAATGTCTAGTTAAGAACAATAGTTATAACAACCTCCATCTCAAATTTAATAATAAATCAAAGATAACTCAAATATGTTTGGAGGATTTACTATGAAATAAGACCCTTAGCAGTAGAAGTACAAAAGTATGATAAAAATTCATTTTAAAAGTATTTCGCAATTGATTAAAATAATTTTTTTATAAGTAAGATACTCCTAACTTTACTTTACAAGTAGAAAATGGATTTCTCAATGACAATTACAAGCTTAAAAGCAAAGTGGATTTATTTGTTAAAGTTTTTATTGAAAATTAGCATTTTAGAACTCATATTTCTGTGGATTGTGGTAGAAATCCTGTTTGGGGGAAGGAAGCAACTTTTCCTTTTTTTGAAAATCAATTTGTTGAAAAAAATTATCTGATGTAGGTTGAATTATGGAATTATGAAACGGAATTAGGGGATGTTTAACTTGGTATAGGAATGCTTGATTTAATGGAATCTTTCAACAGTAGTCTAAAATTAAACAAGATCCCCATTTATGATTCTAAAAATATGCAACAACAAATAGGGTTTATATCAGTAATCACAAAATTTGCTTATAATTTTATAGGAAAAATAAAAAAAGAATAAAATGTAAATACTTATTTATTTATTAGTTTTTTTATTAGAAAGCTAGTGTCCTCATATTACTTATACTTTAAAATTATTTAATAAAAAGAAATATGGTTCTCCTTTAAAATTCACTAAACCAGTGATAATTGAAGGAAATAAAATTACAAAAAGTGATGTTTAAGAGAGGCAGATAAGCTTCGAAGAGAGGATGAAAAATTTAAAAGAAAAGTATAATATTTAATAAAGTAAAAAAGATACAGTAAAATACATGGACATAGAAGTAGGCAAAGATATTTATAAAGCTATTCATTAAGGGATGGTTTTAATTGGAAAAAACAGGTAAAATAAATAAATAAATTTTATAAATTATAAATATCAATAAAATTATTTTATTAATAAAGACCTGAAAATCCAATAAGAGAGCTAGGATTGTTCCTTTACAATTACTAAGACTAAGTTTAAAACTGAAGATATTATTTTAAAGAAAAATAAATACAACTTTTTATGGTTTATATCACAATTATTTTATATTACTCTATATGATAAGATGAAATAATAAATTATAATTTTTCATTTTTTTTAAGACGAAACATTATTTTTCAATTAACATCACATCTCAACTTTCACAACTAATTGTACTTAATGTATTACAATATTTTTAATAAATAATCACAATATACAACATAATCTTTTTGGTATATCTTCAAATATTTTATTAATAAAAACAACACTAATTAATATTAATACTAATACTTAGATTTGCATGAAATCTCTAATTTTCAATGAAAAAAAGTTAAATATTTTCATTAGTTTTTGAATGAGAAAAAAATGCCATAGATTCTTCCTTTCTCCTCTGATATTCGATAACTGATTTTCCTTGTCAGGTTTTGAACTTAACGAAGCTGTTTTTTTGGAAGAGTGTACTCTCGAAACTCAAATTTTGGCTAAAAAACATGATAACATTTATCTTCAAGTTGGAAAAGAAGAGTAGAATAATTTCATTCCTCCCTAAAAACTACATATATTTATTCCAGGTTTCAAATATTTATATAAAAAATGATTAAATGACAATCTACATGTTTTTTTTTCTTTTTAAATAAAAATTTATCATATTTACCTTTGTTTTAAAACAAAGTAGGGTATTTTAATTTAATTAAATTTTTCAATTATGCCATTTATTTTCAAAAAATTTTTGGGTGTGAGTGGCCTTAATTAATGAGGAATTACAGTAAATATATAAAACAGATTTTTTATTCTTAGATAATTTTTTGATATATTTCAAGCTTGATGAATATTATTTGGTTAATAAGAATTTAGTAAATAGATTATCTCAATTTAAGGTAATTAATAGTTGAATTATGAAGTAACAAAATCAATTATTCTATAATTTTAAGCATTTGAAAAAATAAGGTCACTAAAAACCAAAACTAACAAAAACGATAATATTTATTATATATATATATATATATATATATATATATATATATATATATATTACATAATGAGATTTATAATTTTATTATACTCTATTTTAGTTTTTTAAAATCTAATGAGCAATCCTTTATCTAAAAATAAAATAATAGAATATTTAACTTTTTGCTTAAAAAAATATTTGATAAAAAAAATGATGCAATTTAAATAAAATATGTTAAAAAAATTCAGCTATCGAATTATATGTCTTGTCAATTTTTTTATAAATCGGATCTAAGCAGTCATGGATTAATAAAATCAAAACAAATTAAGTAAATGTGTCCATTTATTTTTCTGAAAAATTATTCCACTAAATACAATTGCCATACTTAATAGTTAAATTAAGAAATAGATCCAATAACTCACCTTTTGCGTGTAAATACAAAATTGAATTGATTTTAATCCATATTGATAATTTTCATTATAAAAATGCATTACGAAACATAAATAATATAAAAATAAATAAAAAAATAAGCACATATTTTTCATCTTCTTCATTAATCATGATGAAATAAAAACATATCTCCACTCTTTTTAATTTTGCTTAAAATATTTTAATGCACTCATAAAATATTTGATTGAATTTGTAAGCAAATTTTAATTATTTATAAAATTTTTTATCAATTTTAGTGCTTAAATTATATAGAATAGTATCAAAAATATATTTAGAACTCTACAATTTAAGGAATGTTAGATGATAAATATGTTTTTTAAATATTTAGAATTAAAATAATTTATATTCATTTTTTATAATAAAAAAAATTAAAAATAACAAGTATTGATATTAATAAAATAACAAAAGAATAATTAACTGAATAAGAATAAGAATAAGATTTAATAAAAAGGGTTGATAATAAATTAAATATTTAACATAATTTAAATAATTTATTCATATGTAAAAATAAAGGTTGTAATAAAAAATTTTAACAGTCATTAAATAAAATTCCTCAAATAGCAAAACATATTTAACAAAAGAAATCAGAAAATTTATAATAAATATTTTTAAAATTAAATGTAGAAAAAAAAAGAAAAGTAAGTAAGATATTTATATGATTTTTGCTAAAAAAAATATTTTTTATTCAATAAAAATTACTAAATATATTCTTATATATATATTAAAATTTAATTATATATTTATATTTAAAGTCAGAAAATTATTAGTAATTTTTAGCAAAATCTGTTCAATAAGGGAAACAAATAGCTCCGAAACATTTTCCTTCGCAGCAATCACTCGTATATTTGCAGCTTTCTTCTAATATTTTACAATAAAAAGGTATTTTTAAAGTAAAAAATACCAAATAATTATTGCTAGAGAATTTAAATAGGTAGTATAAAAAATATTTATCTTAGTTGGAATAATATATTTTATATAAAAATACAATTTTTACAAAATTAGCTTAAAAATCATAGCTTTTTCAATATAGATAAATAATAACTAGATATCCATACTCATTTTTTGAATTTGAGATATGTGTTAAAAATCAAACTGTTTCGTTTTTAATTTAGATATTTTTCACTAAGCTGATTTTTATATTTAGATCTAATTCAAGCATTTACTTTGTTTACTTAATTTAATATTTTTTAGAGTAATTTTAAATAGGAATTATTTTAAAAGTTAACTTATGTGTGAAAAGGGTTTTATTTTTTCTTGTTTATTTTTAAAAAGAAAATATAAATTTCCAGCCAGAATAAAATTATTTTTATAATTTTTGAATCATTAACAAATTTAATACTTTTATTCATATATAATCATGAAGGTTTATAAGAAAGTAAATTTAAAAACAATAAAATATTAAATTGAGATAGCAATGATTTAGATACTAAAAACTTAGGTTAATAATTATTAATAAAAAACGTACTTTTTTTATAAAAGATTAAAACCAAAATAGAAATTTTTTAAAGAATCTTTTTAAGCTTAAAGTATATTTGTTTTAATTATAATATATAAAGAAAAGTGAATGCAGGCGAAACCTATCTTTGTAAAAATTTTTTTCTTTTTCAGATAGACTTAAATGTTTTAAAAAATATACCTATTAGGCCTCCTGTGGGGATCTGTGGATAGAGCTATCATTGATGATATTTTTGATGAATAATATTTGGTTAGAAAGAAATTTATAAATAATATATCTCAATTTAAGGTAATTAATAGTTAAATTATGGTGTAACAATTTCAATTATTCTATAATTTATAGTATTTGAAAAAAATAAGGTTACAACAAGCCAAGACTAACAAAATCATAATATTTATAAAATATATTACAAAATATGAGATTTACAATATTATACTACGTTATTTTAGTTTTTTAAGATAGATCTAATATGATATCCTTTATCTAAGAATAGTTTAATGGAATATTTTATTTTTGCTTTGAAAAATACATGATACTATTAATGATGTAATTTAAATAATCTATGTTACAAATATTAAGTTATCGAATTATACGCTTTAAGTTTAAAATCAATCTCACATATCTTTTCGAATTTTTTATAAATCTGAACTAAGCTGTCATAGACTAATAAAATAAATTCAAATTAAGTAAATGAGTCCATTTTTTCTCAAAAATTATTCCGCTCAATACAATTGTCATGTTTAATTGCTAAATTAAGAGATACATCTAATAACTCACATTTTGCTTGCAAAAGCAAAATTGAATTGATGCTAATCCATTTTGATAATTTTCATTATAAAAAGCATTTCGAAACATTAATAATATAAAAATTAGAAAAAGATTAAGTATTTTCTGTAATTATGAGTGCAAAACTTTCTTCTTCTTCTTCTTCTTCTTCATTAATCATGATGAAATAAATAAACCTCCTCTTTTTATCTTTCCTCTTCAAATATTTTTAACATGCTCATAAAATATTTGATTGAATTTATTAGTAAATATTAATGATTTGTAATATGTTTTAGTCAATTTAAAGCTTATATTATATAAAATAGAAAAAGTATCAAAAATATATGTAGAACTGTACAAATTACTAGGAATTTAAGATGATAAATATGTTATTTTCATTTTTAAAATTAAAATAATATATATAATATCTATATAATGTAACATAGGTAGTTCCGCACATGGCTCCTTATTTTACCCTTTACTTTTAATTACAAAACTTATTGAAGACTTGCAGTTGATTTCTTTTTGTGTGGGGATCTGGGGATGGATCTATTATTTTATAATATATTTGATGAATATTATTTGGTTAAAAAGAAATTAATAAATAGTTTTTCTCAATTAATGTAATTTATAGTTAAATTATGATGTAACAATATCAAATATTCTATAATTTAAAACATTATAAAAAAATAAGGTTACTAAAAGCCAAAACTAACAAAAATCATAATATTTATTATATAAATTATAAAAAATAAGATTTATAATACTATTCTATGTTATTTTATTTTTTAGACCTAATGTGCTATCCCTTATCTAAGAATAGCATAATGTAATATTTTATTTTTTGCTTTGAAAAATACATTAAACAATAAATAATGTAATTTAAATAATCTATGTTACAAAAATTAAGTTATCGAATTATATGATTTAAGTTTAAATCAATCTCAGATATCTTGTCAAATTTTTTATAAATTCGATCTAAGCTGCCATAGATTAATAAAATCAATTCAAATTAAGTAAATGAGTCCATTTTTTCTCAACAATTATTCCGCTCTATATAATTTTCATGTTTAATAGCTAAAGTGTCAATCTATTTTGATAATTTCAATATAAAAATGCATTTTGAATAATTAAAAATATAAAAATTAGAAAAAGATTAAGTATTTTCATTAATTTTGAGCTTAAAAATTTCATCTTCTTCTTCATGAATAATGATGAAATATATACATCCATCTTTTTATTCTTTCGCTTGAAATATTTTTAACAAGTTCATTAATTTATTAGCAAATATTAATAATAGATAAATATGTTTTAGCCAATATAAGTGCTTAAATTATGTAAAATAGAAAAATTACAAAAAATATATGTAGACCCTTTCAAATTACTAGAAATGTTAGAGGATAAATATATTGTTTTAATTATTTAAAATTAAAATAACTTATATACTATATATATAATATAAAATAGGTGGTTCCGTACATGGCTCCTGATTTTACCCTATATAGATAAATAAATAAAATTCCTCAAATAGCAAAACACATTTGGACAAAAGAAATCAGAAAATTTATAATAGATATTTATTAAATTAAAAAAAAGAAAAGTAAGTAAGATATTTATGTGAATTTTACTAAAAAAAATATTTTTTAATTTATAAAAATTACTAAATATATTCTTATATATATATTAAAATTTAATAACACATTTATATTTAAAGTTAGTAATTTTTAGCAAAATCTGTTCAATTAGGAAAACATAAACCTGCGAAACAGTTTCCTCCTGAGCAACATCTCTAAGATTTGCAGCTTTCTCCTTATTTACTACAGCCATGAATAGATTGTTCTTTAGTGCTTTATGTCTATGATTTTAGTGCTTTAGCTTCAACTTAAGAAGAGGGGTTGGAGCAGATAAGAAGTACAAAGACTAATAAAATCAATATTGCGTTTTTGAATTGCATTTTATCAATTTTTTTTTCTTTTTTCAATTTTTCAATTTTTTGATTTATTATTTATTATTAATTTTTTGGGGATGTAATTTAATATTTAAAATACATTTTAAGACTATTTACAAATTCATTTATTTTAAATTTTGATCTATCTTATTATCTGGTTAATAAAATATCAGAAGTTTAAGATTGATAGCTAATTACTTACTTTGATTATAGATATAAGATGAGATTCATTTGAATTTTCAATCAAAATTTTGTTTTATATAAAGCTATGTGGCTTAAAATTATTTATATAGGAATATTAAAAGATTTAAATTATATTTTGAGGAGTTTTATATATATAAATGACTATGATTTTCTAATATTTTACAATAAAAAGGTATATTTTTATAATAATTAATACCAAATAATTATTGTTAGAGAATTTAAATAGGTAGCACAAAAGATATTTATCTAAGTTGGAATAATATCTTTTATATAAAAATACCATTTTTACAAAATTATCTTAAAAATCATAGCTTTTTATATATAAATAAATAATAACTAGATATCCATACTCATTTTTTGAATTTGAGATATGTGTTAAAAATCAAACTGTTTCGTTTTTAATTTAGATATTTTTCACTAAGCTGATATTTATATTTAGATCAAATTCAAGCATTTACTTCGTTAACTTAATTTCATAGTTTTTAGAGCAATTTTAAGTAGGAATTATTTTAAAAGTTAACTTATTGTGAAAAGGATTTTTTTTTTTCTTGTTTATTTTTAAAAAGAAAATATAAATTTCTAGCCATAATAAAATTATTTTTATAATTTACAAATCATTAACAAATTTAATAATTTTATTCATATCTAATCATGAAGGTTTATCAGAAAGTAAATTTAAAAACTGCAATGATATACATACTAAAAGCTAAGGTTAATAATTATTAGTAAAAAACGTACTTTTTTTATACAAGATTAAAACCAAAATAGAAATTTTTTAAAGAATCTTTTTAAGCTTAAAGTATATTTGTTTTAATTATAATATATAAAGAAAAGTGAATGCAGGTGACACCTATCTTTAAAAAAATTTTTTCTTTTTTCAGTTCCAAGTTTAAAAACACTCTCCAGTGAAGTAAATTTATAACTAAACAGAAAGATATTAAGATAATATATATTTTTCATTTAAATATATCTAAAATAATCAAATTTACTTCAAAAACAATATTTTAAAACTGATTTTTTAATTTAAGGTAATTTTTTGATTTATTTTAAGCTTGATGAATACTATTTGGATAATAAGAAATTAATAAATAAATTATCTCAATTTAATGTAATTAATAGTTGAATTATGACGTAACAATATCAATTATTCTATAATTTAAAGTATTTGAAAAACTAAGGTTACTAACAGCGAAAACTAACAAAAACCATAATATTTATTAAAATATATTACTTAATATGAGATTTATTATTTTATATTAAGCTATTTTAGTTTTTTAAAATCTAATTTATAATCCCTTATCAAAGAATATTATAATTGAATATTTGAATTTTTGCTTTGAAAAATATTTGATAATATAAATGATGTAATTAAAAATAATCTATGTAACAAAAATTCAGTTATCGAATTATATCCTTAAAGTTTAAAATCAAAATCACATATCTTGTCAAATTTTTTTATTAATCGGATCTAAGTGTCATGGATTAATAAAATTAATTCAAATTAAGTAAATGAGTCCATTTCTCAGGACAATTATTCCGCAAAATACAATTACGATGTTTTATAGCTAAATTAAGAAATACATCTAATAACTCGCATTTTGCTTGCAAATACAAAATTGAATTGATGTTAATCCATTTTGATAATTTTTAAAATGCATTTCATAACATTAATAACATAAAAATTAGAAAAAGATTAAGTATTTTAAGTATTTTTTAGCACAAAGTTTTCTGCTTCTTCATAATCATTATGAAATAAATACATCTCCTCTTTTTATTTTTCCCCTTCAAATATTTAAACACATATCATAAAATATTTGATTGAATTTGTAACCAAATATGAATTATTGATAACATTTTTTTGCCAATTTAAGTGCTTAAATTATATAAAATAGAAAAAGTATCAAACATATAAAGAGAACTCTACAAATTACGAGGAATGTTAGATGATAAATATGTTTTTTAAATATTTAAAATTAAAAATAATTTTTATAATTTTATTTATTTAATATAAAATAGGTGGTCCCACACAATGCTCCTTCCTTATTTTACCCTATATATTTCAATTATAAAAATTGTTAACTCTTTATTTTAGAAGAAAATTTTTTTTTATTAATACATAATTAAATTAACATATATGTATTTTTCTTAATTTAACAATTTTATTTATCATATTTTTTTCCATTTATTTTAAAAAATATTTATTTATTTTGAAAGATAATCTATGAATAAAAATAGTAATATTACATAATATTTTATTTATAATTTTATACTATTTTATTTTAGTTTTTTAAAATCTAATTTTCAATCCCTTATCTATGTGTAGTAAAATGGAATATTTTATTTTTGCGTAGAAAAATACTTGATTATATAAAAAATGATGTAATTTAAATAAACTATGTTACAAAAATAAATTCAGTTATCGAATTATATGCTTTAAGTCTAAAATCAATCTCATATATCTTGTCAAATTTTTTATAAATCAAATCTAAGCTGTCATGGATTAATAAAATAAATTCGAATTAAGTAAATGAGTTCATTTTACTCAACAGTAATTCCTCTAAATACAATTATCATGTTTAATAGCTAAGTTAAGAAAAGCATATAAAAATTCACATTTTGCTTGCTAATACAAAATTTATTTCATTGGCGTTAATCCATTTTGATAATTTTGACTATAAAAATGCATTTCGAAACATTAATAATTTAAAGTTAGAAAAAGGTTAAATATTTTCAGTAATTTTGAGCTTAAAGCTTTCTTTTTCTTCATGAATCATAATGAAATAAATACATCCCTCTTTTTTATTTTTCCACTTCAAATATTTTTATTAAAATCATAAATATTTGGTTGAATTTGTAAGCAAATATTAATTATGAATAATACATTTTAATCAATCTAAGTGCTTAAATTATATAGAATTGAAAAAGTATCAAACATATATGTGTAACTCAACAAATTAATAGGAATGATAGATGATAAATATGCTCTTTTAATTATTTAAAATTAAAATAATTTATACTATCAATATAATATAAAATAAATAGAGTTTATGTAATAAATCTTGTAATTGAAATAAATAGGGTAAAATAAGGAGCCAATTGCAGAACCACCTCAAAATCAACTTATCACTATTGTAATTTTTAAAAATATTTCAAAAATTTTAAAAAACTCTTCAGTGAAGTAAATTTATAATTTAAACAGAAAGTGATTGAGAGAAAATACATTATTTATTTAAATATCTGCCTAAACTAATCAAATTTATTTCAAAAACAATATTTAAAAACAGGTTTTTTATTTTAAGTTAAGAAATTAAGAAATATATTATCTTAATTTAAGGTAATTAATAGTAATTAATAGTTGAATTATGAAGTAAAAATATCAATTATTCTATAATTAAAAGTATTTGAAAAAAATAAGGTTACTAAAAGCCAAAACTAACAAAAATTATAATATTTATTATCTATATTACATAATATGAGATTTATAATTTTATAAGACATTATTTTCGTCTTTTAAAATTTAATTTGCAATCTCTTACCTAATAATAGCCTAATGGAATATTTTATTTTTTGCTTTGAAAAATACTTGATTTTTTTTAATGATTTAATTTAAATAATCTATGTTACAAAAATTCAGTTATCGAATTATATGCTTTAAATATAAAATCAATATCATATATCTTGTCAAATTTTTTATAAATTGGATCTAGCTGTCATGGATTAATAAAATCAATCCAAATTAAGTATATGAGTCCATTTTTCTCAACAAATATTTCTCTAAATACAATTATTATGATTAGTAGCTAAATTAAGAAATGCATCTAAAAATTCACATTGTGCTTGCAAATACAAAATTTAATTGATTGATGTTTATCCATTTTAATAATTTTCATTATAAAAATACCTTTCGAAACATTAATAATATAAAAATTAGAAAAAGATTTAGTATTTTCAGTAATTTTTAGCATAAATTTTCTTTTTCTTCAGTAATCATGATGAAATTAATACATCTTGTATTTTATTTTTTCCGCTTCAAATATTTTTAACTCGTTCATAAAATATTAAATTGAATTTGTAAGCAAATATTAATTATTGATAATATGTTTAAGTCATTTTAAATGCTTAAAATATATAGAATAGAAAAAGTATCAAAATATATGTAGGACTCTACAATTTACTAGGAATGTTAGAAGATAAATATGTTTTTTTAATTATTTAAAATTAAAATAATTTTAATACTATCAATAAATTATAAAATATGTGGTTCCACACAATTGACCTTATTTTACCCTATATATTTCAATTATAAAATTTATAACATAAACTCTATTTCAAAATCAGCTTAAAATAGAGAAAAAATAAAAAATCACAACTTGATGGGTACTTACTTGCTGAGTTGAGACAATATTTACAAAATGTGTAAAAAAATTTTATAAAAGATTTTATTCAAAATAAAAGTATTTATTCTAGTTGCTTACATTTCATTGATTTTATTCGATTTGCAAAAATGCTCGCAATAACAAAAAAAATTTGATTTCATCAAGGAAAAGATACCATGATATAATATATTATGGAAATAAACCTAAAAATTAATAACTATTTAAATGTTTTTTTTGAAATTTTTATTGATTATTAATTGAAATTATTTTTATATTTTGAGGCTATTTTCAGAAAATTCTTTTAATAAAATTGAAGACTTACTTCACAAAAATACGAAGATATTGTTCTTTACTTAAATTAGTAAATATAAAATAAAATGAAATTTATAAAATTCATTTATCTAAACATTCTATCAAAATTGAACTAAACACTTTATTAAAAATTATTTGATAAAAATCAGTTAAATATAACATAAATATTTATTTCATTGATAATAAAAATATTAAACAATTTAATTTAATTTTTTGTAAATTAATAAAATATTTATTTGTATAAATTCAATTTACATAGATAACATTCTCAAATAAAACTTGTATTCAAAACATATTTTAATATGAAATAGTAATTTATAAAAATGAACATAACAAATTTAAATAATTTAAGTAAATTATTATAGTGTTTTTTATTGATTATAAATCTAAATTATTTTTAATGCTTGAGGTTTTTTTTAGAAAAATAAATAATTTATTTATTGCTTTTAAAATTTACATTATTTTTAATATATTTTGCTATAATTTTAGCTTATATTTGATTTTTTTGATTCTACTTTTCAATATCAAAAATTGCAATAAAAAACTAAATAAATATATAAATTTTCAATCATATATTACTAAATATTTATTAAATAATATTTGAAATTAATTGCTGCAAAAATTAAAAAAATAATATCTTTTTGAATATCTAATCAAGTAGAATAGTTATCACAACCTCCATCTCAAATTTAATAATGAATAAAAGTTATTTTTGGAGGATTTACTATGAAATAAGATCCTTAGCAGTAGAAGTACAAAAGTAAAATAAAAATTAATTTCAAAAGTATTTCGTATTTGATTAATAAAATTTTTTAATAATTAAGAAACTGAATTTATTTTAAAAGTAGAAAATTGATTTCTAAATGAAAATTACAAGCTTAAAAGCAAAGTGTATTCATTTTTATAGTTTTTATTGAAAATTAGCATTTTAGAATTCATATTTCTGTAGATTGTTACAGAAATCCTCTTTGGGGGAGGAATTAATTTACCTTTTTATGAAAATGAATTTGAAGAAAAAAATAATCTGATGTAGATTGAATTGTAGAATTATAAACAAAATTAGGGGATTTTTAACTTGGTATAGGGATGCTTGGTTTAATGAAATCTTTCAACCGCAGTCTAAAATTAAATAAGATCCCTTTTTATGATTCTAAAAATATTCAACAATAAATATGGTTTATATCAGTAATTACAAGATTTGCTTATAATTTTTTTGGAAAAATAAAAAAAGAATAAAATATCAAAACTTAATTATTTATTGGTTTTTTTATTAGAAAGATACTTTCCTCATCTTATTTATACTTACAATTATTTAATAGAAATATGGTTGTTCTTTAAAATTTACTAAATCAGTGATAATTGACGGAAATAAAATCACAAAAAGCGACTTTTAAGAGAGGTAGATAAGCTTCAAATGAAAAATTTAATCAACTAAAAAAGATACAATAAAATAAAAGACATAGAAGTTAGTAATGATATTTATAAAGTAATTCATTAAGGAGTGGTATTAATTGGAAAAGACAGGTAAAAAAAATAACTTTTATTAGTTATAATTATCAATAAATTATTTTATCAAAAAAGACTTGAAAATCCAATAACAGAGCTAGGGTTTTTCCTTTACAATTACTAAGACTAACTTTAAAACTAAGGATATTATTTTAAACAAAAATAAATATAATTTTTCTGGTTAATATAACAATTAATTTATTTACTGAATATAATAAGATGAAATTCTACATTAATGATAATATAGCTTAAAAAATATAACTCTTTTAGTATCAAAAATTATAAAAAAAATCTAATGTAAAACATAAGCATTAGTAATCTAAATAATAGATACCTCAAAGCTTTTAATTTCATCATTATTTATTGAAATTGAAAGTAAAACTAAAATTGATTTATCAAAAACTAAAAACCTCGGTCGTATTATGCGAGATATGAGATACGAGTGTGGAATTACTACGGTGTTTGTTTTTTAATATGACCGAAGAACAACAGAAATTATTTAGAGCCATTCATGTTGTTTTAAATTTTAGATCAAATACTATAAAAAAATTTCAAGTGTGAAGATCGTAATCACCATGTTCTCATTTTTCAGATAATGTGCTAAAAAAACCCATTAATTTATGAAATTATTGATAAATAAAACAATATCTTTTTAAAATGTTTAAATATGTGACATCAAATTTAAATACTCAATAAATATTTATTCTATAATATGAATTAATTTTTATTCAATAAATCTAAAAAAATATTTGTTTTCACTTTTTTATGGGTAAAAAAATAAACAAAATAAATTTTTATATGTTTTTTTTGATTTATTTAATTCATTTAAAAATAAATTACAATTTATTTTATTGATTATGAAATAATAATTATTGATATGTGAAATGACAATATATTTTTAAATAGATAGTTACAAAATGATTTAATAAATTTAGCAAGACCTTACATTCAGAAGTCTTAAATGCCTTTCTCGAATAAACAAATAAAGCCAAATTAACATTACAGCTTGCTGTTGGAATTGCACAGTTTTTACTTAAAAATTCATAATTCTGCTTTAATTACCTTATGATAAACTGATTAAGAGTGGTTAGATCAGATCTAAAGATCTAAGTACTAAAACCAATAATATTAATTTTGGATTTTTGAGTTTCATTTTATTAATTTTTAAAGAAAATATATTTTCTTTTTTTGTTGTTATTATTAAAACTTTTAGATTTTTAAGATTTAAATCTAAATTTGCGGTGGTTTAATAACTATTGCTAAATCAATGTGCATGTTATTATCCATTAATATTTAAAATAAATTCTATTTCAAAATCAAAAAAGCATATTATATTTTGTCTTTAACATGATTTATATCAAAAAAAATCAAACAAGAAATTTAGTATAAATTAAAAAAAATATTATCAAATTCAAATATACATTAAATCATATTTCGAGGTTCAATTTCTTTTCTGAAATATTTTTATTATATTATAAGAGGACTTTATTCAAATTTTTTTAGAATTTAATAAATAGAAATAGAGTGAAATAAATAAACAAAAAAATTTTAAAATAGAAAAAGAAATTTCTCATAAATATCTTTAAAAGTTTAAGTATTTATTTTTCACAAATCGTTTTTTATCCAGTTATGACTTCTAAAATAGAAAAAATTTGGTAGATAACCCTAATGTATTTATTTTAAAATTAAAACTTGAGTTTTAAATTAATTTTTACTAGATTATTACATTTAGCTATGGATATTTTTGCATAACATAACAGATTAAATAATATCTAATTTATGCGTTATTAAATAAAATTAATAATCGTCTATTTAAGACAAAAATAAATAAATAAATATTTTTATATTAGTTTATTAATTAAAATTAATTAATTAGTTAATATGTTAATTAATTATATTAAATACTTTTAGCATTTAATATTATTTTATGATATTCTAATTCAATAGATTATGCATTTGTATATATACGTAAGTATTTACTTTAGATCCTCGTATATTAAGGCTTTTATATTTCAAGCCGATTAATTGAAAATTGAAAAATGTAAACCTCTAGCAGCAAAAAATTCAGTACACGCAGTGAGGGACAAGGTTGAGAGGCAATACGGAATTATATTAAATAGTTATAGGTGTAATTATCACTATTTATCTCTGTATTACCAAAAAAAATCAGCAATTATAAATAAATGTAGAAAAATAAGAAAAGTAAGTAAGTAAGGAAGATATTTATGTGAGCTAAAAAAATATTTTTTATTTAATAATAATTACTAATATATTCTTATATATGTATATAAAAATTTAATTATATATTTATATTTTTATATTTATAAAGTCATTAAATTATTAGTAATTTTTAGCAAATATGTTCATTCATATCACACATCTCTTAAATAAGCAATGTCCCATGCAACATCTCTAACTTTTGCAGCTTGCTCCGATCATACCACAACCACTAGATTGTTCAGTGCTTTATGCCTATGATTTTAGTGATTTAGCATAAACTTACGAAGAGGGATTGGAGCAGATAAGAAGTACAAAGACTAATAAAATCAATATTGCGTTTTTGAATTGCATTTTACAATTTTTTTTATTTATTTACTTTTACAATTTTTTTGATTTATTAATTATTATTATTTCTTTGGTGATGGCGTTTAATATTTAAAATAAATTTTTGATTATCTACAATTCATTTATTTTAAATTTCAATTAAATTTTTTATCTATACTGTTAATAAATCAGAAGCTTAAGATCAATAACTAATTACTATTTTAAATAATAGATATAAGATTAGATTCATTTGAATTTACAATCAACATTTTGTTTTATATAAAGATATATCGTTTAAAATGATTTATCTTGGAATATAAAAGAATTAAAAACTTATTTGAAGGGTTTTATAAATCAAAATAACTTTTATTTTTTAAAATTGTTACAATAAAAAAACATATTTTTAAAATAATTAATGATAAAAAATGATTGGTAAAGGATTTAAATGGTAAGCAAAAATGAAATAAATAGATCTAAATTGGAATAATATGTTTTATATAAAAATACAATTTTTTACAATATTAGCTTAAAAATCATGTCAAATTCGATATAAATAAGCAATAAGTAGATATCCTAACTCATTTTTGAATTTTAAATTTGCGTTTTAAACTCTAATTATTTGGTTTTTAATTTAGGTATTTTTCACAACGCTGATTTTTATATATAGAATCAAATTCAAGCACTTTTTTGCTTAACTTAATTTAATATTTTTTAGAGCAATTTTTAAAGAAATTATTTTAAAAGTTAACTAAGTGAAAAGGATTATTTTTTTCAAGCATATTTTTAAACAGAAAGTATAAATTTACAGAATAAAATTATTTTTATAAATATGCAATTCATTAAAAAATGTAATAAATTTTATTCACATCTAATCATGTATGTTTATTAAAAAGTAAATTTAAAAACGTTAAAATATTAAATTGAGAAACCAAAGATTTAGGTTTAAAAACTAATGTTAATAATTATTAATTTATAAACAAATATTTAATAAAAAACCAACTTTTTTACAAAGATTAAATAGCAAAATTTATTTTTAAAGTATCTTTTTTAAGCTTAAATTTTATTTCTTTAGTATACTCATAAATTCGTATATTTTCATGTAATTCGAAAAGCCTTTAATAAAAAATATTAAGTGTGCAGATAGATATATAGTAACTTAATTAATAAGGCTCTGATCTAGTCATTTACTAATTTAATTATTTTTAATTAAATATTTTTTTCCCTTCTATAAATAATAATCTACTTTGAAAAAAATGGATTTAACATGATGAAAATTTTAAATTTTTAATAATACAGCATTTCAGCAATATTTAATTTTATAATAGTATAAGTTAATTTCAAATTAAATATAAGTATCTTATTTAGATTGACTATAATTATTTACAATTATAAACTATCTAAAAATATAAAATCAACTATTTTAACTCAATGTGATTAAATTAGCGTTAAAAGTAAATCAAAACTCAAATTATTTTTATAATTTTAAATTTCAACTCAAAAATTTGCCAGGATTGATTGATGCTAGATGACTTTATGTTCTAAATTTTTCTAATATAAAATAACATTATTCTTAAATAGTTTTTTAAGAAAATTAGAATAGCTTTTTTTATTTGAAATTTTGATTTGCTAATTAATCAAAAGAAAATTGTCAAATTAAAAATATATGACTAATTAAATTCACTAAAATTCGCATCATCTATTCTCAATATTGCTTCTTTTATTCAAATTTTGAATGAAAAAAAAATAAATCTATTCTGTTTAAATTCATCAATTTTACAAATTCAATCTATTAAAAATTATAATTTTAAATAAGTAATTACCATAATTCCTTCCTCTAAAATTGCCCCAACCAGGAAGTGAGGAGTTATTAATTTTTTTGAAAAATAAGTAAAATTTCTCAAAAATGTAATATATATTTAACAAAAGAAATCAGAAAGTTTAGAGTTAATATTTATTAAATTAAATGTAGAAAAATAATAAAAATATGTGTTTTTTGATAAAAAAATATTTTTTATTTAATAATAATTACTAATATGTTCTCATATATATTAAAATTTAATTATATATTTATATTTATACAGTCATTAAATTATTAGTAATTTTTAGCAATATCTGTTCATTCATATCACACATTTGTTAAATAAGCAATGTCCAAGACAACATCTCTTAGATTTGAAGCTTTATTCAATTACACCACAACCATTAGATTGTCCAGTGCTTTATGTTAAGGACTTTAGTACTTTAATTTAAACTTAAGAAGAGGGGCTGGAGCAGATAAGAAGTGCAAGGACTGATAAAAATTTTTATTATCTACTATTCATTTATTTTAAATTTCGATTAATTTTATTATCTATATTGTTAATAAAATATCAGAAGCTTAAAATCAATCAATAACTAATTACTAATTTTAACGATAGATATAAGATGAGATTCATTTGAATTTACAATCAAAATTTTGTTTTATATAAAGCTATGTCTTTTAAAATAATTTATCTTGTTATATTAATGAATTTAATTGATACTTTGAGGGGTTTTATTAATGTAAATATCTTTGATGTTGTAAAATTTTACAATAAAAAGGCATAATCTTAAAAAAATAATTGATAAATAATTATTGTTAATGGATTTAAATAGGAAGCACAAAAGAAATTGATCCTAATTGGAATAATATATTTTATATAAAAATATAATTTTTTACTATTTTAGCTTATAAATCCTAGCAAATTGGTATAAATAAACAATAAGTACGTATCCTAACTCTTTTTTGAATTTTAAATTAGCGTTTTAAACTCATATTATTTGGTTTTTAATTAGGATATTTTTCATAACGCTAATTTTTGTATAAAGAATAAAATTCAAGCGTTTTTTGTTTAAATTTATTTAACACTTTTTAGAACAATTTAAGGTAGAAATTATTTTAAAAGTTAATTTAGAAATGATTATTATTTTTAGTTTATTTTTAAACAGAAAATATAAAAAAATTCTTGTATAAACTTATTTTTTTATATTTTAGTCATTAAAAGATTGAATGAATTTTATTCAGGTCTAATCATGAATGTTTGTTTATAAGATAATAAATTTAAAAATGTTAAAATATTAAATTGAGATATTAATGATTTTGCTATTAAAAACTAAGATTAATTAATTTATCGAAATATACTAAGAAAAAACCAACTTATTTTACTAAAAAAAACAAAATAAAATAGATATTTTTAAAAGAATATCTTAATCCTAAAATATATTTGTTTGTTTTTATTTTACTCACAATTTCTTATTTTTCTGTAATTAAATTAATGATCTTGTTTTTAAAAACTAAGGTAAAAGATTATTAACTTATATAAATAAACTTAAAAAAAACCTACTTGTTTTATTAAATATTACATAATAAAATGGATATTTTAATAAATCCTTTAAGCCGAAAGTATATTTGTTTTTACTCATAACTTCGATTTTTCTGCAATTAAAAATCTTTAATAAATTAATATTTAATTTAGCTGTTTTTATCTTCTATAAATATTTTAATAAAAAATAATACAGCAGGATGTATAAAATAAATTTTTGAGTTTATCTATTATACTTTTAATGTATCTTAAATATAATAAGAGTCAATAAATTTTATATGAAAATTTATTTCAAATTTAATATTTATATTTTTTTGGGTTTATTTATAATAAAAAATTTATACTTAATAGTTATATCTGCTATTAATTATGATTTTTATATGGTAAAAAAGACAAACATACATACAAAAGGATATGTTTTTAATAGCATAAGATTCATTATTAATCTTTTATTTGATTCTGAGTTTTATATTATTTAAATAACTCAAATTTTTATATCAAAATGAATTCAAGCATTTAATCAAGGTAATTTTTTAATTTAGCTTTTAAAGATAATAAAATAAAACCAATTACAAACACTTATAAATAACACTATTACTCAATATAATGTAGTTTTATCCACATATTTATTTCAAAAGTAAATTACTTTTTTCCTATCTATAAAATTCTACTTTAAATTATAAAGTAAGTTATGCAGCCATTTTTACTCTAAATTAATATTAAAATGAGAGAAAGTCGATTTAAATAAAAAATCATTACCAAATATCAACTTCTTAGTATTTTAGCATCGCATATATCTAATCCTCCTTCCAAATAATTTATACTTTTATTCAAAAAATAAAATGTAATAATTTTTAAAAAATATTTCTTAAATTTTTGAAATAAGCAAACTAAACAATTCATTTTGTTTGCAAAACATTTCATTTTTAAAAACATATAATTAAATTAAATTTATTTAAAGCTTTGAAAAATTGTAATTTATTTAATAAAAAATAATAATTTTTCTGACTAAGTAATGAAATTATGAGAGTTACTTTGAATAAACAATTTAAATTAAATTTCATTAAAATATCAAATAAAATATGATATTCCACTTGATGGATATTCTGATTCATTTAGTTATAAAATTTTATTAATATGACAAGATAATTAATTAGTTTTAAGGGATTATAGCAAAATTAAATTCAATTAAGATTACCGCCAATAAAGAGATAAGACATGAATGATATTAAAGAAAGAAATATAAACTCTTATCTCAATTAATATCAAACAAACAGATAATATCTTATTATTATTTTTTAAAATCGAGAAATATAAAGAAAGATTTAAGTTGATAAAAAGATAAAAAATTAATGAAATTTAGATTAAAAATATTAATTTAAAGATCAAAAGAAAAGATAATCGAATAAACATTTTTAAAGTTTCAAGAAATTTTACTAATGTACTACGATTATATATCATATATAATATATTTTTTATTTTATTTTATAAAGTCATAACGTAACTAGGAATTTTTAATATTTGCCTTGTTCATTCAGACTACAACACATTTTTTGAATAAGCAATATCCAGCACAGCATGACTTAGACTTGCAGCTAGTATAAGGTAAGGCACAACTAGCACTAGATTGTTCTTTAGCGCTTTATGCATATGATTTTAGTGCTTTGGCTTAAACTTAAGATGTAGGATTGGAGCAGATAAGAAGTACAAAGACTAATAATATCAATATTGCGTTTTTGAATTGCATTTTACTTTTTCGATTTTTTTTTTTTTCAATTTTTTTGATTTATTATTTGTTATTAATTTTTTGGTTATGGTATTTAGCATTTAAAATAAATTTTTTTATCATCTATAACTCATTTCTTTTAAATTTTGATTAATTTTATTATCTGATTAATAAAATATCAGAGGCTTAAGATCAATAGCTAATTACATATTTTAATAATAGATGTAAGATGCGATTCATTTGAATTTACAATCAACATTTTATTTTATAGAAAGCTATGTCTTTTAAAATAATTTATATAGGAATATTAAAGGATTTAAATGATATTTTGAGGGATTTTATAAATGTAAATCGTTTAATATGTAAAAATTTACAATAAAATGACATATTTTCAAAATAATTAATGGATAAACTAATATCGATAAAGGATTTAAATGGGTAGGATAAATGAAATTGATCTATATTCGAATAATATGTTTTATATAAAAAAATAATTTTTTACTATTTTAGCTTAAAAATGTTAGCAAATTATATATATAAATAAACGATAAATATATTTCCTAACTCATTTTTGAATTTCATATTTGCGTTTTGAATTATTCAACTCAAATTATTTGGTTTTTAATTTGGGTATTTTTCATAACGCTGATAAAGATAAGAAACAGATTCAAGCAATTTTTAGCTTAACTTAATTGAATGCTATTAAGCAATTTTAAACAGAAATTATTTTAAAAGTTAACTTATATATGAAAATGATTATTATTTTTTGTTTATTATTAAAAAGAAAATATAAATTTTTCAAATAAAATTATTTTTATACATTAGGAATCTTTAAATTATTGAATAAACTTTATTCATGTCTAATCATGAATGTTAGTTATTCAGAAAATAAATTAAAAACGTTAAAATACTAAATTGAGATATAAAGATTTATATTTTTTAAACTAAGGTCAATGATAATTAATTTATGAAAGTATACTTAATAAAAAACCTACTTGTTTTATTTAAGATTACAACGTAAAATATATATTTTTAAAGAATATTTTAAGCCTAAGGTTTATTTATTTTTATTATACTCATTAATATGTATGTATTTTTCTGTAAATTAGAAAATCCTTTAACAAAAAGTATTAAGTGTATTAATAGATAGATATATAGTAACTTAAATAATAAGGCTCTGATCTAATGATTTACTAATTTAATTATTTTTAATTAAATATTTTTTCATTTCTATAAAGTAGATGACTTAAATATATTATTTTTTATTTTAATTTTAATAATAAAATCTTTTTTTTTTTATGATTTTTTAATTGAATTATGTAATTTCAGATATTAAATTTTAAATCTATAATAGATTTTTATATTATAATATAATACACTTAATTATTTAAAAGAAAATATTAATTATTTAGTTTGCAAATAAATTCCAAATATATTTTTGGGACGGATGATTGTAATATATATATTTAACATAAGAAATCAGAAAATTTATAGTTAATATTTTTTAAATTAAATGTAAAAAAAAGAAAAGAAAATGATGAAAGTAAGATATTTATTTATGTGATATTTGATAAAAAAAATATTTTTCTTTATTATAATTTCTAATATATTCTTATATATATATGTATATATATATCAAATTTAATTATACATTAATATTTATGTATTAAATTGTTAGTAATTTTAGCAAGTCCTGTTCACTCATACCCATGGCACACATATTTTTTTGTAGCATTTTCCATCGCAACATTTCGAACTTTTGCAGCTAAATCCAAACTTAGCACAACCACTACTAGATTGTTCTTTAGTGCTTTATGCCTATGATTTTAGTGATCTAGCTTAAACTTAAGAAGAGGGATTGGAGCAGATAAGAAGTGCAAAGACTAATAAAATCAATATTGTGTTTTTGAATTGCATTTTACCAATTTTTTTTTCTTTCCTTTTTCAATTTTTTTGATTAATAGCTTATAATTAATTTTTGATGATGGCATTTAATATTTATAATAAATTTTTTGATTCTCTGCAATTCATTTATTTTAAATATCGATTAATTTAATTATCTATTCTTTTAATATAATATTAGGAGGTTAAGATCAATAACTTATTACTAATCTTAATAGTAGATATAAAATGAGATTCATTTGAATTTACAATCAATAATATAAAGCTATGTTTTTTAAAATGATTTATCTTGGATTATTAAAAAGTTTAAATGATTTTTTGAGAAGTTTTATAAATCTAAATATCTTTAATTTTGTAAAATTTTACAATAAAAAGACATATTTTTAAAATAATTAGTGATAAATCATTATTTTTAAAGGATTTAAATTGTGGCACAAAAGAAATTCATCTAAATTGGAATAATATTTTTTATACAAAAATATAATTTTTTACTTTTTTAGCTTAAAAATGATAGCAAATTAGATATAAATAAAGAATAAATAGATATCCTAACTCATTTTTAAATTTCAAATTTGCGTTTTAAGTTATTCAACTCAAATTATTTGGTTTTTAATTTGAGTATTTTTCACAATTCTGATTTTTATAAAAAGAATCCAATTCAAGTATTTTTTTTCCTTACTTTATTTAATACTTTTTACTGCAATTTTAACTAGAAATCATTTTAAAAGTTAATTTATGTGTGAATAGGATTATTATTTTTAGTTTATTTTTCAACAGAAAATAAAAATTTCTAGAATAAACTTATTTTTATGATGTAAGAATTATTAAAATAAATGGAATAATTTTATTCACGTCTAATCATGAATGCTTATCAGATAGTAAATTTAAAAAACGTTAAAATATTAAACGGAGATATTAATGATTTTGTTATTAAAAATAAAGGTTAAAGTTATGAAAATAAACTTAAAAATGACCTACTTGTTTTATTAAAAATTAGATAATAAAATAGATATTCTAATAAATATTTTAAGCCTAAAGTATATTTGTTTTTATTATACTCATAATTTCGATTTCTCTTCAATTAGAAAAACCTTTAATAAATTAATATTTAATTTAGTTGTTTTTATCTTCTTTAAATATTTTAATAAAAAACAATCAGCTGGATGTAAAAAACAAATTTTTGAGTTTATCTACTTTTAATCTATCTTAAATATAATAAGATTTATTAAATTTTATATGAATATTTATTTCAAACCTGATTTAATTCATGAGGTAAAACATGCTTTTAAATTAGAACTTTCTTTTTATTAATTGGTGGGTACTTAAATATAGTCAGGTGACAGTAATTTATATTAAAATAAAAAATTATTTAAATAATGGTAAGGATTCAAATAGTTATTAATATTTTTTATTTGTGCATTTTTATTTGATTTTCCTCAGTAATATATTTGATCATGAGAAATATAAAAACTAAAGTTGATAAAATGATGAAATAAATTAATGAAATTTAGAATAAAAATATTAATTTTTATATAAAAGAGCAGAAGAAAAGATAAAGAAATAAACATTTTTTAGTTTCAAGAAAATAAATGTACTAGCACAGAATTTTTTATCATATATATTATATTATATTTTTTTATTTTATAAATTCATAACATAACTTGCAATTTTTAATATAGTTATCTGCTCATTCAGCCATAAACACATCTTTTTAATAAGCAAAATCCAATACAACATGGCTGAGACTTGCAGCTAGCATAAGGTTTAGCACAACTAGAACTTGATTGTTCCTTACTGTTTTATCCTTATACTTTTAGTGCTTTTGCTTAGACTTAAGAAGAGGGGTTAGAGCAGATAAGAAGTACAAAGACTATTAAGATCAATATTGCGTTTTTGAATTGCATTTTATCTATTTTTTTTCTTTTCTTTTTTTTAAATTTTTTTGATTTATTATATATTATTAATTTTTGATGATGGCATTTAATATTTTTAAAAAATTTTTTATTATCTAATATTCATTTATTTTAAATTTTGATTAATTTTATTATCTGGTTCATAAAATATCAGAGGCTTAAGATCAATAGCTAATTACTTATTTTAATGATAGATATAAGATGAAATTTTTTTGAATTTACAATTACCATTTTGTTTTATAGAAACTATGCTTTTAAAAATGATTTATCTTCTAATGTTAAAGGACCTAAATGACACTTTGGGGGATTTATTAAAAAACTTTTTATTTTATTACAATAAAAATACATAATTTTAAAGTGATTAATAATAAATAATTATTGTTAAAGGATGTATGTAAATGGGTAGCACAAAAGAAATTGATCTAAATTGGAATAATATGTTTTATATAATAATACAATTTTTTACTATTTTTGCTTAAAAGTCATAGCAATTTCAATATAAATAAACAATAAGTAGATAGATAGATATCCTAACTCATTTTTGAATTTCAAGTTTGCGTTTTAAAATTATTCAATTTAAATTATTTGGTTTTTAATTTTGGTATTAACTTTATAGATAGAATCAAATTCAAGCATTTTTTTGCCTAACTTTACTATTTAGCAATTTTAAGTAGAAATAATTTTAAAATAACTTATGTATGAAAATTATTATTTATTATTTTTATTTTATTTTTAAAAACAATATATAATTTCTAGAATAAAATTATTTTTAAAATTTTAGAATCATTAAAAAACTGGATAAATTTTATTCACATCTAATCATGAATGTTATTCAAAAAGTAAATTTAAAAACTTTAAAATATTAGATATCTAATGATATTTAGTAAAATTATAATTTTTTTTTTACATCTAATTCTGTCTGTAATTTTTTGTAATAATCTTAATTTCCATGGAAACATCTCTTCATTCTTTAATATATTATGAACGGATGGATACTTATGAGACTCTAGAAGAATTACTGATATATGAAAATGACAAGATATTTATTTATACATTAGTTAAAAAATAATATAAGAAGTTTAAAAGGACTTCAAATTTAGATGGCGACTAAAATGAATTTTTTGAATAAACAAATAGAGCAAGGGTAACATTTCTCATTTTTATAGTTTGCATTTAGAATTGTACAATTTGTACTTAACTATTCCTTATTGTTTTATGAATCTGTATTAATTACCTTAACATAAAATGATGAAGAGTATTTTGTGCAGATCAAAAGTATTAAGGCCATTAATATTAGTATTATGTTTTTGAGTTTCATTTTCAATTTTTAAAGAAATATCCGCTTTTTTGTTTTTTTGTATTCTTTAAAAGTTATGGTTGAAAATTATTGCTAAATTAATATATATGACATTGTCCATTAATATTGCATTTCAATATTTTACCAAACAAACATAATATATATTTTCTTATACTTTATTTGCATCAAAAAAAATTAAAACAAGAAATTTTATATTAATTAAAAAAATACTATCAAATTCTGATATACATTAATTAGATCATATCTCATATCTCGAGGTTCAATTTATTTCCTGATATATTTGTATAAAAAGGACTTTATTTCTAAGTCTAACACATTTTTTTAGAATTTATTAAATAGAAATAGAGTGAAATAAAAAAAATTTTAAATTAGAAAAAGAAATAATTAATTCACAAGTATCTTAAAATTAATTCTTAAGTATTTGTTTTTTTTACTAATAATTTACTATCAAGTTATGTTTTCTAAAATAGAAAAAACTTGATAGATAATCCTAACGTATTAATTTAAAATTTGAATTTGCGTTTTAAATTAATGTTAATTTATTATTTGGTTTTTAATTTTAGGTTATTTTTGCATAACGCTTCAGATTTTAAAAAAAATATCTGATTCATGTTTTTATTTATAATAATAAAATTAATTATCTTCTTTTTGAGATAAAAATCAATAATTAAAATTGTAAACAAATTTATTAACAATTTTAAACTCAAAAAAAAATTATTTTTTTTATTAGTTTATTGATTAGAATGAATAAATTTGATATTTTGTTAACAATTATTTTAAATTATTTTAGCATTTTATTGTAAATCTGTAAATAATGTATTTGTATTATATATACCTTAGATCTTTTATCATATTTTAAGACTTTTTTTATTACGGAAGATTTTTTGAAAATTAAAAAAATGTTACAACCTAAATTTTCTAAAAATTTGAATTTTCCTTATTAAAGAAGGTAAAATTAACTTCAATGTTAAAGCATTTAAAAAAGATTATATCTGTAAGAGAAAAAAAGTTGTTGACACAAATTTATTAATGAAAATAAAGAAAATACAGTGTTAGTATTCAATTTTTACAAAAACAAAAATCATTAATTTTGTTATTTATCTAGTTACACTACAACCACTAGATTGTTCAGTGATTTATGCCAAGGACTTTAGTGCTTTAGCTTAAACTTAAGAAGAGGGGTTGGAGCAGATAAAAAGTACAAAGACTAATAAGATCAATATTGTTTTTTGAATTGCATTTTACCAATTATTTTTTCTATTTCTTTTTTATTCAATTTTTTTTCTGATGATGATGTTAAATGTTTAAAATAAATTTTTTGATTATCTACAATTCATTTATTTTAAATTTCAATTAATTTTATTATCTATATTGTTAATAAAATATCAGAAGCTCAAAATCAATCAATAAATAATTAATAATTTTAATGAAAGATATAAGATGAGATTCATTTGAATTTACAATCAACATTTTGTTTTATATAAATAAGATATATCTTTTAAAATGTTTTATCTTGAAATATGAAAGAATTTAAATGATATTTTGAGGGGTTTTATAAATCTATTTATCTTTGATTTTGTAAAATTTTACAATAAAAAGGCATAATCATACATCATTATTGTTAATGGATTTAAATGGGAAGCAAGCACAAAAGAAATTGATCTTAATTGGAATAATATATTTTATATAAAAATATATTTTTTTACTATTTTTGCCTATATCCTATCCTAACAAATTGGAAATAGATAAGCAATAAGTATGAATCTTAACTCATTTTTGAATTTTAAATTAGCGTTTAAACTCATATTATTTGGTTTTTAATTTGGGTATTTAAACGCTAATTTTTGTAAAGAGAATAAATTTCAAGCATTTTTTGATTAATTTAATTTAACACTTTTTAGAGCAATTTTAAGGAGAAATTATTTTAAAAATGAATTTATGTGTGAAAAATATTATAATTTTTAGTCTATTTTTAAAAAGTAAATAAAAAGATAGAATAAATTTATTTTTATAATTTTTGAATCATTAAAAAGTTGAATGAATGAATTTATTCACTTCTAATCATGAATGCTTATTTAAAAACGCTAAAATATTAAATTGAGATATTAATGATTTTGTTATGAAAAACTAAGGTTAAAGATTATTAATTTATCAAAATATACTTAAAAAACTCCAAATTGTTTTAATAAAGATTACATAATAAAATATATTTTTTTAAAGGAATATCTTAATCCTAAAATAAATTTGTTTGTATTTTTTATACTCACAAACCATTTCTTACTTTTCTGCAATTAGAAAAAGTTTGCCTACTTTTAATGTATGTTTAATATAATAAGATTTATTATATTTTATTTGAAAATTTATATCAAACATGCTAATCGATGAGGTAAAAATAAGCTTTAAAAAATAGTCTAAACTATAAATTTTTTAATTAAATAATATTGGTTAAAAAATTTTAAATAATTAGTTTTAATGGATTGTAATAAAATTAAATTCAATTAAGCTTACTAGCGATAAAGAGAAAGACAGACATTAGTTATTAAAGAAAGAAAGAAATCAGATATATAAAATGAAAGATAAAAAATTAATGAAATTTAAAATAAAAATGTTAATTAATAAATAAAAGAGCAGAAGAAAAGATAAAGAAATCAAATTTTTTTTAAGTTTCAAGAAAATTGACTAATCTACAATATATATCATATATATATATTTTTTTTTATTTTATTTTATAAAGTCATAACATAACTAGCAATTTTTAATATAGTTTTTTTGCTCATTCAGACAAGAACACATTTTTTTACTACGCAAGCTGAGCCAGGGCAGCATGGATTAGACTTGCTGCAGCTAGCTTTAGGCTAGCCACAACTAGAAGTTGATTGTCCTTATACTTTTAGTGATTTGGCTTAAACTTAAGAAGAGGGGTTGGAGCAGATAAGAAGTACAAAGACTAGTAAGATTAATAGTGCGTTTTTCAATTGCATTTTAACAGTTTTTTTTCCTTTTTTTTTTATTCAAATTTTTTGATATATTATTTGTTTTTAAATTTTTGGTGATAGCATTTAATATTTAAAATAAATTTTTTGATTATCTACAATCTATTTATATTCAATTTCGATTAATTGTATTATCTTTTCTATTAATAAATTAGAAGCTTAATATCAATGTAAGATGAGATTCATTTGAATTTAAAATCAACATTTTGTTATATATAAAGAGAGATATGTCTTTTAAAATGATTTATCTTGAAATATCAAAGAATTTCAATGATAATTTGAGGACTTTTATGCATCTAAATATCTTAGATTTTGTAAAACTTTACTTTTAAAAGGATATTATTCAAATAATTAATGATAAATAATTATTGTTAAAGGATTTAAATGTCGCACAAATGATTTTTTTTTAGATTGGAATAATATGTTTTATATAAAAATACAATTTTTTACTATTTTAGCTTAAAAATCATAGCAAACTCGATATAAATAAGCAATAAGTAGATATCATAACTCAATTTTGAATTTCACGTTTGTATTTTAAAATTATTCAACTGAAATTATTTGGTTTTTAATTTAGTTATTTTTCATAACGCAAATTTTTATATATAGATCAAATTCAAGCATTAGAAATTTTAAGTAGAAATTATTTTAAAAGTTAACTGATGTATGAAAATGATTTATTTTTTATTTACTTTTAAAAAGGAAATATAAATTTCTATAATTATTTTTATAATTTAATACTCATTAAACAATAGAATGAATTTTATACACACCTAATCATGAATGTTATTAAAAAAGTAAATTTAAAAACGAATCTTTTAAATCTAAAGCTTATTTGTTTTTATTATGCTCATTAATTTGTATTTATGTACTTAGAAATTCCTTTTATTAAGTATATAGAAAGATAGATATATAGTAACTTAAATAATAAGACTCTGATCTCATCAATTACTAATTTAATTATTTTTAAATAAATATTTTTCCCCTTCAATAAAAAGGCAGTTCGAGTCATTAAATTCTTGTGGACATATCAACACAAAAATTTAATGGCTGGATTTGCTAAAAAGTAGATTACTTAAATATATTATTTTATTTTTATATTATAATCTTTGTTTTAAGATTTTATAATTTAATTTTTTAATTTAGATAATTAAATTTTAAATTAATAAGAGATTTTTATTTTATAATATAAAATTTTTAATTATTTTAAAAGAAAATATTAACTATATGGGTAAAATGCATTTTTTGAATAAAAAAATATAGCCAGGGTAAAATTTCTCAATTTTATAGTTTGTTATTGTAATTGCACAATTGGTACTTAACTATTCCTTATTGCTTTATGAATTTGTTTTAATTTCTTTGGAAAAACTGATGAAGAGTGAGTAGTCTGAGCAGATCAAAAGCACTAAGGCTTTAATATTAGTATTGCGTTTTTGAGTTTTATTTTCAATTTCGAAAGAAATTATATATTCTACTTTTTTTTATATTCATTAAAACTATAGATTTATAAGATTTAAATCTACATTTTCTTTCTGTAACTTTATTTGCATCAAAAAAAGTCAAACAAGAAATTTAGTATAAATTAAAAAAATACTATCAAATTCTTATAAACATTAGGTAATATCTGAAGGTTCAAATTTCTTTTCTGATATATTTTTATTATCATATAAGAGGACTTTATTTCTAAGTCTCTCAAATTTTAAAAGAAATTGTTAAATAGAAATTTAATGAGTATCATTCTTAAACTCTAAATTATTTTATTTTTAGAGCAAAATAAAAAAAATTTTTAATTAGTAACAGAATTAACTCATAAGTATCTTAAAAAGCTTAAGTATTTGTTTTTTAAGTAATAATTTTCTATCCAGTTATGATTTCTAAAATAGAAAAAGCTTGATAGATAATCCTAACGTATTAATTTAAATTTTGAATTTGCGTTTTAAATTAATGTTAATTTATTATTTGGTTTTAGTTTTTGGTTATTTTTGCATAACGATTCAGATTAAAAAATATCTAATTCATGCTTTTATTTAGTAAAGTTATAATTAAAAAAATAAACCAATTTATTAAAAAATTTAAACTCAATAAAAAATTAATTTTTTTATTAGTTTATTGATTAAAATGAATAAATTTAATATTTTGTTATATAAATACGTTTATTATATACTTTAATTCCTCATATTTTAAATATTTTAAGACTTTTATATAAAGGCAGATTTTTTGAAAATTAAAATAATCAAAAATATATTTATTTTTGAAACTCTTAAGGTTTTAATTAAAAACCGACTATTTTCTTGTATTTATTAATATAAATAAATAAATTGATTTTCATCGTTATTTTAAAATAGAAAAATGGTATGTTGTTTATGGCTATTAAATAAATCTGAATTAGAATTCCAGTTAATCAGTTAATGAAGAAAATTATAAAAATATTTTGATAAATTATTTTAAAAATGATTTACATTATTTATTTATTTATTTACTTATTTTATAATAAGATATATGAAAATATATTAGCACACATTTAATATTTAATTCTTTAATGATATCTGCAATTTTGCAAAAATATTGTTTTAATGTTTATAATATTTTTAAGTTAATGTTTGATTTTAAAATTTATTAGTATGTATTATCTTTCTATTTATCTAAGAATGTTTCTATCTATGTATATTTGTAAAAATGTTTCTCAAATCTTTTACTGAAATTTATTTCATTGAGGATTGGCAACTTCTTCTTTTTAACTTTCTTCTTTTTTAATTTCGAAATTAATTTCTCTAGGTTCTTTAAGGAATTACTCGAACTTCCATTCACCTTTTCCATCAAATCTTAAAATATATTCATGGTACTTGAATAAAGATAATCTATGAGAGACTGTGAAAAGAGTGATTCCTAGTAACTTACAGTGAGAGTATAACAAAGCTTCAATTTCGAGGGAGACTGCAGATGTGCACTCATCTATTATCATTTATCAAGACAATTATATTATATATTACCAATAAATAAAAAATTTACCTAAAATAGCGAAGAGAGGCTTGTGGTAGAAAAGACGAGCCATAGCAATACCTTGCTTTTCACCTCCTGCTAAAATATTACTCCAATCTTCGACTCTATCTAAACCACCAGGCTTATCAGCAATGTAGCTTAATTAAACAGTGGCAAGAAGTTAAAGTAAATGCTTATTTTAATAATATAGAATTTTAATCATTCATTCATTCATTAGTTATAAATAAATAAATTGATTTTACTTAATCAGTTATTTTTTTTCTCAACATAGTCAATTTACTGTGAGGATAAATAATTTAGTCACGAAGGGTACCTCTTGGAAGATAAGGACGTTAGGGAATATAGAAGAGTTTGTCACTAGGAGGACATACTAATTTTCCTTCGAAAAGAGGCCATAATTCTCCTAAAATTCTGAAAAGTGATGATTTACCACAACCATTAGGACCACTAATAACTACATTCATTCCAGGTTAGATTGTAATGTTCATGGGCTTAACCAATTTGTCACCATTGGGAGTAACAATTGGTAAATTGACGAATTAAATGTAGTCTTTGGTAGAATCTCTCTGTTTTAATTATTTTGAATTTTATTTTTAATTAGCTAATTATTATTCAATAATTGTTTGTTTTATTTATTTACTTCTCCTTGTTGTAAGTTGATGATGCTACCACCGAAATGACTAACACTTTCACCATATACTTCACTTCCAGAAATCAAATTTCTTTGATATTTGCCTGTTAATTTATAGCAGAAATAAATAAATATATTTTTTAAATGATTTTAATGGTGTACCTTAATTGAGATCTTCAAGGGAGTTACTAATTTCAGAAACAATAGTAGTGTAACCAGCTAATTGTTATATTTCTTTGTAACTAATAACTAATCTACCAATAGCTTTAGCTAGATTGATCAAGAGGGAAGAATTTCTTACATAATCTCTTGTGATAGCAGATGGATCGTTGTCGATTTTCTTAAGATATTCTGCTGATCCAGGACCGAAGACTGGTAAACCAACAACGGCATAACCAATAATGACTGCACCATATTTAACAAGAAGACTGTCAAAAGTACCCATGAATAAACGCTTAGACATAATATTTTCAGTGTGAGTAATTAAATCTTTGAAAGAAGATAAAATTCTAGCTTTTTCCCAGCTTGTTCCTTTGTAGAATGCTATTTCTTCAGCATGGTGGGAAAGACTAGTATGGCAGGCTCTGTATTCACCTTCAAGCTTTTGAGCTTAAGCTGTTAATTTACCGAAGGCAGGAGAAACCATCTTGATGATCATACCAGAGAAGAAATACCTTTTTTTTAAATTTTTAAAATTGCATTTTAATAATATTTGGTTAAATTTTATTTACCAAGCAACAACAATAGTTGGTCCCATCCAACCTACAAGCTCAGCTAATTTTTTGGAGAAAAGTAATATATCAAGAACGGGTTTAGTAAAGTTAGAGTAGATAAGAGAAAGAGAATTAGCCCATTTTTCAATATCTGCAGTCATTCTTTAATCAGGATTTTCGACACGGTTATCAAGGTTAGTTAATTGATAGAAAATCATATCCTTCAAGTAAATTTCAGTTAAATGAGAAGTAAGCTTAGATCTAAAGTAAATAGCAAGCTTCTTGTTCAAGTATTCGAGGAAAGAGTTAACAAAAGAAGCAGGGACAGCAATCATACCAAGTTCAAGAATCTAATTATAAAAGTATAAGTATTTTAATAAATTTAGAATTCAATATTGATAATAAATGACGCAATTAGCATTAAAAAATTTTAAAAATTAAAGTAACGCTTTTACAAAAAGTGAAAGGATATTTACAATTAATTCAAAGTTGAGGAAATTTAAATTTTAATATTATGAAAAACCTAAATAAATTATAATATAGTAAAAGCTAATAAATTTATCCCAATTTATTCGATTTGTTTTAAATGCAAAAGATAATATTATTAAAGTGTATTTTTTAAATTAAAAAATATCTAAATAAAATTGTATCTATCTATCTATTTATCTATCTTCTAAATTAAAACTACTTAGAAGTAAATATTCGCTTTAAGCTGAGTATTTAACTCAATTAAATTTTCAATTTTGTTTTTTATACCACTATCTCCTTCTGATAAAAATAGAAAAATAGAATGTTAATAACAAATTTTTATTGATTGATTGACTGAAGTTGACATATATATTTTTAAAAATTCCAAAGTGGTTTTATCCATTTTTTACTAAATAATAATTGCATAACTTGCTAACAAATATTTACTCTTTTTAAGAAAGCCTTAACATCTAACTTGATAATAGCCTTAACAATACGTCCATTTGCTCCTGCAACCCAAATTGATAAATAAGTTCTAAAAACTAAAAAGACAGTCAAGAGCACTATATCAGCCATTGCAGAGCACTTCCAAGTAGGAAAAACAATTTTTAAGAGCTTAAAGATTCTTTAGAAGAATACAGAATCTACATTACCTTTTCCCTATTTTAAAACAACAATAAATTGAGACTTGTAACTTTATTTCAACAATTAATAGTTTAAATAATAATTTTCATTATCTTTTAATGGACTAAAAGAATTTATTGAAATTTGTTCTCAAATAAAAGTATTGAAAACCTTTAATTTGCATATTGATAAATTTGAAATTAAGATGTACATATTGTTGATTTATATATAACAATTTAATCTTTTACCTTCTTTTATTGTTCCTTTTGTGCTTGAGCATTTGAAGGAGCAGAACCTCTCAATCTTCTCTTAACTAAATAAAGAATGACAAGAAGGAGTGATCCACCAAAAATCTTTAAATTTTATAAAAAAAAATAGGTTTTTTTTCTGATTTTTTATAGAATGCATAATCTCTTTAGGCTGATTTAAAAATAATTTAATAATGGCACTCTAATGCTCATTATAATTGAGTCTAAGTTTTAAAATCACATTTATTTGGATCCATTTCTTTTATAAACAATTAAAATCTTATTGAAACAAATTGTCAGCCTAACTAACTAAACTTGACTTAATCTAAATAAAAAATAAAGAGCTAATTTTATACGGTCTTCTTGCTATTCTTAAATAAAGAAGAGAAGAGATTTAACCACAATTGGTCATTTTATAAAACTTTTGATTAAACTGGCGCCATTCGTTAAATCTAGTTTTCCCCTCAAACTAATGCTTTTAATTTTACTTTTTTGTTTTATCTTTATTTCTTTAAAACAGATAAGACTTGCAATACTTGAAATTAATTAATTTTAAGAATACGCAAAACAAAACAAGAGTAATTAATTAGATAGATTTTTAATTAATTTAGGTATTTGCATGTAAAATCTCTTTAAATTTTAACTTCTATTTCTAAAATGATATTTCATCGAAAAAATCATCCAACCTATTATTTGATTTAAGTTTTTCTTTTATTTGATAGCTTTTTCAATACCCCGCAACATTCATGACCTCATCTGAATCATACCCTCTACTTTTAATATCTTGTTTGCATATTTTTAAAATTCACTTTTGCTGATGTTGATCTTCACTCACCAAAAGATAGCTCAAAATATGACACCATCAACATCTTACTATCTAGATTGTATTTTTTATATGTCTTTTAGTTCTTAAATAAAAAATATAATAAAATAAATTTTATTTTTTTATAAATAATATTATAATTTTTAAATCTTTTTTGAAATCTTCTAGAATTTGAGAAATAATTTATGCAAAAATTAAATCAAATTAATAGTAATAGCTAGAGTTTTATTGAAAATACAAATCTTTACAAAAAGGATTTTTAGCAAAAAGATTTTATATATTTATATAAAAGTTGATTAACTTTAAAGTAATTGGAATTCTCTAATAAAATCTTTTACTCTATCAATTATTATTTTTAAATTTTTAATTAAGAGAGTAACAAGCGAATATAACTTATATGAAATCAATAAGAGTATACATTATAATTCTTTCTTAGATTTAGACAAAGAATTAAAATAAATTAATACTTTGTTCTAAATTAAGGGAGAAAAAGCAATAAATAGTTAAACCGATTTTGATTTTTTCAGCTTTTGATTTTGTGAAATAAAAGTTAACCTTTGATAAAATAATGATTTGAAAATGGTAAAATTACAAAAAAATGATAAAATTTTATAAAAATAAATTTTTTTAAAATCCGTTGTGTTCAAATAAAAGCACAAAATTTACACTCTAAAAACACATTTATTTTTATAATTAAATAAATAAAAACAATTTTGATTTAATTGAGTGATAAAAAAATATATTTTTCAATTTGGTTTTAAATTAGAATTAATTAGAAAAAATAAATGTTCTCTAAAAGTAGATAGATAGATAATATTTTAATATGAAAGAAGAGTAGATATTTTTTAAAAATGTAAATGGAATTTAAATATTAACTGAAAAGAAAATTATAAAAATTGATAATTAGAAGCTTAAATAATAAAAAGCATGCATGAAATATTAAGTTAAAATATAAATAAAATAATAGAAAATTAGATTATTTTAAAATATAAATAAGTAGAAGAAAATAACAAGTTAATTGGATATAAGTGACTTGGTATTGTGTATTTAAGTATATTAATAATTTATTTAGATGTATAAAAAAGCCACTAAAATTTGCTATCCCAAATATCTAGTTAGCACTCCAAAAATTAATAGAATATAAATTAAGTTGATATTAAACCTTTAGATAATTTTCAAATTATTTTGTTTGAAAGATGAGCTAAGATAAACATAGTATAGACTGGGATTAAGATTAAGAGGAAATTATTAGATTTTTTCTATAAGATCTTTAAAGTCAAATCCATATTCCATTTGCTTAAAAAAGAATCATTTAAGGAGTTGAAGAGGATCCTGAAAGTAATTATAATATCATTTAGTTTTTTTTTTTGAGTTTAAAATTTTTTGTTTAAAATATTAGTTGAGCTAAGGTTTGCTGTTTAAGAGGTCATTCAAAGGGAAGAACAAATAAAATGCCTAATTGAAATATCTAGTAACAAAAGATATAATATAAAACATATTACAAATAACTTAGCAATATTTTGTAATTAAAAAAGATAGCTTATTGAACAAAATTGACGAATAAGCTCTAAAGATAGAAGATATACAGCATAAGCTAGATAGTCAAAATTAATAAATACAACTCTAAATTGAATATGTTATTGAATTATAAGTAAATTGCTTTTCTTAATGAGCTTTTATTTACTTTTAATTTTGTTTTATTCTAACAAAATTCATTTATCTAAGAGGAGAGTAGACGAATAGCGAGATTAATATAATTAACTGGAAGAGAAATTTAATTACACAGAAAACGAGCTTTGTTAGAAAAAGATAGAATTAGTAACTGCTAACAGCAGTCTGTAAAAGTTAGAGAGAATAGAATAAAAATACTCTGTAATTTATTTAAGTTATTAAAATGCTTGTATAAAATAATTTTTATTTCAATTGAATAGGAATTTGAAATAAAAGAGCAATATGACACCATCACTTTATCTATGTACAAAGTTAAAGTTGATTAAATTTAATAAATAAATTAGTCCATTGCTCATAACTTAGAATTGACTAAGCAGTAAATGATAGACTAAAATATTATCATAGAAAATCAAAAAGATTAAATCAAACTATTAGATCTTCAATTAACGAGTATTAATTATTTAAAAAATTAAATCTCATTGATTTCAAATACTTATTCAATTATGCTATTAATAAATTTATTTATTTATTTATTTAGATGAAAGACAATAAAATAAAATTTTGAGCAGCTAAATCGTAACACTTGAATCATAAATAATCAATTAAAGCCATGATTTTGAAGATCTTTTGGAAAACCAAGGTGAAATATTTAAAATAATTAATTCAATTTTAATTGACTAAATTATGAAATAACTCTAGCTGAGTAAATCTAATGCTAAAAAATATAAGGCGAGAGAATAGATAGATTATAGCAAAGATCCAATTCTTTAGACCAGAGTTTAAAAGGTTATAGCAGTTAAAAAGATAATAACGAACTTTTTAGAACAAACGAGAAAAAGATATAATTACTCAAACACAATACTTCAAATAACAAAAAAAACATATGTAATTCGTGCCTTAAAAGATTTCAAGATAACTTTAATTAGATAAACTCAGAAATAGTTCAAAACAGTAATAATAGTAAATTAAATAACAACAGTGGTAATGATTTTTCTAGAAATTATGGAGGACTACTCAGCGAGTTAATTCTTGAAGATATTAACTTGTATCATGATAAATACTCTTCATCATCTAAGAATTAACAAACTTTCTTAAAATAAAATTACAAGAATCACATTGACAAATTTAATTTTAGACTTAAAAAGAAAAAATAGCTAATAGAGAGAATATCTGGAAATAAAAACTCAATGTCTGTACCAACCGATGATAATTAAGGGTTATATTCTTCTTAAGGGCTCACAAAAAGTGCATCAGCATCACACTAGGAGATTTCTTTAAATGAATTCAATGAGAGTAATTTAGCATAAAACGATGAGCATACGAAAAGTCATAGCAATAAGCATTATAGATAAATTTTAGATAAATTTAAATCTGATCTGTAATATGAACACTCTATCAAAAATAGACTTCAGAAAATATCTGAAGTTTATGTATCTGATTTTTCTAGTTATGCAGATAATTTAAATCAATTATAATAAAATAATAATTAATCATTTGAATCCATAGTCGTAGTAGATTCCAAACCAGAAATTAAAAATAGGTAAATGAAAGTTATTCTCATGCTAATATACGTTTTAATTAAACACCCAAAGTGCTTACAATTGCTAACTACTAAACTTTTTAAGGGAATAGATTTGCAAAGTAGCACATAAATACCTAAGAATCTTTTTAAATTTAATTTACCATAATAGACAGCTCATTAAAATAATAGTTAATTTTAACTACAATCCTTCATTCTAAAATATATTAAATATATAATTTACTACTTTATCTTTTAAATGTTCTCTGCAACATTTAGAATTTGATTTAATCATGAATTCAAAGCCAATATAAACAAAATGACCTAAATCATTTATCAATCTATTAAAAAATTCAATTAATAATTTATACGCTTAATTAATAAAACAAAATGAAAATATTTTACTATTAAGTCTTAATTATTTGTAAATATCAATAATAATTTTACACTCATTTTATATTATTTATTTTATAATTTAATTAATTGTTTACTCTATAAAATCCAATATAATTAATTTTAATGGACTTCAAAATGGTTTTTACCTTGCCATCAAACTATATATATTCATATTTAATTATTTTTTTAGATTATCTTAGCTAAGTATAAATAAGAAAGTTCAAAAAGTAATTCAATTTAATTGAATAAAAATAAAAAATGGAAAATTATACAAATGAAATAGTGACATAAATTAAATTTTTTGGGCTGGTCTGGGTAGGTCATAATAAAATTTCGGGCTCAATAAATATCAAAATCTTCCCCAATTAACTTACCAAAATATGATATTTATTAAAAAATAATAATAAATAATCTACCTATCTATATTTTAGGTTAATTTATCCAATTACAAATATAAAAAATAAATCATACTATATTAAAGTATTCAAATATATTTATATTTATCTGTCCTTTTTTCACAACTATTTTATCATCAACTTTCTAATTTTAAGGCAACTAATCTTATTGACTTGAAACAATTAATTTTCAATTATTTTGATCTATAGATTTGGTTGTTACTTTTAATATAAATTAGTGTAAATTACTAAAAAGAAATAAATAGAATAAAATTTTAAAATAAAATATTTTATTTTAAATCAGTCAACAAAAACCTTTAGCATAATAAAAAATAAAAAGAAAGCTAATAAATAAATAAATGAAAAGAGTTAGATTTATTATTTTTAAATCCATTTTTATATTCAAAAATATCATAATTTAAAATAAAACAAATAAAATGTTTTTACGAAAGATAAAGTGCCAAATTTTAGAGATTAGTGCACTTTCCTAAACCAAAACTAAAGCCTGATGCACCACTTGTACCAATTTTATTAAACCTTTTTAAATATTAAAGAAAAAATATATTGTTAATTAGTTAATTAGAAGGTAAAAAATATGAAATAAATAATAAGAAATGATTTAATTAATAATAAAAGCAAAAGTTGAAAATAAAAAAATGAATTAAATTAACAGAAAAACAAACAATCAAATAAATAAATAAATAAAAAACACAATCAGAATAAAATATTAAAATAAAATAAATCAATAAAAAAGCAAATAAATAAATGAAAAGAGTTAGTAAGGCATATTGTTTTAAATTCATTTTTAGAATATAAAAATATCACCACCCAAAATAAATCAACTGTTTTTACCTTAAATCAAGTGTAAAATTTAAGAGATTAGTGCACTTTCCTAAACCAGAACCTAAACCTGAAGCACCAGTTGAACCAATTTTATTAGACCTTTTTAAATATAGAAGAAAAATATTTAGTCAATAAGTTAGTTAGAAGGAAAAAATTAAGAAAATATATGAAATAATAAAAATGAATTAATGATAAAATCAAAAGTTGAAAATGAAAAAATGAGTTAAATTAACAAACAAACTAAGAAATAAATAATAAAAAAAACATGATCAGAATAAAAAATAAAGAAAAATAAATGAAATAAAATAAATAAATTAAAAGAGTTAGTTCAATTGTTTTAGATTCATTTTTAATTCAAATATATCACAATCCAAACAAAACAAATAAACTGTTTTTACGAAAGATGAAGTATCAAATATGAGAGATTAGTACACTTTCCTAATCCAGAACCTAAGTCTGATCCACCAATTGCACCAATTTTATTAGACCTTTTTAAATATTGAAGAAAAATAAAATAATTAATTAGCTAGTTAGAAGGAAAAAATGAAGAAAAAATATGAAATAATAAGAAATAAAATTCTTAATTAATTAACTATAAAATCAAAAGTTAAATGAAAAAATGAGTTAAATTAACAAACAAACAAACAAATAAATAAATAAATAAATAAATAAATAAATAAAAAACATAAGCAGGATAATAAAAAAAATCGATAATATATAGATTAAAAAACTTATTTACATTATTTTAAATGAATTTTTATATTAAAAAATATAACAATCAAAAACATATAAACTATTTTTACGAAAGATGAAGTGTCAAATTTGAGAGACGAGTGCAATTTCCTAAACCAAAACCTAATCCTGAAGCACCTTCATCACCAATTTAATTTCCACTTTTTGAATATTGAAGAAAAAATATACAGTTAATTTGTTAGTTAGAAGGAAAAAATGAAGAAATAATAAGAAATAATAAGTAATTAATTAATTAACAATAAAAGCAAAAAATGAAAATAAAGAATAAGTTAAATTAACAAATAAACAAAAAAAATAAATAAATAAATAAAAAACACAAATATAATAAAAATAATAAAATTAATCAAATAAAAAGCTAATAAATAAATATAAGAGTTAGTTATATAATTTTAAATTCATTTTCATACTCAAAAATACCACAATTCAAAACAAATAAACTATTTTTACGAGAGATGGAGTGTCAAATTTGAGAGATTAGTGCACTTTCCTAAACCAGAACCTAAGCCTGATGTGCCTTCTTCACCAATTGAATTAAACCTTTTTAAATATTAAAGAAAAAATAAATAGTTAATTAGTAAGTTAGAAGGTAAAAAATATAAAATTATAATAAATAAATTAAAAATAAAAGCAAAAGTTGAAATAAAAAAATGACTTAAATGTATAAACAAAGAAATAAATAAATAAATAAAAAAATACATGTAGAATAAAAAAAAAAATATAATATAAATCAAATAAATAAATTATAAAAGTTAATTATATTGTTTTAGATTCATTTTTATATTAAAAAATATCGCAATCCAAAACAAATAAACTATTTTTACGAAAGATGAAGTATCAAATTTGAGAGATTAGTGCATTTTCCTAAACCAGAACCTAAGGCTGATCCACCAATTGCACTAATTTTATTAGACCTTTTTAAATATTAAAAAAAAAAAAATATTTTTAATTAGTTAATTAGTAAGTTAATTAAAAGGAAAAAATAAAAAAGTATGAAATAAAGAAATGAATTAATATTTATAAAAGTAAAAGTTGAAAATGAAAAAATGAATTAAATTAATAAACAAACCAACAAACAAAATAGTAAATAAATAACAGAAGAAGAATAAAAAAAGAAAGATAAATCCAAAATAAGGCTAATAAATAAATTAAGGGAGTTAGTTATATAGTTTTAAATTCATTTTGATATTAAAAAATATCATTATCCAAAAAAAATAAATTGTTTTACTAAAGAAAAAGTCTCAAATTTGAGAGATTAATGCACTTTCCTAATCCAGAACCTAAATTTGATGCATCTTCATCACCAAGCTATTTACCGCTTTATAAATATTGAAGAAATATTTATAATTAATTAGTTATTTAGAAGGAAAAAATGAATAATAAAATAAAATAAAAAAATAAATTAATAATGAAAACGAAAATTGAATGAAAATTAAGTTAAAATAATAAAAAAATATTTGTAGAATTAAAGTGAATGAATATAGATTATAATTTTAATTAGAAAAATAATATTGGTAATTAGAAAAAATAGCAATAATAATAATAAATCAAATATACCAATTTTTCAGATCAATAAGGAGATCCTAAAACTATTAATGTGAAGAGCTTAAAAACTTATTTTATTTATAAAAATAATTTAAATAAAATTAATCTAAAAATAAATATTTACATGTTCTAGACTGTAAATTTATGAATTCTTTTATATCATTTATTTATTTTTCAAAAATATCTAATATAAACTTATGGATATTTTATTAATTATAAGTTTTTTAATAAATTAATTTACGTTTATTTATTTATTTCAAATTAATTTTTGTAAAAAAAACAAATAAATTTTAATAATCAAAAATACAAATTTATAAATTTGCTTTTAGGAGGAGAAATCAAAAAAATTTTAGTGTAGCATTAATTATTAAATCTTAATATTTCTATTAAAAAATTAACACTAACAAAAATAGCAAGAAATAAAGATAGGTAGTCATATATATGCTGATAAAATTCTATAAATTAATGTACTTAAATTTTGATGAAATAATTATAAGTTATTAGATCTTTCTTTTTTAGTTTAGTAAAGAGGCGAATTTTAATATATGTATGAAAAAATTTTTAATACATATTTAAGAAATTAAAAGATTTAAAATATCTCAAATTATTCTAAAATTCTATTAGTTTTTTTTTCCAAGAATAAGTTACTTAGGTATATATATAGGTTGTGTGCACCCAACCAAATTAGGGCTTTTAACATATTTAGATAAATGTCTAATAATTGATTAAATATTAAAATAATTTTTTTAAAGTTCTATATGCCTACTGTACATATATACATTAACTGTTAAATAAAAATATATTATTTTTGAATAAAATAATAATTTAAAATAATTTAAACAAAATTGGCATAATATTTATTGTTTAATAAAAATAAGCAAAAATATCATAAGATAATTTCAATTCTAGATTAATTCTTTAAATTGCTATTTAAATTTCATAAATATCTCAATAAATAAATAATTAACTAATTTTTATTACTTTAAGATTAAATTTTTTATTTTATAAATATAATTTACACTAAAAAATATTTTGTAAATACATTAATTAAGTTTAAGTAATTTAATTAGAATAAATATTTGAAATTGCAAGAAAGACAAAAATTAAAATTAGTTTTCATGAAGTAATATTATTTTTATTTATTTATTTATTAATTCTTTGATTTTGTATTTTTGATTGTTTTTTGCTTACTTGTATTTTGTTTGTATTTGCATTTGTTTGTTATGTGCTTTAGGATAATTCAATATCATCTTATTTATTTTTAAAAGTAGCTTTGATTGTTATTTTACCCTATAGAATTGCTGTTAAATTAAGAATTGTGTTAATTAAATTACTGGTTTTCACTTTTTTAGTTAAAATTTTAATACAAGTGGTGTTATTATGGTTGTTGCTGGCTTAAATTATTTATATAGGCTACCTATTATTAATTAATATTACTCTAAAGCTCTTTTTAAAGAGCTTATTGTTATTGTTGATAAGAATATTAGACTGCTTAATTATTAATTCCATTGTTAGGATATTATGATGTGTTATTTACAACTTAATTTTATTATTTTGTGGGGTACTTACTTTACTTTTATTTTAGGTAATCTCTAATTTTTTAGATTTAGTCAAAGCTTTATCCACTAAGCCTATTTTAATCGTTTAGATCGCTAGTACTTTATTCATTTGTACTTCTTAAATTAGAATGGATTATATTTTATTAGTTCATTAAAGGCTTAACCAAATTGTCTGCATACTTGACTTGGCTATAAGGGATTTACTAACCTTAATTTAATCCGTTATCTTCAGTTTTTTATTATAAATTATAGGAATTATTAATCATTAAATTTTAGAGAGCTTAATTTTAGCCAATTTATTGTTGCTTTTGATGAATATAGTTCTAATTTTACTATTATATAAATTAATAATCTCTTAAATTTGACTTTGAACTGCTATTGTCTTTCCTTCTTGAACTTGATTTATTATTTAGCAGACTTTTAATAAAAAAAAATTATTAAAAATACAAAAAAATTTTTTATTTATCTTTTTACCTTTATTTTGATGGGATTTTTTAAAGAGTATTCAGACGGTTATTTAAATAATGAATATCGAAATCATCATCATTGTTTGAGGGTTCTGTCTAAACCCTTGAATTAAGGGCATTTCCCTTTTAACTTTATATTGAATCTCTCACGTTAGAATTTGTAGAAACTCTAACCTTGGAATAGTTGGTTGGATTTAAATTGTTGATATTTATGTTTGCATTTATAATTGAAGAAATTTGATTATTTTGAAGAGACTGTTTCACCTTTGGATCATTTTTGATTTAGCTGTTAATACTTGAAGGGACATTAATCAAGTTTGAACTACTTGAGCTGGATAACAACTTTTTTTTACTGTTTGAGTTTATGCTGTAGTTAGAAACTATTGTGCTCTTGTTGTTAAGGTTAGTTGTTTGTGAAGTTTGGATGGAGGAGATATTGCTTGATTACGCATTTTAGTGGAAACTATTAGCATTTCTTCCTTTTAATTTAGCAGCATTTTAATAACTTTAGCTATTGACTTTGTTTGAAATACTTTAATTCATTGATATATTTTTGGCAACCTAAAAAGAATTGTTGGTATTATTATTATTATTTAAATATGGTCCTTTACTGAGTAAATTCATTATGTTTTGTTAACCTGTTGGAGCCTTTGATGGTGCTTTTTCATCTCTTTGCTTTAGTGTAGAATTTTTCCCATTGTCAATCTTGAAACTTTCTAAATTCTTTGAATAGCTATTTTATAATATTATTTTTGTTAAATAAATTTATAAAAATATAAAATAAATAAATAGTTAAATAAATAAACAATTTACTTCATTGAATTTGCAATGTTTTGCTTCTGAGTATTGTTGCTCAAGGCAAGTTTATTGTAATTTGGAATTGAAGAAGTTACTGAAATACTTGTATTGTTTTTATTTGAATTCGATCTTTTTCTGCTATTATGCTCTTAAGTAGGATTAATTTGATTTTATAAAGTTTAATTGATGCTAGGCTATTTACTAGAAAAGTTTTCTATACTTTAGTTGAGATAATTCCCACTTGGCTTTTTAGCATGATTTCCTATTTGAACAGTAGAATTACCATCGTAGTTTGTATGGGAGGTTTTGCTAGATTATCTAACTTTAGAAATATTGTTGTTATCTTATGGTTGTAGTGTGTTTCTGTTTGAGGATTATTGATTAGGCTGATTTACAGAACAATTTTAAGACGAGTATAGATTTTTATAGTAATTTGATTAACTTGTGGTAGGACGAGATTTGTAAGTTAAATTTTTAGTAACAGAGTTACAATTTATGGTTGCAGCTGCAGCAGCGGCGGCAGCTTATTATATTTAGATCTGGAGAGTCTAGTGAGTAGAATGCTAACTAGGATTCTTCTTCTAATTATTGTTAGTCATAGAATTTGTAATCTGATTGCTGTTACTGATTGATGTCGATTGTCTGCTGTGAGAGTTTTTAGAGTTCTTTTCTAAAATTTCCATGATATTCTTATAGTTTTTGGAGTTAGAATTCTCTTAGTTAGTATTTTATGATTTGGATGTCTGGTGATTATACGATTTGTTGTTATTTTTAGGTGGAGAGGCTGTTTATTTATAAGATTAAATTTTAATATCATCTAATCTGGCCACTTCACCTGAGTCATTGTCTGAGTCGTCTTAGAGAGCTAATTCAAAATTCTCTATTGTTTCGTCTTCCTCTCCATCTTCGTGTTAATAATTGTGTTGAGTATGAAGATGATGATTGTGGTTATTTAAATTTTGTTAATCGTAATCAATATCGTTTCCCTCTGTTTTCATTCTGCGACCATTTCCATTCATCTGAATTTTATTTGTATTTTAAATATTTTGCTGCTTGTTCAATAAGATATTCTTAAACTTTTAAAGCTATTGCTGCTTTTAACTGTTTTATTTTTCTGCTGAGAAACTATCTTTCATGCCTTGGTATAGCAATTATTGTTATTTTTATTGCAATTATGCTTTTTTATTTGAGCCTGAGATGTTGTTATTGTTTTAATTTGCTATATTATTTATACTTTCTTCTAACTTATTTTTCAAATTATTTTAAATTTTAGATTGCTCAATCATTTCTTTTACTTTTTAAGACTGCTTTTAGTTTTGTGCATTTTATGTCAAAGTACTCCTACCAACACTGTCTGAATCATATGCCTCCGTTTTAACAACTTAAGATGACATATTAATATTATGATTACCAGGTTACTTCATCTGTAAAAGAGTATTCTGCTGTTATTAGAATTGCTGGCGTAATTGCTAGATTTATTCATTTTTCCTTTCCTAATTTTGCTTTTCATACGAATGCTATATATAAACTTGCTGCTAAACCATTTTTTATTAACGTAGCTGATGCTGTAATCTTTCCTTTTCAATTATTTCTTCTTCCTCTTTCTCAAGACGTAATTGCTCTTGTGCTTTAAATTTTTCCATTTGATCATTCATTTACTCTTACATTTGCATATATTCTCTTTAATAATTTTTCATATTTTAAGCATGCAAATTGTAAACTGTGATTCCATCAACGGAAAGTAAAGAAGAATTATCTGAACTTTATCCATCTGTATCTTAATCATATTTAATTATTTTGTGCCTTAAATTGTTTCTAGGAAATTAAAAATTTCGGTTACAATCGCTTTTTAAAAATCTATTTTCAATTTCGATGCGAAAATCGCCAGGCTATAAAGATGCCAAGTACTATTACTATATTAAATATTGTTGCTATTCCTATAACTGCAATGCTTGCTGCTAATCATTTATGTTGATAGAAGAATCTTGCTCTTATTGCTACTAACTAATCCTTAATTCTTATTTATTTCTTTCATATTAAATTAATGCCTCAAATTCCTACTGAAGAATCAAATCTGTGTCAACTTCTTCATCAAAATCCTAAGCATCTTTGTCATTTAATTCAGTATCCAATCTCTGGCATTAATTGTATTTTTATTCAAGAGTGTCAGATTAGTCTGCTTGAGTTGCACTTCGTTAAGCATCTCTAAATTCTTTCAATCTAGTTACAATATCGCTAGATTCAGATGTATCTGTGTTGCCATTTTATGCATATTGGTCTTTCAAATTTTATGTTAATTTATTCGTTAAAAATTGAAATACCAAAGAATCTTAATCAGCTCCACTAAATTATTTTTCTGCCTCATACTTGCTATTATCATTTATATTTGCACCTTAGCTTATTTTTTTCAACTTATTGCTCATGTAATTCCCACTTTGGGTTTATTAGCTAGTTAAATCTGCATTTGGATTATTCTAATTCATGTTGTTATTGTTGAAATTAAGTGATTAATTATTAATTCCTCCTTGAGATTAATTTGAAAGATGATTGTAACTCTCTGAAGATTTGTTAAGGGAATCTTTCAATTTTTTAGTTATCTAGTCTTACATTTTAATAAAATAAATAAATTTGTAAAATCACACTCCTCCTTTGACTTTTAAGTGCTTAAACTGTGCCTATTTGTGTAAGCTTTTATTACAAATTTTTGAAATTAAATGTTTCCCTTTTGATTGTTTGATTGTTTGTTTTTTGGTTGGAGTGTGCTTGCTTCTTAATATATAAACTCCTTATATTAAATATAAAAGCTTTGATATTGATTTGAAATTAAAGAATTATCAAAAAAATAATAAATTAAGACAACTTGAAAGGTAGGTACAAATATTTATTCTTTCTTCTTATTATTATTATTAATTAAGTTTTTTCTTCTTTTTTATTACTTAATAACTACTAACTAATTAGTTTTTGTCATTATCATTTGATTTTACCAAACAAACAATCAAACAAAAAAACATACATATAAACTAACAAGCAGACAATCAAATCAATATTTTAAACAATAAATTGAATTAATTGTTAGATTATTTATTTATTAACTTTCAATTTCTTATTAATCACCATCATCCATAAATGTTTGTTTGTTTTTTTGTTTTTTTATATAAAATAAATAACATTTTTGAATTATTTTTTCAAAAAATGAATGTGTTCAAATTATGCTTTCCTTTAATAAGTAATCTAAATAGATATCAATCATTTATTGCAAATGCTTTAATATTCACTTATTAATAAATAGATTTCATAAATTTTTTGTGAAAAGATAAAATATTGTTAACGAATCCTTTAATAAACAAATATTCTTATAACTAACTAACTATCAATCAATCTAACAATTTATTCACCCTAGTGAAAACCAAATACACATACATACATACACATTTATAACTATCAGATTTTTTATTAATTTGAGATACTCATTTTTTTTACTAATAGCCATCCAATAATAAATTAAATTAAATAAAAAAGTTGAAATTATAGCATTACCATAAATCATACAGTTACTTACTTACTTAAAAACATACATACAAACATCTAGTATCTATCACTTATATATTACATATTTTTTCAAACTAAAACTACTTTTTGATAGTTTTTTAAAAATTTATATTTAATATTAATTTTTTAAATATTTTTAAATCAAAAATTTAGTTGAAGAAAATAATTAATTAATTAACTAATGAATAATGTTGTTTATAATATTTATAAAGATAATTGCCAAAAAGTATTTATGGATGTGATTAAAGGTAATATTTTTATCTTTAGGTTTCTATTATCTTTTTAAAAAATCTAATATAATAACTTAGTTAAAATTTGAAGAAGTAATTTTTGTATTTAATGAAATAAAAAAATAAAAAAAAACTTTGAACAATAAAAAATTTTTTTAAATTCTATATAAAACAGGATTTATTAATTGATAATAATTATCAAAATAAACAAATTATATTTTATCAAAATTATACTGAAAAATAATAGTTAGCAAGTAATAAACAATAAAGCAGTAATCTTTTTTTAGTATAAACTATGTAAAATCAATACTGTATGTATTTTACTCAAAATAAAAAATTGTATCCAATTTTTCTATTTCATTAGAATTTTCTTGGAAATTAGTATTATTTAGTTTAATTATTCTAAAATCTTTTTTCGATTACCAAACGGAAATCGCCTGGCTCTAATGAAGCCATATACTCTTAGCATTTTTTTTCATACTCCTTTAGCTACATTCTTTACTTGAAATTCATTTTTTAGTTTGGTTACTGCTAATTATTACTATTTTGTTCTTTAAATAGTCTTTCAAATTATAGTAATGTCTCGAATAATGTTTTCTGAGCCTCATTTGATTTATTATAATTTTCATGCTCTAAAGCACACTAATCAATAGAATAATTACTTAATATCTAATTTTAATTCTAGCTTTAATTAAGTATAAAAGTTTAATCCGATTTTGTGGAAGTTTGTTATCCATTACTACTTTCGTTTAAAGTTAAAAATTCGACAGAATCTGAAATATCTAGGATTAAGTTACTTTTTATAGAAGAGTTTTCATCCTTATTTTAATCTTACTAATTTTTTAATATAATAGAATAATCTGATAAATTCTCATTATCTTAAAATTAAAGTTCTGCATTGCTTTAACTCACCTTATACTCATTTTCATTTTTATTTTAATTTAATGTCATGTACTTATCCTCGAATTGTTGCATGTGAAAAAAATTAGAATTTATTAAATATGTTTTTTTTTTAGTCAATCTTTTTTTACAAATTTTAGAAATTTGTTTTTTTTTTTTTTAAAAATTTCTTCTAAAAATTTAAATCCTTGAAACAATTTAAAATAATTAATTTTTTATTTGAATAAAGCAAATATTTAAGTAAAAATAATTATTTTACTTAAGAAAAATGAACAATTAATCATTTTACTTCTTTGACATTAAGTTAACTTATTCATTAACTTATAAAATTAAATTCAATATTTATTATGAGAGTTTCAATCAAAAACACTTTAACATCATTTTATCACTTCTATTGAGAGTTTTTATTTATTTAAAATAGACAACTATCAGGTATTAATAACTATTTTATTTCGATATTCTTTTATAAATATATTGGATTAGAAGAATAGCTCTTTATTTTTCTTATTTTTTTCACAAATCTTTGATCAACTAAAATCAAATTCTATCATAATATACTCTTTATAAATTAGTATTTTTAATTTAACTTTAATAAATTTAAAATTTAAGAATAATTTTAGCAAAAGCTGCATAAACAATTAATGATAGATACTAGATAATTTATAAATATTTTTAATCTACAAGCATATAAATTATTTATATAATATTTATGCAATAATCTTTTTACACTCAGTTCTCAAAATTTATTTATTCGAAAATTTTTAATTAATTATTTTATGTCTTGAAAAAAGTAATAATAGTTAGTAAGCATTTTATACTTTGAAAAATTAGTATTTACAATTGTAAATAGTTTATATTTTAAGTGAAGATTAAATTGAAATAACTAATCACATAAAGGAATAGTCTAAATAAAAAGTTGGCAAGAATTTATCTTCTTTGTCTATTTTTTTAATTAAATTAACATTTGGTATTCTTTTTTTTGGCTATTGACTTTTACTCTTCTATTCAGAATGGTGTTTAATTGACTATTTATGCTGTATTCGATATAGATTCAAGAGAGGTAGATCATTTTAATCAAGCTAGTATGATTGTTTAAATATATTAGCTATTTCTTTACTCTTTTAATTATTTTCTTCTTAATTCTACAAATTATCCCCTGAAAAAATTAGATTTTTTAATTTGTTTTATTGCTTTTTAGTAAAAAATGAATTTTTTATGTTAGAAAAATTTTTATCATTTATTTATCTAAATTAAATATTTGTAGGACTTTGATTTGCAGAGACAATTTAGTGGTGATATAATGTAGGTTCTTTAGATCTTTATCCAGAAGTTTATGATTTTATATATCGTTGTTTTGCAGCACTTTATTAATTTTCTGTACGAGATGTTTGTATTGAATTAAACTTATCCAAAGATTAATCTTCGATTCTCATTTTATCATATATGTGTTGCATACGAATCATAAAAGGATATTTTGTGTGCTTTTAATTTGACAAATAACTTTAATTTTATGATAATTATTATTGTCGAAGCTGCTAATTAGTGAGAAAAGGACTGATTGTAGATTTTCTGCTAGGACTCTAACTACACTTTTATTGAGAAGGTGGTGTATTTATAATCAAACTTTTTTATGATTTAACTATTTATTCTTCCTTTTAGCAATCTTATTATAAATTCTTGGGAGAATTTGACTTTTCTTTAACATCTAATATCCTTTAAGTATCACAAAGTTTATTGTAGTTAGTTATTTTAACATTTCTCATTTTTTCAATTGAAGAAAAGTTATTTAAAACTTCTTCGTCATTTTATTCTTGAAAAATTGATTCTTTTAATCCATGACTTATAAAAACACTTTAAGATTTTCTCCTATGCAAGTTATTAATAAATAAGCTAATACTATTTTACTGCTAATTGCTATCAAAAACTTAAGCTATCGAATTAGTGCTTAATGTTGTTTAAGAGTTTTAAATAAAATGGTTTCTAAATATCTAAGAATTGTTTCTCGTATTGTCAGTAGTTAACTATGAAGTATTATTATGATTGTTATCTACTTCCAAATGATTTTTAGCTTAAATAATATTATATATTTTGTTATTTAAGCTAGCATTGATAGATTGACAATTATCATAAGAATTATTTAAGCTACTTTATCTTTGACTTAAAGAAGAAAACAATCTTGTTCGCTTATGAAAATCAATATCAATAGTGCTCTACTTTTATTTTGAATCATGCGAAGTAAAGACATTAGTCCTGCTAAAAAACTTTTTGTCTTCTACAGATTTTGGTACAACATCGTAAGTTTACTCAACAATAGTTTAATCTACATACAAACCCATATTTTTATTTGTCTTTTTTTATGTGTTTGTTGTTATTTCTGTTAGTATTTAATCAATGATAGTTTCTTTTTTCTTAAAAAATAGTTCATTTTACTTTTCCATTTCTTCATTCATCATTTTTATTTATTCTAGATGGCTTTGCTAAAATTCAGACTTAAGTTTAGAATTTCTTTCTAAAAGTTTAAGAATATATTCATTCAAATCTGACTATTTTTTTAGATCCTAAAAAAAAATTATTTTATATTTAATCACATTTTTTTATAATTCTAATTAATATAATATACCTTTGCTTTGAAATAATAAACACTTGCTCCTTATTTAATTCTGCATTAAGCATCAGTCCTCCTAGATATTCCTAATAGAGGTTCATCCCCAAAAACTTCAAATTTAGATAAAATTGCAAGCTAGTTAAAAAATAGAATAAATTATTTCAAAAAAATAACATCTGTTGTTATTGATTACCTCTACTTTTGTTCTGTATTATTTTTTAAGCTCCTCAGAAGGATGAATTTAAATAGTAACTTCTCCATCATTAATCACATACAAATATTTTGGAGAAGGTTCGTTTTCCTAAAATATGAACTCTTTGTATTTATAAGATTTTTCTTTCACGTAATGAATGAATTACACAAGATGCAAAAGAGGAGAAGAAGGAAGAAGTTGCTTGAAAAAACTAAGTTTTTTTTTAGATTTTTCATCCAAGGCTAAATCAATTAGATTTTCAAAGATGTCTTTATAAATGGTAATAGCCTATATAAATTTTAAAATAAAACTAGAATATTAATATAAAATTTATTTTATTTTACTTACTTTTAAATTTTAACAAGCTACATAAACACTGTCTTGTATTACTTTTTACTCTTTAGGCCAGCGAGAGTCACCAAAATAATCACCAACTCTTAGTTTATTTGTATTTTTTACTGTAAGCACACCTTACGATATATATTCTAGCTTTCTTATATTTTTTTTAAGAAAAATTTTATCATAAGCAGATGTGCTTTTCAATTTATTTTTTTTAAAATTAGCTTAATCCTAAAGCAATTCTTTGTTAGATTTATCAGAATAAATAACAACTTCTCCATTAGCGATAATATATATTTTATCAATCGAATCTCCTTTGTGAAATAGGATGTTTCCTTCTGTAAATATTTCAATATTTAGATGTTCCAAACATATATCAGAAAAGGTTTTAATCCTGCATTTCTAAATAATATCTTGAAAAAATTTAAACTGATTAAGCTATTCATTGACAAAATTTCTATCTTAAATATCCATAATAAAGCCTTAATAAGATCTTTTAGATTTGTACATTAAATCAAGTGCTTTCTTTTTCAATTTATGAAAATTGCATTAGAAAACTAAAAAAATACCTCATAAAATTTTACATTTAAATTTATTTCTTTTTCATATTTAATTCTCAAAATTTCAGATTCGCTTCTCTCTAATCCATCTTCCTGATTTTTAGATTCACTATTTATTTTATTTGGATATGTTATTTATTCTTCAATATGATTAGAGTTGCTCATATTTATTTATATCTTATATTCTCAAGATATTTAATTAAAGATATAAGCAATCTATAAAATAACTAAAAATATTAAATATTAATGGTAATTATAAAACCAAAAATAATTTATAATCAATCAATAATGTTTGTTCGTGTCTTTAAGCTCATTTGTTTACCAACGATTAAAATTAATGTATAATATTTCTTTTTAAAAAACTAATAAGTGTTAAAAACTTTTTTGATGATGAAAATTTGAAAAAAATAATTTATTTTTGATAATTATTTTAATTTTACTTAATAAAATTGATATAAACTCAACCCTATTATAAAACTAATTTTATAATTAAAATAAATAAATAATTAAATAAATAAACAAAGATATAAAAAATAGGTTTTTTGAAATATTTTTATCGAAACAGATTTTTGAAACAACTTTATTTCCTCTTAAAAATATTTTTTTTTAAATATGAAAATAAAATAAAATTTTCTTCATAAAAACTAAAAAAAATTAAAAATAAAATCTTTTCATAATTTAAAAGAGTCTATTGAGATTTCAAAAAGAAATGAAAGCCCTCTTTGTGAATTTTAAAGTAAAAATTCGTTTAGCATTTGAGATATTTCATGAAATATTAAAATTAGATTAGCTACTTTACAAACAAACAAACAAATCTTATTATAAAGATATTGAAAGTAAATAACATGCCATGGAACAAATAGAAATCAAAATGGAAATGAAATGAAAAAGAGAAGAAATATAAAGATGTTAAATTGTCTGTCTGCCTTGTTATTGAATAAATCATTTATGATTTCAATGAGAATACGAAAATTGAAGGAAAACAAGAGGGAAAGAAAAAAAAGGAAATAAAACACAGAAGCAAGATAATTAAAAATAATAAAAGAAAGGAAAAAGAAAAAAATACAAAAAAATAAAAAAATTAATTAAGGGCAATAAATATGTTATCCAAAATTACTCAAAACACCTTGAAGTCTCTCTCCGGATAGGTTAGTTTTTTGATATTAAATAAAAGGTTTTGCCAATGAGCAAATGTTGAAAAGGCAGATAAAAAATAGAGAAGATGCTAAAAATGGCGTTCATTACAATAAATAGTTGATTAGAATAAACTTGAACGCCATTTGTTTAAGGGTTTCGCTTCTCATTTTTTTCAACCTTAATACTTGATTAATTGTCGCGATTTAAATTAATCTCAAATAAGAAGAAAATTATATATAAACAAACAATTTGCTCAAAGGCTAATTAATATAAATGAAATCAAAAACACTAAATAATCTTTTTTTAAACAAACTTATTAGTGCAAGCAAGCTTTCTCTGTTAGAAAAGCTTTCTACGACTTCATTTACAAGGATGACAAGTCTGCTGAAACCTACAAGGTTACTACTGCTGACCCCAGAACTCCCGTCTAGGTGATTGATCAATTTAATAAAAAAATTAATTATCTTTATAGAGAAACGCAACTAATTTGGTATAAAGGAAAGAAAGGTCTAACTAATACTTGCAAATAGCATCAATAGTTTTATCGTAGGCACATGCCATAAAACGCCATTCACAAAGGTTCACTTTCTTTTTGGATTAGCTGTAGGAGTTGAAGATATTCAAAAAAGAAAGTTAGGATAGATACCTTTAGTTTTATTTAGTTAAAAAAGAAAAGAGATATTTTATTTTCTCTTTTCGCTTTTTCTTTTAGGATACACTTAACAAATAAATAGCTTAGATATATAGATATACCAAAAATTAAATTTTATAGATACAAATTTGCTTCTAGCAACTGGCAATAGAATAACTGAAAAAATAGATAGCATTTAAATGCACATTTTAATCATTAAATCAGCCTCTGACATTTTCACAAGTCTAGAATTTGGTTTCTAAATTGGATTTATTGTTTTTCTTTTTCTGCAGTTCAAACAGTAAATTTTAATCTAAAAAAGAATTAGATAGAAACATCATTAAAAAAAGCAACTAGCGAAAATGACTTTGTTTAAAACATTTTAATTTCAAAAATGATTAGGAGAGAAAATAGATAAATAAATATAAAAAGCATTTTAGCAAGCAAGACCAAGCATTTCTTTATCAAATACCAAAGATAGTTTTATGAATTCTCTATAAAAATAATATTAAAAAGTCAAAAATATCTAGCATAATAAACTAAACTGCTTTTAACATATTTATAGGGTTTCAGAGGCCAAACTGCCGAAGACGTTGCTGCCAAGTACGAAGTCACCAAGCTTGCCAACGGTGTCACCATTATCACTGAATCTTAAACTTTCCCTTCTCAAGTTGATATGGGTAAACAGCACATTTCAAATTAAAATATCTAAAATTTTCAAATATAAAAATTGACTTAAAATAAATGATTGAATTAATAAATATTTGTTAAAAATTAAGGTATTCTTTTGGACGTCGGTACCAGAGATGAAACCAACGAAACTTCTGGTTCTTTACTCTCCATCAAGAACACTTACCTCAAGACTGTCTTGAACACAAACGAAACCATTAACTAGTATATATGATTAAAACCAAGCAAACATTAATTAATTAAATAAATATTTGTATTTGTAAAACAGCGGTGTTGTTCAACAATCTGGTGGTTCTTTCGAAATGGAATATGACTAAGAAACTGCTTACTTCAAGGCTAACTGCCTCGCTCACGATGCTACCGATGTCTTCTCCATGGTTGCTGACTGTGCTCTTGAACCCAGATCTACCGTCGCTGCTTCAGTCGGTGTTGAAAAGAACTAAAATACCCACAAGCTCGAATCTTACCTCAAGACTGGTGAACTTTTCAACGAAAGCGTCTTCAAGTAATTATTTAACTCAAATAAAAATATTTTAATTAAATTAATTCCTTAATTAATTAAAATATTAATTTTAATTTTATTTACATAGGACTGCTTATGGTTTGAAGGGCTTAGGTTTACCCCTTAAGGGTTTAAGAGGAAACGTTAAGAACTTGTCTTCTTACACTTTATAAAAGTTCTAATTGGAAAACATCACCCCCAACAGAATCTTCGTCTGCGCTGCTGGTGTTGAATCCCACCAAGAATTCGTTGACCTCGTTCAAACCAAGCTTGCTTAAATCCCCTCTGCTGAAGGTCAAAAGACCCACCAAAGAGAAAAATCCGAATATCTCGGTGGTGAAGTTAGAAACTTAACTGAAGAAAGCAACGTCACCCTTGCTTTATTATTCTAATCTGTTCCTTGGAGCTCTGCTGACATAGTTGCTTTCAACGTTGCTGCTGCCCTTCTCAACAACCTCAGACTCAAGAAGAACCGTAAACCTTCTTAAAATTTAAAAATGATTCATAATCAAAGGATGAATGATAATGTTTTAAAATAAATAAATCTCAAAAATATCTTTAATCAAAAAATAAATAAATAATGATTTTTCTTTTAATGATTTTTTAGTTCTTAATTGAATAGAATATTTTTTATTATTTATTTTTAGTTTAAGAGATATTATAATAATAAGTGTTTTTAAGTTATCATTTTTTCTAATTTTGATTTATTTTGCTTGAGTGGTTAATAATTTATATTAAAATCGATTTCGAAATAATATAGTCTTATAAAAGTACGCTTACTTCGATTAAGCTGAAGCCTTGAACTTCCACTTCACTGACTCTGGTTTATTCGGTCTCAGAACTTCTGGTTCTGCTGATAGAGCTAAGGACATTCTTAACCACAGTATTGCTGAATTGAAGGCTATTGCTTCTGGTGTTAATGCTGATGAACTCCTTACTGCTAAGGCTGCCCTTAAGAACTCTGTTCTTTCTGCTCTCGAAAGACAAACTGACAGACTCGAAGAAACTGTCAAGAATGTAAATAAATAAATAAATAAAATAAAACATTTAAATAAAAAATAAATTAAATTATTAAAATAGGTCAGAACTTTCAATAAAATTCAACACACTGATTACGTTAAGCAAATTGATTCCGTTACTGCTGATCAAGTCGCCAAGGCTGTTGCTAAGGTTTTGACTTCTAATCCTACCTTCGTTGCCCAAGGTAGTCAAGTTAATGCTCTTCCTACTTATGATGCTATTAGAAACCTCCTCAAGTGATCATGATACACTTTTTTATAATTTATTGATAAAATTAATAATTGCAATATAGTGCTACGTTATTGATTATTGCTCTGTAGCCTCAATTTGTATAAAATATTAATCATTTTAAAGTATTCTACATAATTGAGTCAAGAGTTTTATCATTCGTACAAACTTTATCATGCTGATGACAATAATTGTTATATAATTGTTTCACTCACCATTTTTCTTTTTCGCTTCAATTTCCTTCCTTCTATGCTTATTAATTTATTTATTTCTGCTTTTTTTAATAAAATATTTATGTTAATTTTAAAATCATTCAACCAACAGCAAATTTAAAATGAATTATCATAAAATGTTTATTTTAAAATAAAAAAGAGTTTATAAAAATTATTAATTAATAAATAAATAAATAATATTTTTATCGTCTAATATTAAATAAATAACTAAAGCACAACAATCTTCTAAAGATATCCTTTAATTAAAGTTATTTTTAATCTGTTTTTAGTTTATGAATTTATTTTTAATCAAATATCTTGCGGAGAGTGAGAGAATCAATATTATTTCAAATAATAGCCAATCTTAGAAAATTCTTACTTAGCTTAGTAGACATTAAAAATTTGAATTTTGATAAGTTAAAATATTTAAATTAACATGAAAAGATTAACACATTTAGCATAATACCATTTTTCTTTTAATTATCCTTGTCCCAGAAAGCTCAGAGAAGTTGTTAAGCTTTCTCTTTTCGAAAAAGAAACTACTGATAAATGCATAGATTTATGGACCGAATATCATAATACCAGAAGTGAAAATATTTCTGATGCTATATCAAAAAAAGAATATGATATCTTAAAAAGACAGTAAAAACAAATACTTATTTTCAATAAATCAAATAGATATTCTTCATGTTTTTAAGCAATAAATACTTATTGTTTATGATTTTTAAAAATTAATTAGGTATACATAATCACCTATGTTTTTAGTTCCTATCAAGAAGAAAACAGGTCACTTTCTTCTTTTGGGTTAAGCTCAAGAAAAATCTATTGTAAAAATTTTTAAATGAATTTTGAAAATAAATTATCTGAAAATATTTTAAAAAATATTTTTTATCTGCTTTTTAACCTTAAAAAATAAATAAATATTTCTACTGTTTTTAAATACAAAATTATTTATTTTATAACAATTCCTACTTTAATTAAAAGTTATTCACTTACCTTGAAGACTATAAGTTGAAGGGAACAAAGGCTACACCCTACTTTGTCATTACTCTATTTGATGAGCTAATTCCTACCAAATGTACTGACTGAATTAGATTTTTTGATCAAATAATGATTTAAATTTATTTTTTTTAATTAAAAATAATAGAATTATCATTAGTTAGAGGAGATATTATTAATTTTATGATAACTAAACCTGAAGCTAATGTAGTATGGAATTTAACTTTAAAGTAATACTTAACACCAGATTTATATCAAGATTTCGTTTTCAAATTTAATCACAGTCCTCATGAATTCAACTATGAAGCTTATAGTTAATTCTTTTAACTGCAAATCTGAAAGAGAAACTAGAATTAGAAATATTACAGTGATTGGTTGACGAGCTAATTAATTCTATCCATGCTTATAAAAATAATATTTGCAAATTTATGGTCTATCAATCACAGAAAGACCAAAAAACTAAATTATTTATAAATGTAATTGTGTTTTATAAAGTAATCTATTAACTTAGTTAATTAAATAATTAATTAATTAAATACAAAACCAAAAAAAAAGAATCAACTTTATTTCTGTATAAGTAATAACATTCATTTTTTAATCATAACAGCTAGCTCTACTAGTTTGATTACAATCAACTCAAATTAATTTATTCTACTATCTATTCTCTTTTGAGGTCTATTACTTTAAATATTTGATATTATTACACTGACAATAAGCTTTGTTCTACTAGTTTCTATCTGCAATTCTCAAACAAAATTATAATTTATTTATTAATTGATTAGTGGTTCATTAGCTTTCGTATTAAAGCCATTAAAAAATGCAAGAAAATTATGAAGTTTAAAATATTTAAAACAATAACAATAACAATAACAATTAATAAGACAACTAAAATGTCGAAATAAATCTTTAGAATATTGCCATATAAATTGGAGCAAGAAGAAACTCTTAAAATAATAACTTTAGCAATGACGAAATATTGATTGTAAAAGAAATTTGTTTTCTGTTTTTTTGTGTAGGTGTTGAGGAAATAGCAATACTCGAGTTCGTATAAATTAGCGGGGTTAGCTAATTTATCCCATTAGGATTGTTAGGCAGCTATCCACTCTATAAATTTTTAAAATCTATCTTCTCGAAAGACTGGTAAACAAAGCAAATAAACTAACAAAAAATAAAAGAAAGAACTAAAAAATATATAATAATTTAATCAAAATTACTTCAAATAAAATATTTATAATATTATTAAATAGTGAATGCCAGTCACAATCTGTTTATATAGTAGACTCATTTCTAGAGTGTCTTTCTGTTCTTTTAATTTGCTTATACTTTAAATATTATTCTTTCTACTTCAGTTTTATATGCATTCCTATGTTTATATCCTTGTTGCTCAAGTTAGATGAAGTGAAAGTTGAAGGAAATGGTGAATAAAAAGACTTTATTCACTTTTGCAAAATAGTAATTTTTATTTTTCATAAATAAAATGAACTTAGTCCAAATATTTTTACATCTATATATAATATATTTTTAAATAAATTTTTAATTAATTACTTTAGGTAGGATTTATTATTTATGCTGCAATATGGGTTTAACTCTTGCAATTTAGTCTTAAAATGGATTTCTTTATTTAAATGTAATGGTAAGCATTACTATGGCCATTTTGGGTGATATTTGCCTTAATATCACTTTTTATCATATTTTTTTTGTATGAAACTATGAAATTTACTGCTATTAGCCACAAAACACATTCTCATAAAAAAGAATGTAATAAAAAATTTTTATTTTATATTTTTCTTAACTTTTTTTAAATAGTATTAGGATTTTTTATTATTTTTTTGGTGCTATCGCTTTTCGCTACAAGTCTACTTCTAACATCATTAAAAGCATTGAACTATCTCTAAGATCCTTCAAAACTATGTAATATTTTATGTTTCCCAGAATTATTTAAACTCCATAAAAATGTTAATATAAAAATAAAGTTATTAATTATTTGATTACTATTTAAAAATTTTATATATTAATATTAATTTTAATCAATAGAATTAATAAAATTTTAATATGTTAAAAATTTAATTATTTTAAATGTTAGATTAAGATAGCTATAGCCTAGTATTTTGCTTTGCTGCCACACCACTTATTTCTCTCTTAATTTTAACATTTAAGGGAGTAATCACAGAAACAATAAAATTCATATTATTTTATGGTGAAAATTCTTCTTTAGATAATCAAATTCATCAACAACAAGATGGGTAGCAAATATAAAGAGAAATTCCTGGCTTAGAATTATTTGAGTAAAAATTTGTTGGTGATGTAATAAAGTTGAACATAAACTAGAAAAAAAACCCAATATATTTAGTAAAATTTATAAATTTAAATTTACTTAGAATGAATTAAATTTATTTATAAAGTAAAAATAATCAGCTACTTTTTTCTCAAAGTCGATAAATATAAATAAAAACAGAAATGAAAGCAACTCAAAGTAAAAGGAATTGCTAAAAGAATTTAAATGCTCAATAAAAAAATCTGTTTCAGTTGATATTTAAAAAGAAGAGCTAAGAAAAATATCATAGGCTGCAAGACACTTACTTGGACCAACAATTCCTACATTGGAGACAGATATTGCAGAAAATAAAGCAACAATAAACCAAATTCCCTTTAAATTTCCAGTTCTATCAAATAGACTAAAAATTGAAAATAATTTAGAAAAAATTGAGTAGAATCAATTTTTAAACAATTAAGAAATATAACTTAGCAAAGATTTTCATGATATATTTAGTGAAAAAAACATAAACGGTACACATAGAAAATCCGAAAGTTGTGCTTTCAGGAAAGAAGATATCAAACGAAATATCTATGATAATTCCTAAAGTAAATTAAAAATATTTTATGTGAAAAAGAAGTTATTTTATTATAAATAAAATAAGAATAAGAAGAAGAAAGTAAAAATACAAGCATTCAAAATTGTCTGGTTTGCTTTGAAAACTAACCAGACACAGTTTTTATGAACTGTGGACATGGAGGTAAAGTTTTTAATATAAATAAATAAATAATTAAAATAATTTATTTTAATAGGAATATGCTATGAATGTGCTCTTTTAATATGGAAAAACACATAAGAATGCTACTTATGCAGATAGGTAAAATAAAATAATTATAAGCAAATAAATAAATAAATTAAATAAATTCAAACTATTAAAAATTAGAAAGTTGAGTAATTATATCAGCTAGAATACAACTCTGATAATAAAGATAATGTTATGAAAGTATTATCTAAAACTATTTAAGCTAATTAGTTATGTTGAAAGCTCTTGTTGTTAAATAATTTAATAAAATTTCAATAAAATAACGTTTAATTGTTACAGTATTTATATTTATTACATTATATTATCTCTAAAAAATATTATATACTTACTAAATATATATTTATTTAAAATATATTATAATATTTAATGCATCGTTTATTTATGTTTATGCATGTGAATTCATTGTGTACGGCTTCCTTCAGATTCAATTATGAATAAATTAAATTTAGCAGCATACAAACTTTTTATAAAAATATAAACCTCAAATTAATTGTTTAAAAAGTATAATGAAATATAGAATAATTCAGTTTTTATTAAAAAATAAAATTAATTTCTGAATTAATTTACAAATAAGAAAAAAATCATTTTTTTTACAAATTAAAAAAAATTTAGAAATAAAAAATCATACATATAATACTATTGATGACATTTAAAAAAAAATAAATTTATCGATTAAAAGTTTATTTAAAATAAAGCAAAATTCAATCTATAATATTACTCATACATTATTATCATCATCGTCTCCTAAACAATCTTATTCACTAGATTCGTTTAAGAATAAAATAGAGTGAACACCATTATTGTTATTGATAATCTTTCCTACCTATGTGAGTTTTTCTTCTGGTTTTCCAATTATAACTTTCAGAATAAACTCACCATATAATCTTTTGTCTTCTAGAATAATAGTTCCTTAAACAGTTTAATCTAACTTCTTAAGTGCTTTTATAACTAATTAAGTTCTACCTTTATCATCAGTCTACACCAGGCAGTTATCATTCTCAAAATATGTATTTCCTGGAAGCTCTATATCTATTCTTTTATATTTTTAATTATTTTTATCGAACTCAACAACAGTATAATTAATTGCATTGATGATCCTTCCAAAGACATCTAAAGTAATATCCTTAATCCTATTAATTTTTAAGTTTTCTGACAATGAAATTATAAATTCATTATTATTAGCTTCTTTTTTAACTAATGTTTTGTCAAATGTTTTAGGTTGATCAACAAATTCAATGTAATTTGGTAAATAGTCATTCAAAAACTTAGTAAATCTTTCGCTTATGCAAAAAGATTTGTTACGAGAATGCAACTAAATTTTCTATCTAATATATTCTAAAGAGAACTAATTAAAATAATCTCCTGCTTCGCTTTTGTTCTTAAAAATAAAAACAATAAATTTCAAGAGCAAATAAAAATTAAATAAATTTATTTATTTACATTTGCAAAAATAATGTGGACAACATTTTTATATCTACGATCAATATAAGCAATTTTATTGTGTTCTTTATTTGTTTTTAATTTAAGATCAGGACTGTGGATTGCAAGGGGGAATTAGTACATCAATGAATGCTCAATGTGATCTTATACATGTTTAATTTCCTTTATCTCTTTATAGTTGTGAACAACAATAATTTAGCAACTTAGTTTTCTATCAATTATGCTTGATATAAGTTTTTAATCTTCAATAGAAAGCATACCAACTACAATAATAACTATTTCACAGCTTTATAGCAGAAACTCTTATTGCAATTATTCAGTAGCTTTAATATCGAAGAAACTTTAAATTACCTGTTCTTACATCTAGCTAAGGAACTTAGCTTCATCTTCTTCATTTCTAGAATTTTTATTTTTGCTTTTATATGCATCATTCCAGTTGAACTTAGCAGGTTTCTAAACACCTTCAGAGTCTAAATAGATTTTAGTAGAGCTGTCTTTAATATCCACTTTTGCGCTTATTCCTAAAGTGCTCTCGTAGAAGGCAGAAGGGAATTTTTCATCACTTAGTTAGTTAAGTAAGAATGTTTTACCCCTGTTTTTAACACCTTAGAATCCTATTATAGAGCATTTTTATTGGGAATCTATTATTTCTTTAGTCTTATTTGGCTTCTCAAAGTATTCAATTTTGCATTACTTGTTACTTAAGTCATACATTGAGTTAATAGAAATGAGGACATCATAACTGTTCGTATTTTTAGATTATCCATAGAAGTAATCTTTATCTTATCTTGATACCTAATTCTAATTATTTAGTTACTTTTGACTTTCATTTATTTTTTAAATAATCGATTATAGCTGCTATTTGTTAATATTATCGCTCTAATCTTGCAAGAGTTTGCTAGTTTCATTCTAAAATTAAACAAAAAGACTCTATAAATTTCCATATTGATCTTCTAATTTCTAGTACTTTGCTTAAATGTCAACTTCTATATCGTTAGAATCATCTTTTTAAGTTTCTACCTTCTCTAAAACAGGTATTTAATCGTTAATTTACTATTAGTTAGGTTTTCTCTCATTTACTTCATCTCCTAAGGCTTTTTAGATTTCTTTGACATCTAAATTAGGATCGTTTATTGATTACTGGTTTACTTAATTTATCTAAGGATTACTCATTTATTTTTACTTAATAAGCTTTTTGTGATTTATTATTATTTATCAATTTGATTAATCAATTAATTATTTTTTAGTGAGAGGATATTTTGAATTTTATTGCAAATAAAGATATTCTATAAAAAAAAAATGTGTAATTTAATCAAAAAAAAATAAACACACATAAAAATATTATGAAAACACCACACATTTATTTATTAATAGATGCAATTTAATATTACTTGCCAATCAATATAAAAATTGTAAATGACTTTTTTGTAGATTATTTCATTTATTTTATTATTCTATGCTTAAAGTGTATTCTGGTTTAGTTATTTCGAACTCGCAAGTGTAGATACCTCTTTTTTCAGTAAATTTTTTGGTTATTTTTAAATTTTCTGTTGTTTTTCCTACTTTAATTTTGTGGTAGACCTACCCAAGATTTCTGTTGTTAAATATTTCTTAAATTCCTTATTAATCTTAGTACACTATTTATTTATTCGCCTAAATAACCATGACTTAATACTCATCTTCTTTTATAAGAGAAGCTTTTGTCAACTTGGTATCTCCTGGAAGTTCTATTTCAAGTATTTTCTTATAACCCTACAAATGGATGGAGTAATTAATCATGTTTCTAAATCTACCAAAAACATCTAAAAGAATGTCTTTGGTTCCTTAAATTTCATATTCTGGGAGAAGGGTTATTTCATCACAGGTTTCTTTCTCTTCGATGCTTAGAAGCACATCTGAAAGTGGAACCTTAAGATTCTTTTTCTCTTGAGAAGAGTAGCCTATATCTAGAAAATCACGTAAACACTTATTAAGGAAGTTTGAAAAATCTTAGGCAATATTCATCGATTTCTTGTTTTCATTTAGCTATATTTTTTGTTTGATGTAATCATAAGAAAACTTATTGTAAAATTCACCTGCGGGAGTATCTTTCTTTTTAATTAAAATTGAAAGTTGTGATTAATTAAGTAATACAATTGAAAAAAAAGTTAATTTCTCCTATAAATAATTAATTTTAGGTTATAGTCTAATTATTTTCTCGTATAAGAGAATTAATTTAAAATTCTGTGAAGGAAGGCTAAATTAATTTGCTAAGTAAGATCAACAATAACAAAAATAAGAATGGATAAAAAAAATTGATATATTTTTATGACTGACGTAGTAAATAAGAGTGTGTAATCAAAAATATTACACTTTTTAATTGTAAGTGAAGAAAGAACAAATATTTATTATTAATATATATGATTACTTTGGCCAATACGCAATGGAAGACTCTTTCATTTCTTTGATCTTGATAAACAAATTCATTTTCTTCACCTGCCTTGTTAAAAAGTTGAATTCCTCTACGTTCTAGAGGGAACAAATCATAAAGATTGTTTTCTATCTCATTTTTTACATGTTCGCATCTTGAGTATTCTTTTAAGTTATGAACAACTATAATATCTTTATCGAACATTTCACTAATGACAGAAATAATTTTTTGTTCTTCCAAAGAAATAATTCCTACAACAATAATAATAGTTTCTGAGTGCTCAAGCAAAAACTGCATTTAAATTTGTTCTGTGCTCTTTATATCTTAAAATTTTTCTGTCACTTTAGTTTAGAAATTCCTCTTAAACTAACTCTCTGCATAATTGCATGAGGCATCATCATTCTCCTACTTTAACTTAATATAGTCCTAAAAATCAGAATCATTACTCCAATTATATCTAGCAGGTTTATTGATTCCTTCAGAATCCAGATAAACTTTGATATTATTTCTATCTGAGTTATCAATTTTCACACTGATGCCAGAAGTTGAGTAGTGATATCCTGATGGAAAGTTTTCATTGTTTAGCTCATTTAGTAGGAAAGTTTTTCCTTTATTTTTCAATCCTAGAATCGCTACAAATGAGCAGTGCTCCATTTCTTCTAAACATTACTTAGTTATTCCTCTCTCCTAAGAATAAATGACTCTGATAGGCTCTTTTTAGATATTCACTAACGATTTTATATCAACAGTTATGTCATACTATTTATCCGAATCATTACTTTCGTCGTATTTCTTTTTTTTTTGTAATTCTTCTATCTCATTTCTCAGCTAGTTTATCTCAGTTTACTTTTGTAAAAAAATATCATGGAAGCCCTATTCTTACTAGTTTAAGGCAGTTTAAAGAGAGTCCTTATTAGCTTTTAATTCGCTTATGGTTTTTTTTGCCTTTTCTAATTCTGCTTTGGCTTAATTTAGTTACTATTTTTATGACTCTATTGTCTATACACTTGTATAAATGGAGTTAATAGCTTCAGCAAAACAATTGACAATCATTTTAGGAGATTCACTTTTTCTAAAATCTACTTTTTTATCATAATTCTGTTAAATTTAATTGACCATTTCATTTATTTTCTGAAATAAATTATGTAATTATGGTTCCTAAAAAGGACTGTTAACATCAATAGAGCTAGAGAGTTATTATTTAAAAATGTTGTTGAAATTTACCTCACTCATACTTCTTTATTGTTTTGATAGAATATTAAAGTTTTTTATTTAATTTAATTATATTTAATTTGAAAACTAGATATTTGCAATTTAAATCTTTAAGCTCGCACCATCAAATATATCTTCAAAGTAGTTGTATTTCAATATATTTATGGGAAATGATATTACTTATTAATTTTTGATAAAAGAATTTTAGTAAATAGCAAATGCAAATCATTGATAATCAATACATACATATCAATACCTTTGAATAAAAGTAAGTAAATTATATCAAGTATTTTATTTATTTATTTACTTACTTACTTACTGAAGGTGGTCACTACATTTTTCAAAGCAGAACCTTAAAAAATAATCAATTATCTTATCTTTTTTGAAGAGGTGATTTCATTCATTTAAAAAATAATTACAATTCTAAAGATAAAATAAGATACTAAAAATCTAAAATTTATTTTTAAAAATGATTCAATAAAAATGAAAAAATGTTTTTAACAATGAAATAATGAATTTTTATGTATTTATTCATTTATTCATTCAAAAATGAATGTTAGTTTATATGTTTCTTTCAAAATTAAATTACGTAAAGAAGAAATGATTGAAAAAAAAAAACAACTTACCAAAAATTTAAAATTATAATTGATTATTAACCTAAAATTTAGATTTTTATAAGATTTCTCAATAAAATAAAAAAAATAAAGCTGTTGAGATAAATTACTTAAATTAGGATTAACCTTCGACAACCATACAAATTATAAAAAGGAATAGTAATATAAAAGGTTCAATCAAATGGATAACGTTTCAGAAGCATCATTATAGGAAGATTCAATTATTGAATTAGAGCATGCTATTGGTTTTAGCGGAAAGATTCCAAGATGTGTCTATTTCCATCCTAATGGTTAAGATTTTGTATATATATCTGGCGCTTGCATAGTTATCACAGATTTAAAGGATCCTCATAAGCAAAGCTTTTTAAGAGGTCATGATAATTAAATAACATGCTTAGCAATATCAAATAATGGTAAATTAGTAGCTTCAGGATAACTAGGTGATAACTCTGATGTAATTATTTGGGATTTCTAATACAGGAAACTTAGATTTAAATTATCCGAACACGATCATGAAGTTGCTATAGTTTAATTTTCAGATGATGACAGATTACTATTTAGCTGTGGAAATCCATCAGATAAAAAGATATTTATATGGAATACGATAAATGGGTATATTTAGTTATTTCTTTTTTGAAAAATAAATAGATTTATATGTCCATAAATAAATTAGAAATTATTGCGATGCATCTATTCAATCTTTTTTTAAATATTTTCAAAATGAAAATGAGTTTAAAAGTGAATAATAATGTAAAATTGACTAATTTATTTGTTAATAAATAGGTGTATTGTAGCTAGTTGTTAAATATATCCTGAAAAGATTATTGCAATGAGATGGGGTGGATTCGCTAAAGATATAAAGCTTAGAGATACAAATAAATATTAATTTGCAACTGCAGGAAATAAATAGATATGCGTTTGGAAATTGGATGCTCAATTAGGATAGATTTAGCATGAATTTATTAACACAGGATCAGTAATTAGAGAATACAGATGTCTAGAATTCTCCAAAAATCGTGAGGATTATTTATTTGCAGGAACATCATCTGGTGATTTTCTATGCTTTTAAATGAAAAATAAAGTATTAGCAGCTGTGATTACAGTCTCCGCTTAAGGAGTTCAGAGCATACAAGCTGTAAATCCATCTCTGATTTTAGTTGGTAAGCATTATAAAATATTTCAATTCTATAAAATTGTTTTTTATTAACATATTTTGTATTTACTAAAAGGATGTGGTAATGGTATTATAAATTTATTTAAAACCGATGGAAACTAAATTGATTCTGTTGTTAAGAATTAAATTATTGGCAGTGTTAACAGTATTTCTTGCTCACCTAACTTATAAGAGTGTATGTGTGCAACAGATAGAGGTTTTATTTACAGAATTAGAAACACAGACCTTGCTAAGGTAATATAATAAATACTTAACAGAAAAGAATGATTCAATATTAAAATAATTAATCGTTATTATTAAATAGATTTTACATTGTGAAAACCATACAGATTCTGTTGTATTTTTAACTTATCCTCCAGGTATATCTGATAAATTTGCATCTTGCAGTGAAGATGGCTCTATTCGTTTATGGGATATAGGATCAGATTACGTCGTAACCACTAGATGCTTTGCTAATAATGCAGGATCTCCTTTATGTCTAACCTATAATAGCGAAATAGTGTTGAGCGGTTGGTAGGATGGCAAAATTCGTATGTTTTCAAGTGAAAATGGTAACATAATTTGGTAAATGGATAATGCCCATAAAGATGGTGTTTATAGTATTTGCCTAAGTAAAAATTTTAAATTCTTCTGTTCTGGAGGCTGTGATGGTGAAGTTAGAGTATGGGAAATGCGTTCAAGAGAAATGCTTTCTCATCTTAAAGAGCATACTTCAAAAGTAACTAAAGTCAAGCTTTTAGGAGAAAATGAAAGCTAAGTTGTGTCATCATCCAAAGATAGAGCTCGTAATTAATACATTTATTTATTTATGATTAGATTTTACTAAAAATATAAATTTTATTAATTAAAGTAAAAATTAACTTAAAAAATAAAATGTAAGTTTTAAAGATTGACTTGTATTAATTGGAATAAAAATTTAAAAAAGCTGAACTTTTAAAGTGAAGTCAAAATGTTATATTTAAAAAACAAAATTTATTTTATAAAACAGTTTTATCATGGGATTTAAAACAACAAAAAAGAATAAGTGCTCATATTTAACGTATGGGTGGTATAAATTCATTTGATATTGCTAATGATAATCAAACAGTAGTTACAACTGGTTAAGATAGAAAAATAACTTACTGGAATTTAAATTAAGCAAATCCAATCAGAATATTAGATACAAACAATAACCCTAAGGCTGCAGACGAATGTATGTCTCTCCACTTATCAAGTGATGGTAGATATTTTGTTACTGGAGGCTCAGAGCAAATAGTAAAAGTTTGGGATTTTGCAACTGGTAAATTGATAGCTTAAGGCCGTGGACATTCAGGCTGCATTAACACTGTTACCTTCTCACCTGATTGCAAGTAAGTAATTTCAGGAGGAAGAGATGGAAATATATTAGTGTGGAATATATTTGACTGACCAAAATTATATTTTGTATTACTTTTATTTTTTATAGAAGTTTTGTAATTTATAAAATTATATAAATGCATCGAAATCAGCTGAGATTTAAATATTTTTGGGTTATTTTCAACACAAATAATCAATAATTGCATCTTAAAATATTATTTTAATTTTAAAATGTTGTTATGAGTTCATTTTTTTAATTAAATTTATCAAAATTCCTATAAATATTAGTTGGATGGAACATTAACAACTATTTGTAATTTTTTAGTAAATATATGAAATTTAAATTTAAAGTATACTTAGACACAATATTATTTTATAAACTAATTTAAAGCTATCTATGTTATATAATAATAAGTAATTGTTTTTGCTATTAAAATTTTAATTATTAGCAAGATTTTATTTTTTAAATTAAGATTTTTGCAATAATTATTTATTGAACATCAGACAGACATTATTATTGTTTTCATTTTATTTTTAAACTATCACCTTAAATCCTGCATGCGAGTGTACCAAATTTTAATTAGTAATCGGTATAAATATTTTTAGATAAAAAATAAAAATTTTAGTATTAATTTTTTAGTGACTATCATTTCCTTTATTGATCTAACTATATAAGCATTCATTCAAATTTGAATAATAAACCAATTAGAGTTTAGCTCTTTTTTAACTACAATATATGCTTAGTAGAAGGTAGATTGATAGATATTCATCTATTTTATTTTATCAAGGTGAACAAAGAAATTATATTTAAAATTTGATTTCATATGTAAATTTAAATCTTATTTTAATTTTTGTTATACTTTTTTATTAAAATAATTTGAAAAATTAACTTCATTTTGATAGAAACTTTAACTTTCTGATAAAACCTGAAAAGATTTTTCGTGTTTGGCTATTTTATTCTTCTATAAAAATAAAAAATTTACAAAGAAAGGATATTTTTAAAAATAAGTATACATCAGAACTAGTCATCAGAATATTTATAAACGATAACATAAGTGAAAAAAGATAAATTGAAAATCATTAAATTTTTTATAAAAACTGCAGAAAAAAATTGTATTAAGATAATTAAGGAGATCAATTAAATTTATTTAGCAAATCTAAGAATAAAATGAGCGATTACGGAGATTATGATGATAATTATTACGATCAAGAAGATTATGGTGACCATGATGAACACGATTATCATTACGAAGAAGAAGAAAAGAAGGCTAGTGATTAAAAGCTTAGTAAATTAGTTAGTTAGTTTTTTCATTTTTTCTAATTAATTTATACATTAGCTAGATAACAATTATAAATTATTAATAATGAAAAAAAATAAAAAATCCTTTTTATTTGAAAATAAATAGCTTTTGGTTAATCACATTAGCTTAGGTTGGTCAAAGATTATTTATTTTGCAACGAAATAAAAGAAAATATCAAAACTATCTAAGATACTTTAGGTATATCGTCAGGAAAGGCTTTATGGTTATTTTAAAAGGTAAACTATGATCTGAATTTGGCATAAAATCCTACATAGAAATTAATTGATGAAGTTTACTCTTCAGCCAAATAAGCAAAGAAAACTGTAGATTCTATTATTATTGTTTATAATCTGTATTAACTCATTAATTTATTATTTTTAAAGTCTGAGTGCATCCTATGCTGTGATGATAGAAACCTTTATAGCTTAGAATGCAATCATGAATTCTGTTCAAACTGCTGGTCATAATATTTAGAAGCAGGAATTAAATAAGGATGTGAATTTGCTTTAATAAAGAAATGCCCAATGGATAAATGCAAGGTAAATGATTTAAATTAGCTAATTTTGCAAATAAATAACCTAGGTAAAGCATAATTACAAATTAAGATAATTAGCAAAACAACTATTAATAGATTTAACTATTCAATGAAATAACTATAGATATATTAAAATAATTAAATTCTTTAGAAAGATAATTAATCAAATAGTTAGAAATTTTTAGATGTGTAAATAAAATAAGTATTGCAAAAATATTTTATTAAAAGAAGCATTTTAATTGTTTAAAAAAAGATTCTTATTTATTTAAAAATATTAATTATTATTTTTTAAATTAAGCAAATAGTAGATTTAGATGTTTTTAAGAAATTCCTGAAAGACTCTTCATATAAGCTATTTGAAACTTTCTTATGTTAAGATTTTATGGCTAGAAATAAAAAAGTAACAACATTGTTTTATTATTTTTTATAGGATTAAGCTGATTTTTTTAAAAAGGCTACCTGTTGTCCTGGCAAAAAGTGCTAAAATATAATTATTTTAAATTCTTACAAAGGCTCACTTTAATCTTTTGATGAAGCTTTCTTTAATGTTTCCTGTGATTGTACCTATTCATTTTGTTCACTGGTATATATAGTTCATATTAGATTATTTTTTGTAAAATTTTTCTTTAAAATTAGTGTCGTGACGAAGCTCATAGACCTTTAAATTGTTAAAAAATGAAAGAATGGTCAAGCTTAGTAGGAGGAAAAACTTCTGAAACAATTGATTAATTGTGGATTAAATTAAACACAAAGAAATGCCCTAAATGTAAAGTTGACATAGAGAAGAATTAAGGTTGTATGCATATGACGTGTAGAAAATGTACTTATGAATTTTGTTGGCTTTGTATGGGAGACTGGAAAAATCACGTTGATTGCAATAAATATTCTGAAATTCATAAAAAAGAATAAGACTAAATAAAACAATAATCTGAAGAAGAGCTGAAGAGATTTACATTTTTCTCTGAAAGATTTATCAATCATAAAAAATCAATAGAATTTGCAATAAGGAAGAAGTTTGAAATAGAAAAAATTTATAACGATATTAATACTAAGTTAGATACAGTAATTAATTTTGATTTCTTAACAGAAGCATTATTGACTATTATAGGTAAAGTTTATTTATTTATTTATTTGTATATATTTACATATCTTAAATTTAATTTTGATTTATTATAATGAAAATAGAATGCAGAAGAGCTGTTGCATTCAGTTATCCTTTGGCTTATTATATTTCTATAAGCAAAAGAAATTTAGTTGAATTCCTTTAGAAAGATTTAGAAAATAACTTAGAGAGATTAGATCATAAAACGGATTAAAAAATATATGAATTCCTAAATGAAAAGCAAAGAATGATGGAAAATGAGTTTTATGACTTTTAGAGAGATGTTAAAAAGCTCACTTTAACACTTAATAAATATTTTGGAAATATGATTGACTCATTTGAAAAAGGTAATTAATTAAATTCAATAATTTTTAAATAATTGTAAATAATTTTAATCTATTAAACAGAAATGCCTGAGTTAAGTAAGGTCTCCTCATATAAAGAAATACCTACGTGGACATGTGATTATTGTGGAGTTCCCAACTAGATTGATCATATTTTTTGTGAAAGTTGTTTTATTGAGCGTAAATGAAAAATAGTTAGTTACACTCTAATTTTACATAAATATTTTAATATTAATTCCTATAAAAATATTTTTAGTTTTTTCTGTAATAACAATTTATGTCTTAAAACCTTAATTTTTGTATATTTATTTTACTTAATCAGATTATTTCAGTAAAAATTATAACTGTTTTTTAGTTATTACTAAATCGATAAGTTTTTTTTAATTATTACTAAATTTATATATTTGTCAATTATTACAAAAAAAATAAAGTAGTTTAGTTATTTTTAAATTTTAAGTATTTTATTTTTACTTGCCAATTTATAAAGTAAATGATAAAAATATTTTATGCTAATTTTAAATTTAAATAATGAAAATATAGTTTTGGAATGCTATCAAGTGTAAAATTAATTATCAAAAATTTATCTTAATTAAAAAGTGGCTAGCTAGTTCTGAAATGTGGAAGACACATTTAGGTGATTAATAAAATTAAATGATGAAAGATCTTTTAATTAGTTGAGATAGATGTTATTTTTAACTATTTTTGTAATTTATTTTATTAGAAAAATTAATAATATTCTAATTAATTTTAAGTTTTAAAAAATTTATATATTTATTAACAAAAAATTATTTATTTATTTATTTTAAATATATATTAAAATATGCGTGCGCATTCGTATTTTGAAATATACAACACTTTTAATTAATTAATTAATTAATAGGTTATATTTCACATACTTAATTCATTCCTTTAAAAACAAGGAGATTTTAAAATTTAAAAAAAAAAAAAAAAAACAGAAATCAATTTAAAATATTAAAAGTTTGCAAAATATTAAAAAAAAAAGATATAAAAAATGTTTGGCGGTCTTTACCCTGAAACAGGTGGTTAAGAATTATTATCTGACCTTACTTTAGAAAAAATAGATTATGATTGGATTGAAAAATAGAATAAGCCTAATTTCTTAAAGAAAGCTATTAAATTAATTGAAGAAGATGGTAAGATTTCATTTATTTAACCAAGCACATAAATATTTATTGAATAAATATTTTTAATTAAGGTAATTACTTTGTCGAGTTAAAGGAAGCATGCATTCAAAAACTAAGAAAGTTAGATCCTTCTAAAGCGTAACTTTAAAATATTGAAAATAGCCAAATATTTAACTTTTACCATACTTAAGTCCTAAGGTGTTTGACAACAATGTTAGTGATAAAGAAAAACAAACTTTAGAATCTGACATTTATAAATGGGAAGAGGAACTTTAAAAAAAGGAACAACAAAAAGAAAAAGCAGCAAAGATTTTTGAGATTGAATAGCAAATTTAGCAAAATGAGACATTGACTGAAGAATAAAAAAAAGCCAAAGCAGAAAATGAAAAAAACAAAGGAAATGAAGCTCTTAAATCAAAAGATTTTAAAGAAGCTATTGAATATTACACAAAAAGTATTGAATATGATCCAAAATTAGCAGCCTCTTATTGCAACAGAGCTTTAGTATATTTAAAGTTAAAGGAATACGATAAGGTTATAAAAGACTGCAACAAAGCCATAGAAATAGATCCTAACTATCTAAAGGCTTATCACAGAAGAGGAAAAGCTCGTTTTGCATAGGATAAAGTTTACGAGGCTTACAGCGATTTTAAGTTTATCATGGAAAAAGACCCAGAAAACAAAGAAGTTAATGGAGATCTTAAGGAATGCTAAGACTTACTTAAAAAATCAAATACAAATCCTGAAAAAGGTATAATGAATACTTTTTATTTATATTTAAATTAAGTATTTTTTTTTTAATTTAGGCTTTAAGAGAGTTTAAATTGTAGAAGAAGAGGAAGATGATGATGAATAAGAATAATAATAATAATAAAATAACACTGAAAAGCTTGATTTAGAGGTAAAATATTATTTTAAATTTATGTAAACATTAAAGAATTTTGATTTTAGAAAAAGAAATTCTATGACGATTAAGTTAATTAAATAGAATCTTAAAAAGAAGTTGCAAATGCTCATATTAAGAATGGTCTTTTTGATAATGCGTTACAAATTTTACAAACTTGCATTTCAAAGTTGACTTCAATTGGATCATTCTCAGCCTCAGCAGAAGACCAAAATGAATATCAAAGAAAAATGGCTAACTATCTTAATAATGTTGCTTTGTGTTACAAGCAATTAGATGATAACAAAAGTGTAATTAATTACACCAATTAAGTTATCTAAATGAAAAAAGTTCTTTCTCCAGACGTCTTGGTAAAGGCTTACTTAAGAAGAGGTAGAAATAAATCTAAATTAAATTTATATTTTATTATTTTTATTATCAAAAAGCTATGGCTTATGAAAGGTTAGAGAAATATAAAAGATCTTTCAGAGATTTCCTTAAAGTTAAGCACTTAGACCCAGGCAATTTATAATCTTCTTAAGGTATGAGAAGAGTATAGTAATGCTGTCAATATGACAAAGAAGTTCTAAGTGAATCAGAAGATGAAAGCGAAAATAAGCAAGAAACAACTTCCACTCAAAACAAAAGTTAAGTAGAGATTGTGGAAGAAGAAGAAATGGTTCTTGTAAAAAAGAGCGATAGTAAATAAAATGAAACCACTAACACTGAAACAAAGGTAAAGTAAAGTGCAGAAGTTAGTAGTAAATAAGATAAATTGGATCGTCTCAGTAAATTAAAGGAAGAGGGTAATGCACTATTCACCTAAAAAGATATTGAAGGTGCTCTCAAAAAATTTAGAGAAGTTGCTTTAGAAATAGAAGTCAACTACTCCTAGAGACTAAATAAAAAAGATCCAGTAGTTATTTAATTATATTTATAAGTTCTTAGCAATCAATCTCTTTGCTTATTAAGCTAAAAGAAGTATGAAGATGTAGTAAAATGTACTACTTCTGCTTTGTATTATCAAGAAGAAAACATTAAATGTTTATACAGAAGAGCCTAAGCAGTAAGAGCTTTGGGAGATGCAATAAGTGAAGAAAAAACTATTGAAAATTTGAAATTAAAATATGAAAAATACGAAAAGGCTCGTAAGGATTTAGAAAAGGTAAACCAACTTGACAGCAACAACCCTGCTGCTAAGCAACTCCTTTAAGAAATTTCTAAGCTGGGAATTGAAGTCAAGCTCTCATTGAGACACTTAGAAACTGAAAAATTAAACTAGAAAAACTAAGAACAACAATAAGAATTAGATTAGCCCATAAAAACTGAATAAACAGCAAAAAAAGAATCTGATTAAAATTAAATTACATCTAATCTTACAACTTAAGATATCAATAAAATTACAGAATAAGCACTTCAATCAGCTGCAGGTATTTGTTTAATGATTTATTGAATTTTATTCTTTTTTTCGAATTTATTAAAATTTTATTAAATTTTTTTTTTTTATAAGTATTTTTTATTTATAAAAATTAAATTAATTATTTTATTATTTAATTCACTAAGATAACATGTTAAACGACTTCAAGCTCCCTGAGAATTCTACAGTGTTTGAAAAAGACTTTAATTAGCTCAAAAATAACCGTGATAAATTTTATGCCTATATTAAGCAGATCCCTGGCGACCACTATGCAAAGATTTATGATAAAAATGACATACCTTCTAATATTTTATTGGCTATCGTACAAGTTCTTTAAGAATGTGGAATTGGGTATTTTGCAAAATTAATTAATTTATTTATTTATCCTATTTAATTTAAATAATTTAAAATAGTGATAATAAAGAGATGTGCCAAAATATTGTAAGAGGTCTAACAAAGACATCGAAATTTAATCTTTGTGTTAAATTTTTAACCAAAAAAGAAAAAAAAGGTAAAATTTAAATTGATATAAAACCCTTTTTAAATTTAAAATTAATTAATTAGGAGTTAAGGATTTGCTAGAAGCAATAGACCTTGGATAAGCTACAGATTTACTAGAAATATTTAAATTGTGATAATTCAATAATTATTTTTTCAATTAAGACTATATAAAAGTTGTATTAATTAACTAATTTTATTTTCTGTTAATTAAATAATTCTAATTTAAATATTTATCAAAAAAAAATTTACTTTTTTAATTTATCTTTTCTTCAATAATTCATAATTTTAAATTAAATAAATCTTATGAGTATTAAGTTATTTTAAGTATAAATTTAATCATGTTTTATTTAATTTTATAAATTAAATTAAAGCAAATATTCAATTTAATTTAAAAATAAAACCATCAAAAATAATCATTGGTTAAATTGAATTCTATTATGGAGATATTTTTTAATGATTTTTAAAACAATGAGTTTTTAAGAACGAGGAAAATATTTTCATTTTTAATGTTAATTAATTAATTATTTAATTTGATTTGTGGATAAAGCTTTAAAAATATGATCAATAATTAATTAATTTATATCAAATTTTTATACTAAATTCAATATAAACTCTGCTTAATGCAAAATACTCTAATTTAATTATGATAAAGTTTTGAAAGTGGTTTCAAGCATAATCACTGGCTTATCTGTTTTAAGTGTAAGCTGATCCTTTAGTTTGGACATCACCACCATACATTTGTAACATTCTTTGCTCTTTTTCAATTTATTCTTATGTTTTTTGCTTAGTAGGTTGCTTTTCTTATTCATTTTATTTTTTGTTTCTGTTTTCTGCAACACTTGGAATTACTGTTTCAACAAATTCTTCTCTTCTACCGGTTGAAGGACTATTTGATTTTAAATTTAATGATTAACATTTTAGTTTGAAAAAAATAAATTACCTTCTTCCAGACTAGGCAATTTTAGAGATATTTCCACTTAATGCTGTTTTATAGCTTTAGGGTATTCTTGCAACATCACTTTTACTATATGCAACAGCTTAGTCAGCTTATCTTCTTCTAATTTCTTCTTCTATTCTTTATTCTCTCTGCTTCATGGACTCAATTTTACTTTATTTAAAAGAACACATTAAAAGAATTCTCATTCATTTTTTATTAATTTACCTCTTGGCCTTGTTTTCTTCTTTTGATTTAGATCTTTTATGCTTACGGTCACGATCACGATCACGTTCACGTTCACGATCTCTTGATCTACTTCTACTTGATCTTTTTTTATGCTTTTTGTGTTTATCATGACTCCTTGATCTGCTACTATGCTTTTTCTTTTTATCTTTTGATCTGCTTCTTTTTCTTTTACCTGATTTTGACCTAGATCTAGATTTTCTTCTTTTTTCCTTTTCTACAGATCTTGATCTGCTTTTGCTTTTATAAGATTGGTTTTTATCTTCATTTGCATCATCAGAGTTAACAAGTTCAACTTCACCAAAATTGATTAATTCATTGCATCCTTCAAAGTTTTTGTCTGGTAAAAATCTAACTTAAACAAGCTTTCCTTCAATTTTTTCAACAATACCTTCATGCCATTCTCCATCAACACTAGAAATAGCAATGACAGGAGTTTCCTTTTAAAATTTAGAGATGTTTTCTAAATTACTTTATTTTCTATCTCTTTTCTCTTAATTCAAGACTAGTTTAGCTTTTATTTTAGTTTCAATTTTAATAGGAATTCTTGGAAGTCTTGTCCCATAATATTCTTGATCACTTAACAACTTTTCTACATAATCTCCGATAGTCATATTAGGGGAGTTTTTATCAGCACCAGGTTTAAATTCTATTATTATAAAATTAATTAAAAGAAATCTAAGTCTAAAATAATTAATTACCTTCGTCATCAAGTAAGTGTTTCTTAAACCAAGCAAACATATATTTAGGATCACAACAAAATCTTATATATAAAAAACCAATTGCACGAACCATTGGACTTTGCTTGTACTCTACTAAACCCTTTACCTATTTTACTTTTATAGAAAATATAAACTTTAAATAACAAATTTCATAAATTAACTACCTGTTAATTTCATAAGCATAAATTTATAAAGACAGCAGAAAAGTGTTGAAGGCACACCAGTAGGACCTATGGCATAGGGTTCAGCATGATTAACATGCTTTTAAATTTCATCAATAACTTCATGGTAAGTTTTTAAGCTGAATAAATCAATTTTAAAATAGCTGCTATTCATAATATTTGTTTTAAGCTTTGGATTTAAGGTACCAGAGCTATCATATTCCCAAATACTAAAAATATTATTTTCTCCTTTTTCAGTAGAAGGAAGCACTTCAATCAATTCAGCGTCTAAATCGTCATCCATTTTATCCTTTTTTTCCTTAAAAAATAATATTAATAAATTCTATAAATAAAAATTTGTCCATCTAGCATTTCAGAAAAAAGGAAGTTTGATCATTAAAACGAAACAACCAACCAACCAACCAACAAGCAAAAATTTGTTTGAAATAAATTAATAAACTAACGAGATAAAAAAACTTTTTACATTTAATTCTTATTTATTTTAAAACCGAAAAATTTGGTTTTTACTGAATTAAAGTGATATATTTATTAATTTACTCCATAACTCATTCCTGAAATCAGATGCACAATTTATATCCTTAAATTTTGAATTCATAAGTTATTACTTGGTCCTTCTATTCCTTGCTTTTACTTTCTTATTCAGCTGCAATTTTTCTGCAAGTTCTAAATTAAAAAAATAATTAAAATGTTTTAAGCTTTACTTATAAAATTAAACTTTAGTTTTACCTGCAAGATTTAGAAATTGCAGTTGGATGAAAGCTGCATGCATTTTTTGGTTGCGAATTCTTTAGCTTTTCATTATTTTTGCTGAGAACTTATTCTAGAATCATATTATGTTATGCAGAAGCAGATTGTTGCTATTGGGGTTGCAAAATCGGAAAATTAGGAGGAGGATGCATCATGAATTACTGCTATTATTAATTTTGATACATAGATTATTAGTCAGGTAAAAATCCTTAAGGTTGTTGGAAATATGGCTAATTTGAATATTAATTATGAGGTGGTGGCTAATTATATTGCATAGGGTTGAACTAAAACTATTGATTCTATGGCGGTTATTGACCATTTAAATGATAGTCCATCACTTTATTTTTATCATAATAATTATTAACTAAACTTAAATAATTGCTTTATAATTTACTATTTTAATTTGGAATCATTTATTTCTTTGCTTATCCTAATTATGTTGTGATATTATTTATAATTTCACTATCACCTATTTAATTATATTGAAAATTATTAATGATTCTTCAAAAATAGAAATTATTTTTAATTAAATCATAATAAATACTTATTTCTAAAGCTTTTTAAATTTAACATTTTTTTATACATAACTTAATTTAATTTGCGTCTACTCGCTCGTTCATATAATCAGTCAGTTATCACCAGTCAGTCAAAGCCATTTATCACAAAAATTATCTTTTCTTATAATATAATTAATTTATTTCATACAAAATTAATTTATTTTAAAGTCATAGTAATTTATTTGTTAAGTTTTTGCTAAAATAATTTGAAATGTTTTTTGGATTTATATTTAATTTTACTATCCATTTAAATATTTGAAATTTAAAATAAATTAAACTGTTTAATAATTAAATAAGTTTAAATGCAATATAAATTATTAAAAATGGTAGTACATTTGTTGAATAAAATTACTTTGTTATGGATTTTAATGATATTTGAATATAATTTGGAAATTTGTTAAATTGTTTTAAAGAGAATAAAATTTGTTAAGAAATATTAAAACTTTTTATGGGAGTGTGATAATTTTTATTTTTTTGTCAAATTTTTTCTATGATTAACTGGTTTCCTAGATATCTGATAGGTTCTCTTATTTACTAAATGAAATTATTAAGGTGATTAGATGAACTAATAACCTAAATTAAATGGTTTAATTGCATTAATTGAACATACTTTTTTGCTTGTTTTGCTATTTGGTTTTAAGTGCAAAGATCTATTTAATATGATTACTTAATAATAATCCTTATTATAACTTTTATTTTAAGTTTTATCAGAAAATGTTTCATTCTAATTAGTATAAATATTGCATCGTATATACTCTTTTCATCTTCAGCATCATGAATTGATAAAATTATATTTTCTATTTATTCTATGTCATTTTTTTAATCATCAATTTTGCATAGATTTTAGCCATAGAACTTAAAAATCAACTTCCAAAATACTAGAAAAAGATTAACAAATTTAGGGTTATTTAGTTAATCTGTTAACGAATGAAATTGTTTAATAAATACATTATTTACTGTCACTAGTTTAGTCTCCTTTTTCAAGCTTGCATCAGTGTATTTTCTCAAAATTTCTATAGCCTAAATAACAAATTAATGTTATTTAAGTAGGTCTTTCTTTTAGTTATTTGCATTTTAAGAAGAATACTTTTTATATAAATCTTCCTAAGAAATAAATGTTTAGGTTGGTGTTTCATCATTCTAAAAACTTTCTTTGTAAAAGTTTTTGCTATTTTAAGTAGCTGTGTTTGTTTAAAAGTGTTTTCTTAGAAGCAATTCAAAATCATTTAAAAAATTTAAGTTAATATCTCCAAAAGAATCAGACATTAATTCTTCTTAAATATCATTGTTAATGTAAATCGAATACTTGTTTGTCTTGTTTGGTGATATTTTTTAAATGAGCCCTACTACTGTTTTAATGCAGCTCTCAACTTTGTAATAACTCTAATCACCAAATTATTCATGGATAACAATCTTTAAATTCCATTTAGCTTCCTAAAACTTTTGATATAAATCTTTTAGGTACAAATCTTGATCTTTAGTGTTAAATGTTTTGCTTAAAAACTTAAGAGCTTCTAATCTATCTTAGAGATAATATCTTTGATAATTTTCAAATATCTGAGTTATCAACTCTACTTATTCATAAGTTTTTTATATCTTAGAGTTATTTAACAAGGCTTTTAAAAGCAAAAATTTCTACTAAAAAATTTCTAAAGGAATATTTTAGTATGGAGATTCTTATTTTTATTGAGCTGGCTTATTGAAAATAGAGAGATTTTTACCTCTGTTTATAATATTTTAGCTTGCAATTCTCTTTAGTCTGTTTTCTATTTAGGGAGAATCTTCTTTCCAGCTATTTCTCGGTGAAGACATTTTCTTTTCTATTTTTAATGGAGTAAATAATTTTATTCTATTGTCTTCTTGTGATCCTCTGTCAGTAGTTTAAAGAGTTAAATCAGGTATTTAAGTTATTTATTAAGGATTAGGTAATTCAAATATTGTCTTAAGAGTTTCTTCTGTTCCTTATTTGATAAAAGGAAGTTCAGGAGTCCTTGCCTGATGTAAAGAATGATTATTTTAATCAAGTTCAGTATTTATAGAATACATTTAATCTTAAATATTTATGAATTTATTTTATCTTTCATAAAAACTAAAATGAGTTTGATCAAGTGTTTCTTGTAAATTTTAAGGTTCTAAATAGCTTAAGTTGGTGTTATTCTAATTATTTATTTATTAACAATTTGAAATATTACATAAACTATTTTTTCTAAGAAATTATTTAGAATTATTTTTTTAAAATGAACACTCTTAAAAATTATTATCAATAATATTTGATGATGGAACTGTTGGTAGATTTTTAGTCAATTCTTCAAGTAAATGTAATGGCTTTTATGAGACTAAGGAATTTTATTTTGGGTTTATCTTATTCAAAATAAAAGAATTTTTTATTGTGGTTTATTCAGAGGATGGAATTTAGCTTACACAATTTCCATTTGAAAATTCCTCTTCCTCTTGATCTTAATTTTATTCTTCTACTTTTTATATTTTTTCAACTATCTCAGAGTTATATGAAAGATTTTTATTTAATGAAGGCTTTTTAAATCTCTTTGATAAAATTTATGGTAAAACTTTTTATTGTGCTTACATTTTGTTATAGCTAAAAACTGTTTTAAAAGAATTTGAAATTAAATGATTTTCTTCTTTTTATTTATTCTTAGTATTCATTTAATTTTTTTTCTCATTCAAGATGTTATAAATATGTTATTTTTGATTATTAAAAGTGTTAACATTTAATGTAATTGAAGAACTAGATTGCTTTATTGGTGGAATTAAACTCGAATGCTACTCTTCTACACCGTTTAAAGATACCTAAGTAAACAAAGTGAGTCTTTGATTTTTGTTAAATTTAAAATCTATTTATGACAAAGGTGTTTGAAGCTAACTTTGATTATTTTAATCTGCTGTAAAAGTCATCATTCCTTAGTATTTTAATGGGGAACAACTATTATATTCTGATTAGTATTACTTAGTATTCTCCATTTATATTAGAATATTTTAAATGTTTTCCAAAAATTAATCAGTCTTTTCTTAATTTTTATCAATAAAGTAGCAAGTGCATAATATTACATAGCACAAGCAATCTCGTTTCAAATCAATATCAAGAATTTAAATTATTTCAAAAATCTATTTTTCATAGAACTAAAGCTTATTGTCAAAAAACTCTTTATATTACTCCTTATTAACTAGTTCTAAAGCACCTTTATATTTTTTAATATTAGCATGTAAATATTAAATAATTCTGCTCAATTTTATAAAATTAAAATCCTTGAAGCTATTAAATTCTTAATCTTATTCTTGTTCATATTATTTTTATTGTTTTTTTTCAAATTTATGAAATTCTTATTTATAGCTTTCTTTAATTTCATTATTAATAATTTCAATTGATTTTTCATAACAATCAATTGCTTCATCATATCTTAATTCTAAAAGATGAATATTTCCAAGGTTGTTTAAACTAATTCCATGAGCTCTGTAATTTTTTATATTTTCGAAAAAAACTACAGCTTGTGCCCAATGAAGTAAAGAAGATGCTTAATCTCCTTTAAAATAGGCTTCATTTGCATATTAAATCGTTTAAAATGTCTAGCGAAATGTTTCAAATAAGCATTTAAGTTCTTAACAAGACGAAAAACTCTCACTAATTTAATCTAAATCTTGTTATAATTCATAATTAAACTCCTTGTTGTGAGTTTCTTTTGTTTCATTGAAAATATCTGTTCTTATATTTTAGAGAATTTAAGTGAGTTCCTCAATTGGTTTTTCTGTCAGTATCTAAATGTTAATCGCATGAAGAAAAGATATTATTAAAATAAAAAAAATGACAAAAGCACAAACAAGATAAGAAACTAAAATAAATCTATTCACATCGTCCTTTAACTTATTTGAATCCTCTATTAACTGATTTAAATCAATCCACGAAATAACATTATATAAATTGTAATAGGAAGTTTATTTAGATTTTTATTCTTTAAAATTAATTACAATCATCTGAAGCAAAAAATCTTTAGGGCCATTTAAAGTGTCTATAGTTTTTTAAATTCCTCTTGATCTAATATCATAGTAATCTTTAGATTAGTTTTCGGATAATTTGAAATCTTATAAAATTTATTTATATTAACTCTCTGCGCTTTAAATACCCTGTGGAGAAATTTACTCAGTTTATAAGATAGAAGTAAAGTTATCGTTTGGAGTTAGAATTCGTTTGTTGTTATTGTATATTTATCTTTATGATGATGGATCTCTATTTTTTAAAAAATATGTGTTATATGTTAAATGTTAACTAAAAATGGAATAAAAATAATCCAAATTAGTTTGTTTACACAATTAATTGTATATTTATTTGTTTATTTGTGTTAACATTTAATGTATTGATTTTTTATTAAATTTGTATTTAATTAAATGCTAATGCAAGAGTAACTTGTTTTAATTTGTTATTAATAATTGCCGTTGATTACATTTATATTAATAGAGGAAGACTGAATTTTTACTTTTATTAATTTTAGAAAAGAATTTAAATGCTTACACCACAATAATATTAAGTCCAGAAGTTTGATTGATACTTGTGAAATTGCTGAATAAAATTTATAGAGGTATTTCTTAACATAAAATAGAGTGAGTATTGTTTACATTTTCTTAATTTCTATTATTATGAAACAATAAAGTAAGATTTACTTTGAAAATTATTTTATTTTACCCAAAAGTTATTGAGCAAAGATTCGAAAATTGTTTTTCTAACTCATATTCTGTTGGAGAAGTATGCCAAAAGCTATTTTGTTAATAAGTTTCCGAAAACTGATTTTAGCAGCCTTTGAAAGTAACATCTCCAGAACATTCATCAACCATAGATGTTAAGTATTCTGTATCATTAATTGGGGGAATTATTTTTAGTAACTTGCTTTTTAGAATATATTAGCTATAAGAGCGATTACTGAAGTCCGTTTTTCTTGATTAAGAGCTTGCCCTTAAAATCATTGAGGTTAAGCTGGATTACAAATAATCTTTGTAAGCAATTGAAGAAAGTTAAGAAACATCGTTTTATCCCTATTTATACCTTTTAATTATGATAAAAAGGAAAAGCTTTTAAGTTACAGTTAAATTTCAGAAAGAAAAAAAAATTTTATAAAAAGAACAATAAAAAAAGTTAAAATAAACCTAATTGTGCTTTTATTAGTAATTTAAGTAATTATTTGCATAAAATAAAATTCATTTTGCAATTAAACTATTATTTATAAAATCATAGAGTTATTTTAATTTTTTATAAATATTTTTTAATTGATTATCAAAAATAAAATATATTATTTTTAATAATTTTAATTTTTTAATAATAAAAACATTCTTTTATAAAATTCATATTAAAATTGATGTAAATTACCAGAAGTCAAATAGAAGTTTGTTTTTACTGTAGAGCTAACTTTCAAGAGGAGATATTTTTCCTGATTAAAATTTATTTAGATTGAGAGAAGGAGGTTAAAACATTTTATAATTTAATAAAATAGCTCCATCTATTATTTTTTATTGAAATTAGGAAGCAGCATACAATTCAGAAACTTAAGATCCATAATTGATCTCCAAAATTTATTTGATTCTTGCTAATTGGCTAAGTAGCATACTGTTTTTGTCACTGCCCAAGCCTTATTATATAAAATCTATATTTATTCCTATCACTTTATAGTTGAAATATAAAAGGATTGAAATCGATATGATCATTAGAGCACTTGGCGTTAAAAACACGAGTAGCAAATTGCGTTTTAGACTCATTTTATAAATGTCTAATAATATGCGATATAATACTTATTTATTTAATGTTTTGTTAATATCTTAATTTGTGTAAAAATTTACAAATGTAAATTTGATTAATTTTTTATAAACTATTAGCTTTGATATAATTTGCTTAATTTCCTTTTTGTCAGCTTATTTCAATTCTATTTTATAAGGAAAATATTAATTTCAGAAATTTGTATTTAAAAAGGTAGAATTCTTGTTATTAAAATTTTTAATTGAGGTAAATATTTAGAAATTTCGTAAATATTCATCAGAATAGAACTTAGCAAAATTAATTTTGTGTAATATAAATCTGAATATTTTTAAATTAATTCAAGCTTTGCTTAACAAAAATGTATTATTGACTGATGTTAATTACAAATTTACACATTAAAATGTGCATTTATTTTCCAACAAAAAAGCTGACTAAAAATAAATAAATATATAAGTATTTATTTTAGAATTTTCTTTTAAAATAATTTATTAAAAGTAAACTTAAAGTCATCATACTTTGTTTGATGCCAAATTCAAGAAACTTAATAAGCGAATTTTATAATTTTGAAAATAGAGTAAATAACAACAATCTTGTGGTTAATTAAAAGGGTCTTATAATTTCTTTTGGAAAAAGAAATTTAATCAGAAACAAGTTTATTTTACACTCAAACATTACTAATTTTTTATAAACTCAAAATATTAAAATATTATTTTTTATTAAAAAACATATTATTTTTTAGGTTACTTTAGGAGCCAAACGTTTATAAATGTTCAGGAGATCCTTTTTTCTTTTATTAAAGAGTAATTTCATCTTTTAAAGAAATTTGTGATAAACACGGAGAAGGATCAGAAAATATATTTCTTGAATTTGTATGAGTATTAATTTTTTTTGTTGATGAAAGAACACTGTTACAATTTCTTTACTATTCTTATTATAGAAAAGATTGTTCAGATTTTGTTTTTTATTATAAATTACTATTAAAATATTCTTATTCAGTTTTTAAAAAAGTCTTCTGAATTTAATTTAAAGGTGAATAATATATTAAAGGAGAATCCAATTGATTGTGTTAATCTTTATGCAAATTATTCTTATTTTATTATTTTCTTTATCTTGCTTAACTTTCTTCAATTATTGCAAAGTTTTTTTAATTTTAAGTATTTTATTATTTTTCGTGATCATTCTGATTTACTTAATTATGGATTAATAATTTTCTTGCACTATTTTGAGAATAGTCTGATCTAGGAGTAAGCATATCTAAACAAGCTGATTATTCTTTTAAATTCTATTTATAAAGATAGGCATTAATTTTATCTTGTTGTCTCATCATGAAACCAATATTTTGTAGATTACCTTTAGTTTCTGAATTCGAATAGTTTTTTAAATAATAATTTTACTGTATTAGAATCTTTTTATTGCTTACATTTACTTGTCTATTTTGATTATTTTAAATTGGTATACATATTTTTTTGGGACTGATACATTCCTCTTAATTCTAACTACAATAAAGAGAAAATGATTATTTTTATTTCTAAGAATTATTCAAAGAATTAAAATTTTTTTAGTTTCTTTCATAAGTATTTGTTGTATCAATTAGAGCAGAATTATTTAAAGATAGATCTTAGAGCAAATAACTTTTAGGTTTTGAATGGTTTTCTATAAATTTAAGTCCTAATTGCAAGTCTTATTCGAATTGGATATTTAATTTTTATTGTTTTTTACTTTCTAGCTTATTTGAATATCTCTTTTTAAAAATTATCTTTTCAAAACATTTAAATTTCATGAGCTATTTTAAAATAATAATTTAATAGAAATCATATTATAAAATAAGTTAAATTTACTTTTTTTATAAAGTAGCTTCTACGAAAAACATATAAAATAGTATTATTTTGTAAACTCTTTGCGATATGATCTCTATACTAAAATATTATTTATTTTATATTTATTTTTATTAAAAAAATTATTTACTGTGTTTGATAATATTTCTTCATAACCTAAGAAATCAAAAGTATTTAACTCTTTAATCTACATCAATAAAAACATCATTAGATTATATTTATTTTAATTTTAGAAATTTACCTTTGTATAATAATTAGATTTCAACAAAGATTAAAAATTAGGTTTGCCGCTTTAAAAAGTATTTTAAAAGTTAATCTAGTTTTTTGTTTGTATATTTTCTTCTTAAATTCCAATATTAATAATTTTGATCTATTCATTATCTATGAAATTTAGTTCTTTTTATATCTAACCAACTTATCTTCCTTTAAATATCTTTTTTTAAAATAATTTTAAAAAATTAATTAATTTAATTTCATTAAAAAATAAAAATATTAAAAATTAATAGGGATAATTTAGAGGGTAACAGTATTTGGGATTTGGTTTTACTTTTTTAGATCTCCAAAAATCATTTTAATAACTAGTGTATTTTTTATTATTAGGGGTCAAAAATTAAACCCCTCTCATATTAATTATTTGTTTATTTGTTAAAAATTAAAATTTGAGATCATTTATTTATTTATAAAATATCCTTTAAGTCTAAGTATAAAACTAGTATTTTTTAATTATCCTATCCTTTAATAAGACAAAGATCAAATAAAAAATACTCCAATTTTTCCAGATTTTATTATGTAAAACTCATCAGGTTTAGAGAAAGTATTATATAGGGTTTCATTTAGTGAAAGTGTTTAGATATCCATGTTTAACAATAAATCTTAAAATTCATCTAAGCTTAATTATGAAAATAGATCTATATTTTAAAGAAAAGAGATTTCATCTTCTACTGCCTGTTCTTCTATCTCTAGAAGGTATTTTCTAAAAATCTTTTTATCCAATTTTGCAATTAATGTATGTGAATCAGAAATAGCAATATCAGTAAAAGGTCTCTAAAAGATAATATGATTTAAATTAATACAATATCCTTTTTAGTATTGTTTGATAAAATTAGCTTTTGATTGCTCCCCATTACTAGCTTAATTACAATCGTATATGCTAACTTTACCTTCCAAAATAATGAATAAATAGCTGTTATCTAAGACTTCTATATAATTTATTAAATATTTAGTTAATATATTTAGACTGTTTAAGTTAAATTTAATAAAATTATATAAAATAATTTATACCATTTGATAGAACTACTTAGTTTTTCTAGAATTCATAACCAATTAGCTTTCCAGATATTTTTTTTATTATTTCTTTTTTTACAATCCCAATATAATGTTTGAACATTTCCAGCTCTTTTACATATTCGTTTACGCAATCATGTTATTTATCTGTTCTACTTTAAGGGTCTTTCAATAAAATCTACCAAGTATTCTAGTTACAATAGTAAAATATTATGCCAGAATTACATTAAATTGATTAAGTTTAAAATATTAAGAAAACTAATTTTATTCTTGTTACCTCAAGGGATACTTCGATTTCCTCTTCATCTGAATTATATGATACCTGTTGACTCAGTAGTAGAGATTATTGATAGCTAGCTTCTTTTTTTATAACCTTTTGGAAAATCTTAGGAGACTCAGAGTTTTACTTGCTTAGATTGATACCATTAACAGGGGACAAAATATTTTAGAGCTTTGGTAAAACTAGTGATAGAGATGTCTTCATCATAAATACTTTGGGTTCTTTTATTAATATTAGCTCGTTTAATATTTTTTTATTCAATTAATTAATTAAAGATACTGATTGATAGATATTTAATCAAACAAATAAATATTTGCAAAAATTAATAAGCCTGCCTGGATCTTTAAATCCTACTATTTAATTGTAAATTGTAATTAAAAATCCTCTAAAAATCTACTTATTTATTTAACAACTAATTAAATTATTTTTCAGGTTCTAACCTTAAATCTTTGTCTTTAGTCTGAATATCCATTCAAAATTAACTGAAAAGAAAAATAAAATTTATAAATCAAATACTCGTAAAAAAGTATTTACAGAAATAAAAAATAAGTATTTCTTCCTTATTATAAATTTTGAGTTTGTAGAATATTTTATGAATTAAGAAATATTTTATATTAATCTATCTATATATTTTTTAAACAAATTATATTTATTCCTCATATATTCATTTAAGAGACAATTTTTATAAATTAATTTAATATTCTTCTTTTTATTATTGTAAATTATAAAAGATTAATGATAATTTGAGTCTAAGCAACTTATACAATTATCTAAATCTAAATATCCTGAATTGTATATATTTACACAAATTAAAGATTTACTTAAGGTAGTTATAATCATCCGAAAAAGGTAGAGATAAATAAAGATGCAAGTAGTATTAAAATATTTTAATATGCATTTATTTTTTCTTAAAAAGGTATTTTGGACTTAAAATATTAAGTAAAGTAAGAAACAGAAATTGTTAAGATCAGTGACTCTAACGATTAATAAAACTATAAAGGTTTTAATTGAATCTATTGATTTACTTGTAATACATAGCTAATTTCCAGAAAACTAAATTTGCATGATAAAATAATTAGGAATAGTAGTTGCAAAATATTTTAATATAGAAAGTAGTTAAATATGATTATTTATAATTTTAGATACTATTTTGGGTCTATAAGACTATTTTAATTTATGAATAAATAATTATTTTTAAAATATTAAAAAAAAAGATATTGCATATGTTGAACCTTAAAATTAGAAATTCAGTTTAAATATAATTTATTCAATTAACTTAGCTTAAAATTAATCAAAAATATTTTTAATATAGCAAACATATGTAGGAAAATTTTTTTATAAAATGGAAAAATAATTGGGAAAATTTTCTCATTCAAATATTCAAATGAGTTTTTCCAAATTTTCCTGTATCCTGTTTTTCTAATTTGAAAGGCTTAATATACATACTTTTAAAAGCTATTTAATTAATTACCATATTGAAATTATCTTATATCAATAACTAATATAGCCAAACGCCTAATTAAAATCTAGTGGTTTGGATATTACTGAGTTTAAGATTAAATAAATATATAAATGAAATTTGTAGTTCTAAGCCATTTTTTTTTATGACAAATTTTGGTGAATTCTGACAAAATTAGAAATGCCGATTTGCTGATCTGCCACTCTTCCGATACGTGGGTCAGAACTCTTTATATCACATATATATAAAAATTATAAAAAAAAATAATTAAATTTAAGATGTATTCTGAGTGCATTTATATGTGCGAGTATTTCTATTCTATAACCAATTTTATTTTATCTTTTTAAATATTGAAGAAAAATATAAAATCAATTAGTTAGTTTAGAAGGAATAAATATGAAATTATAAGAATGAATTAATCAATAATAAAATTAGAGCTAAAAATCAAAAAATGAGATAAATTAACAAATAAAAAAGAAAAAAAAAATTAAAAAATAAACCAAATAAAAAGTAATAAATAAATTAAAAGAGTTAGTTATCTTGTTTTAAATTCATTTTTATATTAAAAAATATCACAATTTAAAATAAATAAATTTATTTTACTCAAGAAATAGTGCCAAATAGGAGAGATTAGTGCACTTTACTAAACCAAAACCTAAGCTTGATGCACCTTCATCACCAATTTCTCATTTATGTGATTAAAGCAGAAGTATTTTTCTTATAAATTAAAAAAAATTGTCTGCTCACTATAGACATCAAAGAAAAAAAAAATTTATAATAATAAATAAAAAATAAAAAAAATGTGTTTATTCATATACTTAATCAACACAAAAATAACTTAAAATATATAAAATTATAAACTAATATATTTAAGATTTATTCTGAGTGCATTTATTTGTGCAAGTATTTCTTTTCTATAACCAACTTCATTTTATCTTTTTAAATATTGTAAAAAAATATAAAGAGTTAATTAGTTAGTTAGAAGGAAAAAATGAAGAAATAATATGAAATAATAAGATATTAATTAATTAAAAAAAAACTAAATTTGAAAATGAAAGTATGAGTTTAATTAAAAAATAGAAAGTAAAAAAAACACAATAAGAATAAAAAAAAGAAAAATAATCAAATAAAAAGCTAATAAATAAATTATTATAACAAAATAGATTTCAAGTAATTATCTTAATTTAAAATTTTAAAGTAATTTATTTTAAATTTTATTTAGGATAAATTAAAATATAGAAATTTTAACAAAATATTTTTACAATTTACATTCAAACATTAATTTATTTTTTTTTTTGCAAACTATTAATATTAAAAGTTTATATTTTATTTTAAGACATGTATTATTTGGGATTTGTTTAGTAATTCAGCATTTATATATGGTTAAGAGATCCATTTTTATTAGGAGAAAGATTTGTTTAAATTTATAATTATCTTTATGACAAAGCAAGAGAAGGATCAGAAAATACATTTTTTGAATTAATAAAAGGAATATTATTTTTATCTGATGCTAAAAAACTTTACTGATTTCTTTATTATTCATAATTTTAGAAATATGATTCAGGTTTTTGTAATAAATTACTACTTGATAATTATTATTCTGTTTTTAAAAAATTCATCGAAATTTACTTCAAAGATTAAGTTTATTTTAATGGCGATTCAGATTCTAAATCTAATTATAAATTAAGTTAAGATTTCATTTTCTTTCTTCTTCCTTAATTCTCTTCTGTTTTGGTGAAACTGATTTCGTTTTTCGTAAACTATTTATCTTCTAAATTATTATCAATTACTTATTAATTTTTTAGAATGTGTTTTGGATTTTGTATAGATTAGTCTGATTTGAAATAAGGGATGCTTAAAGAGTTTAAATTTAATTTATGACTTTAATTTTGTTTTTAAATATAAGAATCTATTCTCTCTTATTATCTCATTATAAATCCATTATTTTGTATAACATCTTTAGTTACATTTTGTTAACTATCATTCATATAAAAACTTTATAACATAGGCACCTGTTTATTAGTTATATTTCCTAATTTATTTAAAATATTTTTATTTGAGCTACTTATTTTTAAAGGACTTAAAGACTCTTTTTAGTTTTTTATAAAATTAACAGATTATGATTTTTTTTCTTTCCTTAAAAAAATATTTCTTGAATTGCTTAGAGCAGAGTCATTTAAAGATAATTCTTAAAGGAAAGAACTTTTAGTTGGTGAGTGATTTTCTATGACTTTAAGTCCAAGCTTAAGATCTTGCTCAAATTGTATACTTAAATTTTGCTACTGTTTATTTTCTAATTTTTTAGTAAATCTCTTTTGTAATATCGTTTTTTCGAAGCATTTTTTCTTCAAAAGCTTTATTTTAAAAGTGAATGCTAAGAATAAATAAAAAAATAAAATGTTAAATTTACTTATTTTATAAAGTAGCTACTGCGAAAAACATATATAATAGTATTATCTTATAAACTCATAGCAACATGATCTGTTTTCTAAATGAAATTTATGTTATATTAAAATTTAGTTAAATTTATTTACTTTGTTTGATAATATTTCTTCATAACCAAAAAAATCAAAAGTGTTCAGTTCTTGAATCTATTTTTTGTTTAAATAAGCATTCGAGATATAAAAAATTAAGCAACTAATTTACCTTAGTATGTGTTGATTTGAATGAGGTATAAAAATTTGAATCATGTATTTAGTGAATTGTAGACTGATGTTATAAATTTCTTTTGCTAATAATTTCTTCTTCATTATCAAAATTAGATATTTTAAAATAATTTTTGTCATTCTCTTCTATGAATTTTAGCTTTTAAATCTTTGAAATAGAATTTTCTTTATAAATCTTTTTTTATTAATGATATAAAAAATTAATAAATTATTTTGTTTTCTTTTTAAAAAATAAATAAATACTCCAATTTATCCAGATTTGATGATGTAGAAAGCAGTAGGTTAAGAATGAGAACTGTAAAGAATTTAATTTAATTTTAATTTTTAGATATCCAAGTTCAATAATACATCTTAAAATTCATCTTTATCTAGTTCTGAAAATAGATCAATACTCTAGAGAAAAGAAATCTCATGATCTACTTTTTCTTCTTCTATTTATTGAAGGTATTTTCTAAAAATCTTTTTATCCAACTTTGCAATTAAGGTATTTGAATCACAAACAGCAACATTAGTAAACGGTTTCTAAAAAATAATATTATTTAAGTTAATAGACTAACCTTTTTATTATTTTCTAATAAATTAGGATTTCATATGTTCTTGATTATTAGCTTAATTTTTTTCGTAAATGCTCACTTCTCCTTACAAAATGATATTTAAAAAGTTTCCATCTGAATCTATTACAAAATTAATTTAGTGGTGATATTTTTACTTTGTAACGCATTTAAGCTTACAAATGAAATATGCAATAAAATAAGTAATTAAATCATACCTGATGATAAAGCAATCTAGTCTTTCTTGCACTCAAAACCTACTAACTTTGAAGATATTATTCTTATTAAATCTTTATTTCCTTCTTCAATATACTGCTTGAATATTTCTAATTCAGATATCACTTCATATACACAATTATGTTCTTTGTCTTTTCTAACCTAAGGGTCTTTTTACAAAATATTCCATGCATTCTAATTATTTTACAATAGTTTTAGAATTAATTTTTGATTTACTAATGAAAATGAAATCTGAATAAATAATTTTTGCTATGTTGTTTTGAGTTTTATAATTACCTCTAATGTTATTTCTAATTCTTCTTCATCTAATATTTATGATGCCACTTTATTCATTATTAATTACTGATAGCTCATTTATTTTTTTAACAAATTAGATTAAGACTTTCTTGGAGATATGGAATTTTAGCTCTTAAGGACCATAAAGTTGATTGAAGATTGTGTCCTATCTAGCTTTGGAGTTGCAAATTTAGATTATGTTTTAATCATCTTTTTATAAAAATATGAAATTCTTTAGTTTACCTTAAAGCTTTTATCAAAGTTATTAATTTTTTTCTAAAAAATAACTAGTTAAAATCAAAAATTGTAAATCCTACTTTTTCTAGCTGAGTCAACCAATATTAATTAGTAATTTATCTAAAATTGATTCGCTAATTACACCAATTACAAAAATAACCATAAAATTGTGCATATTATGATTTTATAATAATCAATGACTCCTCGAAATTTAGGAAACATAAAATTTTTGTTAAGTAAAAAATTTGGTTAGAAATAAAAAGATTGAAACTATTGTGATATCTCATAAATTAACTAATCGACACTTTTATAAATTTAAAATAAAGATTTTTTGCAATTGCTAAACCACCCTATACTTTTATCATTTACTTAAGTTTGCATTTATCTGAATCTATAGTATTTTTAAAAAGTAAAAATTAAAGCTTGGCTGCATATTTAAATTAAAAAATGAAATACTTTTAACATTACAGATTCATGAAAAGCAAATTTTACTTTTAAAAGCTTTAAATTTTATCAATTATTATTATTTATTGTCTAAAATCATGTAGAATATTTAATGCAAAATTAATAAATTTATTGATATATAATATTTGAATTTATTTACATTTTAATAGTTATTTTTTGTATTTAACATATTTACTAAAAAAATTATTTATTTATTTATATTTATAAACATTTTAGCTGAGTTATGTTTAAATTTTTTTTTTTTTCAAGAGTAATTTAGAATATTTTGAAACAAAATTAATAAATTTATAGTATAAGAATAATTTAGAGTTTATTAAAATAGTTGGTTATCTGAAATCAATATACTTACTAACGATATTAGTGTTTATAATATATTCAAAATTTTGTAATCAAAACTTTTTTTAAAATAATAATGAATTTCAAGCTTACACAACATTATAATAATTTATAAAGAATTGACTAAAATAAATAAATATTTTTTTCTGAAAATGAATTTGAGATTTAAGATTAAACTTTTTATAATTTTAAAGGAATAAATTTAAATATTTCCATTTATTATTTATTAAAATTTATGCTATTTTAAAAGCTAGATAATATATTTAGATTCCCAAAATGAATGAATGATGAAAATAGTACTTTTAAAGAAAATCTTTTAAAAAACTATTTTATTTTAAAAATTTTATAAGTCTATAAAATAAACTTTTTTTCAAACGTAAAGGATTTTTTATAAAATACTTTTGATTTTTATAATTGTAAAGAATTACTATTTATTATACTGCTTTACTGAAATTACATTTAAATTGAATCTAACAAGATTTTAACAATAAAAATTAGATTTTTTTAAATTAATAAAATGAATTTTTAAAATATATACACTTCTTAAATTCTTACAAATCATCCATCTTTATTTTATAATAAAAAATTACCTAAAGCAATTATTTAGGTCTTGGGTAATATTTATGATAAGTAGATGCATACTTGTATGTTATTAGATAACTTTATAAAACAAACTCATAATACTTTTTTACAGATTAAAAATTAACATAAATTAAACTGTTGATATGAAAAATAAAGTTAAAAATATATTTAAAATTAAAAATCAATCAAAATTTCTAAAAATATCTTAAATTGTTTTAAATATTTAAAAATTTTGTTTGCATTTTTTGTGAAAAGATAATTCTTAGTTTTATTTAAAATTTAAATCACTTTAGATAGCATTTGTAGTAAAAACGCAAATCTAAAAAATTTTAAAATAAGATACAAACAACCAAACAAAATAAATTAAAAATATAAGGAAAAATAAAATTTATTTTGTTTCATAAAAATTTTATCTTGTTAGATTATTTTAAAGAAAGAATAAAATCTAATTTATAATAGTTTATTTTTTAATTTAAGATGCATTTATCTTATTCTTAATTAGGTTTAAACTACATTTTAATGATAATTTTTCATTTTTCATAGTAATTGCTTATTAAAAATCATATAATTTTATCTGTTTATCTATGATGGTTATTGAAAATAAAAATAAGCAAAATGTTATGTTAATGCATTTATATTTTAAAATATTTCAACTATATATCAAATATAGTGACAAATTTAAGAATATTCATACTTTTTTTAAAAATAATAAGCATTTTTTTAAGAATATACTTTCAATATACTATATTTTAGGCTATTATCTGAGGAATTATAAAATTATAATTTGATGAGAAATGAGATACATGTTTGAATTAATCATGATGGAAAATAAAACCATGCATTTTTCCAGTAAAAATTTGAAAATTTAATGGCAAAAAAAAATATTATTATTGGATTTGCAGACAAATTTTTAAGAGCTAACATGTATGTGAAGAGGAATTTTTTTTTTTAGAAAGTTAAAAAAAATAATTGACATAAAATATATATACAAATGAGTTGTAAAATAATGATTTTAGTCAATTTGGAATAAATTATATTTTATAGTAGTATATTAACACGTTTTTTTGGTGCTTTAATGTTAATATAATACACTAAAAATTAATTTTATATAATATATTTATTTTATATGAAAGTTTGTAAATATATATTGAATTTTTAATTTAAGGATCCTCAGTTTTCACCTTCTTCTTCTTCGAATTCACCTTCTTCTTCAGCGGTAGCATCTTGATATTATTGATATTCGGAGACGAGATCGTTCATGTTGGATTCAGCTTCAGTGAATTCCATTTCGTCCATACCTTCACCAGTGTACCAATGTAAGAAAGCCTTTCTTCTGAACATAGCAGTGAATTATTCAGCGACTCTCTTGAACATTTCTTAGATAGCAGTGGAGTTACCGACGAAGGTAACAGCCATCTTAAGACCCTTAGGAGGAATATCACAAATGGAGGACTTGATGTTGTTGGGAATCCATTCAACGAAGTAAGAAGAGTTCTTGTTTTAGACATTAAGCATTTATTCGTCAACTTCCTTGGTGGACATTCTTCCTCTGAAGAGAGCAGAGGCAGTCAAATATCTACCGTGTCTGGGATCAGCAGCGCACATCATGTTCTTGGCATCGAACATTTATTGGGTTAATTCGGGAACAGTGAGGGCTCTGTATTATTGAGAACCTCTGGAGGTAAGGGGAGCGAAACCAATCATGAAGAAGTGGAGACGAGGGAAGGGAATCAAGTTGACAGCGAGCTTTCTAAGATCAGAGTTCAATTGACCAGGGAATCTGAGACAGCAAGTAACACCAGACATAGCAGCAGAGACCAAGTGGTTAAGATCACCATAAGTGGGGGTGGTGAGCTTAAGGGTTCTGAAGCAGATATCGTAAAGAGCTTCGTTATCGATGACCATACATTCATCAGCATTTTCGACCAATTGATGGACGGAAAGAGTAGCATTGTAGGGTTCAACGACGGTATCGGAGACCTTGGGAGAGGGGACGACGGAGAAAGTTTCCATGATTCTATCGGGATATTCTTCTCTGACCTTGGAGATAAGGAGGGTACCCATACCAGAACCAGTACCACCACCGAGGGAGTGGGTGATTTGGAAACCTTAGAGGCAATCGCAACCTTCAGCTTCCTTTCTGACAACGTCCAAAACGGAGTCAATTAATTCAGCACCTTCAGTGTAGTGACCCTTAGCCCAGTTGTTACCAGCACCAGTTTGACCGAAAACGAAGTTATCAGGTCTGAAGAGTTGACCGAAAGGACCAGCTCTGACGGAATCCATGGTACCAGGTTCCAAATCCATCAAAATGGCTCTGGGAACGTATCTACCACCAGTAGCTTCATTGTAGTAAACATTGATTCTTTCTAATTGTAAATCAGAATCACCGTGATAGGTACCAGTGGGGTCGATACCGTGTTCATCGGAAATGACTTCCCAGAACTTGGCACCGATTTGGTTACCACATTGACCACCTTGAATGTGAACGATTTCTCTCATCTTTTTTAAGTTATTTTTTTAGGGTTATTTATTTTCCTTTTTATTATATCTAACTACTCTTTTAAAAAGCTACGCTTCTAAATTTATTATATTATCTTTCTCCTCTCTCTAAATTTCTTTGTATTTAAAGCTTCTTTCCCCCTTATACAGAAGTTTCAAAATTCAAAAAACCACACAAAATCAAATTATGAAATAAATAAAAAATAAATATAAAGAAGTATATCATTTCTTTTTTGTTTTTTCTTGTTAATTTCAATTAATTTTTTCCTACTGCATAAACAAATTCTTAACATCTTTCTTTTATTCATATTATATATTTATATATATCTAACATCAACTTAGGAATAAAAAAGATATCCTTTTAAACATTGAAAAATATAATTTATATGGCGAACTTCTTTTCGAATAAAAGAATGTATTTTTAAATGAAATTTTATTATTTGTGACTTTGCCTACCAGCATCATTTAGAACCAGTTTAAAAACAAAAAACAACCTCTCTATTATTTCTAATCTTTTTTTATTGATGAAATAAATAAGTAATGCATGTCTCTTTACAACAAGATATCCTGACCCCCACATAAATACAAATAAAAAATAAATAAAACTCGAAAATATATTCAATATCAATAAAAACTAATTAAAGGAATCAGGCAGCAGTAGTACTTTCTTAAATAACAATTTATTTGTTTATTTATTTTCAATTGATTTCAAAGTAAATGCACACATTTCTGGAGTTTTTAAAATTACACAAAACAGAATAGCAAAAAATAAGCCAGTACTACCCTTAATTGGTATTCCATATTTTTTAAAAGAAATGAAACCAAATTTTCTTTGTTTGTCTAATTTCGTTTATAAAAATGAGACAAATAATTTATAACCTATCCTAATATATTTATTTATTTCTTGATAGATAGATTGATTATTTGATTATATGCTTTCTAGTGAAAATATATGCTTTTAAATTTCTTCAAATGTGATGATTATGATAATGTTTTTCCTTTGTATAATTAAATCATCTGAATACAATCAAATTAAAAAACATTCAATAATTAATTAGAAATTATTTGTTTGTTTGTTTGTTTTGAATTTTTCAAACAATATTTTTATTTGCTTTGCATTTCATGATGATTTCAAAGGAATTCACCCTTTTCCATTTAATATTTTGTAATTTATTTTAAAATAACCAATAAATAAAATACTTCAATATTTCTTTGTTATGTTCGTTCTTTCGTATTTTTGTAAAGTATTTAAATCTCTATTTGCGCCATAATCAATTAACTGAATATAAATCTGATTAAACAATAACTAACGTTTTTTATTGTGAATATCTATTATTGTAATTTAAACATTTGCTTTTTTTTATCATTTTTTCAGAACATAGTCTTTTTAAAAAATATCTCATCTTAGTAGTTACTTTGAAGTTAATATTTTCTCTCCTTAGCTCACTAATACAATTTTAAAATATTATAATATATGTAATTTAACATAAAATAATAAAAATTGATTATCCACAATCAATATTGATATTAAACCATAAACAAACAATACTTATATTTTATTAAATTATAATAAAATATCAGTTGCAAAAACTACTTTACTAAGGAAACAAACAAATAAACAAACAAACAAACATTCTATATCAAAGCAAATATCAGCTGACTGACTTATTCAAATAAGAAAAATTACAAATTAAAAAAAAGCGGAAAATTATGAATATTGGTTAAAAATAAAATATAACTAACAAAAAAAACAAGAAACTCTTGTCAAAGGTAATCAATAAATTTTATCTTCTGATATTAACTTGAGTATTTCAAATTTAATTTTAAATTTCAATCAATTAATTTATTTATTTACTGACTATTTACAAAAGCAAGTAGAATTCATTTCAACATTTTTATCATTAAAATAAGTTACAGTTATTAAATTTTATGCAAGAATACAATGATGATATTTCCAATATTTTTACCTTTATGATATTTATATATCTTTCATATTCAAATACAATAATACTAAGAGATTACACATTAATAGTTGTAACAGAGTTTTTGTTATTTTTTTATGATTAGCATGCTACTTTTAGAAAATATGTATCAAATACAATATATTAGCTACTAAATTTTATGCAATTCTATTATTTCTATGCTTCATTTTACTTATTAATTAGAATTCATAAATACTTTATAGCGTTAGGATGAACTTTATTTATTTAAGATAAAAATTTATTTGTAAAAACTTTCATTAAATATATAATTTAAAAATGAAAATTAGATAGTCATCAAAAATGTTTTGAAAATTTGAAAAAAAGTATCTTGTTTATAGAGTTATCATTGTAGTTTCAATTCAAATACAAATATTAGCTATTAAAATGAGCATTAAGCTAAAATATTTGAACAGAGCTTACAAAACTATTTTGAAATTGCAAATTATTATGTTTTTGATTCTCAATAAAAAATATTATTAATGAAAAGCATTATTGTTAATTTATTATTAAAAAACTATGTCTAAAACTAAATAAACAATATAATATAAGTTTAAACAAATATCTTATGCTTTTAAGAGTGATTTTTATTAATGTTACACTGTTGATTTTGTTTTAAAGTAGAATGGATTAAGCTGAAATTCAAATAATTTTCATTAAAATAAAAATAAATATAAGCAAAGGTAAATCATAATCTATATCTTAATTATTAGTAGCTTAAAAGTATTAATCGTAATATTTTATTTCTATTCTTATTATTTATATTATTATTATATTTTTAAGCTCTATAATTCAAGCTTAAAATTAAGCCAATAATTTTCATAAAATATTTAAAATGATAATATGTTTGAACATTTTTATCTAATCTACTTTATTTTTTAATTTGTATTTTTAATTTTGATAATTCAAATGATACAACTACAACTCAAACATCTTACAAACTAATCATTAAATTAAGTAAATAAGATAGATAGATAAATGATAACTTAAACTAAGTATATTATTTCATAATTTATTAAAATAAAAAAAGTTAAAATTTATATTATTTATAAAAACCCATAATAAAATGAAATTTAGTAAGTAAAATTAGAAAAATTATTCATTAAAAATGAATAAAATATCTATTTATAATTATTAATTAAAGGAAAAATAATTATGGTGGCTTATGATAATTATCATTAAAATCCTCAAATTTAATAAAAAATTACCAATGATATTTAATAAATCAATTAAAGTATTTTTATTAGTGTTGAATTTGCAGATCTAAAAAGTTATTTAGAAATATAATTTTTTTAATTTACTAAAAGATTTAAATTTTCATATGTGCCAATAATACTTCTATAAAATTTTTATTTTTAAAATTATAATTTACTTAAATCTAGCTAAAGATATTACATTTAATTATTTAGAACATCATATTAAAATTTATGACAAAAATATGATAATTTAAAATTATTTATAATAATATTGTATGTATTTATTATTTTTTTTACAAATATAAAACATAAATAGTTTTACATATATATATTTTTATTCAATTATTATAGTTTGCTCGTAAGCCAATATTTATTTATTAAAATAATTTATCTTGTTAATCCTATAGGAGACGCTTGCTTTTTAGGCTGATAAATGATCTTAATTTTTATTAGATTTTCTTTTTAGTATTGCTCTTTCTTATCTAGACTTTTAATATTTTTCTTCTTAAACAAGTTTTTAATGAAGAGTTTCATTAAGTCACATTCAATTTTACATTTGAATTAAAATTCTTAATTTTTTTTAACAAGATTTAATTTTATTTTAATAATGTTGAATTCTTTTTTTCCTCTCCATCAGCCACATAATTGTTTTTAATTCAAAAATTTTACATTTACCTTATAAAATATTTCTTTATAATCCTCTTTATTCCATATAATAATAAATATACATAAAAAATAAAATCTAAAATAATTTGCCTGTTTCAAATATGAAATGATATTTTCAAATATTCTTATATTTTAAATGGTAGTATAAAAGTATATAAAATTAACTAATGGATATATATATTTTTTTAATTGCTTCACTTATTTAATTTATTTATCTTATCATTTACAAAAAAATTTCTTTATACCAAAAAAGCATAATACTCCTACTTCAAATGTACCAGCATAATTGACTAATCCAAATTTTTTATAATTTTTAAAAATTTATAATTTGGATATTTGATAAATTAATTAATAACACATATTTATTAAGTTTTAAGTGTATTAATTATTTAATATATAAATATACTGATACTACTACTACTAATATAAAGAAAAAGACTAATTAATATTAAATTATTTTATTTATACAATTTTAATATTAAATTCTTGAATTGAACTATTATTTATTATTAATTAATTATATTTGTTATTTATTTTTTGTATTTTAAAAATTTTAAATATGAATGAGTAAATATTTTGTTTTCATTATTATTCTGATTTTTCTTGAAGCTAAATTTACTTTAAGTAAATTAGTTACTCCTCCTCTAGATTCTATTAAAAGCTTTTACACTAAAATAATTTGGTTATATAAATCTAAAATGAATACATAGCTTTTTCTACTTTAACATAGTAGTGTTAGGATTAAATATGAATATAATGAGCTATTATTATTCCTGCTGTTATATCTATTGTATAATGCACTCTTAAAACTATTAAAACAAAAGCTGTATAAATCATAGTTATCATAGCTATCCAAGATATTTTTTTCCATCCTAATGCCTTTTTGTTTAAAATATATTTTTAAAAAAATTGAATTCTAATTTTTAATTTTTAAACTTAAAATATTTGTTGAATAAAAGTATTTATTTTTTAGGAAATAAATTAACTTAGATTTTATATTAAAAAATTATTTTTTAATTATGTTTATTTATTCACTTTATAAAATTGTTGATTTCTTTTGATAAAAAGCTTGTTTGCTGATAGCATTAAAATAGATTAATGATAAATTATTTACCCTTAATTCAAAAAAGCATAAGGTAAGAAATCCGCAATGCCCCGAGAAAAAAAAATCAGAAGTTCTTCCATATGGGACTGTAAGAGAGGTTATAGTTGGTTCATTCCAGTTATAGCCCATAGGAAATCTCATGTGAAACATGTGCAAATGGACAGTTCTTAATGAATAAAAAACTATAATACTGATCATAAAGCGAATATTTCTAACACATATTAACCAATATGAGTAAGTGCCTAAAGCTATGCAATCAATCATAAAAGAATTAGTGACAATTAGTAGGTTTGAATAGTAGGTATTTTCATTAACATATTTATTCCAATTATTAAAATAATCATGAACTACATCTACTATGCAGTGGACATCATCTTAAGGTATTCCCTTTAACCTAAAACCAAACAATACCAGAGCAGCAATGCCCATGAAAGTTAACTTTCCGACCATATTCTCAGTTATTGAATGTGCTGTTTATCTATGTTCCTATTCATGTTAATGAGTATTATTTACCTCATTAACTTATTAATCTGGATAAGCTTATTGCTGATTCATAAATACAAATTAATATTTTTACTAATAAAAAGTGAAATTTTTTGGATTATATTTTTATAGGTAAAAAAACAATACAAATTAGATTTTAATTTGAGGAAGAGAAATTCTTAAAGAATATTATACGTACATACATATATACATACATATAATGTTATTACGCTCACTTCTACAAGATTAATTAATAAATATGTTAAATGTAAATTAAAAATGTAATACTACAAAATTTTAGGAAAATGCAATAAATATTAAGTAAATATTTATTTTTTAGATAATAAATTCTATTATTTAATTCAAAATTATTATTTTATGATTTTATATATTGAGCTATAATTAATTTGCGTCAAAATTCGAGATGATAAATAATTAGTTTTAACCTTTATTGAATGACTGAGTTTATTTAGTTAGTTAGATTGCTTTTCTTGCTTGAATTAACAACATTAAAATTTTTCAGAAAATAAACATTTTGATTTTTGAATTAATTAATTAGTTAAGTAAGCTTAAAAATTCAATCAATCAATCAATCATTTATTATTTAACTTCGATTTGATGATCTTTTGAGAATAAACCCTTTTAGTAATTTAAATAAATTTATTTTTCTTTCATGCCAATTACATATTTATAGTCTTTAGAAACAAATAAGCAACTAAAATTCTGTGGCTCATAGTATATTTGTCTAAAATCAACAAATAAAGGATTTGTGTCATTTAAAGTGAATACAAGTATTCTATTTTTAGTTACTTTTAATAAATTTAAAGCATGTTAATTTAGTTGTTTTTTTTATATAATATTTACCTATATAGATATCTAAGTCAATTGAGAAAACATTAACTATCTCTGAAGGAGATAATTTTAACTCAACAGTAAGGATATTTATGTGGCTTTCACTGTTTTTAATTTCTAGTCCTGTAAATCTCAGCACAAAATTATTATCAATGCTTACTAAAACATGTTCCATAAGAGTTGAATACACAAGTGGTCCTGTTTAATTAACATGCACTCCTAGTGTATAGTAATATGCCATCTATTTTTAAATAAGAGGTATTAATAGTGTTTAAATCTATTCATATATATTTTATAAATATAGAATTTTCTGTTAAAATTTCTACTGCTATCCATAAAATTTTAAAAACCATCCTTTTTTATTTTATAAAAATTTTTGCTTTTTTTGATTTTGATCTATCAGAATTCTTTATCTTTTAAATTAGAAAAAAAGTGCTTACATCAACATACTTTCTGAAGAATTTGCCAGGATGTTTATTAGTATTGTAAGCTTCTGATATGTGATTAATAATTGTTTGATCTATTTTCCACAGCTCTATGCCTCCATTTTCTCTAGAGGATAAAAAATATTCATAGCTTGGATGCCACGAGACTGATAAATATTTACCAGGTCCACTACTGCCTTAATTTCCAAATTAAGCAACAATTATCCCATTTACAAAATTAACTAGATAAATATGCTCTAACTAAGATAGAACTAAACACAAATTTTCATGTTAAAAATAGCTATTCTCTTAAGGTGTTATAATTTGCTATATTTATCCAGTGCAAACTTATCTACGAGAAATAGAAAAAGAAGTGCCCACGTCTTTTAGGACAAAGATTTCTCCAATATCTCCTCCTAGTAAAAAGCAAATCATAGGCTCTTGGCTCACAGTTGCTCCCTCATTAAATTATGGATAGTAAAAAGTCTATTCACAGCAAGTTAGCTTTTCACTATGAGATTATTCTTGATATATAACCTAAAACTGCATTTTTACTTAGGATAAAAAGTTTAAATCAACTTAGCTTTCATCTGTATAAATTTCATCTTTTTAAATTCCAAATAAGTTAAAAGTAACATCTTATATGATTATTATAAAAATAAATTCTCCCAATTCCTTCATAAACATAGTTAAAGGCTTATCTTTGATAATCAAGTCTTTTAGCTGAACATCTTTATCTAAATTATTTTTTGCAATATGTTTTTCTTTTAAAGTGATTTTATCGTAATATGTTTGATCTTGCTTTATTAAATCAGCTAATTACACTTTCCTTTTGATAGGTTTGACATCGCTGTATTCGTCTTAAGTCTTACCAATTTTATTTAACGAAGATTAAGTATCTATTTTTTAACTTCCCTACTAATCGTTCTCAACCTGTAGATACTTTAAGCCTTAAACGAATAATTTTATTTACTATTCTATCTCTATGAATTTCAGTTTATCATCAATGTTTAATGTATTTTTGATAGTTTCATTTGCCTAATTATTTTTCTGGCTATGTTCAATAACAGACCTTTTTTAAGGAACTCCCTACATAATTCAAGCTAAATCAATAATATTTAAAAGACTTACTAAATTTTTAAAGATATTAAAAAATCAAATTATTTAATCAGCTATTTTTGCGGGAGTTTACAAAAAACCAACTAATATACAAATTGAAATAATAATAAATGAACGAGTTGAAAATTATTTAAATCAAATTATTTTTCAAAATAATAATTTAAATAAAAATAATAAAAATTTGAAAATAAAATATTTTTCTCTTTTCAAATATTTAAATAAAACAAAATAAATGAATCTAATTCTAAGTATTTTAAAAAAATAAAGAATGATTTGTTCATGTTTAAATTTTCGTTTAGGTATGAAAAACATAAATAATAAAATAGGATATATTAATATAGGTAATGTCAAAATATAATATTTTTGCTTTTTATTCAAATTTTATTATTTTGCATAAATTTTTTGAACTAAATTTAAACTACATTTCAATGTATTAAAGAAAAAATTAAATTATTTTATTCTGTTTTTGAATTATTAAAAATTAAAATCATAAAATATTTTGAGTCCATCATATTAAATTATTAAATAAATAAGTAAATAAATAAATTAGCAAGCAGGTGTGGATTAATAATTTATAAAGTTTTATAAACAATTTAATTACACTAATAATAATATTCAGTTTTTTGAAAAATAAAATTTGATTTATCAATATAATTTATTTTGGAAACCTAATTTATTAATCTTTTGTTTATATTTACTGTACTAGCAATTAATTATAAATAAAGTTTCAAAGGTTATACATTAAATTATTAAATAAATAAATAAAAAAAGACTTTATTTTAAATTAAATATTAACCTATTTTTACTTATAAAACAGAAATTAAAATAAATATAAATGTATACTTTGTGTTTAGATAAATGAGTAGTTTTTTATATATTATATTTATAAATTATTTATAGTTAATTGATAATAAAGTTTATTCACAATTTTACACTAATTTCAATAAAATTCGCTTTGAGATAGACAATCATTTTTGTTTTAAAATTCATTCATTTATTTTCTATTTTATCAAAATTACATTGGAGGTTAGCTAATTTTACTTGGAATAAATTGTTTATATTTTTGTGTGTGGGTATGTATTCTTTTTAGGTGTTTTGTATTTCTTATTTAATCAGGCAAATCACTATCAGTCAAAAGAGGCTTACTCAAGTAATTTTCGTTATTATCTATTTAAGGTTGGAAGCCAATCTAATTAACTTATTATTCAAACTCTTTTTTTAATATAAAATTTAACTTAAAAATAATAAATTAACTTAACAACTTACATTTTTGTATGTTCGAGTAAACTTTTTCAAAGTTCTTTTTATCTTTTTAGAATTTTTATTTGTCATAATCGTCGTCGTATTTAGAGAAATTCGTTTTTAATTATTTTTTGGTATCTAATTGTTTCTTTTCATATTACTCAAGCATTTTGGAAAGTAATTTATTTTATTCTTCAATAACAGTTGTAATTTTCTCTTAGTTGATTTCCTTTTTCATCAATGCTTAATTATACATATTAATTGCCATCAAGTTTGCTAATTTTTCTTGAGGCATATTGTTTAAGATTTATTTTGCTAGAGAAACCATTCCCTGCTATTTTTATTTTTTTGCTTTTTTCATCTTTTTTTAGCTCTTAGGAGATGGCTAGTCAATTGGGGAGAAATACATAACTGGCTATTTTATTGCAGGGAGTTTAAATTTATGATCAGAATTAGTATTTTGCATATTCTAAGATTTTGATCTCTTCTTTGATTACTTTTACATTTAATCAAGATTATTTTTGTATAACTAAATTTACTTTAAAGTTTAGTTTATATCAAATATTTTTTGATCATATTTATTTAAAAATTCATCATTATCATTTCTCTAAACAAAACATGATTTATTTCTTATATTTCCCAATTGAGACTCACTTCTCTATTCTGTAATTTAGCTCTGATTAAACTACGGATTCAAATTTTAATTTTAAGGAGAGCCATTACCATCTTCTAAATTGTTTTTTGATTTGAATCCACTTCTAGTGTGGTGAAAAGGCTAAAAAGGAATACCAAGAGGAGATTTTTTCTAAATATTAATTTAGGATTCATTCAATATTTCTTATTTCGCATTAGATTCCTTGGATTTGAGCTAATCTATGTTTTCTTTAGAAAATGAAAACTGTTTAAGCTGCTGTATCTATTATTATTTATTGGTACTATCTTAGTTAAATGCTATATTATCAGTGCTTAAATCTTTAATCTTTGTACCAAAATCATGACTACTTTATCTAGTATTGTGCTTGGAGTAAAACTAAAACGGAGATACATTAAATGTGATGCTTTTAATATCTTATTAAGAATTTTTTTGAGGAACTTCGCTTACTAAAGATGAGTAATTTTTATATCCTGATTTTGGTTCTTGAGATTAATATGGAATCTCAAAGTTGGATCCTATTCTCTTAAAACTATTTACAGATTGTCTAGATTTCAAATTTTATTAATTTTTTCTAGGTGTATTAAAATCATGGGCATCTATAGTATTAATATCATATTATTCGTCCATATTTTGATAAATAAATAAATAAACAAACAAACAATTAATTATTAACAGCAAACTATATTTCTAATATTTTACTTACTTATAATTACTTAAATGATTTTCTTTGTTATTACTTATACCACCTCTTGATTAATAAAATTAAATAATATTTTAGTTAAAACATAACAAATACGCAAATTAACAAAATAAAATTTGAAGCAATGGTTATCCTTTTCTAAATTGTTTAGTTTGAAGTAACATATAGGATATATTAAATAAATAAATTTATTAAATTCCTTCTAAGCAAATATTTTAATTATTTGATATTTATTTTTATTGCATGTTAATTTTAATTTTTTTATTTTTTAAAAGAATAATACAATATTAGAGAATGAATTTAAAGAGAAGTAAATGTTAAGATATTAATAATATTTTAATTATTAGCTTCATTAAATATTTGGAAAATACTAAACTAGAGATTATCAAACTATTTTACTATATTCTATTAAATAATTAGTTTATTTATTAATAATAATATTTTAAATAAATTGTAACAATATTAAATATTCAGATAATAATAAACTAGAAAATATTAAACTATTTCAACAATTAATTAGTTTATTATATTTATTAATGATAATATTTTAAATTGTAACAATATTAAATATTCAAACAATAATAAAATAGAGAATATTAAACTATTTCAATAATTAATTAGTTTATTTTATTTATTAATAATAATATTTTAAATTTTAGCAAAATTAAATATTCAGATAATAATAAACTAGACATTGTTAAACTATATTTCAATATTTAATTGGTTTATTTTATTTATTAATAATAATATTTTATGTTAAGAACATTAAATATTCAGATATTATTTAACTATTTTATAGTATTTCAGATATTTTATTTATATAAAAATATATTTAAAGGTATTTTTTTCATTTAAATTAAAACAGAAATGTAATTAATGTTCTGAAATTGTGAGAGTTTTTTAAATATCTATAATTAATTAAGCACATTAAGTATATAATCAAATATTTAATAAAAAAGGAGTTAAAAATCTATTTAAAAAATAACTTGAAAAATGTATTTTGAAATGAACAAACTAGTAAATAAAAAATTTTGTTAAAATAGTAATTTCATTTTAAAAATAATCTAAAATATTTTCATATTTAAATTTTTTAAAAAAATTAATATTAAATGGATTTATTAAGCAAATAAAATTAAAATAAATCAAATTTATAAATTAACAAAGAAAAAGAATAATATAAAAATATTTCTTTTGATGGATTTATTGAAAAGTATATTCAAGGTTAAAATTAAATTAAGAAATGGAAGAAGGGATAAAAAGTTTAGCTTATTAAATAACCCTTTAAATTAATACTTTTACATTTCATTCATAAATATTTTTTTAAATATAAAATATTTTTTAATGTGAATTCTTGAAAATATTAAATGCGAAAAGAGAAACAAATTACTTTTATTTTCTATCATATCTATAAAAAAACTAAAACTATTTGAATAACCTAAAATCTTTTTGTATTTAATTCTATAAACTAAAATAATGCTTTGAGTTTTATTTGTAAATTGGTTATTTAAAAATATCTTAGGACATGATATTAGAATAGCAATAAATATTTATTTAATTTTTATTTGTATGTTTTAATTTATGTAAAAATGATATTTTATAATTTATAAATGCTAATATTTTTTTTGAATTGAGAATAGTTATCTATCTATCTTTACTTTACTTTAAAGATGGCTTTTACTTTATGTAAAACAATTTAAAAGATTTATCATATTTTATAAGACGAGACATTATAACTTTAAGAGATGGTAATATATTTTTTTTATAAAGTAGACAAAACTTAGAATTTTTAAATAATTGAATCAAACCTGATCAAAGAACTTTTGACCTTTGATTAATATAATGAAAAATGTTTATATATTATTTACAGATTCATACAAATAAAAGTTATTCACTCACACGTGTGTTTTATGTGACTTTCAAAGCTTTAAGTAAATCAAAGGTAATTTAAAAATATTTGTATATATTTTTGAAAGCAAAAAAAAAATAAAAAATAGAAAAAAAAGAGAAGGTTAATAATCTCATAGAAGCAAGTCAAATAATATATTATTATAAACATTAATTAATATTGCTACATTTGTGATTTGATTAATTAATTATCATTAAAATCCATATAATTTAAATATTCATCAAATTTCAAACTAAATTTGTTTAAAACTTACTAAAAATATGAGCAATTACACATCAATTTTTGAATAATAAGATGATAACTAATATGACTATCTTAGCAACTCAAAAGCCAATACAGATTTTTTTAACTCTCAAATGAGCGATTAGGATTCTCTTCATCAGGATAATCTAGAAAATTATTATCCTAAGGGATTTTTTGATAATTTCGATTAGTCTAGCTATCAATAACTTCAGGCTGAGCAAGAAAATGAATTCAAATTAAATAATAATTTAAATTCATAATCCGAGTATCAACCAACCAATGGAGTTGAAATAAATTAGACTACTAATAATATTCAACCCACAACTAATACTAGAATGCCCATTAAATAAAAAGTACTTCTCAGAAAATAAAAACTTTAAGAGCTATAAAGAAATGGTTAAATAAACTAATAATAACAACAACAAAAACCTATAAAATAATAATAATAAATAGAGGAGGATATTCGCAATCAAAATTAAGAAAGCGCAAGTACTGATATAGATAAAATCATGGACGAAGAATTAGAAAAAGAGTCAAGCTCTCTCTCAGAAAAAAGCAAAAAAAGGAGCAAAAAGATTACTAAAAATAAAGATAAGGAATAAACTTAGCTAAATCAATTGCTAGAAAACGACGAAGAATTTTAAAATTTAGATAAAAAAACTTAATAAAAAATAAAGAATAGAATGTCTGCTTAGAGGTCCAGAGATGACAGGAAAAAAAAACTTTTGAGTCTTGAAGATGAAAATAAAAGTTTAAGCGAGCAAGTTAAATCTTTATAAAAATAAAATTAAGAATTGAGTTCATAATTAGTAAATAATATATGTTCTAAATGCAAATCTCAATGTAGTACAGAAGATACTTAAAGTGATTATATTGATTATATTGAAGATACTCCCTATATTGAAAGTAGAAGACAAAACAACTAATACAATATTTTCGGCGCAAATGCTGCTTTAATATTCTTAATTTGCTTTGTTGCCATTTCAGTTCATAACACTAGCTTTGATAATACAGAAAGAAATATAAATGTTATGCTTTAAAGATATGAAGCTCCGTAAATCGATTCATATATGGGAGAATAAACTTGTGTTAAAAACCCCTCAATTATTTAAACTGATTAAAATATGTTAAGTGTGTATACAGGAATAGACTAAGACCTCTTTTAAGAATAATAAATTGTAAATTCTAGATTGATCAGCGAATTTGGTAAACCAGGTTCAAGCATAGACACTTTGGATCTATTATAAGATAAATAAAATGATGAAATAATATGTCCAAATTCTTATATACTTTTATATGGCAAAAACCCAGCTTAAAAGCATAATATTATAAATCTAACTTTAACAAACTAAACAAATTTCTATTCAGCTTACGACGGTTAATATTATCCACTCTATTAAGATAACTAAGGAAATCAAATAAAACTCACTTGTCTTATACTTAAATATGAATAAATTTAAGGAACTTAATCAAATCTTTGAGGATTTTCATTGATTCTTTATTAAAAACTTTTAAATTAATAATATTGATGATAATAATTTATTTTCTTTATTATTCATTATATTATGAACTGTCATACTAACTATTAATAATTTATAATTCCATTATATAATTTAAATAATTTAATTGCATTAAAATATCCAAATCTATCTGATATTAGTATAAAAATATTCATTCATATATTGTTTATTTTTCTTTAAAAAAACTTTGTTTGTCTTAAATTCTAATTATAAATAAAATTAATTACATTTAAATAATTTCTAATTTTGCTATCAAAATTCTTTTCTAAAGATTTTTTAAAAACTTAATGAGAATATATAAATAAGTCAATCAATTATAACAAGAAATTAGGTAAAAATATAATTATATTTATCAATCATCTCAGCTTCTAATTATTAATTCACTAAGTCTTAATTAGACTATTTTAACATATACAAAAATATTAATTAAAAAATGAAAACTTAAATCTTAATTTATTATGTGCATTATTTGCTCTTTGACAAAATAAATAAATAGATACTAACATAAATATATTTTAAATTAATCAATAATGAATAAAATACTTACTATCAGATACAATCTAAATATTTATTTTTAAATATTTTAACTTTGTTAATTATGAATTAAACTAAAATAGTAGAAAATTCTATTCAAATTATATTTATGGAATTGTAAAACAAAATCCATTTAAATATAAAATTAATAAAAAAATGAAATCAAATAAATGATGCAAAAAACAGAAAAAAGATATCAAGAAATATCTCAATAAATAAATCTTGTTTTTAAAAAAATGTAAATAATGAGGGGTTGGGGTTGGGGTTGGGGTTGGGGTTGGGGTTGGGGGTTGGGGTTGGGGTTGGGGTTGGGGTTGGGGTTGGGGTTGGGGTTGGGGTTGGGGTTGGGGTTGGGGTTGGGGTTGGGGTTGGGGTTGGGGTTGGGGTTGGGGTTGGGGTTGGGGTTGGGGTTGGGGTTGGGGGTTGGGGTTGGGGTTGGGGTTGGGGTTGGGGTTGGGGTTGGGGTTGGGGTTGGGGTTGGGGTTGGGGTTGGGGTTGGGGTTGGGG